TTCTATGTAAAAAGGTGCTTTGGAAATGTTTTCATAGAAATACAAAATTCTCCATAGTAAAAAAGTTACAGCGATTTGTTAAAAATGCACATTTTTGAAAAACACCCCGTAACTCCGAAACGGTTACAGATATTGATGTGCGGTTTTCACCATCATGTTTTTGATAAAAATTGAGCTCCAGACACCGATATTAGTTTTCGTCTATCTCCTATAGAAAAGGGTGTTTCCATTTAAAAGCGTCTAATTTGACCCACCCTGTACAATGCAGTTTATATCATTAAGTGTATAAAGCCTCTTCAAGTCTTTTTACAAAAAATATAAACAGAACATATGTTCCGTATTGTTAAGTAACTGATTTTAATATGGATATTCCTAGAAAGTCAACTAAGTACAAATGTAAATAAATTATTATTACATAATTCAAATTAGTTTTATTATTGTTTTCATGGCCAACTAGCTGCATATTAGATTGCTCCTTGGGTGACTCCCAGACATGAAACTCGATTGTCTACACTAAATAATTTCAGTGAAAGCAAATAGCTTCGTTATGAAAAATTTAAATTCTACGTCACACATTAAAATATTTCAGACATTTTCGAGCAATTTGTAAGATACTACCTATTTTATTATTAAGAAAAAACGTTTGTTAGTGACATATTGAGCGTGGGTTCATTTAATTAAATTAAATTCACTCAAATCTTCAGTGCAAATCAACAAAAAAATTAAAAATCTTGTTTCTTCTAGCTCAGTAAATGTTTGTAAGTAATTTTAGTATTTTTTTACCATGATACTTATTTTTCCCCTATACAGGGTGAGTCTTAAATAAATGCAAATATTTTCAGGGCTGGTAGATCTCGATAAAAGAAACATACCGGGTGTTGCATCTTCGGACGGGAGATAGGAAATCCCATGTAAATTTTAATGGGGTCAATTATTGGCTTCCCTAATTATTTTAGAGAATAATTCTATTTAGGTTTATTGAAGAGCACTAAAAACTAAAACCCACATTCAAAAGAATAACTTTAGATATTTTTGATTAGCTCGTTTACGAGTTATCGTCGATTTTTTTTTAAATATTTCTCCTTTCTTATGGCCCTGTATGTACTTATGAGCACCAGTCAAGGTAAAAGATAATTGTCAAATGAAGTTGTCATTTCAGAAATTTACCTATTTAGTGCTTTATTATTATTGAAAACTCATTCCTACATCGGAAATTACAAGGTTAATTATAGTATTATTACAATATTCAATAACTTATTAATTTAGGTAGGTACTTTTTATTAAATGACAACTTCATTTGACAGTTATGTTTTACCTTGACTGGTGCTCATAAGTAAATACAGGGCCATAAGAACGGAGAAATATTTAAAAAGAAATCGGCGATAACTCGTAAACGGGCTAATCAAAAATATCTAAAGTTATTCTTTTGAATGTGGGTTTTAGTGCTCTTCAATAAACCTAAATAGAATTATTCTCTAAAATAATTAGGGAAGCCAATAATTGACCCCATTAAAATTTAAATGAGTTTTCCTATGTCCCGCTCGACGATGCAACACCCGGTATATTCTCTCTATACCGTTTTTCAACCAATTTAATTTTTTTTCTGACAAAGACACTTGCACTTACTTATTTAAGAGAAACTACCTGTATATTACATTAATTTCCACTTTTTTATCACTCTGAATGAGCTACAGATTGAGAAAAAAAACGAGTGCCATTGAAGAGACGAAAGCTCAAAGCAAAATCATCTCAGGAGTATTATACAATCAAGTGGGCCAGGCAGGGGAATCACCTCCATATTGAGGGGGATGGCCGAGTCGCAGAGAGGGGGGGGGGATCAATGATGATCGCCCGTTGTTTTGGGTAACAGGTTTCGAGTCAGAAGCCGTGCAAAACTGAGCAGGCCGTGGCTTCTAACGCGCAGTGGGTTGGTACGTCACTAAACATAGCCAAAAGTCTAAAATGTCCTGTAAGGATGTTATTTTTCTTTTAATTCTAAAAGCACAAAGGAACTGCTATTGTGCTTAGGTGGAATAAACAGGATTGATAAACAGATGTCACTGTGAGGCTCTGGATCAACAATTCTTAAAAGCGGTTAAGAAGGATCTACAGAAAAAGTATTTTTGTCCTGATTGGCTGGTATTTCTTCCCACTGTACCTTTTATTCTTTTTGTCTCCCTCTAACACTTTTCTTCCTATTTGGATGGGTAGTCTAATTTATTTCACCCTCTTTTTTTCCTGTATAAGTATTGTTGACGACACTGACTGGTGAAATGTTGGTGGTGGGGGGTGGATAATATAGAGGGGGAAAGAGGGGTAGTCGACCCTTGTTTTGCCAGAAAAAAAAACGGTTTGGAGTATTTTACTTTTAGAAGCTGGTAAATATTTCTGATGTAAAATTATTCGTCCCTTTTAATAATTTGAAATTGTTCTTTTTCACTTCGAAAAATAAATTTCATATTGTTCTTTTTGCGTTAAAATGCGAAATTTACCGAATTTTTCAAATTTACCTTGATTTTTATTGAACTCAAAAAGATATACACATTTTTTTTATTCTAAACTGTGAATTAAAAAAAAAAAGATAAAACCATTTTTACTTAATAAAGGGCATGACCTCCTCTACTGTTCATTACAGCCCTACGTCGTCTCTCCATGCTCCTGATCAGGTTGTCGATCTCTTCTTGAGGTACAGCCTGCCACGCTGCATTCACGGCCCGAACCAGATCCCTACGAGTTTCACGAGGCATACCCATTCTCAAAATTCTTCTTTAGACCGCGTCCCATACGTGCTCGATGGGGTTGAGGTCAGGAGATTGTGCCGGCCAGGGTAAGATGTTTAATTGATGAGCATTGATAAACTCACTTACCACTTGGCTGTATGAGACCGTGCATTGTCATGCATGAGAATAAAGTTTCTCCCAAAATCATTGGCATATGGTAACACGACAGGCTCAAGAATTAAATCACGATATGTGATTCCTGTTAGAAACCTTTCAAGAAAAACGAGATCGGTTTTTCGGCCTAACTGGACTCCTCCCCATACCATAACTGTTCCACCTTGATAAGGGTGCACTTCCTGAACATGATCCAACGGAATAAAATTTACCGGTTCTCTCCATACCCTAAGCCTTCTCGAATCCGGATGAATTCCAAAGCGTGACTCATCCGTGAAGAGAACATTGGCCCATTGTTCATTCGACCACTGAACATGATCTTGAGCCCACAAATATCGTACTTCTCGATTTCCTCTCGTTGTTTGAGCTCTCCAGGGGTGTCTGCTTCTTAAGTTGACCTCTCTTAATCTATTGCGAACAGTGTCAAGACTAACGGTTACATTATGTGTTTCCTGGAGAACTAAACTAAGCTCTGGTGCTGTAAGAGTCGGTCGGCGTCGAGCATTTAATTGTAAAAAATGATCTTGCTGAGGGGTAGTAATGCGATGTCGCACTGTGTCCCTTTCAGCAACATCACCACTTTCACGGTAGTGTGCACTTAATGGCGTGATTTGGGGCATTCCAGTTTCGAGCATACCCATGGCCCTTAGCATTTCGTCTCTGTTAAGATGTCTACGCTCCATAATGTCGTTTAATACTAAACAGAGTTATTTGAATGAATTTTGGCCAGTTATCATAAAAACATAGCCAGTGCAGGTTAAATTCGAACAATTGATGCTAGGTGCTTTTTATACATTTGACAAAAAATGCACAAACACTTCTGCAAATATCCCAAATTTAGAAATAACTAGTGTGACTACTTCGTTTCAATCGAAGTAGAAAGAATCGGCCTACAAATATGTGGTTGTTTATTCAAAACATTTATTTTTAACTTTAATAAAATGATATCCCTAGATTTTTGCCGTGTGTGTACCTTATAATTTTCTTAGTTTGCTATTGAACACACATTCAAGAAGATCATTATGTACTTTGTAATATTTTGTATTGCCTCTTATATGCATACAAAAGGTATTTTGTATATTTATATACTAATTATGCGAACTTTTTGTTTTGATAACCATCAGCATCGATTATAATTAATTAACTGACTTTTACCGCTTACATTCTAAGGTCAGTAGTACCATACGTAATTATTATGTATTTGTTTCTTTTTATGTAAAGTGACTAATGGAGTACCATATGATGAAATAAAAATCTTAGAATACTCTTGAGTAGATGTTTGCTTTGGTATGATTTATTTTTTCTTCTATTGTCTCATCTCTAGAATGCAGAATGAGTGGGACACCCTGTAGCTCTGACCAGAGTGTCTCAAATCAAAATAGGAAAACGCGAGCAAGTATTGTAACGATTTGGTTTCGAAATTCCGTCAAATACAAATGGAATGGTGACCTTGGGTAATCAGAATAATTAAATACTTGGAATTAGTTAATGAATTCGGCAAATAGACGGTACTGTACGTTTTCCTGGTAGGTTGTGACGTAGTGTATCGGTACTATTTGCCAAATTTATAAACAGAGTAAATCGAATGAATAAAATCTTTTTTTTAAATGGGGAATTATTATACTTCAATTTTTTCTTAGGTTTACAGAGCTTCTACAGTACAACTTGTTTTTACACACACATTTTTTTAATAACTTTACCCAACAGCGACTACTTATACAGACATTAGGTACTCACATGTACTTGCGGAAGATCTTCCTGAATCATTTTTTCTTTAAAGTCTGACTTGCTGGTTGATAATTCACTGTTTTATCGTAAAAAAATCGCGATTTATCTAAATGACGTCCTAATGTCACTAATGTCAGTGCTATTTATCATTTAAAAAAAATGCACATCTATATTGCATAGTAACATAAACGCACCCTGGTAATTTATTAATTGGCAACAATGAAAGTAGAACTGGTTGATCCTTTTAAATCAATTATTCTTTAGAGATTGGACATGAAACAGTTCTACTGTTGGATAAAATTTTGTATGGGACTCACGTGTTATAACATATAAGTCATTTGAGAAAATTAATAACTATTATATTAAACAAAATATTATTATATAAGTATATAAATTTATTTTTTTTAAAAAGTGTATATCTAGGTATAAAATGTTTTTTTTGGTAAAATTATATATTTCTAATCATACCACGACTTAAACCTATCAGTAGCCCTTCTCCAACTTTCTAACTCTACAAGTAATTCCGTTTTTCGCGTTTTCTCTTTTGATGGATAAAAAACTTTTTCAGTTTTATCGATTTTGGAAAGTTCTTCTTTGGAATGCCACAGCCCTAGAAAGGAAAACGTATATTTATTTATTACATCACAGTTTTTATTGTTCAGAAAATAATATACATATCTCTAAAGGATCTGTCTTTAAAATTTTCGAAAGGTTCAAGAACCACCCTCTGTGTATTACACAGAGGGGTATCCTATAAGTATACAGATAAAAATCTTGTCCCTAAATTCGTGGTACGAAAATTGTTTTTTATGACGATGTGCAAACGAGTCAAATTTCCTGTGCGCAAAAATAAACTCGCGTAAAATAACAATAAACAGCGTAATAGAGAGATATCGCTAAACCGAATAGCGTGCATGGACGTTAATAAGGCCAGGTGTTATTTCCTTTACGTGAGGTGGTATTAACTCTCTTCATTTATAGTTATCGGATCGGAAAAAATTCTGATCGCGTTGCGTCCGCTATTTAAACTTAACCTAACTTTGAATTTAAAACTTTAAAATTGTTTTGTTTACTAAGTATTTTAAAACTAAAGGGCTAAAGTGCTTATTTCCAGTGCTTTATTGTTCAACGTCTGCCAGTGGGTTTAGGGCAACAAGCAACAAATTCTCTTAGAAGGGCTAAGTCGTCATCTGCTGTAAACCTAAGACTCTTTATAGGTTCTTTAGTATTGGAAGAGGTGGAATCCATATTTTGGGCCATATTTATTTAATTAAAACTAATCCCAGCGACTTAAATATCAAATTACCTAATAAACCTAAAGCAATAATTCAAAACAATTCAAACATAACCTAAAATAAAAGATCTCGCCGGCCGGCTCCGGTTGTCAAATATCTGCATTTAAGCAATTTTTAAACGTTATCAGAGGTTATTTAGAAAGAGCGCTTGGTGTAATTGATCCGCAAATTACGTCAGGCGGTAACGTTATTAGCGGGTGTTGCGTTAAAAATTGACTCGCGCATATCGTAACCATGATAAGGTACGCGTAAATACTGGATGACGCTATTCGGTTTTCCGATATCTCTCTAATAACTGTGCCGATCAGGCGCTGTGCACAATTTTAGAGGCCATAAGTGGGCGTGCTATGTGCGCAAACTAGTCACCTAACTAGTGCGCGATTCCGAAAATTGGAACCACGAAAAACAATCAAGAAAAAACAAAGATTATAATCTGTATAATCTGTGGTATTACTATATATAGTCTGTCCAGTAAAACATTACATAGCTAATACGACAGTGACCAGCTGCTGTCATTCATTTAAAATTCAAAAATACTATGTTTTTCTCTATCCCCTGTCTAAATTATATTGTCTCGCCTTGTTTAGACCTAAATGTATACTAACCACCAGACAATCCAGCCAAAAATGCCACTCCCAAAGTTGACATTTCCGCTGACAGTCTCTTGACAGGTAAATCAGTCAAATCCGCCAACAGCTGACAGATGAAATCGTTTTTTGAAACGCCACCATTTGCACTAAAAAAAATAAAAGCAAAAATATATATTTCATTTATGTGTGTATATACAGGGTGATTTATACCTAATATAGGTGAAGTTTTCTTTCCATTGTGACCTCAGCAAGTCGTACGCTAAAATGGTTTTATAAACTATACTTTCTAGCACTGCCCTGATCATATGTTCTTTCCTGGTCTCCGGTTTGATACCTATGAAGCCACTGGCGGCATTTTCGTTGCTGATTGGTGGCTAAAAATGACATTTAAAAATTTTTAAAACTGTTGAAGCTATAGAGAGAAAAATCATTGGGTGGCTGTTACAAATTTTGAAATACTCTACAGAATTTTGAACATCCTGTATGATTTAAGATTACTAAATTTATAGCAAAGTAAGTACCAGCCACCTAAAGTAAATACCTAATATAATTTTAATTTCGGGACAGTCCTTGTATTTTTATTTTTTTTGAAAAAGGCCGAAAAATATATTTTTTTTATTTATTTAATATCTCTGAAACTATCGAAACATATTTACTCATACCCTAGGATTGTGTAACGTGATCTGAAAGGAAGCCAAAAATATACAGCGTGTTTCATTTATAATAATAAACTGAAGATAACTTAGTTTTCTTCAGTTTTGGAACGGATGTAAGTCTATGAACGAAATTCATTTATTTATTTATTGATTTAATAATTTATCGATTTATTGATTTATCTATTTATCGACTTATTGATTTATCGTTTTATCGGTATATATATTAATTTATCGATTTGTTAATTTATCGATTTATTGATTCATTGATTTAACGAAATATCGATTTATTGATTTAGTGATGTATTAATTTACTGATTTATTGATTTATAAATTTATTCATTTATCAATTTATTTATTCATTGATTTATCGATTTATCTATTTATCTAATTATCTATTTATCTATTTATCGATTTATCGATTTATCGCTGTATCAATTTATTGATTTATCGATTTATCTATTTATCAATTTATCGCTGTATCAATTTATTGATTTTTATTGATTTATCGATTTATCGATTATTATTGATTTATCGATTTATCGATTTATCGATTTATCGCTGTATCAATTTATTAATTTTTATAAAGTTATTATTATTATCGATTATTATTGATTTATCGATTTATCGATTTATCGATTTATCAATTTATCGCTGTATCAATTTATTAATTTTTATAAATTTATCGATTTTTATTGATTTATCAATTATTATGAATTTATCGATTTATCTATTTATCGATTTACCGCTGTATCAATTTATTGATTTATCGATTTATCGATTATTACATATTGATTTATCGATTATTATTGATTTATCGATTTATCGCTGTATCAATTTATTGATTTATCGATTTATCCATTTATCAATTTATCGCTGTATCAATTTATTGATTTTTATTGATTTATCGATTAATCGATTTTTATTGATTTATCGATTTATCGATTATTATTGATTTATCGATTTATCGATTTATCGATTTATCGATTTATCAATTTATCGCTGTATCAATTTATTAATTTTTATAAATTTATCGATTTTTATTGATTTATCGATTATTATTGATTTATCGATTTACCGCTGTATCAATTTATTGATTTATCGATTTATCGATTATTACATATTGATTTATCGTTTTATCGCTGTATCAATTTATTGATTTTAATTGATTTATCGATTTATCGATTTATCGATTTTTATTGATTTATCGATTTATCGATTATTATTGATTTATCGATTTATCGATTTATCGCTGTATCAATTTATTAATTTTTATAAAGTTATTATTATTATCGATTATTATTGATTTATCGATTTATCGATTTATCGATTTATCGATTTATCGATTTATCGATTTATCGATTTATCGATTTATCGATTTATCAATTTATCGCTGTATCAATTTATTAATTTTTATAAATTTATAGCGAAACGCGGTTTTATAGCGAAACGCGGTTTTCAATTTAAGATTAGGAATAATATTTGCAACAAAATTTGTAATAACATCAAAATCAGTCAAAGTCGCAGTTTTTGAGATAAAAAAAATATGACGTCGCCTAGGTCAGTTTTCAAATTATAATTTAAGGGCTCGGGCTGAATTTCTCATTTAAAAAAAGCAATGAAGGGGCTTTTAAAAAAATAAATCCCGATCAAATTCTCAAGTTTTTGTTTATTCTAGGAGCTACAGATGCCGACGTACTATTGCCGGACCCTGTATACTTACCCCTAAGCCACTGAATGCTGGTATAAAGTACACTCCACTGGTATTCTTTACGCTTGTGGGCATTATGTTCAATTCATCGGCAGTTGATATCAAACCTACGATATTTATAATATTATATTTTTCACAATAATTTCACAAATGTATCGCTGTAATTTATACCCTGTATTGTACCTACCAGTAGCTAACATCCATTCTACCAAAGACCCGGCATCAGAACCGGGGATCTCCGTCAAAAACACCAATTCCTCCTTATTTTTCCAACCAACCAGTGGATAAGTACCCTCCGTACCACCTTTAATATTACACCCGGTATTTACATCCAGAAAAACACCAGTACCCATGGTTATCTTCAAGTCGTTCTCCGCAAAACTACATGAACCATACATTGAAGCTGATTGATCAGACATCTACAGAAAAAAACATATTTTATTGTCATTTTCTCTAAAGTTTTAGATAGTCTATAGTACCACAGCACCGATTTTGATAGGAACACCAAAAATATCACTTGAACAGTACCCAAATTCGTAATCATTATCTACGACAGTGGGCAGTATAGATTGGGGAATGTTTAGGTACTTGGGAATAAGGCTCCAGCATAGACTGAAAGGATCGTACATTCCTGTAGCACTGGCATTGGAAATATCTGTGACGTAGGTACGACCACCTGTCAATTTGTACACCAACCAGGTGTCTACGGTGCCGAACATCAGATCATTGCTTGACAGGGCTTTTTGCAGTTCCTCGTTGTTCTGTAGGAGCCACAGAAGACGCAGGGTTACCTAAAAATGCATATATAACATTTTTTGAATATATTAACTCACTCAAAAACCTACATGGGTACTTGTAAATTTCAAATTTCCCACAATATTGAACTTCATTTGTCTGGTTAACAAATGAATAATCTGGCAACCTGTTCGAAGCAACTGAAATTCAGAAAAATATTTTTTAATGTGTTATTTCGAAATTTTTTGAAAACTATATACTTGCCCAAATCTTCCAAGACTTATTGACTTTCTTGATAAACTCCCAAGCTCTTATATCTTTCCATGTGATGAAGTTGTGTAAAGGTTTGCCAGTACTTTTTCTCCACGTGATGAATGTGGCCCTTTGGGTGGCTATTCCCAAGGATTTGATCTGTCTTATGCTTACATTGGCATCTGAAAGTGACAGAGATTTTTTGACCGAGATTTTGATCATTCTTTTACTTATTACTGTTATTAGAGCACTAAAATCAAATAATAATCGGAAATTGTACACTTACCTTTGATAGAATCCTTTATTATGCTTATAGTATTGTCATAGAGTTCGTCTGGGTGTATTTCAACTGATCCAGGGCTGGGATAATACAACTTCACCTAAAAGAAGTTTATTCTAAATTACAATAATATCTCTCTTACCCTCAGTGTACTTTTTTAGCTTGATGAAAAGTGATTCAAAAAATTAAGTGTTCTTAAAGGAACTTGAAGAAGTCGCTAATAAAGATGCTTGTGGATTAGAAGTTTAAGACTTTTATTCTAAATTTGCAAGTGAGGGTTAAAAGCAATTTACTTTAAACAACACATGTGCTATGTTCTAAAATTACATAACTTTTAACGCATGTGCTAAAATGACATTTTAGTTATACATTTTAGAAAAAATGACTGATTTACTTTGACTATGATCTACTTGAAACTATCTGAAACTATGATCCCTTCCCCGACACAAACGGTACATTGTGAAACAGGAAATTGTAGAGAGAAACAAGCTCCATACCATAGGATACAACATTTTAATGAACAGTTCTTTCCATAAAATCAATAAAATGAAAAATTAATATACAGGAATAATATACAGGTACTGATTTCTTTCGAAAATCGACAACTATGAAACTATGAACCCTTCCCGGACACAAACAGTACATTGTGAAACAGGAAATTGTAGATAGAAACAAGCCCTGTAACATAGGATATAACATTTTAATGAGCAGTTCTTTCGATAAAATAAATAAAATGAAAAATATACGAAATATTATACATGTAATGATTTCTTTCGAAAATCGACAACTATGAAAATATGAACCCTTCCTGGACACAAACGGTACATTGTGAGACAGGAAATTGTAGAGAGAAACAAGCCCTATAACATGGGATACAACATTTTAATGAACAGTGCTTTCCATATAATCAATAAAATGAAAATTATACGAAATAATATACATGTACCGATTTCTTTCGAAAATCGACAACTATGAAAATATGAACCCTTCCTGGACAGAAACGGTACATTGTGAGACAGGAAATTGTAGAGAGAAACAAGCCCTATAACACGGGATACAACATTTTAATGAACAGTGCTTTCCATATAATCAATAAAATGAAAATTATACGAAATAATATACATGTAATGATTTCTTTCGAAAATCGATATCTATGAAACTATGAACCCTTCCTGGACACAAACGGTACATTGTAAAACAGGAAATTGTAGAGAGAAACAAGCCCTATAACATAGGATACAACATTCTAATAAACAGTGCTTTCCAGATATCTTGTTCTACTTGATTTTTCAAATTGACTTAAATTAAATTATTATAAATAATTCAATAGAATTTATAAAAATATACCTTGTTGAAAGCACTTCCAATGCAGTCGCCATTTTTATCAATGATCTGACATCTGAGGGTAGTGGTACCAATATCCAGAGCCGCTATATATCCAGTACTGTCTCCTGACATTTTTCTAAATCGCTTTTGTACAGGGGGTTGATGAAACTAAACTAACCTCCAACTTCTGAAAAAAGAAAGTATTTGTTTAATATTTTCTTCAATATATAGAGTGCGCTCAATGTTTTATGACATAAATAAAAAAATATAAATTAAAAGATTCTCAGAAATTTCAACTCTTGTTGAAATTTCAACTTCCGTTGAAGTTGAAGTTTCATGATACATTTTATAATAACCTGAAAAACGAAATCTCAAAGAATTGAAACAAAATCAGAATTATAAAAATACGGTTCTGATATTATTCGCAATTTTCACATATTTTGAGTATAATCTACAAAGTTCATGAGGTCGTATCCATAAAGCAATGTGGCAACTATGCATTATTATATGGACACCAAGTACACAGAGATTTGTAGTACAAAAAAATGGATACTTATTGATTTTTTTTTAATATTTGTTTAATGTGTATTTTAATCAAAGCAGCTTTACTATCATAATTACTTCTTAAATATATGCCATTAGAGTAAGGTAGTTATTGTTAAAATATTACTTACAACGAACAGCTTACCTTGGCTCACTCGACACTAATTTATTTTGATTGTATCGCAGTATTGTAACCGGAAATTTTTGTCAATACTATGCTTGGGGTTTTAGCTATTATTAATATCATTAAAATTGAATGGGTCAGTTATAGGAAAATAACACGCAAACCTGTTGTTATTCGTTGCAAAAATAACAATGAAATATTTTTAAATAAGGTATCTAAAATATTAAAAGAAAATAGTATTTCAAAGAAATGATCTGAAGAACCCTAAAAAAACGTCAGTTTTAGAAAATATGAAAATATTAACTTACCCAGTATACTCCATCTTAATTAAAAAAAATAAAAGTGTATAACAATTACTGAAAACTTCATTTCAAAATGTCAATTGTAATAAATATTTTTTAGCAGGACTAAAAAAGTGAAGCAAAAGCAGAAAATATAATATCATATGTTCTATAATTTGTAACAAAATTTTATTGATATTTAAAAATAATGTTTCCTTGAACTCGGTATTTATTTAAAGACAACATAGAACATTATAACTGTCTGTATTATATTTTGGTTTAAATAATATGTTTATTTTAAATAATTATATGCAAATGAATCACCATTAGAAAGTAGTAAAAAATTTAATCAAATTGAGAAATAGTAAAAATGAAAAGGAAATAAAAATTATATAACAAATTAATAAAATAAAGTTATGACATAAAAATCATGACAAAATTAATTCTCTCTTACTTGTTGAAGCAAAAAATAATAAACTGTTTTTTTAAATATTATTAATATAGTTGCGCACTTTGTTTCAAATAATTAAAACAAAAACCATCTAATTGGATAAATTTTATAATTACGTTTGTAAAAACAACAATAATTATAATTATCTGCTATTGATTATATCTGTAATTTCTATTCAAATACGTAAGTGCGCTAATTTATTTTTATAATCGACGATAAAATATATACAGGGCGATTCTGGAATTTTAAAGTCCTATCTACACCTAGCGCTTTACCTGTCAGTCTTACCTGATCAGTCAACCAATGATACACTGATACACTATTAAGATATTTTTCTTCTATGTCTCCTAATATCTCGGACCTACTGTATATTTTTATTAAATTTATGCACATAGTACTTCGTAAGGAAGTTTGTATTTATATTAAAATCATGTGTTTATTTACCTGTTCGATATAATAAAATCGAACCACCCCGTATATACGCACTTCTGAGGAACTTGTACGCGGCAGGCAATCTGGCAACGCGGATTTTCGAATCTAAATCTCGTGATTGGCCGTCTCATAACAATAACCGATTGTTATTTAATAGAAAAGTTAAAGAAAGTTGCTTGTATAAAATTATTTAACGCTAGCTGGGCTAGTTAGTAGTGAATCGACGATGTTGTAAGTTACACATTTTGTCGCGAACTGGTCATAGATAACGCTACCACACGCTCGATTGTTCATTATATAAATTATTTAGCTTTCTTTTTCATGAGGGTGGGCAGGGACGTATTCAGCTTATTTATTTCCGTAAAAAAATCACATTAAGTTCTATTAAAATGTCTATATTACTATATACCGGGTGTTACATCGACGGACGGGACATAGGAAATCCCATGTAAATTTTAATGGGGTCAATTATTGGCTTCCCTAATTATTTTAGACAATAATTCTATTTAGGTTTATTGACGAGCACTAAAACCCACATTCAAAAAAATAACTTTAGATATTTTTGATTAGCTCGTTTACGAGTTATCGCCGATTTCTTTTTCAATATTTCTCCTTTCTTATGGCCCTGTATTTACTTATGAGCACCGGTCAAGGTAAAAGATAACTGTCAAATCAAGTTGTCATTTCAGAAATTTATCTATTTAGTGTTTTATTATTATTATTAAAAACTCATACCTACATCGAAAATATTAGCCATGAATTACACTACCGAAGGAAAAGTATTGATGATTAAATGGTATTATCAAGGAAATGTTATCAAAAGGTGTCGGACATGTTTGCTGCTCTGTATCCGAATAGACCGATACCTGGAAAATCTACAATCGCAAGGAATATCCAGAGATTTGAGACCAAAGGTACCCTAATCAATAACTGCAGATGTGAAGCAAGGCAGGAACAAAGAGAAGATGCAAGAAATGATACCGACTTGGTAGTTTTATTGTGCGTGGAAGAGAACGATGGAAAGATCAGCACAAGGAAACTTGAGGATGAAATAGGAATAGATCACACTACAGCGTTTCGAATTTTGAAACGACATAACTAGTATTCCTTCAAATATGAAAAGCACCAAGAGCTACGAGATGGGGACGAAATACGGCGGCAGGCGTTTTGTTTTGATATATGATGGAAAGAGCAAACACGGATAGGGAATTTTTAAAAAACATATGTTTCACTGACGAATGCACGTTTACCTTAAATGTTCAAAATTATCGATATTGGAACAAAGAAAACCAACACAGGTTTGTCGAAACAAGGACGCAATATCCACAGAAAGTAAAATATTTGGGCAGGGATGTTCGAACACAATATTATCGGGCCATTATTTCTTACGCGAAATTTAAATGCAGAATATTATTTGGAACTACTCGAAAATCATATTTTACCTGCTTTACATGATGCCGCTAGGAAAAATCAGGAAGTTTGGTACCAAATGGATGGCTGCCTGGCACATAGTACCCCGGCTATTTGGGAATATTTAGACAATAGTTTTAACGGAAACGTTATTGGCCTAAATCATACAGTAAATTGGCTAGCAAGGTCTCCTGATATTTCGCCAAATGATTTCTTTCTCTGGGACCATTTAAAAAACAGGATATACAAGGATAAAAAATACCCAAATCTAGACGAGCTAAAAAATGCTATTTCTGCCGAATGCAATATATTTTCAGTTTACCAACTAGCGAATGTAAGAAGAGAATTTTATGATCGCCTGGGTTATTGTCTAGCAGTCGATGGAGGAATATTGGAACATCTTCTTAAATCCTAAAGTTCTAACAATTTAATAGTACCTAAATTAATAAGTTATTGAATATTGTAATAATACTATAATTAACCTTGTAATTGATTACTTTATTTTACTTTAATTCATATTAATTTGTATTTATAAATACATCTTTAAGATTTCCGATGTAGGAATGAGTTTTCAATAATAATAAAGCACTAAAAAGGTAAATTTCTGAAATGACAACTTCATTTGACAGTTATCTTTTACCTTGACTGGTGCTCATAAGTAAATACAGGGCCATAAGAAAGGAGGAATATTTAAAAAGAAATCGGCGATAACTCGTAAACGCGCTAATCAAAAATATCTAAAGTTATTCTTTTGAATGTGAGTTTTAGTGCTCTTCAATAAACCTAAATAGAATTATTCTCTAAAATAATTAGGGAAGCCAATAATTGACCCCATTAAAATTTACATGGGATTTCCTATGTCCCGTCCGACGATGCAACACCCGGTATAGTAATCGCAAAACATTTTCCGATGCACGTCATCAGACAGGGTGTTTCAGAAATTATGTGCCATCTCTCGTGGGGAGATTCCTCGCGTAAAAGAGATAAGTAAGATTCATTTTTCATATTAATATAGGCCCGATCCTGCTTTTTTTCGTAGCTACAGGGTGTTAAACTCTTAATAATCTTTCAATTTATTATAATTTTCTTCCAAGTGCTTTTAGCGATTTGAATGAAATTTTGAGTTACTTAAAATACTTACCCTTATTCAATAGACACCCTGTATACTCAAATAAATTCCTAGAGAAATAATTTTATACAAAAAAAAAAATAATTAAGAAACCACCTCATATATTTTTTGCATTAATTCATATACACCCTGTACAACTCTGACAGCGTCTAGAAAATCCCCATAGGACACGTCAGTGCGACAACATTCGAGAAAAAAAAAACAAGCAAAATCAGTGCGAAATATGATAAAAAAAAACGGTGTAGCGTCTGCAGAGAGTGCGCGTCCTTTTAAAAATAGTCTCCCCTCTTCCAGACGGACGCGAGCCAGACAAGAATAGCTCGGAGACCTTGCCAGAACACAGCTGTGGACCGAAATTGAGGCTAGTTCGTTCCTACGATGCCCCGGTACCGATAATTGACACATTTGACTTCTCTGGACCAGAAATTACTCAAAAAACGTCCATACAGGCCATAACCAGCCTTTATAAGGTATTTTGAATTATTTCCCGCGCTTTTTTGATGCTCAGAACCCTCTTTTTTGTGAATTTATAGCTCTAACGCTGTTTTTCTTTATTAAAAATGCTTTTCAACCTGGCCTGGACCAGAAATTACTCAAAAAACGTCCATACAGCTCATAACCAACCTTTTTAAGGTATTTTGAATTATTTCCCGCGCTTTTGTGATGCTCAGAAGTTTTTTGTGTGATTTTATAATTCTAACTCTGTTTTTCTCTGTTAAAAAATGCTTTTCAACCTGGCCTGGACCAGAAATTACTCAAAAAACGTCCATACAGCTCATAACCAACCTTTTTAAGGTATTTTGAATTATTTCCCGCGCTTTTTTGATGCTCAGAAGCTTTTTTGTGTGATTTTATAATTCTAACTCTGTTTTTCTCTATTAAAAAATGCTTTTTAACCTGGCCTGGACCAGAAATTACTCAAAAAACGTCCATACAGCTCATAACCAACCTTTTTAAGGTATTTTGAATTATTTCCCGCGCTTTTTTGATGCTCAGAAGCTTTTTTGTGTGATCTTTTAATTCTAACTCTGTTTTTCTCTATTAAAAAATGCTTTACAACCTGGCCTGGATCAGAAATTACTCAAAAAACGTCCATACAGCTCATAACCAACCTTTTTAAGGTATTTTGAATTATTTCCCGCGCTTTTTTGATGCTCAGAAGCTTTTTTGTGTGATTTTTTAATTCTAACTCTGTTTTTCTCTATTAAAAAATGCTTTACAACCTGACCTGGACTAGAAATTACTCAAAAAACGTCCATACAGACCATAACCAGCTGTTTTAAGGTAGTTTGAATTATTTTCCGTGCTTTTTCGATGCTCAGAAGATTTTTTTGAGCTATTTTATAACCCTAACGCTGTTTTCTCTATTAAAAAACACTATTCAACTGGCCTGGACTAGAAATTACTTAAAATAACTCGATATAGAGCTTAAGCATTCTTTTTAAGTTACTTTAAAATATTTCCCGCGCTTTTTTGGCGTTCAAAGGCTCTTTTTGTGTGATTTTAAGGTTCTAATCGTGTCTTTCTATATTAAAAAATACTTTTTAAGTGGTCTTTAACAGAAATTACTTAAAATAAGTCGATAAAAGTCTTGAGCAATCTTTTTAAAGTACTTTAAATGGTTTCCCGCGCTTTTTTGGATGATCAGAAGCTTTTTTGGTGTGATTTTGAAACTCTAGTCTTGTTTTTCTGTATTAAAAAATGCTCTTTTATATCCTTCGGATAGTAATCTCTTTAAAAAAAATCAATACTGGGCCTTAAGAAGTCGTTTAAAGGCACTTAAAATTATTTCCCGCGCTTTTTCGAGGCCTGGAAGTTTATTTTTTATGATTTTTTAAACTCTAATTCTGTTTTTACTTATCTTTTACCAGAAATCTCTCAAAAAACTTCAGTAAAGGCTGTATAAGACTTTTAAAGGTGCTTCAAATAATTTTACGCGCTTTTTCTCTACCTGAAAATTTGTTTTGTATGATTTTGTACACTGTAACAATGTCTATTAAGATATTAATTATCTATTAAGTTTAATATCTTAATCCGTGTCAATTGATAATACAATTCATATACTTATAAGTATTTTTTTTATTTCTGTTTCTAGCAACCACAATATAGTAATCGAGAAAAGTGAGCTAACTAAATATCCAGAACCATGGATCCCGAATCGTTCCTGGACATCGCCAACCAGGTGGTAAAATTGAAAATGTTTCCATATTTTGACATAGCCCACTGTGCCTTGTGTGCACTATCTGTCAGGGAAGATCTAGGAACAGGCAAGTTAATATTTTGCATTAAATTGACACAATTATTTATTTTTTATTTTTAAAGGAGCTCAAGCTTTTTCAAGAAAACACCCACTCTCATGCTGGCTGTCCTACATGCTGGTAGTCTTTGCCGGCGGTATGGTAGCCAATGGGCTACTGGCAGAGCCGATTTTAGCCCCACTCAAAAATACTCCTCAAGTGTTAGTAGCGACAGCAGTTTGGTAAGTTTAATACCATTCGATCGAGAAAAAAAAACGGCGTTAAAGAAGCCTTTAAAACGACAATCATTGATATTTTTTTTATTTTTTCCCGATAGGTATGTTGTTTTCTACAGTCCACTGGATCTGGGCTACAAGCTGGCCAAGTTTCTTCCAGTCAAAATAGTGTTTTCCGCCATGAAAGAGATATACAGGTGCAAAAAAGTATATGACGGAGTTACTCACGCTGCTAAACTATATCCGAACGCTCACTTGATCATGATCATCATTGGAACGCTGAAAGGCAACGGTGCCGGCTTCACCAGGCTCATGGAACGGCTCATCAGAGGCGTTTGGACACCTACAGCTATGGAGTTTATGCAACCCACATTGTAAGTAATAAGTTTTTAACATACACTCTCGTTATACCGTGCTGGCAACTGTTACTTTTGGGTCGGCATTTACATGTGTGGAAGTAAAGCGCATAGGGATCTTATTAAGTCGGAGTGAGAGAAATGCGACCGACCGAGGCGACGGTGTGCTGTTGCGGCGTTGCCGATACGTCTTTTCCTATCAATTAAAGTAAAATCACGATCGCAATACTTTTTTTTTTCTAGAGATAACTAAATAAAATCATTAGACATGTTTCTGAGCATCTGAAATGGAATTATAAGGATATCGTTAGGGTGTCATTTTTTTTATAACGAGAAAACGTCAGTAATCGCGATAATTTCAAAACTCAACTTTTTAACACATAACAGGCCATAACTCAAGAACCACTTTAGATATTGAAACTTGTTTTTATTTTCAAGATCGGATATTTTACAATACGTTTACATAAGAAAAATTCGATAAGGTTGTCTTTTCCATTCAAAAATTGTAAACAATCCATCCGTTTACTTTTAGAGCATAGCAATTTTCAGCAATCGTGTAATTTTTTTATTGATAAAGATTTTCACATACTGTCTACAAAGAAAATACAGCAGAAATATTAACAAAGTTCTTGAAAAAACTACAATCTATTATTTCTAATAGATTTCGAGATATCGATTTTTGAATTCAGAGTTCTAATAGCGCGACCACTATCGAACACCCACTCAATTCCACTTATTTTTACCAAAAACGCAAGTGTTTCTAGCTTGCACTTAAAAAAATTCAAGCTATAGGGAAAATTACAACGACTCGTTAATAAATATCGTGAAGCTGAACGCATGACGTACACCTTTCCCTAGAACTTTAAGTACTGACAGAGGTATTGATTGGGTCGACCGGTCAACTGCGACAAATCTGCTATATCCCCTTCCACGTCTTTTAGTGATGTGCACAGTTTCTCGGTTTATTTCATACGTTTGGCAACGTGTTTACTGTCCTCTCTTTGTTCAGTACATTATAAACGCATTCTACTCTTCTCACATACGGAAATCTCGACCCAAGACTAACCTTTGCCAGCTTTTAGTATTTCGTACATTATACAAATTATACAGATCATACTGTGAATAGTTCTGACTGACAATGAAACCCATTAGCAAGCAACATGGATGTCAACGTTAGTCGGGAACTATTGTGAACTAAAGACCTAGTTCATGGAACTGGAACTAAGGAACTAATTCCTCCCAAGGAACTAGAATTTTCACCTCTAATTTAGTTGGTTGTTTGAAAATTTGTATTTTGTTTCTTTTTCCAGCTACACCAAGGCCTCGCTGGTTGCCTCCATCATCTTTATCCTCGACAAAAAGACCGAACTTATCTCAGCCCCTCACGCCTTGGTCTACTTCGGCATCGTCATCTTCTTCGTCTACTTCAAGCTGTCCTCCATCATCCTGGGCATTCACGACCCCTTCATCCCCTTCGAGAACCTCATGTGCGCCTTGTTCTTCGGCGGCGTTTGGGACAGTTTGGCCAAAATATTCGGCAGGGGCCAGATCAAGGAGGGCGAGTCCAAGGATGTAAAGAAAACAAACTAGGTAAAGTCAATTCTGTATTTTATTTCTAGATCTTAAGGTAAAAGATGGAAATGGCAAAGATAGAACTTGAAACATCCTGTATGCTCATTTTTATTTTAACAAAATGAATATAAAAAAAATATACAGGGTGGTCCGAACTGTATTCCGGAAACTTCGCCAGCATATTCTGCAGATAAAAATAAGTAAAAAAGTTCGTATAAATGAATGTCCTAAAATGATTTGATTCAGAGATACAGGGTGTAGAAGTTTCATTTTTATTTCGATTTTTTCCAAATAATTTTTGAAGTAACGTCAATATTTGGATGAAAATTGATGTCTGGTAGTTTTTTTACATCAGAAATTTGATTTTGATGTCAATATGACCCCTATTTATAGAGGGCGCCACCTACATGTGTTTTAACTGTTATGAAGATTAATAACTTTTCGTCCATACCTGTATAAAGCGACTGAGTAAAAAAATATACATTTCCATGATTTTTTACGTAAAAAAGTCGTAAATGTGTATTTTTTTAATCAGTACTTCAGTAGTTTTATACAGGTACGGACAAAATTTTTTTATCCTTCAAACCAATTAAAAAATATGTAGGTTGCGCCCTCTACAAGTAGGAGTCATATTGACATCAAAATCAAATTTCTGATGTAAAAAAACTGCCACACATCAATCATCCAAATATTGACGTTACTTCAGAAATTATTTAGAAAAAATCGAAATAAAAATGAAACTTCTACACCCTGTATCTCCGAAACTAGGCATTTTAGGACATACATTTATACGAACTTTTTTACTTATTTTTACCTGCAAAATATGCTGGCAAAGTTTCCGGAATACAGTTTGGATCACCCTGTATATTTTTAAAAAAATGTTAAATACATTATCATACTATGTTTCAGAAAGAAGAACACATATCGTGATGACACTGAATGGTAGATGTGATGAAGTGCGGATCATCAGATTTATCATTCCACAAAGCCTTGAATAATTTCAACTTGTGAAGACTCAAATATTGTACCAAATTTTACCAAATGTTTATAATAAATTGTTATTCGAAAACCTTCAAAAGATTTTCTTTTATACATTTTCAAATATTTCTAACGCCAGTCCAACGAGTAAACAAAAAAAAACGTCGTCATAGACGGCTGAGAAATGACGACGACAATTTTGGCGTCAAGTCAAGAAAAAAGTTTTTGCAAGTAGATTCTTTATATTTACTGTTAATTTTTCACACTTTTTAGTCGTAACGATTTCGCCAAAATTATCATCAATAATTGTCATTCCTCGGCCGTCTATGACGACGTTTTTTTTCGATCACACGTTACAATTGGCCTGTGAATTAAAATGACAGATACAATCGTCACTGTCATATTATCTCCTCCCGCTGGACGGACTTGAGTTCAATATTTAACAATACACTAAAACACTTCAGTACAGTAACACAGAAATTAGTCCATCTAAAACCTACACCACAGTACACTAAAAACACTAGTTTTCTTAATCAGTGTTCAAGACTAGACACACCCCCTGCAACACCCAGTGGCTAATGTGCTCTGTAGTCCTCAAGTCCGCTTCGAACACTAGTCCAACACCCATGGCGTTCCTTCGTTGTGACGTAGTATACACTGGTGTCTTTAGAGTGTTCTGTAGTTTGAGCCTAAACGACTCTATGGGTACCACGCCCAACACTGGCAGTTTTTCAATCAGGATTTTAGGGGTGGATCTCTTCAAACATTGATTTTCCAGGTCCCATGCGGCTCCTTCCAGGTACAGTCCGTGTACCAAGCAGTTGCCCTGCGAATAAAAATAAAAATAAAGTTAATTGTTCTATTTGACCAGTTTTAGTAATTTTTTTAAAGCATTTTGTAGCTAAATTACATGTCTTTTTGTGTATGTCTGCAAACTATTAGTGGTGAAAGTTTGAAACACTCTGTGGAATAGTTTGTGTCTGTCTTTCCTGAGTTATAACCTCATCATACAGTCTCAGACCTTTGACATAAGCTAGTATCTGTATATTTTATATTGTATTACATTCGATAGAACATTACATTAAATTAAGTACATCATTTTACTGGATATGATTATCATTTTGTTATAATTTTCTTTATATAGCCTTCTGAGCATAACTCTCTTATTTCTGATTATTATGTATTACATAGAATATCTGAGACCAAAAAGCTTGGTATAACATTTTACATTAAATTATAAACATCATTTTATTGGAGATGGTTATCATTTTGTTATAATTTTCTTCATATAGGTACCCTTCTGTAAAAAAAATAACAGAACGTCAACGGTTTTCGTAGACGTACTTGTAAAAGAAATTACAGTGTTCTTGAATAGTTATTATAGTGACAAACTTGAATTATTCAGTTAAAAAGCAGCAAAAAAAGTTATATAATTTAGCTACAATTTGCTTAAACATTCATAAAAACGGTTAGTGTATACTGTAAAATATGTAACACAAACTTTGTTAAAAAGAAAACAAAATTAAAAAAAAATAAACTTACAGCTGGAGGTCGTAGTATGACGTCATTCGCGTCCTGGTACTCCGTGACGAATGTATACAGGGTGGACCGATCCAGAGGCCAATTGTGAAGCCGACAAGCTATCTGTACCAAAGCAGCTAAATAGGTTTCTGGAATGTGCAGTCCAGAGATCCAGAGCACCGTCGGTTCCCCTGTTGTCGACTGTGAAAATTGAAAATAATCAAATTTCAGTTATTTTTTATACAAGACGATAAAATATTCTTTTCCATAGCGAGTTACGTTTTAAAAAATACTCAGCAATTATTATTTCAATGAATTCATTACGCGTAGAAAAAATATTGAGCTGAGTTGGCTTGGTTTCTATGTAACTTGACAAATAAATAAAGCTGTCTCTTTAGTTGTCAGTTTAGTGAGTCAATATTTTTTAATTCTCTTTCGCGAAAACAGTTGCTAAGGAAAAAAATAATAAAAAAGATAGTTGAATAAGCTAAAAATGATAATAAATAATGATGAATAGTTATTTACCCATGAAAAATACTGCTGTTGCCTAGCTTCAAAATGCTCCATCCATCCTCCCAAACTTTTGCACGTGGCTGGAGCCAGCTTCCTCCAGTTATTCGGTAACTGACCGTTAAACAAGGAGTAGGCCACGTTGTCCAAAACACTGTCCATGCCAATTTCGCCAGACAACGCCTTCTTCAGCTGGATCAACGATCTCTTCATTGTGGCAATCAACCGGTTGAATCGTTCCAATTCTTGCAGCAACACCACGATGGTGGGCGACATCATGCGTTGAAAATATCGCCTTACGCGCCAAATTTCGTATTCTTCCGGTATTTTTCGCAGAATATCGTTGGCCACGCCTTCGATGAACTCTTCTCTGCTAATTCCTTTTTCAGATGTAGCTGAAATTTTTTTTTCTTATTTATGGTGTCAAATAAAATTAACTATCAAAAAAGACAATTGGAGAATGACAATCGATGATAATTTTGACTGTAACTTTACCCTAGATCATAATATACTAAGGGCTGGCAAAGGTTAGTCTTGGGTCGAGATTTTCGTATGTAAGAAGAGTACAATGCGTTTATAATGTACTGAACAAAGAGAGGACAGTAAACACGTTGCCAAACGTATGAAATAAACCGAGAAACTGTGCACATCGCTAAGAGACATGGAAGGGGATATAATCAATACCTCTGTCAGTACTTAAAGTTCTAGGGAAAGGTGTACGTCATGCGTTCAGCTTCACGATTTAATTACGTCTCGTGATATTTGATTAACGAGTCGTTGTAATTTTCCCTATAGCTTGAATTTTTTTAAGTGCAAGCTAAAAACACTTGCATTTTTGGTAAAAATAAGTGGAATCGAGTGGGTGTTCGATAGTGGTCGCGCTATTAGAACTCTAAATTCAAAAATCGATATCTCGAAATCTATTAGAAATAATAGATTGTAGTTTTTTCAAGAACTTTGTTAATATTTCTGCTGTATTTTCTTTGTAGACAGTATGTGAAAATCTTTATCAATAAAAAATTACACGATTGCTGAAAATTGCTATGCTCTAAAAGTAAATGGATGGATTGTTTACAATTTTTGAATGCAAAAAACAATCTTATCGAATTTTCTTATGTAAACATATTGTAAAATATCCGAACTTGAAAATAAAAAAAAGTTTCAATATCTAAAGTGGTTGTTCAGTTATGGCCTGTTACGTGTTAAAAATTTGAGTTTTGAAATTATCGCGATTACTGACGTTTTTTCGTTATAAAAAATCATTTCGATGACAGATTTACTCGGTATGTAATAGAATACGGTTCGAGCTCCAATTGTTATTATTGTTATTAATGTTTTTTGAGTACCTCTATAGAAACGTTAAACTAAATATTTGTATAGGTATATAACTTTAATTAATATACATAGATTGTGCCAGGATTACCTATACCTTTGAATTTTTTTTTAGTTTTCGAGTTAAATTATATTAGGGAAATTACAATGACAACTAGCGGCATCGCTGCGGATTCATCTTTACTACGAAATTGTCGAAATCTGTAGGAATTACGCTGACATTTGACGTTTTTTCATTTGTTTTCATTCAATTTATATTTGACAGCGCGCGGTTGTGAGTTTTCTGCGGTAGTTGAAAGTTTTTGTAGCTTTTGAACAACTTTCTAATAATTATATTAGTGTTTATTGCAAAGAAAACTATTTAAAGTAGTTTTTAACTATCTACGATGGTTCGCCAGTGCATAGTTTGTAAAAAGGTGGACTATTCTAACCCGGAATTGATATTTCGACGGTAAGTGTCATTACATGCATTACATCAGCATACAGTAGCATAATATCTAGATAATTTTAGTTATAAGTAGATTATTACAAAAATACGTATATTTTCTTATTTGTTGAAATGACTAGAAAGTGTTTGATGTGTGGAAGTTCTAATATAAAGGTCCCCGAATTGAATTATCATTTCATAGGCAAATAAAGTATTCAGTTGTTCTTTTATTTATATTAAACCCTTTGAATAAGAAGACTAAGGAAGGAGCATATCAAAAATCTTAGGTACACCGCGATGGGCCTCAAATATGGCCGACTTAAATTCCGGTTTATCAGTGTCGTTCTAATTTTATTTAAAAAATGTAAAACTATGATGTAGGGTAGACGTGGGCTAGACTCAATAATTTGTTGTTTTATTTTACGTTGTGAATAAATGTTGGTAGTTATTAAAATTGTTATAAAAATATATAATTGTAATAAAAATAGATAAGTTATAATAAGTATTTATTAACACAAACATCCGATACGCTACTGAAGCAGGTAAGTCAAATTAACATATCTAAATTCTTTGACATTAAATCTTTGACAAGTAATAAATAAAAGCTAAAATGCAAGAAAAATATATAATTTAGTTAATTTAAGTGAATTTCATAAATGATCGGTTTACTACACGTATGTATATTATACCTATAGTCACTTACTAGCGAAAAGTTGTTCCATTATTTCACTCAATTTTTGCCGAGATCTACCGCACGCTACACAACCAACTATTTTAGAGTCTTTTTCGATAAATGCGATAGTGTCACTGTTAATTTAAGTTCTGCCACAATTTCCATCTAGATTTACTACCTTTATACAACTATCAGTAGTAGAATAAATAATAAATAACATAAAATAAGCTCCGTAAAGATTGACAAATCCACAAAATTTCAAATCAAATTCAAATGTGTCAAATGAATCGTCAAACAGAACTGTCAAGGATCCCCACCCTAGAGAGCTTTTATGGTGGCTTTTCCGCCCACCATGCATGAATACATGGATAGCATTATGCTCCTTCCTTAGTCTTCTTATTCAAACATTAAACCACATGCATACTTTCTGGCTAAATTTCCTAACAATATTGATATTCGTACGGAGTGGCTAAATGTATTTTTTATATAGGTAATTTAATTTTTGTGACGGTAAACATTCAATTTATTGTTCAAATATAAGCATTTTACAAATTAATGTTCAAATTTGGCGCGCGGACGATAGGTCCTCGACAAAGATGGATAGAGTAGAAGCACCGCGTGTGCAACAAAAAAAGAAGATAAATGGAAGTCGTTGATATGTTTGCGACAGTTTCCATAGTGATTTACTTAAATCCACGTAAGTATATATGATGTAGGATAACTTTACAAATAAAATGACAGCGATTTTCATTTCCAAGCCATCTCCGACGGCTTTTTTTTCGATCATATTGTACTTACAAACTTGTGGTTGGAGTTCAATCAATAAATTCCACATTTCTTTGGTGGCTTGCGTGTAGTACCCAATTTCAGCGTTTGGATGAAGACCAAAAACTTCTGGACTATTGGTCAAAGGCAGTTCATCAATGAAATCTAAAAAAATTTTTTTTTCAAAAAAAAAAAGTAAAAATAACGATTTTTTTTTACTTATGTAGTCATCTTTAATCCCATCCTCAGGTATGACATAATCGACAGTCGTGTCATGGTAAAAATGAAAAGGCTGAAACGTATCAAAGAGGAAATCTCCCATATACTCGTCCATATACGTTTTGACGATCCTCCTGTCATAGTCGTCAATAACCCTTCCCCCATACATCACTTCACCAATCAAGTACTTCAAACTGTTCCAAGGTATACGCACGTCTTTAGCTTTGAAAGCCTTCATCAAGTACGTGTCCAGAATCTGCACGCAAACATTGAAATCTGACTCGTTGAAATCGTAACAAATGTTCCATCCAATCTTGTCGTACTTCCTTCGTTCTTGGACCACTGCGTGGAAAAAGGCGAGCACATACACCAACGCCTTAAAAGAAGGATGCGGGCAAGAGTCCAACAGTTGAGGCCTCATTTTAAAGTAGGTGTTTCTCAAGTTCAACTTCAACCCGTTAGGGGGCTCCGTCACGACTTTCAAAGATCTCTGCAAGATACCAATAGGAAAACTATCCACTGGATCTGTGGTAAGCCAGAGGCGAAAATCTGGATGAGGTTTGCTGATTTTCTCGATATGTTTTTCCAAGCGTTTGACAAAAGGTATGAGCAGGTGACAGTTCTGGTACATCAACCACTGACCTCTGGATATGGCGGTGTCCAGTAGTTGAAGAGCGCTGGTTTCCTGGCCCTGACCTAGAGAAAGGTATCGGAATTTACCTCCACCAAATCCAGACCTTAAAAGAACAGAAAAATTTAATAAAATGACATCAAATTCAAATTAGCTATTTAGGTAACAAGTTGCGAAATGAATGTGTTCTTTGCAACGAATTTCATACAAAGTTTTGTGAAAAAATGAGTGATTGACGAGTCTTTGGATATTCAACAAGCCGCTGAACCTGCGCTATCCACGTTAGTGCCCGACAAGTCGAAAAACTTATACGAGACCACCTACAACAACTTTGAAACTTGGGTCAAAGAAAAACATGTTGAGAATTTCACAGAAAAAGGTATTGCTAGCCTATTTCCTGAAGTTATCCACTACCTTAAAGCCGTCAACTCTGTGTAGTAAATATTCGATGCTCAGCACCATGATTTACCTGAACAGAAACGTAGATATTAGCAAATTCACAAACCTTATTGCATTTTTAAAAAGAAAAGCTTTAAAGCGACATGGAGGTTGGCGATCAAGCTCGGTTGCTAAAGGTTACATTGAAAATTCAATTGAACAGAAAACCGAAATAGCAAAAAGAATCATGGGACAGAAAGATATGCCAAATAAGAAATTAAAAGCAGTTTACGTAGAAGCAGAAGCTACTGTATATATTCTAAAGGACTGTTCGATCGCGTCAAATCGCCGCTGTCGTAGTCGCCGTGGAATGCTACGTCACGCGCTGACCAGCGCTCCACAGTGCGGAGATGGTTATTCTAGCGGGACAAAATCTCAAGAGCAATGTTTGGGACTTAAAATCTAAGACCGTAGCAAATGGTCTAATATATAGCAACTATATGGTTAAATTTATTTATTTATTAACAACCTAATTTATTAATTAATAAATACAAGATAATAAAACTATGATATTATTCGTACATGACACACAAAAACCGTATTGTAAACTATTGCCAAATACATAAAATTATGATATCAAAAAACTCTTTAGCAGTTTTTTTTAATTAATTTGTAATCTTGTGACACCCTCTATAATTTATTTTAAAAAAATATATTTTATTTTGAAAATAATAAATAAGATAGATATTTTAATTTTAACACTCGGTAATTGTAAATTCATATATAGTAAGTATCTAAGACAATTTTTTAAACTCAGTGCCTTTTGATGGAGTTGTTTTGTTTTTATACTATCCGATTTAAATGAATTTTTTTGGGCATTCACCTGTGATTACTGTGACTACCTGTGTTGGTAACTATTGGTAACTCAAAAGATCTACATCATTCAATATATCGATATTTGAAAAAAAAGTGAAAGTTTGATATCCGCAGAACAAAGGCACGAAGGATTTTAACAAATAATATACGTACAATAGAAAAGTACATACCTTTGGCAATCTTCAACATAATTTGGCTTTCTAATAAAATGTATAAGCACTTGTAAATATTTTGTTTTCGTATGATCTCTGCCTTGCTGAGCAGAAAACGACCAAATTTGGTTGATAAAAATGTATCGAAATACAAAGAATATTCATGCAATTTTGTATCAATTGGAATGTCTACTATTTATTCTTATCAGTACACAATTTTTGGCTTATTTCTAACCAAACGCTTTTGTCCCGCTAAATTTATCTTCCAGCGCACTGTGCGCTCGTCCGTCAAATGTAAAAATAACTGTCGCTGTCTAAAACCTTTAGCGCCGACTTCAACTCGGTCAGTAGACGACGTAAAAAAACTGACAGTGCAGGAAGATAGGAATCGAACTATCCTTATCTCTATAGTATCCTTGACTAGTGCCTACAAGAATGTCATTTCGAATCTCAAATAAATATCAAAAACTATCAATTTCGAAACGCTTTTACAAAAAACAAGATTTACGTACCTGTCAGCTAACTTCATCAATTCAGCAGTGGGATCAGATCCAGGGCTTAAAATGAACACCACCGGAGTAGTCGGTGAGCACTGCTCATAGATATTCTCCATGCTCACCACAGGCGGCATAATATACTCTTCGCCCATTATTTCCGTGATATAATCACCAACGGCCCTGTAAACCCTGTCGATCCTGAAACATCTCAGCAACAACAGCCTCTGAAACGGTTTCAAGCTTTGCTTGTAACCAAACGGAAACTCTACCGTCTCTGGCGTGTCCAGGTCGTACCATTCAGCCCAAATTTCAACGTTCTTCTCAAGTTGGTCGGGTAGCTTCTCAAATAACAACGGAAAATCTGTAGAGAGCTTTAAAATGTTCTCCCAGTTTTGTGAAGCTAGCCATGTAGCCGGGCATTCTCTTGTTGACTTCTCCAAACTTACATTTCCCTTTATAAAAAAATCTAATTCCGCTTGAGAAACAATTCCAGCGTTTTGTTCCAGTTTTACAGTCATTTGAAACGAAAACAACAACTTGTGCTTCTCAAAGATCCCCGTGCATCCATAATCGTACACATTCTGTGTCAAAGTCGTTATTATGTTGTACAGACGTCTATCTAGGATGGTATGAGGCAGGGCTTTCCTCAGGGAGTAAGCAAAGACCTCCAAATATGACGCCAAAGAGTACTGGTACATTGCATTAACTCCAGCCATGTCAGACAGCACAAAAAACAATATTGCGCCTCTCTTAGCAACTGGCCTGTACACATCTCTGAGTTTATCGATATCTTTCGAGGTTTGTGCGGCAAGTTCCAGTTTCTCCATCACTTCTGTAGCTTTGCTTTTGGTATTTTCCAAGGTAGTTACTAATTCCACGTTATCAAGCATATTGCCTGTGGTTGTAGAGAGCTCACGCAGAAGGGAGTCCTCCAAGTCTTGCAACAAGTTTTTATTTACAAAGGTCTCAGCTATCAAGGTTTCCCTCTGTTCTTCTAGGTCTGAACGCTCGTTTCTCACCACCACGCTGAGCAGTTGGTCTTCTAAGCCAGACAGTGTTACGGCATAGTTTATTACTATTGCAGAAGCATACACTGATGGATTGAACAAAGGGTTTGAGAACTTGGTCGTCATGTAGAGTCTAAAGTTCGGATCCCAATCAACCTCCTTGTCGCCCAAAATCACAAAAACCCTTCCCGCGACAGTTTTGAGGTTCTTTTGAATTACGTTTTCGACTACAGGATCGATATAATCATCAACATCCTGAAACAAAACCGGAGCACCGTACTTAATCGACATATCCAAGTGCTTCAAGAAATCTGAATCGTTAAAACTCAAAACCTTCATGTTGTTCTTCTCTTCCCGCTTTCTAACCCAGTTCAAAGCTTGCTGCTGGGGATCGATGCACAGCGGGAATCTGGAACCTCTCATAGTCAAAATCCCGTTTTGTATAGACAGTTCGTCGGGAGGAAGTGACTCAGAAACCCACTGACTCACTTGAACATCAGTGGTTAGGTTTCTTTCCAGCCTAAACGGTAGGGTTAGAGGAATTTTCCTGTCCTCAAGATCCTGTAACCAGTCACGGTAAACCATATCTCTCCTGAATTCAAAGGTAAAAGGACCACAATATGCCAGAAACCCGGAACAAAGAAGACAGTTCCCTATCAATCGTTCCTTTTCGAGGTGGAGCTGATTCAAATCTTCAGTCCAACGGTTCTTTTCAGAACTCAACCCAGAAATAAGCTTGTCGGCAGCTTCCAAGCGCCTCATCATTATATCGGTCTCTTCCTGAAGCTCCTGGCGTCGTTTCATGGCATCCGCGTATTTCTGGTTCAGTTTATCCAAATCAGCCTCTAATTTCGCAATTTCTGAATACAGTTTTTCTAGATTACGTTTAGCAGCGTTATAGTCAGCCTGCAACTGCTCTACCCTCTCTTTCTTTGGCTTGACTTCACGATAGACTGCACAGTAACCCAAGACGGCTTGCACGAACTTCAGCAATCCGTACCCGGCTTTGCTGATACTGGCCATTTCTTCGAGCTTCGAGGATTTCTTCATGTGAGCTTTACAAGCTTTCTGCTGCGCCTGAGTGATCGCATCGCAGTTCATTTCTTGTAGATTTCTCAGAAAATTCGCTTCTGCCATCATACCTTTGGCAGATTTCCAGGAAACTTCCTTGTAGCCTCTTAGAATAACGACGCATTCGCAAACGACCTGGACAGCTTCTGGAGGAGTGGCAAACGAGCGGATTTCAGTGATATCCGATTTATCGAGGTCTGAAAGGGCTAGTCGAGCTCTTTCTAAGGCTGGTAAAGCTGAAGCCAGAGCTTCCTCTGCGTCGGCCTGTTCAATACTAATTATTCTAGCTTGTTCTTCGATTTCAGTACTTTTAAACGAAGCCACGTCCTTTTTCTCGGTAGCTATCTTAGTTCCCGCCTCGATTTCAGCAAGCATTTCCTCACATTCAGCTGTAGCCTTACCGACAACAATTTTCTGCTTCTCTAGCTTGGCATTTAAAATAGCCAATTCACCGCTGGCCTCTTCGATTTTGGTGAGTCCGCTCTTTAATCTGTCACATTGAGCGTTAATGTAGTTTCCCTTTTCTTCCAACAGCTTCAAATAACTCATTATAAAATCGAGGTAATGTTTAGGGGTAACGTAGTTCTTTCGGCGCAAAACTAGAAGAAATCTTTCGGTGAAATCGCTGAGAGACTGATGAACGTGGACTACGTGCTCTATAATCGTATCGCGGTATTCTTCAGGAATCTTCGGGTTTTCTTTGAGGAAAACTGAAGCTACGGCAAACAAAGCTTGTAAAGGCCACGGAAACAACCAATCGATGGTACTGTTATTAACCAATCCCGGAAAATTCCTGCATCGTTTACTAAGAACGTCGCTGGTAGGTGACATAGACAGCACTACATGTAAATTATTGATGCACTGGTTAATGAAATACTGCCAGACGCTATCTTTTCCAGCACCGTATCCAGCAGCTGATGCAGCAGGTCTGCATGTACCGATAATTTGTTCTTTGTCATCATCAGTGAACAATGAAGGGACGTATCCAATCATAAGAATATTGTTGATAAACTCCAGAAAACCCTCTTCGACAATTTGGGCAGCAGTGAAATAGAACACTGTAGTTTTTTTCTCGATACCCAGCTGGTTATAGAGTTTCTTCAAGTCTTCTTTGAACATAGTCTCGTTGTAGCCTCGGCACAAAGTGATAGAGAACACTTCACAATCGGCAGTGAAGGCAGCCAGTTTTGTGAGGCTACTTTTACCGCTACCTCCCACACCCACCAACATAACGTGGCCTCTTTCCAATCGCAAACCTCTGTGAACTCGGGTCAAGTGTTCTAGAGCGTCATTGAACAGTACGATGCTGAGTTTTTCCCTTTTCTCGTTGTACAGTTCGATGATTTCCTGGAACAGGAAGTATATAGCGTCATAGTCTAGTAGGTCTTCGTAGGCTCGAGGTTCTCCTTCGTTTGTAGCGTTACGGTAGTCTCCAAACAGAATGGGATCTCTCATGGCGTACTCCAAAATGTCAACTGATTCTTCCTCTACTTCTTCTTCTGGAGGCTGTTCGACAAAAACAAAATCATCGTCGTCTACATCCGGCTGGACTATTTGAGGCTTTTCTTTTTTAGGAAAGTATTTTTTTATTTGCTCTATCAGCTCCCCTTTGACAAACTTTTGATCTTCCGTATTGATCAAGCGGTCACAAAACACCCTCATGAACTCGTTTCTCCAAACCCTAATCAGCTGATGAAGAGCGGTAAAGAATTTGATAGTTATCTGCAATAATCCCGCAGTCACTCTGGATAAATCACGCATGTTGAAGATGTAATGAAACTTGCTCGGTGTGGGAGGTAGTTGAACGATCAAGCTGTTGTACAGATTTAACGTCATGGTCATCAAAATTGGAGCTACCTGAAGTTCCTCATTGAAAATAGATAAGTGCCCTGCCAGAATTGAGGAGTATATGTGATGCAAGGTTGAAGTATTGGGGAATACCAGGTTCATGACGGTAAACATCGAGATAAATCGGGGGTCTACTTCGTTTCTGCCTCCTCCAGCCACGCCCATCGCGGCAAAATACGAAATGTCCCTCAAAAACTTCCAGTTCAAATCTTTTCCACGATCGTACATACCACCACGTTCAAATAACAGTTTCAGCAAAGCTATAGGTTGCTGAGTACCGTAATCATCAACTTGAGGCATGTTCATGTCGTCTATAAAGCATATCAACTTCTTTCCCATAGGTGGACCGTAAATTTCCTTGGTTCTTTTCTCAACAGACGATTCCAAATTCCTTTGAACGTCCATGGAAGAAGTTCTCGACGAGAAATTAATGTTCAATATTATAAAAACATCGTGGTCCAAGTGTCTCAGAAAATTTTGTATGATCGCAGTCTTGGAAGTTCCAGTTTCACCCACCAAAACCACCGGTCTTTTGATTTTGTTCATCAATTCCAGGATGTAAGTCACGCGGACTGTATCGATTGTCGGTACCAAGATTTGAGAGAACTTCTGGTTCCTTTCGTGGACGTATCCCGGTACCAACCACTCCCAAGCCACCCAAACTCTCTGTTTTATATCCAAAAAGTAATCGTAGAGCAGGGGAAACGTACTGGGTGTATGACTTAGGTCACACATCTCTTCGATAGTATCGGCAACTTGTAGAAGTCCCATTTGATTCTTCATGTAGTCGTCAAATTCCCAGCGACAAGAATCAACCAAAGCAGCACCAATAGAATTATATATAGCGGTAACAAAGACAGCTTTAATAAGATCCAAGTCAGCTGATTCTTCGGGATCTCTAGTATCTTCCTCAGGTTGAGGATAGATAGCGTCGATCATACATCCCAGTTGCGTGATCATGTTCAAGCCCGTTTGAAGAATCACAGTCTTCAAAGGCGTCACCTGTCTATTCCCTAACGTTCCTTCCATAACGTAGGCCATCAAATCCGGTACTATCACGTTATAGTAATCGCCGAAAGCTTCTCTTTCAGGCGGATGTTTCCGGGTATTCACCCATCGATCCCAATAGGGTTGGTAACCGAGATTTTTTGGATCGACATAGACCATACCAGCCCTAGATACGGTAGCCGGAGAAGCATACTGCAAGTCCCCAACTTCAAAAAGCAACGCGCATACGGGAACCTGAAGTCTGATCCTTTCTCCGTTGGCTAGAGTCAATAGTTTATTGTCGTCCATGACAGAGTTCATGTTTTCGATCCATAGAGCATCCACATCGCCGTCAAACAATATGTAACGCCTTTCCTGTTTTTCTGTGGGCCTGTTCATGTCTCTGAAGATGTTTGACAGTAATCCATCGGTCCAGTCTCTAGTCAACGGGTCCAGGATCCCGTATAGCTCAATTACCGAGCAAGCCTTGGGGTTTAGAGTGTATATTTTCGTAGGCAACCCTAAAATGGTCTGAGCTCTGGCTAGAGCGTTTATAACTACAGTCTTTCCACCTCCTGTAGGCCCTACGACCATGGTGGAATGCCTGGTCATCATTGTTTCGTATAATTGAACCACTTTATCCACCTGATAAGGCAGCACAATGTACCTATTTTTCTCCAAGGCTTCTTCTACAGCTGCATTAAAGTCTGGATACCCGACTCTGGGACAGTCCATCCCTGGGAACAAGTCTCTAATCAGTCCCAAAAATAACGGTACATCCTCGTACACAAATTTGGGGTGGTTCATATCTCTGAGAGCTCGCATAAGAACCAGAGCTTCTTTAATGTCTGGGGAAGCTCGTTTAAGCACCCCGGCCATTCTGAGTACAGCGTTTAAAGCTCTCAAGCCCCAGTCATAGTGCGATTGTTTGGAAAGCTGTTCCATTGCCAGCTTGTACAACACAGTCATTTTCTTAGCCAAAACTTTAGCCTCCAAGAAACCGTCAGAGAACAACGAAATCAGGCAGATCATCTCCAAGTCCGGCACAATACACACCACAGGTCTAAATAAAGCTTTTACCGATTCAGGTAGTTCAGTCCTGCCAGCGTAACCGGGGTTCATAGTGATAAAGATCCCTACTTTCGAATCTAGGTTGATTTCGACTCCTTCAAAGGTGAATCGTTCCAGTTTCATCATCAGGGCTGACCTGATCGTTTGTAACTGAGTTGAAATAACCGATAAAACTGATATGTCGATGCGGTTGAACTCATCAAAGCAACCCCAAGCGCCGCACTGTGCTAGACCGGCCAATGTCATGCCGATAGCTTTGTAATCCATGCCTTCCCCGCAATTTGTCACAATGCACAACAGAGCCATAGCTTTAGCCAGGTCTTTGGTTGTTTCGGTTTTGCCTGTACCGGCAGGTCCGGCAGGAGCGCCTCCCATATGCATGATCAGAGCTTGGGTGATGGTCAAGTAGATTCGGTCAGTCAAGGGAGTTATAACTAAACGACCGTTCAGTCCCATGTATTCATATCCATACTCAAACGAACCGGTACACTGCGTCACCCAGAGATTATCTAAATGATTCACCCAGTAAAATCTTAGTTGACTTTCCCACTCGAACTCGTGAGCGTCCATTACGCTGTCCCTCACAAAGTTCTCTACTATATCCCTCGCGTGGACTTCTATGATCGCAATTGTTCGGAATTTGGTTCTGTCGTTCGCTGTCAAATCTGCTCGTACTGTGATTACAATCTCATCCAGTTGCCCGTTCAGTTGGTTCAAGTATTCCTTCATGGCTCTTTTGTTTCCCTTCTTGATTTTGTTGAATACGTTTTCAACCTCCGCCGTCCACCACACTTGGCTGCCCGCCAAGCAAACCATTCCTTGGTAGTCCAACATCCACTGAGTTCGAGGTCGTCTAACTTTACCATAGTAATATATAGCGCTCTTTGTTATAAACCTGTTCGATCTACGCATCTCATTTAAGATGTCGTTCATCCAGTCTTCGACTTTACCGTCGATGATCACTACGTTTCTGAATTCCATCACTTCACCTTCACCGGAAATCATCGCAGAGGCTATCACACGGTCGTTGCTGTCCGTAGTGAACCTTAGAGACTTGATATTATCAAACATTTTGATCATGTGCTCTTGGACGACGTTATGGTCGCTGCTGCCGAGGATAGAGAGCAATTCTTCGGTGGAAATGAAGTAAAATCTCGGAAAACGCCGTCTTTTCGAATCCAGATAGTCATTGAGAGATTTTTGGCACCGGTCCAGACCTGCTCCGAGATTTTTGAACTCGTCCAAGCGTCCTGGAAACGTGCAAACGTCCAAAACGATGGGTTTCTTCACGGTTTCCAGCATAACCTTCTTAAAAGCCTTGTCGATGTCGTCAAACTTCTTGGCTTCGTCGGGGAGTTGAGCTCTGATGTCACCACCAACGAATATACCCTCCAGGTACAACCATTTCCGCTGGACGGATAACCATTCGTCAATCACTTCACCAATCAGAGCTAGAGTCTTCTCCCATTTCTGTACCTGCGCAAGAAAAGGTCCAACAAATTGGGAACCGGCCATACTTTGCAGATTCATGGAATTATCTTCTAGAATTTGCATGATATCTTCAGTGGGTCCGATTATATGTCCCCTATCCTCGTTACCCTTCATATGTTTCACCACGATAAACGATATGGTCTTCCAGATTTCCGATATCTCCCAAACACCTCGCTCTATGGCTAATTCCTTGATCGCATTGTTGATGATGCCTTCGGCAATCTCCTGGAATCGATGAAGCTCCATGGCAAACATGTTATCCAGCGTAAAACGATCTGGCGACATGTCAAAAACTATCCCTGTCTTCTCCATGAGCTGTTTCCAATGTCGTTCTCTCAGAGCTTCGTTTTTCAACGCCACCATGAGGGGGACAGAGTTTCTAAACTGTTTCATCTTCAATTCTAAGGTTAAACCGACAGGCATCGATCTAATTTCCTTAGAGATTTTTCGGAATTCCTTCAAGAACCCGTCGATTCCGTCTAGCAAGGCTTGGGGGTTCAGATTAGCCCACAGCGTTTTTCCCCAGAGTTCCCTAGCATGTTTCTGAGCTCTGTAGACTTTGTAGAGCACGTCCATTCCATCGAAATCGGTTTTCGCCTTGATATAGTCCGAATAGTCCGCTAGGGGAATGTCAAAAAGCATCTCGGCGGTCATCAAGTCGCTTCTTCGAATTTCCAATTGTTCAAACTCGATTCTATATTCCTCCATCAGCTTCAAACCGGTATCCAGGTCTTCTCCGACGGCTCCAGGACCCTCTTTATCAAATCTTTCCAGGAACTGACGTAACACTTCCATAAAATCGCCGATTTCCTTGAGGGTGAGTCCGGCAAAACGCTCCTTGGTTCCCTCCAGCGTCTGTTCCCGATACAATCCGGAAAGTAACAGAGATTTCCAGTCTTTTTCCAGCCGAAAGGCCAGGGCTTGGTGTTCGGGGTCGTACTCGATCTCGTGCTGCTTCAACATGGAGTATACCTCCTGAAACCGTTTGAAATCCAGCTCAGCTTGGATATTTCGCTTGCGGATCATAGCGATCGCCACCATGATGGCTTTGAACCGGTCCAGACCCTTTATATTGAGTTTGACAGTGGCGCGGAGGTCTTCGATGTCTTCCTTCATCCTCAACATCTGCTGGTAGGTGCTGGCGTCGAGGAGCTGGCCCAAGGTATCCTTCCACTCGCGACAGTGTTGAGCTATAAAGTTCAGGAGGGGTCTAAGATTAACCCTCACACTCCCTAAATCGACATAGTCCCGATATTTGATCATATTTTCGGCGATTTCCTTGTAAAACATGAATTTTTCGTCGTAGGTTTCCAGTTTGATGCAGGTCGCCATAAATTTCTCGCAGGTGGTTTCTTTATCGAACGTCCACAGCATCTTGTAGCGCTTCCATCTTTGCAGGTACTTGTGCACGGTGGTGATAGTTTTGTGGGCGCTTTCTTGCAACTTTTGCACGGCATCGTTGATGTCGGGTACCTTGATAACGTCGTCGAAAAACGAGTAGAGGTACTCTTCTTTCGCGCCGTACTGCACGGGGTGGCACAGCAAACAAGTCTCGAGCATCCAGCGTGGGAATGCGTGCAGTCTCTCCACGAATTCGCCGACGGTTTTCACGACTATGTTGAAGATTTCTGTCGCTGTGGGTCTCAACACGACTTCCGGAGTTATCACCAAGGCGTCCACTTGAAACAGAAGTTCTTTGCTTTCAATCTTGCTGGCAAACGTCTCCAAGTTGTTTATGGTCATGCTTATGAGGGCTTTGTAGATCTCCACCTCCCAATATTCGTAATAGTGTCTCATTTGTGGCGATTTTCCTGTGTTGGTGTTCAACACAATCATCTCGAGCTTGATCAAAATCGGGCCAATCGATCGATAAACTTTCACCATGTTGGTCAAGTTTTCGGCGCGTCTAGTGTTGATCTCAGCAAAGAATTCCTTGCAAGGCAATCTAGTGTCGCAAACTTTAACCGGTATAAAGTCAAACAAGTTTGCCGTGGCCAACTGTTTGATCCTTTTGTGTATGTCTGTCTCAATGTGGCCGATATGCTCGTATAAGGTTTTCAAGGCCGTGATCATGTTGATGCAATCTACCGTATAGTCCTGGATGCTCAAAGAGGACCATTTGATTCTGGAAAGGCCTTGTTGGATGTAAAGTTCGACTTCTTGTAGTTTTTCTTTCAAAAAAGTTGTCTGCAAATGAAAGGAGATAAAACGAGATAAAAGACAGATTCTTCTGTATAATATTGTAAGCGCAAAACATTTTCCGATGCACGTCATAAATCATATCGACTTTGACAGTAAAGTCTATAAACCTGTCTAAATGAAATGTTGGCAAAAATGGTTAAATATAGAGCAAATGATTGTAACAGATATTTTATTTAGATTAAAGCTGCAAAAATCAGTTTAAACCGAATTTTATTATCGCTATGTTGGTCACATTGCGCCGTGTTCAGCAAGGTTGTCGTTTATTATTTGACAATTATCCTAGTGTCAGTCATTATTTTGTATAATATTCATCTCCTAAATCCATCACAATCTGGCAGCGCTGTCGCCATCCCCTGTCGCTCAAAGTTGATGACGTGCATCGGAAATTGTTTTGCGATTACCATACCTGCGGAGGTGTCAGTCTATCCACGATGTCGTTGTACATCTTGAGCATTTTTATGACGGCATTAACGTCTTTTTGGACTTTTTCCTTGCGCATGGCCACCAAGCGGATGCTTTCGGGTAGGGTGAACTTCAAAAGTTCAAACATTTCGACGCTCTTGAAGAACTTCCACAGGGAGTCGTCAAAGTTGAGTTCGAACTTCAGTCCAAAGTCCGACATGATGTTGGGTCCCATTATTTCGTGCCAAGTCAGGTTTTTTTGAGTGTGGATCTTCTCGGTGAGTGTTTGGACGGAATAACTCGACACTGAAGCTCTTATTGGTATTTTTCCAGCTGGAAAAAAATATAGTAGCGCTGCTGTAAAAAATGTCAAGTTGAAAAAAGTGAAACTTTGATGTGCCACGACTTTATGAACGACCCTGTATACTTAAATTTATTACCCGCTAATAGATATTTATAAACCCTATAACTTTCATATTCAACTTTTTGTGGTACCTCCTATATTTTACCCAATAATCGACCGTTTCCATACATATAAGCGACCCTATATTTATAATGAATTTATTTTTGTTTTCTAAAATATTTCGATTAAAAGAAAATATGATTTGGTACGACCTATACTTACATTTTGTACCGACTCCTCTGCCAGGAGTAGGAGTAGACAAAGCCGACTGGGTACTCTTGGTTTGGGATTCCGCCGGATTGGGTCCAGATCCCCTGATCGGCTTGAAGTACTTCTTCCTGGACAAATCAGACAGCTTCAATATCTCCATCTGCATCACCTTCTCAGACATCTGCGCGTAAGCCTCCATCCACTCCTCCAATTTAGCTGAAATTTATACAATCGGTACCGTTTTAGAAAAAATCGAATATTTTTTTGAGGAAAAAATCAACCTTCTTCATAGGCCCTCAATTCCTTGGCAAGTTTCAGATAAGCACCAAAAGACTCCTCCCTCAAAGGCGAGTCCATCAACTCCGTAACGGGCAAAAACTTCAAAATCGGCCTCTTCAGCTTGTAAAACAACAGGCGCACCCAGTAGATGGCGCCACCGTGCATCTGGTTGTCCTTGTTCAGGATTGGATGCCTCTTGTTTCTCTATTAAATCCAACGAATGAGGAAATCGCATGTAAATTTTAAGGGTATTGTTTATTGACCAGTATACCATCACTGGTAATGTCAATGACTGTAAATGTTTGATCATATTGTATAGTCTGTCCAACAAAAATGGGAGGATCGTTGACAGCAACAGTTGTGTTAATAATTTGTCGAAATTTTCCCTGTGTCGTTGGACAAACTATACAGAGCGTTGAAAAAATATTTACGGTAAAGGTATCATCCACCGCCAAAACTTCTCTGATATACTGGTCCAAAATCACGTCAAACTTCTGCATCAACTTGTTCTGTATGGTTTGCCGTGTTTCCAAGTGTTTGAACTTGAGCATCATGTCCAGGGCGCTTTCGGAAGACCTTTAAAAAACCATTCAAAATAATTCTAGTTTCCTATTCGATTCTGTTGGTCGTACCTAATCATCTTAAAAGTCTGATCGATGAAATTGGCGCCCTCCAAGTCCAGTTTTCGCACTTCCTTGTCGCAATTGGCCAAGACAGCGTCCCAATTCTCCTTGCAGTTCGAATCGAAAATGTCAAAGTCGATGTTTTCAATGTTTAGGACCAGTTTGTCAACGCGTTTCGCCACGTTGTCAATGGCCTGGGGATCGCTAACGATCGACCTCAGTTCAGGACCGAACGTGTTTTTGAAATGCCCGACAGTCTGGAAACAAGTAGATATACAGGGTTTCCCCAATATTCCGTAGATATGTATATAACGTCCTTACTAATATTATAAACGCGAAAGTTTGTATAGTAATCGCAAAACATTTTCCGATACACGTCATCAATCATGTCGACATTGACACTAAAGTCTATAAACCTGCAAAATAAAACACGAAATCACCACAATACACCAAAACACTTTTACTTTTACACTGGACGCGCGTTTCGCTAACCATGTTAGCATCATCAGCAGATGATTATAAACTATATATAACTATAAAGTTAGTGTTTTGTTGTATTGTGGTGATTTAATGTTTTATTTTGCTGTGTAACACCAAAGGTTCCAACCCTCAACTGTAATCTATAAACCTGACTAAATGAAATTTTGGCTAAAATGTTTAAATTTGTTGTATAATTTAGGATACCGAGCAACTCTTCATTTTACTTTATATAGAGCAAATGATTGCAACAGATATTTTATTTAGATTAAAGCTGCAAAAATTAGTTTAAACCGAATTTTATTATCGCTATGTTGGTCACATTACGTCGTGTTCAGCAAAGTTGTCGTTTATTATTTGACAATTATCCTAGTGTCAGTCATTATTTTGTATAATATGCATCTCCTAAATCCATTACAATCTGGCAGCGCTGCCGCCCTCGCTTGTCACTCAAAGTTGATGACGTGCATCGAAAATTGATTTTGCGATTACCATATGGATGTTTGTTAGTCATTCACGCAAAAACTACCGAATGGATTTTAATGAAACTTTACAATAATATAGTTCATACATCAGAATAACACATAGGCCGATAATTTCTAAAGATATCTATCCATAATATAACATATAACAATAATGTTGAAAAATAACACAGGGTTCGGTTCAAAAGTTCTGTCAAACTGTCAAACGACTATCTTTATTCGTAGATTATCAATTATTACAACTATAGACACATATGTAATAGGTGCTTTCAAATATTACGCACTAATTCAATGTCCACGAAATATTGGACATCCTGTATTTAATAGAGATCTATTGTGTATCTACTATTGGAAATGAAATTCTAATAGGCACTAATCAAGAAATACCGGTAATAAAATAAAAACGCGTCCAGTAGGCTTGGAAAGACGATCCATAATATTCGCTTTTCATTTCAAAGCCATCTCTGACGCCGTTTTTTTTTATTAAAAACGTTAACAAAATACAAATAAATAATAGAAAATAGAATCTTACCGTGGCAAATTGGTAGATGTCCCTGCACACTTTAGCCATGTAATCTGAAGCTGCAAAAAGCTTATTCTTGTCAAACTCCCACCTCTGGCCCTTCTCAGAGTCCTCGATTTTCTGTCTGGTAGCCATATAGGACGACTTCCAGGTGTCCAACATCTCGGCAGCGCTCTTAGTGATCCTCTTAAGGTCGTTTAACGGTTTCCTAAATCAAATCGATTAAATACATATATAGTATAACTCGCAAGAGATCTGGCTCCCGTTACCTAAAAATATAGTTGCTGTCCAAAACGCCGCGCACTTTCGACAACAGACACCACACGATCCTCTCCATAAACGGCACCATCACCTCGTCAGTGTTGTAGTACCTCGACAGTACCCAAATCAAGTGTAGACCTTCCATCAGGTCCGGGATGCAGTACTTGACCTTTTCAAAGTCGTTACTGTTCGACACCAGCTAAAGAAAAAAATGTCAAAAGTAGAAAAAGACCCTCTCGATCACTTGAAAACTAGATAGAAGAGATATGGTGACGTCATCACGGCAAACAACATGAACTAATCTCAGACACACCCTAAAACTCATATTTGACAAATAACGATGACGTAACGATGAACAATGGCTGAACAGTCTTTAGGAGTTTTAATATAGATCTTTGAATAAAAGAAGACTAAGGAAGGAGCATAATACTATCCATGTATTCATGCATGGTGGGCGGAAAAAGGACTCTAGGGTGGGGATCCTTGACAGTTCTGTTTGACGATTCATTTGACACATTTGAATTTGATTTGAAATTTTGTGGATTTGTCAGTCTTTACGGAGCTTATTTTATGTTATTTATTATTTATTCCACTACTGATAGTTGTATAAAGGTAGTAAATCTAGATGGAAATTGTGGCAGAACTTAAATTAACAGTGACACTATCGCGATTTATCGAAAAAGACTCTAAAATAGTTGGTTGTGTAGCGTGCGGTAGATCTCGGCAAAAATCGAGTGAAATAATGGAACAACTTTTCGCTAGTAAGTGGCTGTATAATGTACATACGTGTAGTAAACCGATCATTTATGAAATTCACTTAAATTAACTAATTCTATATTTTTTCTTGCATTTTTGCTTTTATTTACTACTTGTCAAAGATTAGATATCAAACAATTTAGATACGTCAATTTGACTTACCTGCTTCAGTAGCGTATCGGATGTTTGTGTTAATAAAAAATTATTATAACTTATCTATTTTTATTAGAATTATATATTTTTGTAACAATTTTAATAACTACCAATATTTATTCACAACGTAAAATAAAACAACATATTATTGAGTCTACCCCACGTCTATCCTACATCATAGTTTTACATTTTTTAAATAAAATTAGAACGGCACTGATAAACCGGAATTTAAGTCGGCCATACTTGATGTCCATCGCGGTGGATCTAAGATTTTTGATATGCTCCTTCCTTAGTCTTCTTATTCAAAGAATATAGATTAACAAAAACTTTTCAATAAAGATTCTTAAAATAGTTATCCCCATTTTTCTCTTTTAAGAGATACCAATAATACAATCAAATACTACGGCCAGCTAGAAGATATTAGTAGGCCTCTTGATGCCGATGTCCTATATAGGCTATACAAGAGACAAAACAAACGTAAAATATTTCGTTTGGAACAAAATCACAAAGACACTAAAAACTACCGTCAAATCACTACTAATGGTGTTATTTGACTTATAATGATGACGTAACGTTGTAACATGGTTGAACAGTCTTTATATAGAGCTTTTCTACTAGTGGTACCTTTAAATGTCTTCTGATGGTGAAGAGGAACTGCACGTTGTCCCTAGCTTCGGCATAGTACCTCCTTAGTTCGTTCTGGTAGTGGATAAAGGCCTCCACCACAAGGGACTTGGCCTTTTCCAGGATATCCGTGATCCTGACCAGGGAGGGTTTCTTCAGTTGTTCCACGATGGAACTGAAGGCCGCTTCTCGTTCGTGCCAGTAGTCGAACTCTGGCAAAGGCCCGTTTCCTATAGGAACCTGTCAAAAAATCGTACTATTCAAATATTCTGTCAACAGAGACCAATATTCTTGGACACACAGTACAGTAGTTTTATTTTATTTTGTCCCATTTTTAACCGACTATAATTCGTTTGTTTTTGGAGATGGAACATTCATTAAAAAATTAAACTGTACAGGGTGGCGCCTCTCATACACGGAGGCTCCAAGGAGAACGACAGTTTGTATTGAAATGAAAATTTGTGAGCACATATGTAGGTTAATTCTTAATAAGGAAGGATTTTGAGCATCTAGCTAATTTTTATCACAAAATTATAGGTTTATATCTAGTTTTAATTCTCTCATAATTAAATTATGTTTTAAAGGTGTATCTTTTTATTAACGTTGAGTATTTTACTCTAAAATCTTTAATTTTTGTTAAATTAACAAAAGATATATCACACAGCCACCTAGATTTTTTCAAATAATTGAGATCTAATGACGCAAAATCATAAAAATTAAAATATCTAGGAAAGTCTTTGTCTGAGGGGTAGGCAACCTTAATAATATTTTAAAGATATAAAAATTCCCCATTGAACACCGAGAAAATATACTGGGTGTTCCATTTAAAATAAAGGAGTAACTTGCTTTTAAAAGTGACTAGTGTTCCATATTAATTTTCTCTCACCCTGTATAACTTTTCGGGTCAAATTTCAATTTGGTTTAACATACAATGGTTACTGTAATTAAATATCAGGCTATACAAGGTCAACTAAAATTTAGGTAGCTGTTATCGAAATTTAAAATTTACTCTTCATTTTCACAAAATGTGAAATATGTCGAAATCCTTAGAGTTTAGGTGTATGCTTCTTTAATAAAACTCACCTTTATTTTCTTCCTAGAATCCGAAAATCAATTAATATATAGGGTGTTCCGTTAGAAAAAACACAACTTTGATGTGTAACTTTTTTTGGGGACACCCTGTATAATTCTATATATTTTTATAAAATGCTTTCAGCTAATTTATATACGCTGCCAAAATTTAATTTCGATATAAACTACCGTTCTCCTTGGAGCTTCCGCGGCGTACGATAGGCGCCCTGTACAAACTATTTCCTGTACGTACTTTGGCCAGATAGCTCTCTATGATTTTGATAATGTGCCTCTCCCAGCCCATGACAACCTCCTCAAATTTCTGGATCACTTCTTCGTCTTGAACCAGTTCCTCGTCTTTGCGATCGGACTTCAAAATGTCCGACACGTCCGCCATGGGCAGATCTATATCGTCTTCTATATGTTCGCACACCCTGTATATAATTTTTGTCAGTGTAGTAACCCTACATCATATACCGGGTGTTGCATCGTCGAGCGGGACATAGGAAATCCCATGTAAATTTTAATGGGGTCAATTATTCTCTTCCCTAATTATTTTAGAGAATAATTATTCTATTTAGGTTTATTGAAGAGCACTAAAACCCACATTCAAAAGAATAACTTTAGATATTTTTGATTAGCCCGTTTACGAGTTATCGCCGATTTCTTTTTAAATATTTCTCCATTCTTATGGCCCTGTATTTACTTATGAGCACCAGTCAAGGTAAAAGATAACTGTCAAATGAAGTTGAATCAGAAATTTGTCTATTTAGTGCTTTATTATTATTATTAAAAACTCATACCTACATCGAAAATATTAGCCATGAATTACACTACCGAAGAAAAAGTATTGATGATTAAATGGTATTATCAAGGAACTAGTTATCAAAAGGTGTCGGACATGTTTGCTGCTCTGTATCCGAATAGAGCGATACCTGGAAAATGTACAATCGCAAGGAATATCCAGAGATTTGAGACCAAAGGTACCCTAATAAATAACTGCAGATGTGAAGCAAGGCAGGAACAAAGAGAAGATGCAAGAAATGATACCGACTTGGAAGTTTTATTGTGCCTGGAAGAGAACGATGGAAAGATCAGCACAAGGAAACTTGAGGATGAAATAGGAATAGATCACACTACAGCGTTTCGAATTTTGAAACGACATAACTACTATTCCTTCAAATATGAAATATAAAATAATAAAGCACAATTAGGTAAATTTCTGAAATGACAACTTCATTTGACAGTTATCTTTTACTTTGACTGGTGCTCATAAGTAAATACAGGGCCATAAGAAAGGAGAAATATTTAAAAAGAAATCGTCGATAACTCGTAAACGAGCTAATCAAAAATATCTAAAGTTATTCTGTTGAATGTGGGTTTTAGTGCTCTTCAATAAACCTAAATAGAATTATTCTCTAAAATAATTAGGGAAGCCAATAATAATTGATCCCATTAAAATTTACATGGGATTTCCATCAGGGTTCGGAAGCAGTTAATTAAGACGTAATTTACCTGATTAACTACGTGTAGTTTTTCTTCAAAAACTACGTCTTTTCCCGTTCATTAACTACATGAAAACTACGTTAATAAACTATGTATTGATATTATGAATAGTTTTCCTTTGTATGAGGTGTAATAGAAATAATATGATGTAAATATTATATTTAAAGCCATATTTCTTCTGTTTTCTTAAATACATTATGTGTTTTTAAAGCTTCAACTTATTATAACCTCACCTCAAACCTTTGATATTTGAAAGTTACATACATAGGTTACATAAACTACACCCTCTACATAAACTACATTAACTACATGTAATGTAGTTTATGTAGTTTTTAAAACCCTGTTTCCTATGTCCCGCTCGACGATGCAACACCCGGTATATGATCTAGGGTATGAATACAATTAAAAAATATAGCGTAAAATAATTAGAGTACCGTCACGAACAGCCAGTGCCGTAGTTGCGGGGCTGCGATATGCTACCAAAGTGGCAAAATTTAGTCAAAATTTGCAAAACCGGCTTACCACTGTACGTTGGACGTGAAGCCGACCAATTCCCCGAGCAATTCGTCCTTGATGGGCATCTTGGAGGCACCCTCCTCCTCCCTCTGGGTCAGCGCATCAAAGTCGGCCGTGCTGCTCAACGCGCTGCTCGACAGTATAGTCAACCTCTTGGTTTTCTCCTGCCGAACCGACGTCTTCCTGTTCACGTCCGCGTCCGACAACTTCTTCTTCGGATCAGCAAAAGTGTACTGAACCAGAGGCACCATCAGCTAAAAACCGTGTTTTTCTTATGATAAATCAACTGAGCGAAAAAATATACACCAGTGAATCACCCTGTAGGTGTGGTAGAATTTCTAAATTATGAGCTACCATTATTATTTATTATCCGCATAATTTTTTTTTTAAAGATTGGGATAAAAATAAGTATGAAATATAAACGATACCGATTAAATTTTCAGTGACGTCATTGAGTGACGTATTCGGCTGAATAACTGGGATTTAAATTTCCCGCTGGGGATTCCGGTGGTAGCTCTGCTGTAAAAATGTCAAATTGTCGCATTTATTTATTTGTTTCCTGACACTGTCGTTGGTTTTTGACACTTTAGTTTTGTATTACGCGAGTTTTTCGTTTAAATGAATTGTGTTGTGATTCTTTAAGCTTAAAAATGTTTACTATAGTCTGTAAAACGAATAACTTTGAATTTGACAGTTCCCGCGGGCTTTTCGAGTGTTAATTTTATTAGATTAGCAACTTGCTGCCATGCTGACGCAATGCCGTCTCTAATAGAACAGCCTCGGAGCGAGATTTATGACGTCACGCTAGTTAGATACTACGGATTAATAAATATGTTGTAGAATACATGGAAACCATAATTATTCCTCGTATTTGTGGTTTGTATTTTAGAAATGATATAGTTTACATGAAATATACATAATATACAGTTAATAAATACAATATATATACATACTTACCTATTTCTAGTAATAAATACTTTGGCAGATAAAACTATGAACCATACAAATGCAGCAAATGTTTTACAATATGGCTGAAATCGTACTCCATAGTCAATGTAGATAGTTTTTGTGTTAAGAATAATAATTTAAAAAAATATATGGTCATCTTTTGACAAGTTTATATTAGTTTATTAATTGCAGTAAACATTATAATATATAAATAAATTTTGTGAATGCAAATAATAATACATCACTATTATTAGATATTGAATGTTTTTTGTTAAATTAGATCGATTTTCAAACCCCAAAATTTAAAATATATTTTACGTTTTACCCATTATCTTATGTACCACCTATTCATTATTTGTATATTGTAAAACATTTGCTGCATTTGTATGGTTCATAGTTTATTTGCCAAAGTATTTATTACTATAAATAGGTATATATTATATTTTATTTATTAACTGTATATTATGTATATTTCATGTAAACTATATCATTTCTAAAATACAAACCACAAATACGAGGAATAATTATGGTTTCCATGAATACGAGGAACATATTTATTAATCCGTAGTATCTAACTAGCGTGACGTCATAAATCTCGGTCCGTGGCTGTTCTATTAGAGACGGCATTGGTCTAATATTTAGAAATGTCAAAAGCTGATGACATTTTACTTTTGTCAATTATGACATTTCGTGTTGATTTTTGCAAGAAGAGGAAGAACAGTCACTTGTTTTATTATTTTCCTTTTCTATTTCACGAAAGTAAAAAGAGTTACCTATCTGATTCGTTCAGGCACTCAATTTAAAGAAAATCAGTAACTTTTTTGACAGAGGGATTTTATATTTGCCATGTTGTTAAAAAATAACGGTCAAAATTCAAAGTTATTCATTTTATAGACTATAGCAGACCTTGCAGTCGAACATTGTTCTTTCTAGGACCTCTGATAGTGCGAAGTGTACAAGATAGCTTAATGACCGTTGCAAAAAAACCTTATTAGAATATTTTGAAAGGAAAGGCGGTAGTAATGGCCCTTTAAGTCCCTTAAGTGCTGTTAAAAAGGTGAGTTTTGTTGGCGTAAATAATAACTGTTTATTTATTTATAATTAATTTATTTTCGTTTAAAAGAAAATATGTAAAGGTAGGCAACGCTGTGCCTGCCAAGCTTAATCACGCGACTAAAAATTTATTTGGTACGACCTATATATAAGGAGCAGACTTTGTAGATGTCCATTTTGTCCATTTTTTTGAATTTTGACAAACATAGAAAAACTGCAAGGCTTTTTGCAAGAAACTTACCGAAAAAAATTGGATAAAAAATCATAAAAATAGTACACCTACATGTGAAAAATCAAGTTTGGATATCTAAAAAAAATTGAAAAAAGCTGTTGAGTGTCCTGTGACGACAACAAACAGCAATATGTCCTAACCTAACCAACTGAAACACCCTGTAACCACGTAAAACTGCGAGAAAACTATTTCCACTTTGTATATGATTATTTCGAACCTCTCTGGTGACGAACGACAGATTCTGGATGACGTTCTCGCCGAGGACTCCCACAATAAAGTAGGAGGGCATTTCGATGTTGGCGTCCTCCATGCTGTCGAAATTGGGGATTCCCACCTCGGTCTTCCGAAACAGGTAGACCAATCGCTGGTTCCTGGCTTCCTCGGCTATGGAGCCGAAGCTCCCGTTCATCGTGTAGTCCACTACCAGTTCTTGAATTATTTTCTGTAAAAAAACGATATCATATACTTATTTTAAAAATACTTTAAAAATAAAATATATAAAAAATACTTACAGGCACATAAATGATTTCTTCTGGTTCCTCCTCCGGTGGTAATTCTTCTTCAACTGTAAAAAAAACATTTTATATCATTTTTTCTGAAAAAATTAAATATAAATCATCATCTACCTTCATGCTTCTTGCCTTTTTTCTTCCCACCCTTGCCTTTCTCCTTCTTTCCTTTCTTCTTCTTCTTCGTTTTGCCATCGTCCTCAACGTCAGAGACTTCGACGTCGGTGACTTCGGCCGAAGGCAACGTAGAGGCTTCGGTTTCGGTCATGGGCGACTCCGAGACCGATTCGGGGTTCCCAGGAGGTACTTCATGAGGTACGGCTTCGGGCTGTGCCTCTTGGGTACTCCCCGGTTGCTCCTGATCGTGTGGAGTATCTTCCTGGCGTTCCGAGGCAGGTTCCGTCACGTCTTCTGTCCCTTTTGGACTGTCTAGAATGCGTTAAAAATTAAATTAAATCTATGGTTGATATCTCTCATAATTTTTCGAATGTATTATTGTTTTTTCTAATAAAACAAGTACCTTCAGGGGCAGGTGAAGTAGGGGGAGTCTTCTTCCCCTTCTTGGTACCTTTTTTCTGTTGCCCTTTGCCGCCTTTTTTCTTCTTTTGCTTCTCTTCAACTTCAACAACTTCCTCTACTACTGGTTCTTTCTTGACTACAATCATCAACTTATTAATAATGTAATAATTAGACCAAATCAGTCTTTTATTTATACGTCTCTATAAATTATTTTTGAAACATATAAAGCAAGTTTCAAAAATATCTCGATTTTTTTTTGTCTAAAAAATCTAAAACACGTGTTTTTTTTTTTGCTAGAATTAAACAAAACAAAGTTGATCTAGCCAATAACAGTTCGTAAAGCAATCAATAATAAGATCACTGTTCTGTTTGCCCTGATGTGACGTCAAATACAGTTTTATGTTGGTTACACGACTTTCACTAAATCACAGTGTCTACGCACCTAATGGTCTAAGTTTTTTTTTTTAATTAAATTTTGTTAGTTTTTGACATTATAAACTTAATTAAATTTTAAAAACGATACAATTTTTTGGCAACTCTTTGTATCTTTAATATGTCAACCAATGTAACGAATCCTGCCAATAAGATTGCTGTTCTTTTTGCCCTGATATGACGTCAAATATAGCTTTATGTTGGCTACATGATTTTCAGAAATTCACAGTGTCTACGTACTTGATAGTCTAAGTTTTTTTTAATTATTTTTTTTAGTATGGGCATAGGTATTATAAGCTTATTAACTTTTTTGATAACTTAATAGAAAAATACAATTTATTATCAACTTTTTGGCGGGAACTGCACATACTTTGTTGATTTATTAAAAATCGAATTAAAATATTATATTATGAATTGACTATGAATAAATAATTATTAATGTTCAATATATCTATCTAATTTAGTAACTTCTCTTCATTCTTTACTAATAAATCATGAAACAAAAGAAGAATTCTGATCTTTTGCCCTCGTGTGACGTCAAATACAGATTTAGTATGTTGGTTACAAGATTTTCACAAATTTAAATGTCTAGATATTCGATGGTCTAAGTTTTTAAAATGTAAATTTTCTCAATCATTTTATAAGCTCGCACTACGTTTAACATTATTTTAGTAAAGTGTTGTATGCAGTAAGTTTGAATATGATTAGTTTAAATTATTTAAAAAAAAATAAAATGCGTTAAAAATAAAAGACTGTGATTAGCGTTACCTTAGCAACCTCTAAATTAGTCTTATTTTTTTAAAGCAAAATTTAAAGTGCGTATATTTATCCAAGGTAATAAAATTAAAATTTTCTAGGTTTTAAAAAAATAATTAGTGTCCAAAAATAACTATATGGCCTACCGATTTCAGGGACAATAATTTCCTTTTCGACCAGCTTTTCGTAAGAGGTCCTGTGCACGAAAAAGAACCTCTTGTTGTCGGGCGACAATTCCTGATCCAAAACATCGTCCTCGAGGTACGACGATAGCCCGTAGTCCAGCTCGTCTGTATTGGCCACCATGTCCTCGAAGTACTGCCCCGAATTCAGTCCCAAAAATTTTGTCACCGTATTTTTGATCCATTCCCGCCGAAAATCAGTACCCATTTTGTATTAGAAAACAAACAAAAATAAATAAAACCGCTTAAAAAGTAAAAGAAAGTGTTTCAGTTCACGCGAAAAGAAGCAAAAAAAAAGAAAAACTTGTTTACTAAACAAGCCTACTGAAAAATAACCCATATCCATGGTAACGAATTTAAATTCGAATTATTTTCAGTCCGGTCCTGTGCATTTTCTTTTTTCACCAATAAAATCAATGCACTTTGGTGTATGTTTAGTTGCCTATCCCTTTTTTGACACTAATGACAACTTCAGCTTCTCCTGTCACAAGTTACAATGACGTCTGCTGGTTTGAAGAAGTTTTTCCAAAATATTCAATAATTTCCTTAAAAAAACAGTGAATTTTCGGGGAATTTTTTGAAAAATGGCTACTCCCGACGAGAAGGAACTGTTGAAAAGTGAGGTGGAACGTTTAACTCGCGAACTAGACCAGGCCAGCAGCGAAAAAGTCCAGTCTGCCCAATACGGACTCGTTCTTCTCTCCGAAAAGAAGGAACTTGAACAAAAATGCGAGGAATTCGAGTCCTTGTACGAAAATACCAAGCACGAACTACATATAACTCAAGAGGTGAGCGTTTTTGGCAATTTTTTCAGTAATTAATCTAAATTGCACTTGGATATTGTCACTCGTGTCGTTAAAAATGCAACATATCATAATAGAATTTCTAATTTTATCGATTATACAGTTAACAGGGTAATTTCCCTAAAGTCCTATATGACTTATGTGACATATTCTTGTTTTAGGCACTCGCTAAATTTCAATCCAGTCACAAAGTAACTACGAAAACAGGCATAGAAACTGAAGAATCCCTTCTACACGAATCAGCAGCTCGAGAAACGTCGCTATATTCCCAAATCGTCGATCTCGAAAACGAGAACAAGCAACTGCGTCATGAGCTCGACAGAGTCACTGTGGAACGGGACAAAATGCTCCAAGAGAACAGCGACATGGGCAAAGACAAAGACGACAGAGGCATGGAGTGCAAACGCCTCCGTACAGAACTGCGTGAAATCAAATTCAGAGAGAACAGATTGATATTGGACTATTCCGAACTGGAAGAAGAGAATATCGCGTTACAGAAACAAGTAGCGGCTTTGAAAAGCACTCAGGTTGAGTTTGAAAGTTTGAAGCACGAAATCAGGAGATTGCACGAAGAGATGGGGTTGTTGAATTTGCAAGTTGAAGAGCTGACAAACTTGAAGAAAATCGCTGAGAAACATATGGAAGAAGCTCTGGAATCTCTGCAAAGTGAAAGGGAAGCTAAATACGCCCTGAAAAAAGAGCTGGACCAACAAATTAACAGGGAATCGTTTTATAACATCAATAATCTGGCTTACAGTATAAGAGGAATAACTGAAGAGACTGTTTTGGGTAGTGACGGTGAGGAAGAGGGTCTCAAACACATTGAAGCAAGCTTGTCAAGCGGAAATGTCTCAGAATTAACCTCCCCAGATGACAAGCATGTAGATTTGTTCTCGGAAGTCCACTTGAATGAGCTGAAAAAATTAGAAAAACAGCTAGAAAGTTTAGAGAAAGAAAAACTAGGTCTTACTCAGACTTTAAGGGATAACCAGAACTTAGTTGAAAAAAGCCAGGGTGAATTACAAGTTTTTATCGCTAGATTGACTCAGTTAGCAGCCCATGTTGATTCCTTGCAACATCTATCACATAACTATGATAAAGTCCTCCAAAAACCTACCGAAGAAACTACAAAAATGATCGGTCAGTACCAACAGTGGTTCAAATTATCCAGCAAAGAAGTAGACCAGCTTAAACATGATATTAAAGAACTAGAAAAACTGACTAATGTCTCAGATGCCACTCTGACTCTGAGAAGTGAGATCACAAATTTGAAGAATAAGTTGTTGGATACTGAGCAGAAACAGATGGACTTGGAGGGTGACTTCAAGTTGCTCAGAGAGTTTGCTACAGAGGCTGGAGGGTCGCTGGACGAGACTCAGAACAATTTACAGACAGTTACCGAGGAACTGGCTCAGTTGTACCATCACGTGTGCACTGTCAATGGGCAGACTCCCAGCAGGGTTGTGTTGGACCATGAAAAAGAGGGCATGACTCCAAGTAAGCAATGATTTTTTATTACCTTGTTGAATATATTTTTTTTACGTGTAGAAAATAGTTTTTTACGTGTAGAAAATATATTTTTACATGTTTTTTACTTTAAAATAACGTAAATTGTGAGTAATAGGATCGTTGGTTCAATTTAAAAATTTTTTCAAAGGTGCAGAGTCTCAAATAAAGAAAAAATATCAAAGTTGTATTTTTCTAATTGGAACACCCTGTATATTATTACATTTTTAGTTTCTACCATTAAAAGTACAGAGTGTCTAAAAATTTATTTTAAATAATTACTAGCATTAAACATTAAACGGCACTTGTTTAATTTAAATGGAACACCCTGTATATATTACGTAAATCAGATACACAAAGATATTGTCTATGAAATTTTATTATGCCATTTTTAGCTATCTTTTCGGATTTTTGTAGAAAATGCATATTATTGTAATTCAAACCTTATTAAACGATACTTATGAATATTGTTTGACAGGTGCACCTGTCATTTTTTGTATGTCGTCTGTCAGAATATTCCTCGACTTTAGGGACAGACATTTTTTTCAAGACAATATTTTTTACGCGAAGAAATTATTTTTTACGCGAATATTTTTTAAGCATAGAAAATAATATATTTTTTACGCCTAGAAAAAAATGTTTAGTCGTAGAAAATACTTTTTACGCGTAGAAATTATGTAACAGGGTAATTTCCCTAAAATCTACGCGTAGAAAATATTTTTTGCGCGTAGGAAATATTTTTTAGGCGTGGAAAATATTTTTTATTCCCAGAAAATATTTTTAAAGCATAGAAAATATTTTTTACTTCTAGACAATATTTTTTACGCGAAGAAATTATTTTTTACGCGTAGAAAATATTTTTAATCCTAGGAAAAATATTTTTTAAGCATAGAAAATAATATATTTTTTACGCTTAGAAAAAAATGTTTACTAGTAGAAAATACTTTTTACGCGTAGAAATTATTTTTTAAGCGTAGAAAATATTTTTTGCGCGTAGGGAATATTTTTTCGGCGTGAAAAATATTTTTTAAGCATAGAAAAAATATTTTTTACGCCTAGAAAAAAATGTTTACTCGTAGAAAATAATTTTTACGCGTAGAAATTATTTTTTACGCCTAGGATATATTTTTTGCTCGTAGAAAATATTTTTTACGCGTAGAAAATATTTTTTGCGGGTTAGAAAAAAAAATTGCGCGTAGAAAATTGTTTTTAACGCCTAGAAAATATTTTTTTTTAATTTAAATTAATTTTTAGAACACATTTTATCATTTTTTTTTGTAACTTTTCATTTTGTATACAGTGACTGAAACAGCACCAATGATGATCGGAGAAATGAGTAAATTAGAGCTGCTAAGGAGCAGATTGAAGAGCGACATTCCCCTGCACGATTTGGAGAGTTTAAACGACACCGCCGTTCTGGCGCGTAATGTATGTACAGTCGTGGACCAAATCAAACATCTGCGTACAGCCTTGGAAAATACACTCTCCAAAGGCAAGAGAGACAAATCCGAAGGATCTTATGAATGTATGTATGATTTTTGTCAATTATTTTCCTAGTTTTAAACACATGATTGGATTTTTTTGTTTGTTTTTTTGACAGCTAAAGACGAGAACAGCGAAGAGGTTCAAGAGCTGCAAGAACAAGTGATTAGGCTGAAGAGTTTGTTGTCCACGAAGAGGGAACAAATCGCTACGCTGAGAACCGTCCTCAAGTCCAACAAAAACACAGCAGAGGTCGCGTTGACCAATCTGAAGAGCAAGTATGAGAATGAGAAGACTATTGTGTCTGAGACTATGATGAAGCTTAGGAATGAGCTTAGATTGTTGAAGGAAGATGCAGCTACCTTTTCTAGTAAGTGATATTTTTTTAAAATGAAAATTATTATGTTTCTACTTTTCTTCAGGGCATTTTTATTCTGATATGTTTATCTGATGTTAATTATCAAGAAACAGATGTTATTTTTTGCTAAAAGTGGTTCTTATTGAGTTTTATCTCTAATATAATATTATCGGTATCGCTTAAATTTTGGTATTCCTTTCAGGTCTCAGAGCCATGTTCGCCGCCAGATGCGAGGAATACGTCACGCAAGTAGACGAACTCCAGCAGCAGCTTCACGCGGCCGAGGACGAAAAGAAAACCCTGAACCAACTCCTTCGTCTAGCCGTCCAACAAAAACTCTCCCTCACTCAGCGCCTAGAGGAATTGGAGGTTGACAGGGAGATGAGGAACGCCAGGAGACCCAACAATCGCAACTTCCAGCGACAGGGCAGGTCGAACAGAGATAACCTCTTTTAGCCGAGAAGCAGGCCTAGACCCGTCCTGTACGCTGTGGCATTTATCATGTCCTTCTTCAAGGTGTAGCCCTGTAGGGTAGAGGTAGGTCTGGGAGGTCGAAGGTACGTATTTTTTTACTTAGGTGGCTGGGAGGTCGTTTAAATCTCTTGCTGGAAAGAGAGAGTAATTGTTTACTGAATTCTAACAAATAACTTTATATATCTGTGTAATTACAGGATAAAAATCTGTTATTTTTGCCCTGATGTGACGTCGTATGCGGATATTTATGTTGGCTTCAGGATTTCGACAGATATAGGTGTCTATGTGTTGCATGATCTAAGATATTTGAATAATAAAATTTTGGGTGGTAAAAAAATGTTTTCTTTGTACAGGGGGTGTAAATAAATAAGTGAATATTTAATATTCTAATTAAAAATACAATTTGGTTAGTAAAATAAATTTAATTTAAAAAAAATTCTTATATTTAATTTTAAAAATCAATCGCCTCTTTGGAAGCACTTATCCATTAACACCCGGTATAAAATAATAACGTATTAAGTTTTATTTGTCCAAATTTGTATTATTCTAATAGCTTAGATCATAAAACACGTAGACACTTCTATTTGTTAGAATCTTGTAACTAAAATAAGTAAAGAAGAAAAATAACAGGATTTGTATTAGTTTTTACTCTGTATAGCACAATTTCATTCATATATCAGTATAATAGAAGAATAAAACTATAGATTGATGTGTTATATATGACTATAATAAGCGAATAACGATGAAAATTCTGTTATTTTTGCCCTGATGTGACGTCGTATGCGGATATTTATTTTGGCTTCAGGATTTCGACAGATAGAGGTGTCTATGTGTGGCATGATCTAAGATATTTGAATACTAAAATTTTGGGTAGTAAAAAAATGTTTTCTACTGTTTTCTTTATACAGGGGGTGTAAATGAATAAGTGATTATTTAATATTCTGTTTAAAAATTCAATTTAGTAAAATAAATGTAATTAAAAAAAAATATTTAATTTTAAAATCAATCGCCTCTTTGGAAGCACTTATCCATTAACACCCTGTATAAAATAATAACGAATTAACTTTTATTTGTCCAAATTTGTATTATTCTAATAGCTTAGATCATAAAACACGTAGACACTTCTATTTGTTAGAATCTTGTAACTAAAATAAGTAAAGAAGAAAAATAACAGGATTTGTATTAGTTTTTACTCTGTATAGCACAATTTCATTCATATATCAGTATAATAGAAGAATAAAACTATAGATTGATGTGTTATATATGACTATAATAAGCGAATAACGATGAAAATTCTGTTATTTTTGCCCTGATGTGACGTCGTATGCGGATATTTATTTTGGCTTCAGGATTTCGACAGATAGAGGTGTCTATGTGTGGCATGATCTAAGATATTTGAATAATAAAATTTTGGGCAGTAAAAAAATGTTTTCTACTGTTTTCTTTATACAGGGGGTGTAAATGAATAAGTGAATATTTAATATTCTAATTAAAAATACAATTTGGTTAGTAAAATAAATGTAATTTAAAAAAAAAATATTTAATTTTAAAATCAATCGCCTCTTTGGAAGCACTTATCCATTAACACCCGGTATAAAATAATAACGTATTAAGCTTTATTTGTCCAAATTTGTATTATTCTAATAGCTTAGATCATAGAACACGTAGACACTTCTATTTGTTAGAATCTTGCAACTAAAATAAGTAAAGAAGAAAAATAACAGGATTTGTATTAGTTTTTACTCTGTATAGCACAATTTCATTCATATATCAGTATAATAGAAGAATAAAACTATAGATTGATGTGTTATATATGACTATAATAAGCGAATAACGATGAAAATTCTGTTATTTTTGCCCTGATGTGACGTCGTATGCGGATATTTATTTTGGCTTCAGGATTTCGACAGATAGAGGTGTCTATGTGTGGCATGATCTAAGATATTTGAATAATAAAATTTTGGGTAGTAAAAAAATGTTTTCTTTATACAGGGGGTGTAAATGAGTAAGTGAATATTTAATATTCTAATTAAAAATACAATTTGGTTAGTAAAATAAATTTAATTTAAAAAAAAATATATTTAATTTAAAAAAAATATATTTAATTTTAAAAATCAATCGTCTCTTTGAAAGCACTTATCTATTAACACCCTGTATAAAATAATAAAATTGAAAATAATAACGACTTAAATTTTTATGGTCCAAATTTTTATTATTTTAATAGCTTAGATCATAAAACACGTAGACACTTCTATTTGTTAGAATCTTGTAACTAAAATAAGTAAAGAAGAAAAATAACAGGATTTGTATTAGTTTTTACTCTGTATAGCACAATTTCATTCGTATATCAGTATAATAAAAGAATAAAACTATAGATTGATGTGTTATATATGACTATAATAAGCGAATAACGATGAAAGTTCTGTTATTTTTTGCCCTGATGTGACGTCGTATGCGGATATTTATTTTGGCTTCATGATTTCGACAGATAAAAGTGTCTATGTGTTGCATGATCTAAGATATTTGAATAATAAAATTTTGGGTAGTAAAAAAATGTTTTCTTTATACAGGGGGCGTAAATGAGTAAGTGAATATTTAATATTCTAATTAAAAATACAATTTGGTTAGTAAAATAAATTTAATTTAAAAAAAAATTATTTAATTTTAAAAATCAATCGCCTCTTTGGAAGCACTTATCCATGAACACCCTGTATAAAATAATAAAATTGAAAATAGTAACGAATTAAATTTTTTATGTCCAATATTTTGTTCTAATAGCTTAGATCATAAAACACATAGACACTTCTCCTTGCTAGAATTTTGTAACCAACATAGAAAAAGGGCAAAAATAACAATTTCAAATCTACAGAAATGTTTAATCGGAATATTGAAGTTATTTGATAGAATTCTATTTATGAATTTATTTATTGATATATCTAATTGCCAAGATGAATTTAGGTGTAATATCTTCTCAATATAGTGATGGAAATATTGTTAAGGACATAGTTATATACTTAAGAGAGTTATTTAATGTTTTTTTTTATTATATTAACATTTATTATAAGTTCCAAACAGTTTTAATCAATTTTACAAGCATTTCTTGTTGTTTTAGTATTTATTATCAGAATATTGCTATTGATTGAATCAAATGACAGACGTATCAATCTGTCAATTTTTATCTATATTGCAATATTTCTCTTATTAGCATTTAAGTATATGTAAACTCAGAAAAATAGGTGAACAAAAAAAATAAATATAAACTAAATGTGATACTTAAATTTAAACGTGTACTTTCGGTAAAAAAATGCTCCAAAAAAGTGGATTTCAAAATTTTCGGATTGGGGCTGCTAGCTGAAGTGTTGTTGGAGTTCTTAAAGTTATACAGGGTGGTTTAGAGAACTATGTCCATTTGTAATTATTAGGTCTACTGTTTTTCGGAATTTTGAATTGTTTACTGGAAACAAGTAGACGTCTTTGTAGTTTTCTGGACCATTTATATATGTTAAAAAAATGTAAAAACGTTTGAATTCGTCCAATATATTGGTATTTTTTCCGCCCAATTGAGTGTAATCGGCTCAGTTGTGCTTCCACTGTTTTTTTTTTCTTGTTTTATATATTTTGTGGCATCTATCTTATATATTTATTGAATTTTTACTTATACCGTACAAATAACGTACTCTTTTCTAATGTTATAGATTATATTTATACGTTTTTTTTTATATAGCAAGTGTATTTATTACTAATTACTGTAGTTTTTCGTATTATTTTGGCTGATATAATTATTACAGAACTATAGAATGTTCAGTCATCGTTCAACGTGACGTCATATACTCTGTCGAACTCTCTCAATCACTTGCCAACCAGATGAAAGAGATTGGTGACATCATTACGGCATTTCGTAGATTACTGCACTTGCATTCTTGGCTATATAAAAGCGGTCGATAAAAAAGTAAAACCCTAAAACTCGTATAATGATGACGTAATGGTGAACGATGGCAGAACAGTCTTTACATAATATTTAGTTCAAGACATCACAAATCCTGTTTTTTTGATAATTTTAATTATCAGCCCAAAATTAGTTGAAATATTTTAGAAAAAATTATAAGTAATAAATAGGATCATTACTGAATAATTAGGAGATATTTAATAAATTTATGAATGTGAAAAAAATTACAAAAAAATCTAAAAAGAATTCGGGAACTTTTTACGTTGTTCTAGAAATAAAAAAAAATTTATCGGAATACTACCGTACAATCGAAAAAAAAACAGCGTCGAAGACGGCTGAGGAATGATAATCGAAGATATTTTTGGCGAGGTCGATCTCTAGAATTTGTTTATTAAAAATCGACATAAAACTTGACAAAAATTGGCGGTGAGCGCCATTAAAAAATAAAGAAAAGTACGGGCTAACTCAGTGACGTCTTCTAGGGCTTGACCTCGGCAAAATTATCATCGATTATCGTTCCGCAGCCGTCTCTGACGCCGTTTTTTTTTTCGATTTTTCTTCTTTAATGAAATATTCTCACTAACGCTCATATATATATACAGACGTAGTAGTAGAAAAAAGTGATTTTTTCAAAATCTTTTTGATGTTCGTCGGTTCAGAGTCCACTAGTTAATTTCAAATTCCCCAGTTTCCGAGCCTATATGGACCGCGAACATACCCGTCCCGTTTTGAAAATCAAAGAATGAACGTAGCCTTCCGCGACACCGGTTTTTTTGGGGTCTCGATTTTTTAAAATTTCGAAAAAACGAAATGGTATTGAATCAAGACTCTGCCGAGCTCAATACGGTTTTTTTAATAGAGATAAGTTGAAAAGTGTCGGAAAAAAGAGTGTCATCCATCCATTTATTTGTAACAAATATCGATCTGTGTTTCTCATAGTTTTTATTCATATTTGAAGTTGTTAATTATGAACTCTACAAATGTCTGCTTAAATGTGGTTAATGTTACTTAATTGTACCTAATATTTTTAATAAAATCGATATATCTACAGGGTGATTTGTTTTATCCTTGAAACTCGATGTCCAAAGAACGAACGTAGCTTACCGTGATACCGTTTTTTTTTATTATTTCGCCTTGATTTTTTATAATTTCGATACAAAAAATTGCTGCCGACATGATATTGAGTTCAATACGGTTTTTTTTTTTTAATTAGAAAGGATTTCTAGAAAAAAGTTTCTTAACAATATACAGGGTGGTCCGAACTGTACTCCGGAAACTTCGGGAGCATATTTTGCAGATAAAAGTAAGTAAAAAAGTTCGTATAAATCTAAAATGGTTAGTTTCGGAGATACAGGGTGTAGAAGCCTTATTTTTATTTCGATTTTTGTCTGGGAGTTTTTTGACATTAGAAATTTGATTTTGATGTCAATTTGACTCCTCTTTGTAGAGGGCGCCACCTACATGTTTTAACTGTTTTGAAGAGTAATAACTTTTCGTCTGTACCTGTATAAAACTAGTGAGTGAAAAAATATACATTTACGACGTTTCCAAATATTGACGTGACTTTAGAAATTAAGTGGAAAAATTGAAATAAAAATGAAACTTCTACACCCTGTATCTCGGAAACGAAGCATTTTAAGACATACGTTTATACAAACTTTTTTACCTATTTCTATCGGTAGAATATACTACCATAAGTTTCGGGCCACCCTGTATACAAGTTCTACAAAAAAAAAAACTATAAAAGTGAAATTGAAATTATCAATCAGGGATGGGTTAAAAATGAAAGAAAATATTCTTTTTCAAAAAATATAAATACAATTTATTTATCTATTTTTCATTTTCATAAAAAATCAGTTTTTTTTTAAGTATTACTCTTTTGTTAATCAACAACTTTTACAATAGTCTTACAGTGTTACAGAAGCATTTTACAAACAGATCAAAACACCTAAATCCCTTCCGATACAGAGTCCTCCCAAAAAAATGCATTTTTTAAACACTACTTGCTGCTATTGGCACTACAGGCGATGGTATTAAATGAAAAGACAGCCACCACGACAAAATAGGCTGCATAGCCGCCACAAACAACAGAAAATACAGCCTCCTTTTATGACCAGCTGTTGCCACCCCTCCCGCACTGTAATAGGACTGATCCTGAGCCCCGTTTTCACTCAAAACCTGCACTTTCAAGCTTCTCACCAGGAAAAATGCCAGCGCCAAGTTAGTGTAAATCAGAGCCATATAAAATCCTATTTTCCCCCCAATTACACTGACCAAAATACTGACTATCGTCCCTACAAACTTGTAGCCTGCGTAGGCCAGTAAGTCTAGCGTTTTTAGGCTGGTTTCAACTTGGATTATGTACAGGGTGCAGCTGTAAATGGCTAGTTCCACTACGCACCAGGCTAGGGCTGAAGAAGCCGTGATTCCTATGTGTTCTGGCGTGAATCGGTCTTGCATTCCCAGCACTAAACCCGCTACAAGGATGTAAGTGATGTACGCCATGGAAGGTATGTATAAATCAGGGGCGTTGATCTCGTATCTTGGTTGAACGGGACCGTCTTGTTCGTATTTCACAGACCAGTCCTAAAAAAAATTAAAATATTATAGCTTTCTTTGATATATAACTAAAAATAAAGAACTTACTGTATGGGTGAAAGGAAAAAACAATAAAACCAGCTTTTTCAAGACATATTTCGTATCCACAGCAAAGTAGTACTTCAGTTTGCTGACCGGAACATATTTTTCCATCTCTTGTTTTATTATATTCTTACCAGCCCCTGCTAGCTGAAATTTCAAGTATTTATAACAGAATTTTCGTGATTTATTACAAATTTACTTGTTGTCCGTACTGCATCGCCATATCCTGTACCACCGGCTGTCCTAGAACACTTAAATTCGCAGGCATATTGAAAGAGTTCGGCAGATTTTGTGGTGTTTGAGGAGGTCCGTTGAAGTTCTGTCTGATATTAGGGCTTGGACCCGTGGGTATATTCGTAAAATTCGGTGAATTATATGATGCCTGATTAATAAATCCATCTAAAATATGTTTAAAATAGGTAAATTCAACGTTACTTTTTGTAGATCGAAATCTACCTTGTTGGAAGGCTCCTGCTTGAACGTCCGTTGGTAGATTGGGATAAATGCCTTGTTGTTGTTGCTGGAACTGTGGATTGTCATAAGGATTGTAGCCCATAGCGTTTACGTCGCTGACTCTTTTCACTTTTCGTCCGAGAGCTGCTGTAAACATTAGGTTTAGGTTATGTGTCCATGATTATTTTACGGTTTATAATTAAGAAAAATATATAAATCGTACTTGGACGAGGTCCTGTGTTGGCATTATAGTTCATGGTGGTCTGTATTTATTTTAAACTTTACAAAGGAATATTTATATTTGGAATCTTCAAAACACGTCACTCATTTTCGAATCAGACTGAAATATTGCTGTTCTTGTTTATTTTTGTTGCTGTCTTTGTCTAATAATTTACCATAGATTATAATTTCAACTTTCTTCTTTTGATTATTTTTTTCAGGAACGACCTAATTACCGGTCGGATAGTCCTGGGAGCTGTGGTTGTACATGTTAGGACCGTAAGTATTGAAAAGAAGAAGAACAATACTTTTATTCTATGGTTACTGTTCTTAGCGCCATTGTGAAATAGTGAGAAAATTTTGAACTAAAATGTTAGGATTTTTATGTTTGTTTATGCAAAAATCTAATCCAAATCAATTATTTTTGTAAGTATAACGAATATAACTGTTACAAAATCATGATGAATCTAATTAACATGTAATACGAACTTTATTTCAGTAGAATAAATTATATTTTCTTTTAGAGACGCATATTTATCCAGCAAAAAATGGGCATGACAGAATGACAGCGAGTCCTTTTGTCGCTAGAATTTTGCTGATTTTTGGTAGAAAAAGTGGTTTTTCTGTGCATTATTTGAGTTTATTCTGTGTCTTAATGCTGTTTTAATCTCCTGAAAATGTAAGTACCCATTATTTTACTTGTTTTTTTATTGTTTCCGCTTTCAAATATTTCAATTACATCATCATTAAAAGCTTATATATTTTTTCCCATTTTCGTAATTTTCTTTTTCACAATCGAGTATACGAAAATATAGATACATTCCTTGGTGTCTTTATTGTACATTAAAATTAAAGTTACGTAGAATGGTGCTCCATATTTAGAGATATTTCATATTTTTTGGACCATTTTTTTTGGTCGAGTTTAAAGATGTTTTTTATTCCTAAAGATAGTTTTTAGGTGTTTATTGATACAGGCAAACAAATATTTTCTACGTCGTTTAGGAGTCAGTGTTAGTATACTTAAATGCCCTATGCTCAATAATTATATTAATAATACCTTCAGAGAAAATAAAATACTTTTACACACGTTTGATACTATAAACTGTCATCATATTTAAGTTAACAATTTTGCACTGTTTTATTAATACCTAGAAGGCTTTAATTATTATAATTTTCTTTTTTAGGAGCATTACACACCAGCACATAAAGACCGCCTAAAAGAAGATACCTCGATCACCTCTTGTATATTCCTGATGTTTGGCAATCATTCTGGTTTACGAGTTGTTCATTCTTTATGTGATTAAAAGTAAGTTTAATTTATTATTTATAAAAATAGTTTTAATAAATTTATTAAATGCTTATTAACAGACTAACCCTATGTTTAAGGTATATTTAATCTTAATATGAAACAAAAATAATAAATGCAATTTTTATAGCATAATTAATGAAATGTAATATTATTTATTTCGATTTTTACAGATTTCCTACAACAAATCAATGGATGTATACAGTTCCAGAGCAGTACATTTATCCTTTTCAAGATTACCAAAAATGCATCAGGAAAGTATTTCTAAAATTTTACTTCTCTTGGGTAAATATATTTTAACTGGTTTTTAATGTTCATTAAGTTTTATTTTCTCTGAAGGATTTCATCATTTTTAAATTTAATTATTTCTTCGGTATTTTAATATTTGTAACAATTTTTTACTTTTGGTCACTTCTCTTTCTTTTTGGTAGAATACCGTCCACTTAGAACTTTACTTTCATATTTCTCCATAATAGCTTTTACCTTGTATATTTTCTTGATTGTGGCTATAACATAATTTTTCACTTTTGGGAAAAATATTATTATTTATTGATTTTTTAAAATATCCCATTGACTGTATTTCTATATGTATTATTTTATTTGTATTATTTTTCTTATGGTGTCATTCTTCTAATACCTTTTTGCTTTTGTAATTTCTTGTACAGAATTTTCGTTTTGATGGTTTCATTTTCATGTCATTTTTCTCAGATCATATGCCATGAATTGCCATAATTTTGCGGATTCTCTTTGTTTCCCTGTGTTTAAATAAAATTTAAACACGCTTAAAAAATCTCAGAATAAGGACTAATTTCCTACCAATTCCTGGCGCATTCGCCATTTATTCAAAAAACTGACTTCCACATAATTCACGTCTAGTTTTTCTAGCATTTTTTCCAACGAATTTTCCTGAATAACATCGACTCCGGAGCATCATAACTAGCCTCCCCGAAGAAGAGGAGACCCGGGTCACCCCCTAACCCTGATGTTCGGCCATCGATGACCTATGTAGCATGCATAGGTACCCAAGGGAGTCACCACCCTCTGGTTTACGAGCTAGGTGTTCTAACGCTAGAGGCTTCGGCCGGATACGACCTGGCACCCAAGCTACGAGACTTCTTCGTGCACGTATCCCGTGACGTCTCGACAGTAGAGGGGCGGGATATCGGACATTGAAGACGATAGGGGGTCCCGGTGGATGTCCGCTCGATGGGTGACGAGGGTGACCCGAGACGAGGCTGCTTAGCTGGGATGGGAACTGACTGGCGAGGCTTAATCGTCGGACAAGGGTTAAATCTGATGAAGGGGGCGAACTTATATGCTCTGGAGGATTTTTCTTTATGTGCTTGATGTCAAATTTTGTCTAGATATTCTTTAGAGGAGGCTAAGCATAATATTTGGTCAATTTTCCAGTTCTTAAAGACCACATACTTCTTTATTTTTTTCTCTTGCTTACGGCCTAGCTCTGTTTCATTATTTTTGTATTCTGTATTTTCTTTATTATTGGAATATTACCATTCATCAATTCTATAAACTCTTCTAATGATTGGCTTATATATTTTTATTGTGTCATTCTTCTGATACTTTTTTAATTCATAAAAAATTAACTCTATTGCCTGGGATATTTTACTGCTCTGGAGCAAGGATTTTTTGGGACAGCTGCACTTATTATAACAGCGGATTGGGAATGAAATTCGTCGCTGAATAAGAAACTAAACAATTTAGGTAAATTATACTAAAAGATGTTTTTTTTTTAAATGGAATATTGTTTAATATATATTATTGTATTTTGTAAAATGTGTCGATATAAATGGTTAATTTCAAATGAAATATTTTGGCGCACAATTTACTTTATTATAGGTAAATTGATGGTAAATTCTTTATTTTTAGTCAAATGTAAATACACTTAATGTGTATATAAGGAGTTGGATTTTTAATTTGTATTTTTACATACACTTTTCTAATTAGTATAATTAAAATACCAAAATAAAAACCGTATTCATCACAATACACCAAAAACACTTCTTTTTTTCTGTATTGTTGTGAATTAGTGTTGGTGTTGCAACTCCAAGGTTCCTACCTCCAACAGTAATAATTAAAATACCGTTTGATCGAAAAAAAAACGGCGTCCAGTTGGCTTAGAAATGACAATCGATGACCTTCCTCATATAATTTTACATACAAAATGACAGCGATCTTTATTTCATAGCCATCGCTGACGCTGTTTTTTTGTCATATTGTATAAGCAGAAATAATACTGTATGATTGAAAACGGCGTCAGCGATGGCTGTGAAATGAAGTCACAGCCATCGCTGACGCCGTTTTTTTTTCTAACATACGGATTTTGTCATAATTATTGATATAGCTAACTTACCTATATTTTTATTCTGTATCACTATTAAAAATAGTTCTCTGTGCTACAAAGATTTCTCTTATAATATTTTATGTAAGCTATCAAGATTTACTCGTTTTTTAAAGTTATAGAAGTAATAGTAATCAAGCTTGTTAGTGAGCAATTAATAATTATTTCTTTATATTTTTTTTACAGAACCAAGGCTTTCCAGAAGGGTAGCAGAAGATTTATTTACCTCTACATAGACATCAGCATGTCCATCGCCACCTTGGATTATACTTTTTAAGTTACACTTTGTCAATAAGATATGATATTAAAATAAATAATACTTAATAATAAATGAGTTTTATTCAACCAAAATATACTGTCTAATCCTAAACTAAGAGAAAAAGTCATTTAATTATCACAAAAATAATATATTCTAATCACTAAACACCTTAATAAGTTGTTCGGGAATAGACAGTATTTTATATAAAAATAATACCCTACAATAATTACCTCTTCGCTCTTATGTACTCCTGATACAAATCGAGAAAATTCAGCTTTTAATAAAAATTAAACGAAAATTTTTAATCCTCGCCAAAAATCACTAATTTCTATCAGGAGCACATAAGTATGAAGAGGTACGGAGTAAATTCAGTACCAATATTTACCTCTTCGCTCTTATGTACTCCTGATACATATCCGAGAAAATTCAATTTTTATCAAAGACTGCACAAAATTTTTTAAACCGGGTCAAAAATCGCCGATATCTATCAGGGACACATAAGGGTGAAGAGGTAACTATTAAATTTAGTACCACATTTAAATAAAGCATTAAACAACGATATTTCTGCTATCTCTAGCACTTCGAACTCGTTTCCAAACTTCAACCCTTAATATTTCGGAAACTATAAGGGTTAGAGAGGAACGGAAGTCGGCATTCGATTCGCCTTTCAACCCTCTATAAGGGTGCTTAATTACGGCGCGATCGGAGACAAAAAAAAATTTTGGCGAAAAATGAGGTAAGGGGTTAACCTTCCTTCATTTTTGCCGAAATTTTTTTTTTGTCTCCGATCGCGCCCTAATTTTGCACCCTTATAGAGGGTTGAAAGGCGAATCGAATGCCGACTTCCGTTCCTCGATAGCTCTTTTAGTTTAGAAGTTATAGCCGTTTTTCGAAAAAATCTAACTCATTCTAACTCGTTGGTCGGGTACTCCAATTTTTGCCAGGTCGAAATTATTTTTGGTCGGTTTTGTCAAAAACGGAGAAATCTTGAATTTGTATCAGGAACATATGAGTGCGAGGAGGTATTTTTCGATACCAGGAGTAGACAGTTACATTCACCATTTTGTCAATAATTTATTTCGTTTATTTTTACCTCCTTATTCTTTATGTACTCCTGATACAAATTCTCAATTTTTAAGTCTTTAATGAAAATTGGAGTAAGATTTTTACCATAAAATTTCCGATTAATATCAGGAGAATATAAGGGTAAGGAGATGAACTGTATCCCTTAGAGTACTATAAATTGTGAAATAAAACAACAATTAATTTTAATAGTTTTATTTATTCAAGATAAACTTATAGACACATATACATATATTTGACAAAGATAGACCTAAATCTAAATAGGAATGAATTTATTCTGGATGCGGATTACTCTAACTTGTTAAACCAATATACAGTATAAAAGATCTAAGTTTTATAAGGGTTTTATGATCAAGTGGGCTTTGATAATGATCGTTACAAAATAAAGGTACTGCTATTTTCCATACATATTGTTTATTTGTCATTATGTACGCCTGATCATAAAATCTGGACGCCGTTTTTTTTTCGATCATACGGTATTATTTCTACTTATACAATATGACAAAAAAAACAACGTCAGCGATGGCTATGAAATGAAGATCGCTGTCATTTTGTATGTAAAATTATATGAGGAAGGTCATCGATTGTCATTTCTAAGCCAACTGGACGCCGTTTTTTTCGATCATACGGTATTATTTCTGCTTATACAATATGACAAAAAAAAACAGCGTCAGCGATGGCTATGAAATGAAGAGCACTGTCATTTTATATGCAAAATTATATGGGGAATGTCATCGATAGTCATTTCCAAGCCATCTGGACGCCGTTTTTTTCGATCATACGGTATTATTTCTGCTTATACAATATGACAAAAAAAAACAGCGTCAGCGATGGCTATGAAATAAAGATCACTGTCATTTTATATGCAAAAAAATATGGGGAATGTCATCGATAGTCATTTCCAAGCCATCTGGACGCCGTTTTTTTCGATCATACGGTATTATTTCTGTTTATACAATATGATAAAAAAAACAGCGTCAGCGATGGCTGTGAAATGAAGATCGCTGTCATTTTATAGGCAAAATTATATGGGGTATGTCACCGATCGTCATTCCCCAGCCAACTAGACGCCGTTTTTTTTTCGATCATATGGTATGTACATTCCTGCACAAAATAGAAAATATATTAACAATAAAATGCCTAAACATAAATCAATTATACCGTATGATCAAAAAAAAAAAGACTTCCGGTAGGCTTTGAAATAACAGTTGATGAAATTCCTAATATAAATTTACATATAAAATGACAGCGATCTTAATTTCCAAGCCATCTCCGACGACGTTTTTTTTTCGATCATACGGTATTATTTCTGCTTATACAATATGACAAAAAAAACAACGTCAGCGATGGCTGTGAAATGAAGATCGGTGTCATTTTATAGGTAAAATTATATGGTGAATGTCATCGATAGTCATTTCCAAGCCATCTGGACGCCGTTTTTTTCGATCATACGGTATTATTTCTGCTTATACAATATGACAAAAAAAACAGCGTCAGCGATGGCTATGAAATAAAGATCACTGTCATTTTATATGCAAAAAAATATGGGGAATGTCATCGATAGTCATTTCCAAGCCATCTGGACGCCGTTTTTTTCGATCATACGGTATTATTTCTGTTTATACAATATGATAAAAAAAAACAGCGTCAGCGATGGCTGTGAATTGAAGATCGCTGTCATTTTATAGGATAAATTATATGGGGTATGTCATCGATCGTCATTCCCCAGCCAACTAGACGCCGTTTTTTTTTCGATCATATGGTATGTACATTCCTGCACAAAATAGAAAATATATTAACAATAAAATGCCTAAACATAAATCAATTATACCGTATGATCAAAAAAAAAATGGCTTCCGGTAGGCTTTGAAATAACAGTTGATGAAATTCCTAATATAAATTTACATATAAAATGACAGCGATCTTAATTTCCAAGCCATCTCCGACGACGTTTTTTTTTCGATCATACGGTATTATTTCTGCTTATACAATATGATAAAAAAAACAGCGTCAGCGATGGCTGTGAAATGAAGATCGCTGTCATTTTATAGGCAAAATTATATGGTGAATGTCATCGATAGTCATTTCCAAGCCATCTGGACGCCTTTTTTTTTCGATCATACGGTATTATTTCTGCTTATACAATATGACAAAAAAACAGCGTCAGCGATGGCTATGAAATAAAGATCGCTGTCATTTTATATGCAAAATTATATGGGGAATGTCATCGATAGTCATTTCCAAGCCATCTGGACGTCGTTTTTTTCGATCATACGGTATTATTTCTGCTTATACAATATGATAAAAAAACAGCGTCAGCGATGGCTGTGAAATGAAGATCGCTGTCATTTTATAGGCAAAATTATATGGGGAATGTCATTGATCGTCATTTCCCAGCCAACTAGACGCCGTTTTATTTTTCGATCATATGGTATGTAGATTACTGCACAAAATAGAAAATATATTAACAATAAAATGTCTAAACATAAATAAATTATACCGTATGATAAAAAAATGGCCTCCGGTAGGCTTTGAAATAACAGTTGATGAAATTTCCAATATAAATTTACATATAAAATGACAGCGATCTTAATTTCCAAGCCATCTCCGACGACGTTTTTTTTTCGATCATATGGTATTATTTCTGCTTATATAATATGACAAAAAAACAGCGTCCGCGATGGCTATGAAATGAAGATCGCTGTCATTTTATATGGAAAATTATATGGGAAATGTCATCGATCGTCATTTCCCAGCCAACTAGACGTGTTTTTTTTCGATCATACGGTATTATTTCTGCTTATATAATATGACAAAAAAAACAGCGTCAGCGATGGCTATGAAATAAAGATCGTTGCCATTTTATATGGAAAATTATATGGGAAATGTCATCGATCGTCATTTCCCAGCCAACTAGACGCCGTTTTTTTCGATCATATGGTATGTACATAGATTCCTGCACAAAATAGAAAATATATTAACAATAAATTGCCTAAACATAAATAAATTATACCGTATGATCGAAAAAAATCGGTAGGCCTTGAAATAACAGTTGATGAAATTCCCAATATAAATTTACATATAAAATGACAGCGATCTTAATTTCCAAGCCATCTCCGACGCCGTTTTTTTCGATCATACGGTATTATTTCTGCTTATACAATATGACAAAAAAACAGCGTCAGCGATGGCTATGAAATGAAGATCGTTGTCATTTTATATGGAAGAGTATATGGAGAATGTCATCGATCGTCATTTCCCAGCCAACTAGACGCCGTCTTTTTCGATCATATGGGATGTAGATTCCTGCACAAAATAAAAAATATATTAACAATAGAATGTAAACATAAATCAATTATACCGTATGATCGAAAAAAAAATGGCATCCGGTAGGCTTTGAAGTAACAGTTTCTGAAATTTCCAATATAAATTTACATATAAAATGACAGCGATCTTAATATACCTTGTATAAAACTAGGGATTTTGTACTAACAAAAATAATTTTGTGTAAAAAAATTGTCTGTTACATGTAAAAAACAGTTTTTTACTTTATGATTCTAATCATCCATCCCTAGTGTTGATCACACTGTATATTTTTATTTTCGGACTCATTTATACACTTGGGAGTCTTTATATTATCATATACCGTATGATGGAAAAAATGGCGTCCCGTTGGCTTGGAAATGAACATGATAATATCCCCATATAATTTTACATATCCCATATAAAATGTACGAGATCTTCATTTCATTGCCTTCGCTGACGCCGTTTTTTTTCGATCATATTGTATTACAACTTAACTAAAACAACATATTCAATAAATATCTTATCCATAACCAAAATAATTATAAATAGTACTCTAATTATTGAATATAACGTAACATTCTTTGGAGTATAAAAAATTATATTAATTTTAAAGTAATTCCTCATAGAAAATTAATTATATATCAATGCTCAAAGCCTACTTGATCAGAAAATTTTTTGATTGTACAGGTTAAAGTTCCAAGAAACTGTTTAAAAATAAAATTAAAATTTTGATAGTCGTGAATTCTCTGTTTTTATACAACTGGAATCTACTAAAATATATTCTTGATAATATAAGAATTTTTGTAACTTAAATATTTAAAAAAAAAGTTTATGTATAAATTACAGAAATCAACGTTTCAAAGTTTTACTTTTTGAATTTCCAAAAAAAAGTAAAGGCCAATTTCTTCTTCAAAAAGTCTTCTTCCAGATGTGTCTTGGTGGAGTGTCCAATGCAGGAAAAATAGAAGTACCAGTACCAGCTGCAGTTATTACAGAATGATTTCCAAAAATTTGATGATCTGAAATTAAAAAAAAAAATTAGACTAACTTAGACTCATACACATCAAGTTTTACATTACGTATTAATAATAAACATTTTTAGTGTTATTTACCTCAAATTATTTATTTAGTTCCTCTTCAATGATGAATTTTATTCTGAATCCACTGTTCAATGTTGAATTTAATGCAGCTACTGGCATTTTGAAGAGGGTGGTTGAGTTGAAGCGCAGCTGTCCCAAAGCAATACAATATCCCATTCAAAAACTTAATTTTAAAGGAAATTAGAAAAGGAACGAAAAGAAAATCAATTAGAAAATGTATCCAAAATTATACAGTTCTATATAGGTAATAAAAAGACTTGAAGTCTTAGAAGAATGGCATTAAAACAAATAATAATACAAATAAAAGAGAAGACTTCGAAATACAATCAATGTAAGAGAAAAATAATAAATTATATTTAAGAAAAATAAAATTTAGTCAGGGTTTTCCTCTGTATGGAATGATGAATTGAAAAAAGTCATGAAAATGATTCCAATAGAAATAAAATACCTTGAGAACTCTAGAGATACAGAATTATTTTTTTTTAATTAAATAATGGCTGATAACCCAGAAATACATAAATTAATAGAAAATTTCACGGAATGAAAATATGTGAGACAAATAAAGAAACAGAGATAGGTATATGGAATTAAAAAAGTTCCATAAAAATGTGTGATGAACTTAGAAAAGTCTCAGAAGAATGACAAAAAAAATATAAAATTATATACAAATAAAATGACCTAGAAATACAATCAATGGAAGAGTTTATAGAATTGATGAATGATTGCATTCGCACAATGAAGAAAATATGGGAAACATTATATTAAAAGAGAGATATTATTATGCATTGGATAAAATGGCATGAAAATGAGGGAAAATCTCAGGAAAAATAAGATGACAATGGAAAAAAATAAGATGACAATGGATAAGCAATAATTCCATACAGGCAATAGAATTAATTTTTTATGCATTAAAAAAGTATCGGAAGAAAGACACAATAAAAATATATAAGCTAGTCATTAGAAGAGTTTATAGAATTGACGAATGGTAATATTCCAATAAAGAAAATATAAAAGACAAAAATATTTAAATTGAGGTAGGCCATAAGCAAGAGAAGAAACTAAAGAAGTATGTGGTCTTTAAGAACTGGAAAATTGACCAAATATTATGCTTAGTCTCCTCTAAAGAATATCTAGTAAAAATATGACATCAAGCACATAAGAAAAATCCTCCAGAGCATATAAGTTCGCCCCCCTCCATCAGATTTAACCCTTGTCCGACGATTAAGCCTCGCCAGTCAGTTCCCATCCCAGCTAAGCAGCCTCGTCTCGGGTCACCCTCGTCACCCATCGAACGGACATCCACCGGGACCCCCTACAGGCGGACCCCCCTCATCGTCTTCAATGTGTCCGATATCCCGCCCCCTCTATTGTCGAGACGTCACGGGATACGTGCACGAAGAAGTCTCGTAGCTTGGGTGCCAGGTCGTATCCGGCCGAAGCCTCTAGCGTTAGAACACCTAGCTCGTAAACCAGAGGGTGGTGACTCCTTTGGGTACCTCTGCATGCTACACAGGTCATCGATGCCCGAACATCAGGGTTAGGGGGTGACCCGGGTCTCCTCCTCTTCGGGGAGGCTAGTTATGATGCTCTGGAGTCGATGTTATTCCGGAAAATTCATTGGAAAAAATGCTAGAAAAACTAGAAGTGAATTATGTGGACGAGACAGTTTTTTTGAATAAATGGCAAATGCGCCAGGAATTAGTAGGAAATTAGATGGAAATTAGTCCTTATTCTGAGATTTTTAAGTGTGTTACTGTGTATTTAAATTATATTTAAACACAGAGAAACCAAACCAAGAGAATCCGCAAAATTATGGCAATTCATGGAATATGATCTGAAAAAAATGACATGAAAATGAATCCATCAAAACATAAATTCTGTACAAGGAATCACACAAGCACAAAAAATACTAGAAGAATGATACCATAAGAAAACTAATACAAATAAAAGAATACTTATAGAAATAGAGCCAATGAAGAATATTTTATAGAATCAATAAATGATGTTATTATTCCAATAATGAAGAAAATATGGGAGTCAAGCTGTTAATAGGAAAACGAAATAAATTCTAAGTAATGGTATATTTTACCAAACAAATAAGACCTATAGAAATACAATCAAGGGAATAATGTATGGAATTGATAAATGATGACGTTATTTCCACAATTAACAATATATGAAAGTCAAGCAATTATAAAGAAATGAAAGTAAACCAAAAACAACCTAAATAGATGGTATTGTATCAAAAATAAACAGCCATAAATAGGCTTAAATTAAAAATCACTGCTCTGAATTTATCGATGATAATAAGGAACCATAAAAATAGCACCCATTGGAAATTTTTCCTTACTTAAATTTAAAAATGATGAAATCTACTAATGAACATCAATAGCAAACAAATAAAAATATATTTACACAAAAGAAATAAAATTTTTAGATTTACTTATAAGTCCTGATGCATTGTTCATAATATCAATTGAAATGATAAATGTACTGCCCTGGAACTGTATACATCCATTGAGTTATTGCACAATCTCTGTAAAAAAAGAAATACATAATATTACATTTTATTAATTATGCTATAATAATTACGTTTTTTTTTTGTTTCGTATTAATATTAAATATATCTTAAAATTACGGTTAGTCTGTTAATAATCATTTATTGAAAAAAATTAAAATTTATTGAAATTGTTTTTAAATAATAAAATAAACTTACTTTTAATTGAATAATGAAAAACCAATTTCGTAAACCAGAATGATGGATAAACAACAGAGGTGATCCAAGTCCTGTCTTTTAGGTGGCCTGTACATGCTGAGTGTGTATTATTAATAATACTCCTAAAAGAGATAATTGAATTAAAGCATTATAATTAAAACAATGCAAATTTGTATAAACTACGATATATGACGACGACAGTGTATAGTAAAAATGCTAAAAGGTTTGTTTTTATCTGAAACAATTATGTAATTATTGAGCACATAGTGGGCCCCTTTAGGTATACTAACACTGACTTATTTTAAAAGACGTAGAAAATAGCTTGATTCCCTGTACAAATAAACACTCTTAAAAAATTACTCTTCAGAAAAAAAAGGACATCTTTAAACACAATCAAAAAAATGGCCAAAAAAATATCAAATATTTGTAAATAGAAAGCAATATTCTTAGTAACTTTAATATTATTGTACAATAGAGACATCAAGGAATGTATATATATTCCCATACACTCGATTTTGAAAAAGAAAATGAGGAAAATTGGAAAAATTTATAAGCTTTAAATGATGATGTAATTGAAATATTTCAAAGTGAAAAAAAACTATAAAAACAAGCAAAATAACGGGTACTTACATTTACATGAGTTTAAGCAGGCTTACGGAACAGAATAAGCTCAAATAGTGTACAAAAGAACCACTTTTTCTACCAAAAAATCAGAAAAATTGTAAAGGAACTTCCAACAACGGAAAATGTCGTCCTGTCATGATGTTTTTTTTGCTGTATAACCAATGCTGCGCTAAAATAAAATATTTATTCTACTGAAATAGTGTGTGTATTATATGTTTATCATGATTTTGTAACGATTCGATTCGTTTTATACTTACAAAACTAAGATTTAATTTAGATCTTCACATAAATGCAAACATATTGGCAACCATTTTAGTTTTTAGTTCAAAATTTCCTCACTTTTGACACAATAGCGCCACTAGCGTTCTTCTTCTTTTTCGAATTTTAGGCAATAATAGATTCGTAACCACAGAATCATAAGAAGTATTGTTCTTCTTCTTTTCAATACTTCTGTTCCTAACCATGTGCAACCACAGATCTTATAAATATTCTTCTTCTTTATTTTTCAATGGCTTGAACAGGTCAGGAACATTTGGCCAGTGTTCTGAAAAAATAATTAGGAGAGATCAAATTATAATCTATGGATAATTATTAGACAAAGACAACAATATAAATAAACAAATACGGCAATTTTAAAATTAAAATACGTTTAAACAATGTTTAAAGACTAAAATCAAATAAAACATTTTAAAATTTGGTGATCTAGATAAATATCATTGATATTTACGTGCTAAATCTCAATAAATCCAACCCTTCCATATCAAGAACACTGGAGATTCAAGAAAAAGTATACAGACTAGTTTTATTATAATTCTCTATACATTAATACTGAATTTCTGGTCAAGATTCTTACAAGAAAGAATAGAGAATTTAGAAGAGAGAGTGACTTACAAGAAAAAAGAATTTAAACAGTTTTCGTAACCGCATGGATTTATCATTACATCACAAAGGCACATCCAGTAAAATGTAATCCTTGTTGTATCGAGGATATGATTGGAAATATGCTGGAGTACAATGCCCTAAAATGGAATGTTGTAAATGGATGAAAATTGCTCTCACTGATTTACACAAACAAGACACGTACAAATTCTTATAATACTTACAAAAATGTCTAGAATACACTAACAAGACATATTTTAGGCATGATTTAGTAGAAGGTACAGAGGTGACTTTAACAAATTTACAGCAAAGATTGGACCAGATTTGAGACCAAATTTAAAAAAATTCTATAGCCTAGGCCTGGTGTAGAATATAGAATTTATTTAATGCTAAGATGGTCTATAATGGCCATATATTAATATGATTATTATTTTATACTCTTTAAAAAGAAAATCATAATTAAGGAATTATATTAAGACTGTGTTAAGACAACTCAAATTTGTTAACTAAAATATGATGACAGTGACCGAGCGGACATTAGTTTTAATCATCTGAAGATCAAGCTAACTCGGTGAGCAATGATGATGCGTTTTGATGTATTGTGGTCAATTAGTGTTTTATTTTGCTCTAGGAAACCTTGTATTATTTATAGAGCCTTAATATTGCAGACGATTTAACAAATAAAACTTTGATAATTTTGAATCCTGTAATTTTTTATAACTAAAAGTGAACCAAGACATATTTCTGAAAAGATAGTTTTTAAACTCAAATTAATATTTAAATTACAAAATTTTTCTTATCTCAATTTTATTTTTAGATTTTTTAAAAAATCTGTTAATTTGAATATTTTATTTTCCTGGCGCGTTCGCCATTTAGTAAAATTTTGCTTTTATAATGCCATTTAAAAAATTTCAATTAAAAATTCTTCTTTTAAAGAAAGAATCACTAATATAACGGTATATGACATATACAGAGTGCCCACACAACAAATCCATTAAAAATTAATTTGGAATCCATTTCAAAATATTTATTTTTTATTAAGTTGTATTTTGAAATATATTTTCTTTTTAATACATTTTCAACTTTCTGAACAAGTTGTGTGGAAAACCCCGTATTCTTTTATAAAGCATTAAAATTGCGAATGATCGTTGAATAACATTTAGATAATTTTGAATCCTGTAATTTTTTATAACTAAGACATATTTCAGAAAAGATAGTTTAACAAATATTCAAATATTATTCCGGTTGAATTAAAATATTGTTGCTTAAAATATATAAAAATAAACGCATTTATATTGAAATTAATATTTAAATTACAAAATTTATCATATCTCAATCTTACTTTTACATTTTTTTAAAAAATCTATGAATTTCAATATTCTCCTTTCCTGGCGCATTCGCCATTTAATACACTTTTGCTTTTATAATGCCGATATAAAAAATATGAATTTAAAATCCTTTTTTTAGAGAGAGAATCGCTTATATAACAGTATATGACATACAGAGTGTCCACAGAACTGGTCCATTAAAAATTATTTTGGGATCCAATTTAAAATATTTATTTTCTATTATGTTGTATTTTGAAATAACTTTCCACTTTCTGAACAGGTTGTGTGGAACACTGTTGGGTTAACACTGCAAATAATCATAAATACAATTTAGATAATTTTAAATTCCATAATTTTTTACAACTAGAATTACCTAAAATATATTCTAGACGATATACTAGTTTTAAAAAAATAAATATTTGGATTTTAACTTAAATTATATAAAAACATTGGCGTTTGTACGAATTATAGAATTTAATCATTTTATCTAAATTTTACCTTAAAAAAATCATAGAATTAAAAAAATGAGATCAGTGTGAGCAAAATGAAGTGTCCCTATCCTAAGTCCGCGTTCTGTTCTACATCTTCAATGGGGAATACGCAGGAGGATCAAATAAATAGGAGTACCAATAACAGCTGCAGTTGTTACGGAACCAGTACCATAAACCTATAAACAGAAATAATTGTATAATATTGTTTCCATCATACAAACAATATTTACTAAACATCCCACCAGAAAAATTTTGAACGGCCTCCAAGAAATATGATTAAAAAAATGTTCTTCTTGTGCGATTGTGTAACATAAAAATACTAGTACACAGCCAGAACTAAATTTTATTAATATAATTTCTTATAATAAAATAATAAGTTAAAATTTTTTCAATAACATTAAAAACATAAACCTCTGAGTACTTCATACCCTTGTTTCATACATTAAATCTACCAAAAAAAAAATGTAACTTACATCTTTTTAAGACGAATAGTTGCCTGAAATCAGTATATATCTCGGCAAAGTAGTTCCTGCATGGTACTGTTGATACATTCCATTCCTATAAGTGCTTGTTGAAAACCACCTGCACATTGCCACAGAATATTCTTTCTAATATTGAGAACAGAAGTAGTGGGAAAACCTGAAATTTTTTACTTGTTAAATTAGAAAGAAAACACACAATTAAATAATTTCATCAAAAATACATTATTATTCTATATCGACAAAAGGAAAGCCTTTTTTAGACAAACGCATTCTTCATAAGGTTTTGTTTGTTTTTATATCTTTTTGTGTTTGTTCGCATTTTGATTTCTAGGACTTTTTATAAAAAATGCATTTTACTCAAAAAGTAAATAATAAAAAAAGTTTTTTCTCTTTATTACCAACATACTTTTACTACATATTATACTACAATACGCGTTTTTCTATGCGGTACTACTAAAAAACTCTATTGCAAAAAGAAACTTACATCTTTTAAGGGTGAAAATTGTTTGACACAGCCAGTGTCTCAGTGTGGTAATATTTGCAGTGCCGTGTTGTCAAGTACCATTCAAATAGCTCCTTGAAGACCAAATGCAGATTTCCACAAAAACTCTGAGAAAAAAACATAAATTTTTCATCCCTAAAACAAAAAACAAATAAACATTGTTCTTTGATAAACTGTGTTCTCTGCATTAAATTTATTTTTGTGAAGAATAGGCAACCAGTAAATCAGAACTAAAAATAAATTAAAAATTAATTTATTTCAGGTGTTCTTTATTGTTTTTTTTAGATTTATTTATTACTGTGATTAAACAAAACAAAAACTATGAGAAGTACATTTTTTATTATATTAATTAAAAGAAAACTTACTTTTAATTCCTTGTAAAGTAGTGATTAGAAATACAAGAAAGAGCTAAACTATGTCATGCTAGCCTCCATTTATCATAAATCTTTGTCTCCTGATGCGTATTCATCTTCCTGCAGCTGATTTAACCCTTGGTCGAAGATTAAGCATCAACCGGCTCCTAGACGTAGAGGGTGGTAAACTTCCTTGGGTACCCATGTATGCTATGCAGGTCCTCGATAGCCGAACATCAAAGATAGAGGATGATCCAGGTCCCCTCTTTTGTGGAAGGACACAGAAAGACACCGTTCTCTTGGTGGTATTTATTAACATGTCTAAAACAAAACCTACTTAAAACACTAAAAACAAAATAAACACTTTACTATTAAGGTTAATTATATCTAGCAAAATATTTTTATTATCATAACAAAATTATTTTTAATCATTAAATTAATAATAATCATCTATCAAAGAATGAAAACGAGATACTGTTACCATACGATATTCTCATAATTTTTTATGTTTCTCCAGATGTTTCTCAATTACTTCTGTTATCTGTCTATCTCTGATGTTTCTCTAACAGTATGGAAATTTGGAAAAGTATAAGTGGGATTAACTACGTCGATGCGCTACAGGAACATTTGCCTGCGCGTCGTATGTCTTCTGGCAGTCTTTTAATTTTACTGTTTGTCTATGGATATGGATTACCCCATGGAATCAATAGGAATTGCGTAGGGATTGCATTAGGGATGATTCATGAACCCTACGTGTAACTCATGCGTGTAACTCATAGATAAAAGAAAATAATCTTCTAGTGTAACTCGTGTGGAACATGAAAATATTTTTAATTGGTGTGATCAGGGCGTCCCGCCCCAGCTCCCGCCCCTCGTAGCAACTCCAAGCCAAAAATGGTATTGGAAAAGAGTATAATATGGCATATGCTTTTTAGCTACTACCATAAAATAATAAATACAAGAAGAAGTGTCAAGTCAATGTTAAATTAGGGAAACAGCGTGGCTGCCTGGGTAACTAATTTTCAGATATGGCGGCTGGGACATTTGACATGACATAGACATGACAATTTCAATTTTATGAAATTTATTTCCGTTTCCGTTTTTTAATGGCGAGCTGTTCAGAAGGTTTAAATGAGGGTTAATATACTTTTTACTCTTTCTAGTAGTAAATAATGCAATAAAATTACTCAAAAATATTTATTTGGAATTTAGAACAATGTAAATATGCAAATCAACACAATTACAGAGCTATAAACCAATAAACTACTGTATCAATAACAATTATTTAAATAATATCAGAGATGCTGTGTTAAAGTGAATTAGTAAAGTAACAGTGCATTGACTTACAGAAACTTGAAGATACATAAATGTTTTCACAGCTTCACGGGTATGCCAACTAAATAACTGGAAGCAGGAAATAGGCAACCGGAACCCACACATAACCTGGAATCAAAAAAAAATATGTAAAAAACATAAATATAGGTACACAAGACTTTTGTGAATTAAATCAAACAGGACTTGAATGAAAATAAAATGAATAAAAAATATGATACATATACATCTAATACCTCATTTGTATTTTAAAAATAATCTACATACATAGATTTATAGCATTATTGCTATGAAAATACATAATAGGTACCTATGTGATATGTAATTACGCATTTCTGTTCATCTTGTAGAAAATTAATGTAGGCTAATAATAGTTCAATAATCATAATTTACCTTGTATAACTTGCTTTCAATTGCTCAAAATCACCGATCAGTCTTTAAAGTAGAGATACGGAAAAATCCTTGGCAAAGAATATCCCAAGATCCTTGGGTTTAAAGCTAAAAAAAATATAAAAACAATTAATATATTACCTATTTTTATATATAATATGGCCCATACCTACTACACGCAGAAACGTCGATTTCATCATTTTCTTCATGTAATTAATATCATATATACTTTATTAAAGTGTTAACAAGGAACTTTATATCAAAAAACATCTTTGTACTTATAAATTTCAGCCGAAAAAAACTTCCAATCAAATCTAAACGGCAAAAATTAAAATGGCGCCCGACCTTGCCAGAGGCCTCGGGAGCTGACGCTGACACACAGACAAAAGACAAAAGAACAGGACGCCGACGTGCATAAAAATGTTCCGTAGCAGAAATTGACAGAAATCATATAGAAATATTCAGATTTTTGTCCAGGACAGTCTAGAAGGCCATGCTTTCTGCCTGGGTAGAACCGCGCCACAACTGTTTCCAATTTTCCGGTTTACTGTCACCCCCCTGGCTACTACCAGACGCAACGGCCTCTGACCCGGATTACTGGGTTAGAGGTCGTTGACCACATGGATCACAGCTACCGCCATGAGGGGCGGGACCACTGCGGGCCGCCGATGCCACGACAGTTCTAGAAATCGCAATGTCAAAGGAAGATTTATATTTTCTGAAGTAAGGTGTAATCGGTTGTGACATCTATCTTAGATTGGTTGAACAAAAATTAAAATTTCACAGAAACTTTCTGCATTTACTATTATAATTATTAATTACCGTAGGATCGAAAAAAACGGTGTCCAGTTGGCTTGGAGATGACGATCGATGACATTCCCGTATAATTTTACATATAAAAGGCACCGATGTTCATTTCGTAGCCATCGCTGACGCTGTTTTTTTCGATCATATTGTACAAATTTCGTGTACAAAAACAAAGGTTTATATATACATCGGAACTAGTTTAACGTAAGTTTATTTTAGATATAACGATTAAAATACTGAACAAAGTTGAGTTGTTTTTACGGTTAGTTTCCCGGAAACCGGACTCTTAAAAAAATCCGGCGTCCCGGACTCAAAAACCCTTTTGAATTAAAAATTATGTGAGCAAAGTGACGTATGAAACAAGAAAATATTATTTTTAATTGGTGATTTCGAGTCTGTTTCTTTTTTGAAAGGGTGAAACGGCTACTGTCAAAATATACCCTTTTCTCCACTACCTGTTACTGTGCTGTTAGGTTGTGGAAACGCCTTATAAAGACGGGACCGCCTTAAGACACTTACTAGCGAAAAGTTGTCCCATTATTTCACTCGATTTTTGACCGAGACCGCACTCTACACAATCAAATTTTAAAGTCATTCTCGATAAAACGCAATAGTGTCAAAGTTATTTTAAGTTCTGCCACAATTTCCGTCGAGATTTACTACCTTTATTTATACAACTATTGGTGTAGAATAAATAATAAATAACATAAAATAAGCTCCGTAAAACCTGACAAATCCACAAAATTTTAAATCAAATTCAAATGTGTCAAATGAATCGTCAAACAGAACTGTCAAGAATCCCCACCCTAGAGTCCTTTTTCCGCCCACCATGCATGAATACATGGATAGCAATTGGCATTTTTTGTGAAATGCTGAAATCGTTTGTCAATGTAATAATTTTAAATCTAATTTTACTTTATTTTGTTTTATGTTTTGTGTCTTTGTGTGTAAAAAGGTCATAGAAAATATAAATATATATTTTTAATTTATTGAATTGCGAAAAACGGAAAACGAGAGTCAAAAATTGAATTAAAAAAAAAAAGATCGATTCTCACTAAGATCGATTTTTCTTGTATCGATTCGCGGTCGTTCGATCTAGATAAAAAATCGATTCTTTTTACAGAATCGCACATCCCTTAGGGATTGCCCTAGATCATAGATAAAAGAAAATAATCTACTATTAAGATAGATATGAAACTTAATAGTAAAATTTTGGGTCAAAGCGCCCCTCCGTGTTTTTAGTGGGGACTACGTTTAACCCAGCGCCTGCGCCTTTTCTGCTGTAACTGTTTTTTATGTTTATATTTGAATTCAAAGGATTTATTTTTAAAGCTACACTGATATATTAGTATATCAGAGTAACTTTCATAAAACATAAGAATATATATATTTTACAATTTATTTTTTTATTTATTTTACAGAGTTTCATGTAAATGATCGTAAGTCGACTGGCTGTCTAATAAATAGACCGGGACTTATAGATTTTAAAGCGAACGAAAAAAAAATCAAACAACGAATACATACCATATATTTTTCTTTTATCTAAGATACATACCTTATCGTCATTTGGAAACACGTACATTTTTTGCAGTTTTGTTAGTTTCTTTGCAAGATGCAACACAACAAGAAAACACCATTTTTACAGTTAATAAATAATAAAACTATTTCTGACTATGATATTTAAAATTTAGACAGACAGAAAATTCAAAAACAAACGAGTATTTGCAAACGCAGGCCCAAATTCAATAAAAATCAAAATTTTTCCTGCGAAAATCAGGTTTTTTTACAGAAAAGGTATTTTTTGATTTATCAACAATCATTGTCAAGTTGACAATATACAGGGTGTTTTCTAATTAGTCTAAAAAATTGTGGTGTGATTCCTCATGTGTTCTAAAAACAATTTTTATATAACCATTCGGTCTGAAGTACTTCCTTTCTGATCTACAGGGTGTTAAAAATTAAAAAAAAAATCGATATTTTGCTTAACATAAATGGTACACTACTGCTTTTTTAAAGAAAATATATTTTTTTCTTGACTGGCCATCCTTTTTTAACAAAATTAGTCTTTTGAGTTTTTCTTGTTCATCAAACGGTTGCCGAGAAAAAAATAAATATACTTATTAAGAGCCCGCCTTAAGCCGTTAGATTAATTAGGAAACACCTTGTATATGCATATCACAGGCAACCAAATAATCTAGTAACCTCTAAAAATTATTTTTCCTACCACTAGCGTGTTTTTAGTGAGTACGTGAGTACTAAATTATTTTATCAAAATTTCACCATATAAGTTTCCAGGCAATGGGCCTAGATTACCCAATGGAATACCCAATAATAAGAATTATACGTAGGGAGTGGGGACGTAGGGATTACAATGATTACATTAGGGATTAGGGATGATCCCTACGTATAATCGTGTGAAATCGTGAAATGTCAAATGTGAAACAAGAAAAAATTCTTTTTTATTGGTGATCATGACGTCCCGTCCGCGTAACGATTCCAAACCAAAAAGAGATATTGGTTGGTATAAAAAGGCATATGCCATGCCTTTTCTCTACTACCACATGGGCCGTAGTTATCGCTATGAAGGGCGGGACGTGGTCGACTCGGCAGTTCTAGAAATCGCAATGTCAAAGGAAGATTTATATTTTCTGAAGTAAGTTGTAATCGGTTGTGACATCTATCTTAGATTGGTTGAACAAAAATTAAAACTTCACAAAAACTTCCTGCATTTACTATTATAATTATTAATTACCGTAGGATCGAAAAAAACGGTATCCAGTTGGCTTGGAGATGACGATCGATGACATTCCCATATAATTTTACATATAAAAGGCACCGATGTTCATTTCGTAGCCATCGTTGACTGATCGCTGACGCTGTTTTTTTTTCGAACACTATATTCTAACTGTATTATAATGGGTAGATTTAATAAAACGATTTTATACCTTTTATCGAGGTGGTTCAGAGCAAAAACCATTTTTGTATCGCTTCGAAATTTTCAGCGAAATTAAACAATACTTCTAAAGAAAATGGCGGATGCGCAGGATAACTACGCTTTTTAAACTAGATAATTAGATAATTACGATCTTTAAAAGTAGCTTAATTTATTTTATTAGTTTAAATTCAAATTAAATTACCTAAAATTAGTCACTGATTACAATTTTATCTTAAGAATAATCTGCCTCTACCTTCCATAGTTCCTCTGTATTTGACTGTTCATATTGAACACGTCTTTGGTATTTTACTTTGAAAGTTACGCTGGAGAACTGGATCTAGAACTAACGAGACTAGTTTACTATCTGTATACAAATGCTCTACCTTACATTACGTTGGAATATCTAGATTATTGTTATGAGAAAATCAGATCCAAGGATTCCCAGCCTCAGATTCATAATGTGAATTTTCTCTAGGGGAAGACTGCTTACAATTTTATCCTATAACAAAGTCAAATGGATCAAGCCAGCTGGAGAAATAAGTGTCATTTCCTCAAAGACTAGGGGAACCTGCCGAATTTGTAATCTTCTGCAATATCAAATAACATTTTCCTAAAAACCTTGATAATGTTCAAAGAGACTTACCATTATTTCCAATATAATTTCTCATGTGAATTATTTACACAGTTTTCTTCGTTGTAAGACTATTTTTTACTTTTTACTACAGATCAGTTTGAACGTACATTTGTTTTGCACAGGTCCTACAAGCTTATTACGATATCTCACAACAGTTTTTATCACATTTCTATGAATATTTGTATCGCTCTCTATTAATTATTCCACATATATCTTGAATTTTGCCAGTACATAGCTCTAAGTTCGTCTTGAAACAAGCGATTGGTCTTTTTTAGAACTTCTGTGACGTGGGACACTACTTACGAAGCAGGATTTGGTTATTGTTTTAGTATTATTTGAAGCTGAACACTAGAACGGAAATACATAATTAACAGGTGGCTGGGTGTATTATAACGCGTATATTATTTATTACAACGGTTTCATACCTTTTATTGTTTTTTTTTCTGGTCCTTCTACGATATTCGAAGCCAACTATTCATTATGAGAAATTGACATGTCATTTTCTAAAATGTCCAAATAATATTTATTTCCTATGAAATACCTTACAAAACACATAAAAATCACCTTATCCTTAATTTACCTTCTATTTCGAGTATCTAGGAAGCAATAATTTAACTTTGTTCAGCAAACTAATTGGAAAAATAATTTGTGACCCCAGGCAACCAGTAATACACCTTCGGATACGTCATTGCCTTAATATCTCACCGGTCGCTTCCGACAAAAAATAAGTACTTATACAAAAAACAAAAGAATTTTATTTGGGATTCGCAGACGCGGCGTGCGATGTAGACTCTAATCCTAACTTTCTGGCGCTTGAGGAATGCGACGTTATGGGAACTGGCCAGCCCATAATTTAGCCCTCTTGAGTTGTTGTTAGAGAATTGTCTGCAGGCGTACGATGTCTGTCAAGGTAGTCTTGATGCCGAGGCGCCGGTCAAGTTCTACCACGAAATTCCGCATTCCTAGGTACCTTCGTTTACGGGGGGGATTGTTAAGATTCGTCTAGTCGGAGAGGCGACGCTTGCAATTAACCCCGTAAATGCTTGGAGTTATAAACTTGGGAATGTTTTTTGTCACTTTTTTTCAATCATTTTGAATTTTATAAAAGTGGTACTTAATATTTATACAGATTTACTTAAAATCAAATACGTTTAAATTGTTTAAATTAATTTTTTTTATCAGACACGCCATGAGACGTCTGGTGGCAAAAATGTTAACCTCTATGATGGATGACAATTGACAGTGACAGCCGACAGGTATATTTTTTCTAATTTTCGTTTTTGCTTGCATTTTAGTGGTTAAATTATTAAAAATTAAAATGTTGGGCGGTGGAAGAGCTCCCATTTTAGTGTTGAGTGAGTGAATTAGTATATTTTTACGTTTATCTACGTTACTAATGAGTTTTTGTATCTCCCAGGTCAAAATACGAAGCGCGAGTCAGGCCGCAAAGTTCAGCTGGAAAACATCAACGCCGGGAAGGTAATTGCACGTGCTCCAATATTTAAAGAAAACGCCTATTCTTTCATCATATTCCTCATTTATTCCATAGATTCCTTGTTGTTTTACTCATAAATTAGCTTCTAAAAGCATATCTCAAAGGCAACTGCTCAGACATAATTTGTCTTTGTTACTATAATCTTTTTTGTAAACTAATTCACTAACACGGGTTTTCTAGCAAGTCGCTGATGTTATTCGAACATGCCTCGGCCCCCAAGCGATGCTAAAAATGCTCATGGACCCCATGGGGGGCATAGTCATGACCAACGACGGAAACGCCATACTACGTGAGATCACTGTGCAGCATCCGGCAGCAAAAAGTATGATAGAAATCGCACGGACTCAAGACGAGGAAGTGGGAGATGGAACCACGTCGGTTATTGTGCTGGCCGGAGAAATGCTAGCTTCGGCAGAACAGTTTCTAGAACAACAAATCCACCCTACCGTTATTATTAAACAGTACAGACAAGCTTTAGAAGATATTATTGCTTTGCTGGAAGGTCCGCTTAGTGTTTCTATTGATAAAAATGACAAAAAAGCATTAGCTAATGTTGTATGTATTAAAAAATTTAATAAGTTTTGGAGAAAATAAATATTTGTGGTTATTTTAGGTAAAAGGCTGTATTGGTACTAAATTTATTAGTAAGTGGTCTGATTTAGCTGTGAATATTGCTCTGGATGCTGTACAGACAGTAATGTTGGAGGAGAACGGCAGGACGGAAGTTGACATCAAACGGTATGCAAAAGTAGAGAAAATACCAGGCGGATCTTTGGAAGATTCAGAAATTCTCAAAGGCGTTATGCTGAATAAGGATGTAACTCATCCCAAAATGAGGCGTTATATTGAGGTAAATCTTATTAAAACTATTTTATTATTTCATAAACAAATCCATCGATATTTTAGAACCCAAAAATTATTTTATTGGATTGCTCTCTTGAGTACAAAAAGGGCGAATCTCAGACCAATGTAGAAATAACTGCCGAAGGCGATTTTACCAGGATGCTAGAGATTGAAGAAGAGCATGTCAGAAAACAGTGCGATGATATTATAGCCTTGAAGCCTGACGTAGTGTTCACAGAGAAGGGTGTGTCAGACTTGGCCCAACATTTCCTTTTAAAGGCTGGAATAAGCGCAGTTCGGAGAGTTCGCAAATCTGACAATAACAGGATCGCCCGAGCTTGTGGGGCCGTCATAGTGAACAGAACGGAAGAACTACAAGCCTCGGACATTGGAACTGGAGCGGGACTCTTTGAAATCAAAAAATTGGGTGACGAATACTTTTGTTACATCACTAAATGCAAAAATCCTAAGGTAAGTTTTGAATTGTTTTTTTTAAACGTTTTTTATTATAATTTTAACGTTATTTCCAGGCCTGTACTATCGTTCTGCGTGGGGCCAGCAAAGACATCCTGAATGAGACCGAGAGGAATCTCCAGGACGCGCTCCAAGTGGCCAGGAATATTGTTTTGAAACCCCGTCTGGTTCCTGGGGGTGGGGCTATAGAGATGGCTGTAGCTCAGAGACTTTTACAGAAAGCCACTCACGGGCCTTACAGGGCCTTAGCCCATGCTTTGGGTAAGGATTTGTAGGTTAAAAAAATGATTTTTTAACCCGTTTTTTTTTTGAACAGAGATAATACCTCGAACGCTGTCCCAAAACTGCGGCGCGAACACTATCAGGACTTTGACGGCTTTGAGGGCGAAGCACGCCAATCATACCGATCAAAACAGTCCTTGTACGTGGGGTATTGATGGTGAAAGTGGGGAATTAGTTGAGCAGAAGGACAAAGGAATCTGGGAACCCCTGGCTGTTAAGCTACAAACGTACAAAACTGCCATAGAAACAGCTATTTTACTGTTGCGTATCGATGATATTGTGTCGGGATCCAAGAAAAAGGACAAGGAACCCAATACACCCAGTCAAATACAAGAACAGACTGCGGCAATGCAAGATTAAGTTTTTTTTGTGTCTAGCTTTTTTATATTGTAACGTTTAATATAACAGAACGCGTTTTGTACCGGCATAGTATTTTCGGTATCGCTAATTAATCGTTTTAATTTAATTATAATTCAAATTTAGCACGTATTTTTGAAGTTATTAATTTAAAATAAAAATTTTCTCATACCTCTTCTTTTTGTCAAAAACACCCAACTATCCCCTATTATTTTTGTTGTAAAATTATAAGTCTAGTTAACCAAGGTTTTTATTATTAAATAATACCGTATAATTCGAAAAAAACGGCGTCAAGTTGCCGGCAGACTTGGAAATGACGATCGATGTCATTTTCCACATAATTTAACATACAATTTCTTAGCAACAAGATAAACGATCTCTTTGGATCGTCTGGTATATTTTCTTTAAAGAAATATAATTCTTCAACTTTTCCCTCTAAAGAACAATAAAATATTTTGTTAACAATAATTTTCAAGGGCATACGCGAAGAAAGAAAATAAACGAACGTATCGATCTCTCTCTAGGCAACTCCCATTACCGTAAATTAGACAGAGCGGGCTATATTTTTTTTAGTCGATTTGTACGCCATCTAGGACGCATGAGCGTACCCGAAAACATCAATCAACTCGCGTGGGCCGCCATTTTGATTAAGTGGAATTGGTGGAGGAGAGTGGTTAGAAAATTAAGTGCGAAAAAATGTTTTAAAAAATATAAAGTGTACGGGGTGTGCGTACATTACCCGGTCCATTTTTAGGTGAGTTTTTGATCTGTTTAGTTTTTGCGAAAGTGTGACAATGGAATCGCGAGTAATTTGGGCATTTTCGTTGTTTGGAGCCAAGCCGCTTGATAATGTTTGTAAACATTTTTTCTTCGATTTTGTATTGAATTATTATCGGGTTTCTTGTCTGTTTCGTGCCTTTTTTGCACGCATTTATGTTGAATTGAGGATAAAAATAAAATGTAGTTTAATTCTGACAGAGCGGGAATAGTTTTAAAACGCTGGTATTCGAATGAGAAAATAATTTGATATCATCCCTTTAAAAAATGACTAGATTTAGTAAAATTCCCGCATTAACATCAATAAAAATAAATTTTTATTCAAACTAACACTACATAAAATGTTTCACGTATAATTTATTTTATTTTAAAGCCCAAAATGTTATTTTTTAAGTTAATTAATTTTTCAAGGTCTCCCGAAACTTGGACAAGATTTAACAAAGATTTGCGTTGATTAGAATCAATTTTAAAATAATTACACAGTTAATTACGGTTTTAACAATGAATTAAATTTAAGATTTTTCTTTGAGCCTTTAAAACTAGTCCATAAAATTGAATTTTTTTAACAGGTTTAATTCCTAATAGATGGGAGCACTAAAATGTGGCTTAGGAGCGAAAAACGTGCCAAGAGACACTTCGTGCTCAATTCCAAGAAAGGCAAAAAGGGCTTGAGGAGACCCTGGGGTGGAAAATCGTCCAGAATCAACCGCCTGTACAAGGGATGCATGAAAAAACACCCGAAAAAACCTACAATCGTCGAAACAGACCAGCAGATCGGTAGGCTTACGGAAGAATGTAAAGAAAACTACCAAGCTCAAGTAGTGCCTGAAATCTACGATCAATCCCAAGAAAAAGTCGTTGAAAATATACCTAGCGTTATCCCTGACCCCAGCGATATAGTTATCGATTCCCCAGATAAATACTATGAGTTTTACGCGACTACCAGCACCTACGGGAGTTCTGCTGATGTTCTGGAGTCCGATCTACCCAAGGAGGTTGAATATAGGTTAGTTTTATTTTATTTTACCACTGTAATTTCTTAAAATATGACTTTTTTTTAGTTCTATTCAGCTAGACGCTAACACAAACATAATCTCTTGCCAAGAAACAATAACCACAGAAGATTATTCAAACAAAATGCAGTTTAATATCACGGAAAAAAAGAGTTGCGAGTATCAAAAATACGGGATGTATACAGACAAAATGTGTGAGTCCATGTACTTTGAATATCCCCTGAAAAACGATTTTTCTCAACTCCAAATGGACCTCAGCGTTCTAAACAACGTAAATCCGCAAGATTTCACCAATATGCTGGACGAAGAAATGGCCAAGGACGTCAATATCGGTAGGAATAACATCTTTAATCTTTTTTATATATATTTAAGTAATAATTTTGACTGATTTTTAGCAAATGTAGTGTACGACTATGCCAACATTTATACCTGTAGCATGCAGGACGAAAATATGATCACTAGCGTCGGCTCTCAGCAGCATGAAAGACTAGATGCTCAGCCCGAGCACGTTGAGGTGGTCGAGGACACTTGGGAGGCGTTTGATCCGTACTTATTCATCAAGCACTTGCCTCCACTGACTTTTGAAATGAGATCGAAATGTCCGGCGCTGCCACTGAAGACCCGATCAAGTCCCGAATTCAGTTTGGTAAGTTTGATATTGAAAATCACAATCTGGCAGCGCTGTCGCCATCGCTCGTCACTTAAAGTTGATGACGTGCATCGGAAATTGTTTTGCGTTTACCATATCTCGGTCTACGTAGATCGATTCTATAAAAAATCGCTTTTGGATTAATCGATTGAAAAAATCTGGAATCGATTTTCTGAAGAATCGATTTAAATCGAACATCCCTAATATATTTACGATTTCCGTTTGCTTCAGGTGTTGGATTTGGATGAAACCCTGGTCCACTGCAGCCTACAAGAACTGAGCGACGCCAGTTTCCGATTTCCCGTACTATTCCAGGAGTGTTCGTACACTGTGTACGTACGAACGAGGCCCTTTTTCAGGGAATTCATGGAAAAAGTGTCTCAAATGTTCGAGGTGATCCTGTTCACCGCCTCGAAACGCGTCTACGCCGACAAACTACTCAATCTGTTGGACCCGGAGCGGAAATGGATCAAGTACCGCTTGTTTCGCGAACACTGTGTATGCGTCAACGGGAATTACATCAAGGATCTCTCGATTCTGGGAAGGGACCTATCGAAAACTATTATTGTCGATAATTCGCCTCAAGCGTTCGGATATCACGTAAGTTCTTGTTTTTATAGATTTTTTTCACTTATATTTGCTGTAGGAATGGGCTGATATATCGATATTTCAAAGTATCGATATGTTCCTCTAAATTTATCGATATTTGCCGGGTTTTTAGCTACTACTATACCGTGCTGGCAACTGTTACTTTTGGGTCGGCATTTACATGTGTGGAAGTAAATCGCATAGGGATCTTATTAACTTTACCCTCAAAATTTCATTCAAAACACTAAAAGGACCTGGAAGAAAATTATAATTATAATAAGTCGAAAAAATATTAAGATTTTCACACCCTGTAGCTACGAAACAAAGCAGAATCCGACCTATGTTGATATGAAAAATAAATCTTATTTTTACCTGAGGAATCTCCCATATTTTTTGAAACACCCTGTATAAACAGTTATTATTTACATCAACAAATCCCCAGCAGGAAATATAAATTCCAGTTAGTCAGCCAGGCGCCGAATATGTTCACGGTTGGCAACAATGAATATAAAATGACGTCACTAAAAGTTTAATTGGTATCGATTATAGTTTTTTTTGTCTCTGCGATAGAGATGTACAAACTTATCGATATATTTTTGTAACTATGAATAAATTTTGGCAATATTTTTAGTAAAAATATGTAATGATATAAATTATTTCGGGAACTATAAAATTAGGGTGGGTAATTATTTATAGTATTTTTTCTATTTACAGCTGAATAATGGAATTCCCATTGAAAGTTGGTTTGTCGACAGAACTGATTCTGAACTTATGAAATTACTGCCATTCTTGGAAGATCTTGTACAAATGGTAAGTTTTTTTATATTTCAGATATTGATTTACATTAATTTTCATAATAATTTCATGAATATATTAAAAGATGCACATAAAAATGTGATAAAATTATTTTTCAAAAAGTGTTTTATTTTTTAGTTTAAAATTCGTTTTTTTTTCAGAAAGAAGACGTTAGACCTCACATCAGAAACAAATTCAAACTGTTCAGCTATCTACCACCCGATTAAAAAAACCACACAATTTCGCGACAATCTCTCATTTCAGTTATTTATTTATTTAACTAAATACTCCCGTTAAAGTACTGACTAACTAAAAAAATCGGTTGTGTTTTTCGTTAATTTTTATGAAAAAACGAAAAAAAAACGAGCTAAATTATTGAAATTTTGGTGCCTTGAAAATTGGGAATTTTCTTCGAAAACTTTTGTGCAATATCGTAAACTTTATGTGATCGAAATGGTTGTTAGACTCTGATAAGTTCCCGAATAGTTTTCCAGCTAATTATCGAAAGATTTAAAAAAATATATAACTATTATAAAGGGTATCATTGAAATGGTGTAAAAAAAATCAGGGGGTAAAATAGTAAAAAAAGTTCCTATAAGTATAGGGCGGAAAATGCATTGTATTAAGGGAGTTAGGGGCACTGAAAGGGTGAATTTAAAAAACGGTTGTTTTGAAATTGCAGGCTTAAAAACGAGATAAAATTTACTCGGTTATTAATTAATTACTTGGTTACTTTTGAACCGCCATAACTTTCATAAGTTTATGTTGATTAACCAGTTGGCAACCCATCGGAGCAAACTCTTTGCCATCAATTTTCTCGAAAACCATCGCTCCGGGCGATGTGCAACAAGAGTACCTTTTTTGTAGAAAAAAGTATGTAGTTTTCAAAAAACGAACCCACGTTGCAAAAAAAATAACCTCAAAAAAGTTATTCACGAAACCCTCTACCCTTGCGAAAACTACCATTTCCGCTTTTCCAAATAATTTTTCAGTATCGCCAATTGATTTAGGGTCAAAAGTTATGGCAGAGGATTTTTTTTCGAAATTTTATCTCGTTTTTTAAGCCTGCAATTTGAAAGCAACCTTTTTTTTTAAATTAACCCTTTTAGTGCCCCTAATTCCCTTAATATGCATTTTTCGCCCTATACTTATAGGAACTTTTTTTTACTATTTTTAGGAGTACTATCCGAAACCAAACCGCGTGATTTTTTTTACAGCATTTCAATGACACACTGTATACAGGGTGGTACGAACTGTATTCCGGAAACTTCGGCAGCATATTCTGCAGATAAAAATAAGTAAAAGAGTTCGTATAAATGTATGTCCTAAAATGCTTAGTTTCGGAGATACAGGGTGGAGAAGTTTTATTTTTATTTCGATTTTTTCCAAATAATTTCTGAAGTAACGTCAATATTTCGATGAAGATTGGTGGTCTGGGAATTTTTTGACATTAGAAATTTGGATTTCGATGTCAATATGACCCGTACTTGTAGAGGGCGCCACCTACATGTGTTTTACATGTTTTGAAGCTTAATAACTTTTTGTCCGTACCTGTATAAACTACCGAGGGAAAAAATATACATCTCTGACTTTTTACAAAAGTTATTAAGCTTCAAAACGTGTAAAACCAATGACTAAAGAATCCAAGGACAAATAACACCCGACAGCAAATTGTGACGCTGGCATCAAACAGTGCCGTGGCACATATTTTTCTTAACCTAGCTGTTTGAAGCAATATTTATATTTTTTGATAATTGTTTTGACTACACCTATGGTGTATCATCCTAATTAATTACGAAAAAAACGTATTAAAATGTTAACAAACGGTACAAAACTAGTATCGACGTATAGCACATATCAAGTACATATAGATGTTAAGTTGAAGAATAATTATCGAATTCAATAAGAAAACGATAAAAGGTTGGAGTGTACTGTTATTTACCTGTGAAACGTAACTCCTGGCTCTTTCTTGTCGCTGTGGCTTTTACACTTGAAAGCTACACAATTCACCATTGTAACAAAGTTTATACAAAGTTCACTACACACAACAAACTATTAAAAATCGCTAAAATTGTCGCTGGTGACTGGATGATGACTCACTGTTTGGCATCAAACGAATGGCGTCTAACGTCACAAATTCTACTACAGCCCGTACAGGGGCGTTACATGTCCTTATATTCTTTAGTCATTGTGTAAAACACATGTAGGTGGCGCCCTCTACAAGTACGAGTCATATTGACATCGAAATCCAAATTTCTAATGTCAAAAAACTCCCAGACCACCAATTTTCATCGAAATATTGACGTTACTTCAAAAATTATTTGGAAAAAATCGAAATAAAAATGAAACTTCTACACCCTGTATCTCCGAAACTAACCATTTTAAGACACACATTTTTAAAAACTTTTTTATTTATTTTTATCTGCAGAATATGCTGCCGAAGTTTCCGGAACACAGTTCGGACCACCCTGTACATAAAAAAATCACCGGGCAAGTTTACAGAAACCTGCTTGTTAAAATATGTATCATATTTTACTAGAATTATAATAAAGAACAATATACAGGATGTCATCCTAAATCCGTGGTCTGTATTGCTCGTATCAGATAAAGACAGGCATATCTGAAATCCCAGATTTTCCATGAAGAACTTAAAAATAACTGAAAAACTATTTCTGTCTTTGTCTTACGCGTTTATAATACAGGTTTATGCGATTTAGGATGGCCCAGCCTGTATATCTTTAAAAAAAAACGTTGGTCAGTATTTTACGTATTAAATTTTTTTGCTAAGGTTTATTATTATTATTATTAATTGGGCAATGTTACCGTTTCTTATACCAGTCTTTATTTTTTTTTTAAATTAGGTATAGAACAAAAAAAAGAATATATTTAAAGACTGTTTTGTATTGTCGTATGTTAAAAAAAAGTCGAATTCGCTAATGTAAGTTCAAAATTCGACCGCAATGAGTCGTGATCTCGTAATAAATAAAGATTTCCGTGGTGTAAGAAACGTGACAGCTGTCAAACAACTTATCCACCCAACTTACTTGTACATACAGGGGGAACAATGTTATAAACATTTCTTGCCGCACTATGCTGAATACTTTATATATTTTTTAATTTTTAACAGTGAAAACGGTTTAAAATCAAATTTGCCGCTTTAAAAACTTTGAATTTGAGTCCAAAAATTCGCCTTTGTAATTTTTTAAACGTTTTTTAAATATTTTTGTAATACAATTAATTCCACGGTGATTTGACCCACTGTATTGTCTTTTCGGGTATACAGCGGTTAATTTGAGGTGCTACACGATATACCTAGAATATTTTTGACGTTTGACTGTTTCTAAAAGCCGGCAGTGAATGTTATTTCTCGACCTACCTTGACGTTAATTTAATGTGGTCATACAATACATTGTTTTGGGCTCAAATCAAGGGTTTTTATAAGCAAAATAATGGCAATATATAAAAACAAACAGCACTGTTTCAAAGTATGGTTTAGATATTTTATCGTACATATACGTAAGTATTATATCTTAATGTTGTATGTTTTATATTTTATTATGAAACAAAAAAAAAAGGTTTTATTATGATAACGTTCTCAATCAAATATATACACGAAAAAAAGTTATAGAACGATATAGACATATTAATTTGAATTAAATTTTTTATTGTTAATTTTATTAGAACAGAGTTCTTCCAAGTTTTTGTTTAAAATCGATTTTAAACATTTTATTTTAAGGTATTATCTATTGTGATCGAACGAAATTTTTTGTTAAAAAAATCATAATTTTATTTTTTGATTGTGTGTATCTTAATAGGAAAAAATTATAGAAAAAAATGCACATAGTCACTAATAATTCCATTGTACTGTTTTGTTTCTTGTACTTAACATAGTTTTTTTTTTGTTATACCTTAAGAAGTAGATTAAAAAGGTTTTTATTAATGTTGAGAAAATTTATTTATATCGCTTATAAACAAGGCCATCTAGGAATTTACCTAGTATTTCATTTTCAGTCGCTCAACATTGAAAAAAATTCTTTTAAAAATATATTAATAAAATAATATTTACACATAGAACTAGTAACAAAAGGTAATTAATTAATCCTTAATTTTTTGTATTGTTACACTTTTTTATATGCATAATAATGTTCTTTAAGTTTTTATTTAACTGCAATTATTATTGTTATCGGTAAAAAAATATTAAATTAGTATTGCAATAATTTATTTATGTTTATAAATTAATTTAATCTTTATTTTTTTAAAAATCCTTATCTTTTTACAAAATAAAATGTATATTCCTAGGAAACAAAAAGAAATAATAATCTCTTAAAAATAGTTAAACTCCCTTAATATTTAATTTATTCTTGTTTTAAGCCCTTTTTCTTAGCTTTTTATATTTCTAGGGTTGCATTAAAGTATTTATTGTTATAAGAATTATTTTGTTATACTGTTAAATTGTAGAATTATATTTAACATAGTTTTTTTTTAATTAAACCATTTAAATGTAAATCCTGGTATTTTATTTATTCAACGATTATACGGATGCATCTGGGCGGCACTTTTTATATTAGTTTTTATAGCCGATGGGGCCTTGCTCATCGACATAGCCTGCGAGCTTGGGGGTATCGGTCCCTGTCCGGGGGGTCCGCCAGGCCTGCCTGGCGCCACCATCATGCCACCTGATGTCGAATTGGGTTGACCGTTGGGATTTGGTCCCATCTAAAAAGATATACGGTTAAAAAAATGACTTTAAAGCGTCAAATTATTACTTTAAGGCCTTTTCCCATCCCTACGGCCGCTACCAGCAGGTGGGTGTCTGCCACGCTCGAGTTTTGCTGAGTGTTTCCCCTGGAAGAGGCTTCAACCTCCCATTCTTCCCTGGCTTTGCTTACTATGTCCCAAACGTGCGTTACTACCTTCTGATAGGCCGCTATTTGTTTCTAGGAGCGTAATTATTAGTATAAAATTAGAATAAACTCGTGTAATGTACCTGGGCGTTGTCGTATTGTAAGCCCTGAGCCTTGTGTTCTAATTGGAGCATTTTTTTCTCAGCCAGCGGTTCTAGTTTGGTTCTTAAATAGTCGGGAACTAGGTCATGCGAGAACGTCGTTATTCTGCCTTCAGTCATCTGAATTAATTGCTCGTCCCTTTCAGGCGATAGCATTAAAGGTAGGACGGTGAGATTTCTAAGGTTTGTACACTTTTCATGACTCAGGACTTTCGATAGTGAAATTAACTAGAACAATACGTTACCTAAGGATGATTCTGTAAGGTTATAGGTAGTTTTACCTTACCTGGCCCGATATTAGTGCGTAATTATCCAAAAACTTCGGCCAATTCAACGACTCGTACTCGTTTTCGATTTTAAATATCATGGAAGCGAGGGATGCTTTCAGATCGTTGACGCGCTGAATTATGGATTCTAAGGAGGATTCTAGTTGTTTTTCTTCGCGTTGTTGCATCTTGTTTTAATAATTTTCAGAACAAATAAATCTTTGATAAACAAACACTGACAGAAAGTTCTCACATAACCTAAAAAATTCTTCTTCTTTTCTAAAAATATGGCGCTTAACCGAAATTGTGGATGTTTTTAAGCCAAAAACAAATCCGTTGCTAATTTCAGTGTCGACAACCTCAAAAATTTGAGATTTTGGTGCACGTATCCTTTGGAGCGATTTGTAATAATTTTTATCAAAGTTAAAAGATGTTCAATATTTAAATAAGATATTACTTAGTCTCCTGAAGATCTAGCAGTTTATTTGTAGTATAAGATCATGAATGCATTGGTAAGTATATCGTCTATATTTTAAATTCTTTCTTTACACTCCTTGGTCTTTTAATTTTCTTTGCATTACTTGACAAAACAATGGAAACTAAACGAAAATTCTTAAATTTCCAGGATAAAACCAAACCGTAAACACGATTATTCGTGGTATCATGCGCCTGAAACGTCCCAAGTTAATCGTAGGAATAATATTGCTTGTATGGTCAACAGTAATATTTATATTCTTCTCGAACAATTTTGGTGAGCAATACAAGTCTTTTAACAACCATTTGAACCGATTGGAAGACGGCATACAGCAACAATTCAAGTTAAACAACGTTATAATTAGCGAGGCACGCACGTTTCTAGAATTTAAGAAAGAAGGCCACAAAGATGATAGGAATTCGAATCATCAACAAAAACAAGTCCAGTTTCGAGATGTAAAAATACCAATTCTTGTTATTGCTTGCAACAGAATTACCGTCACACGTTGCCTGGATGAATTGTTGAAGTATCGGCCTGACCCTGACAAATTTCCAATATTTGTTAGTCAGGTAAATAAGTTTTTTTAATATATATATATATATATATATATATATATTTAACAGTGTAACATTGTGTGTTTTTTAAATAAGGTTGTTTATTAAACGAGTCTGAAAAAATGATGAAATAACGTACAGGAACTAAGGCTGATGAACTTGCCTGTATGTGGTAATGATTTAACCAAATAATAACTAAAATAATCCTAACTGTAGTATCAGTGTTGTTACACTCTACTTTATTTATTCTGTAATTCAAATAATGATGTTCTGCTTGGATTATTTGTTCTTAATATTTACTTAATGGGCATTCTCACCACTCGTGTACTTGATAAACATTATTTGGAATTGGTATACAGGGTATACATGGGGCGTTGGGCATTTTTTATACCCGAATTTCTAAGTTATTTATTTCTTTTTTTTTCAAGGTATTTTGAAAAAAGCAATTAAAAGATAAAGACGCGGCCAAGACTATCAAAATGTTGATCTAATAACAATTTGACGTTTGTACTATTACGTGAAAAGCAACTTTTTTCCAAAACCTACCATGACTTCACTGAATCATCTTTTCTTGTTCACTATTATTAATATCTTAATTATTAGATATTAATACATCTGGTACCGTATGATCGAATAAAAACGGCGTCCAGTTGGCTTGGAAATGACGATCAATGACATTTCCCGTATAAATTGACATATAAAATGACAGCGATCTTCATTTCATAGCCATCGCTGACGCCGTTTTTATTCGATCATACGGTATATTATGGTATTCTGGTATTTCGTCGATTTTAAAATAAACTAACTGTTTCTATCTTATTTTTTTGTTAGAATGGGCCTAATCAAGAGGGCTACTGATACTGTATTGTAAAAATAAGGCAATTAAGGGCTTATTTTTTGGTATTTATTATAATTTTGCTAATGTCTTCGGTTTGAAAGAAGATATCAAGATGCGGTTTTCGCTGACTTTTTAAGCTTTTACTACTCTTTACTATCGGTTAAAATTACATATACTATTGCATTTGATTTTTTTGAAAAAACGCGCAATGTTTGTTAAATTGTAAGACAACGCCCCCTAGCGTCTACGTTCAAAAGCTTATTATTATTGTTTATATGGTACAATATAGAGTAAGAAACGCTCTTTTAAACGAGCCCTCGCTTGTTGGATTCCGATCATCCAGTCCAGAGTTATTAATATTTAAATAACCTAACCTCCACCACTTTATTTTGGTAGATAGGGGAAAATGGCTCTAACAAAAAATATTCAAAATTTACTGAACATTATGAAGCTATTACTTATAGTACACCTTATCTAGGCAAAATGGTGTAAAAACTACATTTTCTTATTTTTTGTTGCAGTTGTGCCCCCTAGCAGTCGTTCTACAAACTTTAAAATAATTTCCAGCAATTTCCCATAGTCCCTTTAGTTATAAATATTTTTTTTCCGCGATACAGCCGAGAGCTATTCTTAGTGGGACACCCTGTACATAAGTGACCAATATTATGGAATTTTTTGTATATAATGAAATTAAATAATACATTTTTTCCTTGATTTTTAAAAAAATCTTGGGAATTTCCAAATTAGAAATAAATCCAAGTACCTACTTTTAATAATCTTATAATGGAAATAATTCTGTTTGTTCAGCTGATTAGATACCATTTTTATTGATTATTTTTTTGACTTTATTTTGAGTATCTTTACTAAATAATTTAAAAGAATTATACAGGCTGTCCCCCATTTATATCCCTGTAGTTTTTTTTTGTTTAATAGTATTTGCCTAATTTTAGGATTGTAATCACGACGAAACAACTAGTATTATTCAAAGCTACGGACCTTCTTTAACCCTAATCCAACAACCCGACCAATCAGACATACCGGTACTGCCCAAAGAAAAAAAATACAAAGGGTACTTCAAAATCGCCAGGCACTACAAGTGGGCCCTGAACCAGATGTTCTTCAATTACAATTATTCCACGTCCATAATCGTTGAAGGTAGATTGAACGCACCTACGGACATATGTAGGACAGCCTGTATAACATTTCTTTTCCAGATGATTTAGAGATATCCCCGGATTTTTACGAGTACTTCCTTGGAACTTATCCGTTGCTGGTCAAAGATCCCACGTTGTGGTGTGTATCTGCCTGGAACGATAACGGTAAACAGGACTTGATAAACAGTGATAAACCCGAATTGCTATACAGGACGGACTTTTTCCCCGGCTTGGGATGGATGCTGACCAGGGATCTGTGGTCGGAACTTGAATCTAAGTGGCCTAAAGCGTAAGTTAATTTCCTCGTTTTATATCCATTAAATCTATACTAATATATAAAATGACTGACTCACCGATTAATCACGATCCTGCTCAAACCACTCAACGTAAGAAGCTCAATTTTGGCATACAGGTTGATTCTAGGGTGTAGAGGTTCGATAAGAAGGGATTTTTCGAAATTTCAGTTCCAAGGGGGTGAAACCACCCCTCAATATTTTTTATTTAAAAAATGGTCAAATTTCCGGAAAAACTGCTTAAGCGCGTATATTTTAATTTGTTTTTTTAAATATTTTAAGATTTTTTAAAAATGTGTACAGGGTGTTTCGAAAAATCTGGTCATTGATTAATCACGATCCTGCTTAAAGCGCTTGACGTAAAAAGCTGATTTTCGGAAAACGGATTGACTTGAGGGTGTAGAGGTTCGATAAGGAGGGGCTTATCGAATCTCAAATTCCAAGAGGGTGAAAACGCCCCTCAAATATTACAATATTTGTTATTTAAAAAACGGTTAGTCTTTCGGGAAAACGCTTGGACAAGCATAATTTATTTTGTTTTTTACATATTGTGAAATTTTTTAAAAATAATACAGGGTGTTCCAAAAAGTTAGGTAATTGATTAACCACGATTCTGCTTAAACTGCTTGACGTAAAACGCTTATTTTTGGCAAACGGATTTTTCGAAAGTCAAATTCCAACGAGACGAAACTACCCCTCAAATATTACCAAGTTATACAATAATATCGCCATGTTGTTTTTTCTCATGCTGACATAAATGTGAGGAAATTTTATCCAGTTTGTATGTTAATGGAAATTCTTGCTTTGCTTTATCATCACCATTACAAATGATTAATTCGACGCGAACGAAGTCGCGGGTACACGCTAGTTTATTTATAAAATTGTAAAAATATGTTTTTTTAAGGTATTGGGACGACTGGATGAGATCTCCCGCTCAAAGACAAGACCGGTCTTGTATCAGACCGGAAATATCCAGAACCAAGACTTTTGGTAAACTAGGAGTCTCCAAGTAATATTTTCTCTTTTTTTTTTTTGAACTGTATACATTCAAAATAAGTTTAAAATTTCTATTTTAGCGGGATGTACTTCGATAGACACTTAAAGTTTATCAAACTTAACGAAAAGTTCGTGCCTTTTACAGAAATGAACCTTACTTACTTACTAAAGGTAAATTTTACTTGTATAATATACGGGGTCCGGCAATAGTGCGTAAAAAATATGTTTTTCAGTCTTTCTTGAAAAACTTATTAAAAATGCAAGAACTGTCCCGAAATCAAAACTATATTATATATTTACTTTAGAAAGTCTATACTTACTTTGCTACAAATATCGTTATGTTAAATCGTACAGGGTGTTCAAAATTCTACGCCAAAAAACTTTGAAAAATATAAAATAATTTTTCTTTGTTTTTTTTTAACTGAACACCCTGTATATTATTTTTTTTATTAGATGGAGAATTAAAAAATGAACTTTTTTGTATTTAAAATACAAGAGAAAAATCATGGGGTGGCTTTGATAAAAATTTATATTATGAAATATAAAACAGCAAATATCTGCGAAACCGTTAAAAATTTTGAACTACTCTAAATACAAAAAATGTCCATTTTTTAATTCTCCGTCTATTGAAAAAATAATATACAGGGCGTTCCGTTTAATAAAACGAGGAAAAATTATTTTATATTTTAGAAAGTTTGGCTTAGAATTTTGAACACCCTGTATGATTTAAGGTTACAATATTCATAGCAAAGTAAGTATGGACTATCTAAAGTAAATACCTAATATAGTTTTGATTTTAGCACAGTTCTTGTATTTTTAATAAGTTTTTTTAAGAATGACTGAAAAAAAATTATTTTTTATTTATTTATTAATATCTCCGAAACTATCAAAATATATTTACTCAAAATGCCCAAAATGCAATATTATACAGGGCGTTTCATTTACAAAAAAATCATCCCAATCCACTCACACTTTCTTAAACCGTTTTTATTCTAGAAGCTAGAGATGCCAGACACACTATTGCCAGACCCTGTATATGTATAAATCGCGTACTCCTATAGTTATTCTCGCGTAACTTTCCTCCGTTTGGATATTTGACATTGTGTACAGTAAAGTCTGTATTTTTTATTTGAACTAAAGGTTGCCGTACACCATGCGACATGCCGGAACGAGGAAAAGTTACCTGAAATTAACTGTGCGATAAATATCACTTTTTTTTTGTAGGATACTTATGAAAAAGAGTTTGTAGCATTAGTTTACAAGTTGCCTGTGATAAGTTACGACGACCTGAGAAACAATAACGTCAGTTATAACGGATCGGTTCGTATAACATACAGAAAAGTGAACGAATACAAGAGCGCGGCTAAGAAACTAGGATTAATGGACGATTTTCGGGTAAATATAATTTTTACGCGCCTTTTTTTCTTGGCCACTGTGTAGCTATAATCAATATTAATATCAATTTTTCATAAGCGTTAATAATTTAGTTTTATTATTTATATTGGGGTTGACATGAACCGTCCTTATACAAAGACGGTATCTATGGTAAACGCAAAACAAATTCCGATGCACGTCATCAATTTTAAGTGACAAGCGATGGCGACAGCGCTGCCAGATTGTGATGGATTTATGATTTGCCAAAATTTCATTTAGTCGATATGATTGATGAGGTGCATCGGAAAATGTTTTGCGATTACAATAGTTTTACCGATAGTCTACGAATAAAAAAGGGATGTATATTGGGTTGCCTAATATTTACGGCAATGTAAATTGATAAAAAAACTTGATATTTATTTTTTCGGATAGGGTGGAGTTCCACGGATGGCCTACAAGGGTATCGTAACGTTCTTTTACAAGGGCAGGACCGTACATTTAGCACCCCCGGCCAATTGGCAAGGGTACGACTTAACCTGGAGTTAACACACAAATCGTTTCATCCCATATTTTGTATGAAAAACAAACTCTCTTTGAAAAAAACAAAACTGAACTGATTTTTTTTATTTTAAAAAGGTGTAGGTACACGTTTAATCTTCCTTGTAAAGGTTTTTGTTTTTGCGGTACCAATAAAGCCTTAAAATAAAACTTGCATTTATGTATGGAAGGATTAAGCAACTCTAAAAATATTTATGTTAATTTTGTGAAAGAAAAACATGACAGCCAAAGGTTAAAACTAGTGTAGTGTATTTTAAAAATGCATCTAAAAGTTTTATTTTGTTAAGAATTAATTTATTTTTGTATTTGATCTATAAAATAATAGCCAAAAAAAGCAAATTTAAATTTTGTTGTAATAAAAAGTGTAGCATGTCTGAATAATTACTTATATTAATATCCCAAAGATATATTTTATATTTTTTCTCTTATGTTTAACATTTTCCTGATGTCAGTCGCAGCTTAGGAATATCTAAGCTGTATTAATTATAGAAACAATTATTGTGAATTGTGCCAATAAAGGGCATTTACAGATTTATATGTATATATAATTCGATGAACAAACATGTAAAACGCTTTTATTGTAAATAAAGATTGTTTAATAAATAAATATATTTTTTTGTACCTTGAACTATCTATCAGATATAAAATGTCGATAATACTCTGATAATACGTAAATCAAGCTTAATAAAGATATTTTAGTAAAGTTTAGTAAATTCATATACAAGGGTATTACCAAAAATACGTGGTAAAATGGTACAAAGTTCGAATCGTATGAGGCTACTCATAGATGCTAACCCAACAGGCCGAATAGTCCTTAGCTACCCGGCCGGATAGTAGTAGCTTAGCCCTTTAAACCTATGAGAAGAAGAAGATTTTAACAGTTAACCCCATTTTTTTGTCCTGTTTACATTCTTTTCTAAAAAATGTTTTATTTATACAATAAATAATAATTTAACAACATTATGGAACAGTTTAAAGACACAAAGTTCGAATCGTATGAGGCTACCCATAGAGGCTAACCCAACAGTTAAAAAATTAGCAGCCAGTAATTAACAGGCCGGATAGTCCTTAGCTATCCGGCCGGATAGTCCTTAGATAGTAGCTTAGCCCTTTATACCTATGAAAAGAAGAAGATTTTAACGGTTAACCCTATTTTTTTGCCCTGTTTACATTTTTTCCTGCAAAATGTTTTATTTATACTGTAAATAATAATTTAACAACGTTATGGAACAGTTTAAAGACTCCCATTATTTTCACATTCCTTCCCAAGGTAACATTTACACTCTCACAGAGATCAAACTAGCTAATGGCAATACGATAATTTTGGTTGCGTCCCTGAAACGAGAAATATATTATTTTGAGTACTATTTGGAAGCTTCGCAAGGAGGAATAGTGCCCACGACGAAAGAAGTATCGTTTACATACATTCCCAGTGAGTATGGGTACTGAAAAATAGGTTTTATAGGTAAAACATTTAAAGAACTTTAGGTGGTGCCGAAATTATATCGCTGGACGCTTTCAACAAGTCCTCTGTGAATAATGAACTGGTTATAGGGATAACCATTATAAAGAATAGTAATGATTCGAACACGTTAGAGACTTTCCTGAATATTTATTCACAATTGGAGGACCATGCCGATTTCGATATAGAAAATATCGCACAGAACTGTCTTACAGTCGAACTCAGCTTTATTCCTTACAAGTTGATGCATACTTACTTAATTACATGGAAGGATAACAAAATTTTGAGTAAAGAGGTTAAAAAATAAATATTTAATATATATTTTGCCGTATTATAGGATTTAAATAATTTCCAGATAGTGTTTGTTTTGTCTGGCAGTGATAATTTAGTTCATATCTATCATGAAAATACTGCAGAACATGTATACAAGGAGCTGGATAGTAAAGAAAGGTTTCCAGAATTTTCCAAAACACCTAGTCCAGTGGTTTGGATCGATATTTGTCACATAAACAATTATACAGAGTATAAAAAATAACGAAAAAGGTATTTTAAGTCGTATAATAACACGATTTTTAGAAGGGTAACAGCATTTGGATGCGAATGTGGTTATGTGAAGCTTTTGAAGGTCAATACAACATCCGACAAGCTGGTATATAATTTTTCAACAAGATTCGGAAACTACATATCCAACGTTTACTTGTATTTGGAACGGGACTCTAAAAATAGTGAAGAACTTGCCAGAATTATCCCTAAATCTATTTTGTCTGAGAGGAAAGAGACAAGGCCTGTATTAAATTTAGTTGTTGTGAATTCTATACTACCTCCTATTTTGTTCTGGTGAGGACAACTGTAATTTTATTTTTAAAATTGTCCTGAAATAAGGAGAATATTGTGCTTTCAGCGATGTACTAAAATATGGTTTAAGTAATTATGTTACTTTGCCAAGACATGACGACACTACCGTGTTTACGTGCTGTATTGTAGCGGATATAGATTTCGATAGCTACAAAGAAATATTGGTTGGTACAAGTTCAGAGGTAAAAGTTTGAAAATTTTAGAATTATTTCTAGTATATATAATTGATTTTAGCAAATATTGCTGTACAAATATGACAAAAAAGAAACTCAGTGGTTTCTAGAAGAATTAAAATTTATCTCTGGTCCAATTCTATCCATGAAATACATTGATATTAGTGGAGATGGTGTCAAAGAGTTAGTTATATTCTCAATGAAGGGTTTGCATATATTACAGGTAAGGCAAAAAATATTCAATATTCAGAGAAAAAATTAAACCTAGATGCACTAAACCAATGTAATTAATTGTTTATATATTTAAGTTACCTCTATTTTTACTTGCTTCTCTGAGGTTCTGTACAGGGTGGGTCAAATTCGACGCTTTTAAATGGAAACACCCATTTCTATAGGAGATAGACGAAAACTAATATTGGTGTCTAAAGCTCCATTTTCATCAAAAACATGATGGTAAAAACCGCACATCAATATCTGTTACCGTTTCGGAGTTACGGGGTGTTTTTCAAAAATGTGCATTTTTAACAAATCGCTGTAACTTTTTTGCTATGGAAAATTTTGTATTTCTATGAAAACATTTCCAAAGCACCTTTTTACGTAGAATTTAATGGTTCAAGTCTAATTTTTTTTAAATTAATAATTTTAGAGTTATCAACAGAAAAATAGATTTTTTATTTGGGACACCCTCTATATTTTTAATTAACGGAAAAGAATTTAAAATTACCTTTCCAAAAATATAGCACACTTGATATTTTGTTATAATCCCCTTCGAAATACAGAATTTTTAAAAGTTCGCCACTTTTAACTAGTAGGCTTTGGACCCCTTATTGATGAAATGCCCTTAATGGAACCCGAAAAACATATTTTTTCCAGCAAGACGCCGCGACGCACCGCCTCTGAACGCTGAAGTTATCAGCAAATTTTTGCAGCCAATTTCAAGAATAATTGAATAGCTAACCAAGATCCCAGCCGTTGGCCGTCGAGGCCGCCTGACTTAGTGCCCGTGGATCTAATCCTATGTATATATTTGCTGAAGAATAAAGGTTCCTTATTCTTCCATATAATCTAGACAAGAATTAGAAATACTTAGCAGCTATGAGAGGGTATCTTTCACCCCTACTGAGTTAATGAATTCCGCGAGAAATGTTCAAAAACTGCCCCGTTTGTCCATAACAGAAGACGGTTGATATGTTGAACACCTGTAGCAAAATCTCATGTCTTGGTTTGCTATTTATTTTTATTGTTATTAGATAGTTTAAATGTGTTGATGTTGTTAAATATATTTTAAATTGTTATAAAATTCTGCATCTCTCATTGCAAATATTATTTTCCTTTTAATTGATGCTCACAGCTAATTTTTTTTTGCATTACAGCCGGTGCCGTTCAAAGCCTACTTATTTAAAGCGGGCGAATTTTTATATACTCTATATCTCGAAGAGGAATCGAGCAAAATATCAAGTGTGTTATATTTTTGGAAAGATAATTTTAAATTCTTTTCAATAAATTAAAAATATCCAGGGTGTCCCATCAAATCAAATTTTCTGTTGATAAATCTTAAATTATTAATTTTAAAAAAATTATACTTTAACCATTAAATTCTACGTAAAAAGGTGCTTTGGAAATGTTTTCATAAAAATACAAAATTTTCCATAGCAAAAAAGTTATAGCGATTTGTTAAAAACGTTTGTTATGCGTTTTTCACCATCATGTTTTTGACAAAAATTGAGCTCCAGACACCGATATTAGTTTTTGTCTATCTCCTATAGAAAAGGGTGTTTCAAAAGCGTCCAATTTGACCCACCCTGTACAATTTTTTACAAGAAACAACTTTTTTTTCAGCATGACACAAATAATATTCAAAGAAAGTTATGCGAGAAAATCGAGAAACTTACTATACCAAAAATTACACATTTATAAAAAAATATATCTGTATTAAAGTTTTTTTATATTAAAGTTGTATATAGTATAAAAGTAATTTTATAGTATATAGTATTAAAGTAATTTTATATTGTTTTTATTTCAATTATTTTATTCAAGTTCAAATAATGATTTTTTATATTTCGTAAATTAGCTTATAGAACGTATAGCAAGGTATTGGTTATTGGCTAAAATACAGGGTGTTTCTTTTAAGGGGTGCGATTCTTGGACCTATTCAAAAAAAAGGTTCATAGAATGGATGTCCTAAAAATCTGAACATTTGATATACAGGGTGGCAAAATTTTCTAAAAAAAACTTTCATAATAGCCGTAACGTTTTTTTTTTAAACCAAATAAAAATAATGAAAAACCAAATGAAAACTTAATCAGCGTTTTTCCCGAACCTAAATCCCAAGAAAATCAAAAATTTTAGAATAATTTTACATACAAAATGACAGCGATCTTTATTTCATAGCCATCGCTGACGCCTTTTTTTTTATGATATTGTATTATTTGCTATATATTTCGAACATTGATACCTGCAAAATATACATATAAATTTTGTGAATGCAAATAATAATACATCACTATTAGTAGATATTGAATGTTTTTTTGTTAAATTAGATCGATTTTCAAACCCCAAAATTTAAAATATATTTTACATTTTATCCATTATCTGATGTACCTATTCATTATTTGTATATTGTAAAACATTTGTTGCATTTGTGTGGTTTGCTTTGGTTTGAGTATTTATTACTATAAATAGGTTGTGATTTATTAACTGTATATTATGTATATTTCATAAACCATATCATTTTTAAAATACAAACCAAAAATACGAGGAATAATACTTATGTTTTCCATGTATTCTACAACATATTTATTAATCCGTGCTATCTAACTAGCGTGACGTCAGGTATCTCGCTAGGCTGTCTGTTAGAGACGGCATTGGTCTGATTTTTAGAAATGTCATAAGACATTTTATTTTTGGCAATTATGACATTTTATGTTGATTTTTGCAAGAAGAGGAAGAACTGTCACTTGTTTTATTATTTTCCTTTTCTATTTCACGAAAGTAAAAAGAGTTACCTATCTGATTTGTTCAGGCACCCAGTTTAAAGAATATCGGTAACTTTTTTGACAGAGGGATTTTATATTTGCCATGTTGGTAAAAAATAACGGTCAAAATTCAAAGTTAATCATTTTAGACCTGTGTTTTAGACCAATTTTAGACTATATTCTCTGCTATATCGTTAATGCATGACTTTTGTAAGAATTTTCGCTATTTTAATATTGATTATTGATCGAGCGTGATAATCCAAGATAATCCAACATCTCTGTGATATGGAGTCGCAAGATCGTCCATTCCCTAGCCCTAGCACATGGGCTAGGCTTGGAAAGTATTTCTATAATTCGCCGATTCCAGAGGAAGCAGCTGAAGCAAATTTAACAAGCAAAGGACCCGAAAAAACGGCACAAAATGAATATACCAAGGTTGTAAAACAAGACTTATTAGGCCTAGACAAAAATACAAACATCAATAACCTTGCTAAACGTATTAGATTATCAAGGTATTCCTTTGAATTTAATGATATAAGAGCAAATTTTCCTCCATCTCTGACTGTTTTACAAATCCAAAAAGTCGTTAATCCCTATCTGAGAAAATCGTTTGAACTGACACGTCAATTGAAGTACGACAATATAGAACCACTGCGGTTGTACCATGGTACTAAGATGATCAACCTGTCCAGTATTTGTAGGAATAATCTCGATTTGAGAGTGACTGGAATGGGTCACAGAATAAGGCAAGTTGTGAATTTCACGCCGAAAGCGGAATTCGCTGTGAATTTCTGTGACAAATTGTTTGAAAAAGTGATGATTTTGGCAGAGGTTCTAGTGAAACGTGAATTTCTTTGTAACGAGCCTTTATCTTTTCTTCCAGATGGTTTCGATACTGCTGTAAGTGTAAAGCCGGATCATAAATGGTATGCTAAGTTTAATGGCAATGAATTTTATCCTGCATATATCATTTATTTTCATTAAAAATTTATTATTTCGTTTTTTTTTATGATACATAACTATATTTTTGTTCTCTTATGTATCAATATACTTTTATTAAAATATGTTATATATTTTATTATGTTAAAATATTTTCTGTTTTTTTTTAATTTTTTATGTTAAATGAGTTCAATATCATATTATTTTAATACTATTATGGGTAATACCTTATTATGTTATGTATGTTCCGTTTATTTAATATTTAATGACAATATTATAATAAATTATAAAAAAAATGACTGAATTTAAGTTTCGTTATTATTGAATAAAAATCCTCGAACCTTTTTTCAATAAATAAGTATAAAGAATTTGGTTATTTTTATTTGTTGATTAGGAATAAATAAAAAATGGATTCGCTGATGTAAGCAACATTTGTTTTGTTCTAAGATTATTAGTGGACTGTAATAGGTATGAGTTTAAAGAGGTTTTGAACTTTTGACACTTTTATTTATTATTTTTCAGCGGCGATCGGGCGGCCTTGTGTCTTACTTGAGTTTTGTCTATAAACTGGAACTTTCGTCAGCTGAGCGCTGTTGCCTAATTGCTTGGTTGTCTGGTAGATGTCGTTAAATCAATTTAAAATAATTTACAATAAAAAATACAGAAACTAGACATGCCGCCGACCTTGAAATAATACATTGTTTCAACAAAATACAAACTAAATTATAATCTGATACATTAACATGAATAGAGATCATGAATTCCAACAAATACAAAATAATGCTTATTGCTAATCATATTCGATGGGTAAAGCAACGACCTTTGTTATCGCACGTTTAAAAATGCCATTTTTTGTGCGCACTGACACAACACGCACTAAATTATCACTTCCGGGATGAACAGACACTATACGTCCCAATGGCCAACGCATAGGAGGCTCGTTGTCTTCTTTCAGCAACACTAGGATGCCTTCCTTAACGTTTTCTTGGCGAGTTTGCCATTTGGACCTCTGTTGTAATGAATTCAAATAGTCTTTACTCCATAAAGACCAAAAACGCTGTACGAGCTGTTGTAGGTGCTTGAAGTGACGTAATCGATTGGCAGGAATATCAATGTCGTTCGATTGAGGGACTGCGATTAAACTTTCGCCGATCAGAAAATGTCCGGGCGTAAGAGCTTCGAGGTCGGAGAGGTCATTAGTGAGGGATAAAATTGGGCGGGAGTTTAAGATTGCCTCTATTTGAGTTAGTAGTGTGTAAAAATTTTCAAAATTTAAATGATTATCGCCGAGAACACGCTTTAAGTGATGTTTAAACGAACGAACTGCAGACTCCCAAGTACCACCATGATGAGGCGATTTGGGTGGAATAAAATGCCACGTTATTCTATGCTCTGAGAAATAATTCGGGTATTTTTCGTTAACTGAATCTCGCACAACCTGGCATAATTTAAGCAATTCGTTATTCGAACCTACGAAGTTAGTCGCATTGTCGCTAAATACATGACCACACAAACCACGACGAGAGACAAATCTTTTAAAAGGCATTCAAAAACCTTCTGTGCTAAGTCGGTCACGAGCTCAGCATGAACGGCACGCGTACTAAGGCAAATAAAAATACACACATAAGCCTTAATTTTAACTCTATTCCGAGTTTTACCATCTTTTAGTAAATAAGGCCCAGCGTAATCGACACCACAATAATAAAAAGGGCGAGAAGGTACGACTCTTGGTTTAGGTAAAGACCCCATTAATTGATTAATGTCGACTGGTTTGACGCGGAAACAAATTAGACATTTTCTTACTATCTTTCGGACCTCATTTCTTCCGTTGACTATCCAAAATTTGTCTCGAATTTGGTTTAATACAAACTGCGGGCCTGCGTGTAAAAATATAACATGGTAATAATTAATAATTAAATCGACAAAACAATGTTTAGCGGGTAATAAAATAGGGTGTTTTCGGTCATATTTTAAGTCCGAATTTTTCAATCGACCGCCTACACGTAAAATACCTTTATTGTCTATAAAAGGATCAAGACTTATAAGTTTGCTATTTTTTGACAAGATTTTATTGTTTTTTAAAGCCTTAATTTCTTCTGAAAATCGTTCCGATTGAATAATTCTACAAAGAGTTAATAAAGCCTCATCTAATTCTTGAAAAGTAAGAATTCCGGTTAACTTGCTATTAGATTTTAAATTATGAAAAAATCGGTAAATATAAGCGACGATACGGATTAGTTTCGGATACGAAGAACATCTAGAAAATATTTCGTTTTCGAGAACACTTTTAACAGCGGCGAAAGAAACCTCTATGTTTTCTTTTCTTACATCGGAAATTGATATTTTGATTTTCTTGGTATCAGGCCACGTTTCGGGCGCTGTTTTCAAAAACGACGGTCCGTACCACCAAAGTGCTTGGTTTTTTAATTCAAGTGGGTCGGCACCCCGAGAAACTATGTCTGCTGGATTGATTTCGGTATTTATGTGGCTCCAGGTAATATCGGCGGTAAGACGTTGGATTTCCGCTACCCGGTTACAAATAAAGGTTTTCCACTGGCTAGGCTCTGCATTAAGCCAGTCCAATACGATGGTTGAGTCGGTAAAAAGGACAGTATCGTTTACAGGGAACTCTAAAGCTTTTATTGTTTTTTTCTAAAAACGAGCTAGTAAAAGTGCACCGCACAGTTCTAATCGAGGTAGGCTCATGGAACTTGACGTTAAAGGAGCTAACCGAGATTTCGCGCATATTAAGTGTGACTCGATTTCGTCACCGTTTTCGCTAACTAAATAAATACATGCTCCATACGCAAGTTGTGAAGCATCGGAAAATCCGTAAAGCCTTTTGGGTTTTTTGAAAGACTGGCCTTTTAATACACAACGCGGGATTTGCAACGACTTTAAATTTGGTAATTTACTAACGAAATCTAACCATTCGATCGAAATATCTTCTGGAACATCGGTGTCCCAGTTCACTTTGGAAATCCAAATCCTTTGTAAAATCAATTTAGCTTTAACGATTACAGGACTAATTAAACCCAAGATATCGAAAAGCTGTCCTATCGCGGCTAAAACCGTTCTTTTCGTAATTTTGAAAGTATCGATTTTTATATTATAATTATATCCGATGGTATCCATACTAGGATTCCAAACTGTGCCTAGCGTTTTCGTTTCGCCTTCCCCTGGTATACAAAAGTCTTCGTTTGGCGTATCGCCGGAAATTTCTAGAACGCGGTGATCATTGGAAATCCATTTTCGCAAATTAAATCCGAATTTCGATAAAATTTTGTTGATTTTTATTTTTAAGTCAATAGCTTTGTCAAGGTCATGATGACCAAAAATTAAGTCGTCCATGTAAAAATTATTGATAATAATTTGACTTATTTCGGGGTTAGAATCTTTAATTTTAAGACCGATTTCATGAAGTGCGCGAGTAGCCAAAAAAGATGCGGTAGCGGTACCGTAAGTCACCGTATTTAACTGATAATGAATTATTTCTTTGGTTTCATTATCTCTCCAAAGTATACGCTGTAAACTACGTTGTGATTCGTCGATCAATATCATTCGATACATTTTTTCTATGTCCGCGACGATTAATATTGGATAAGTACGCATTCTTAATACGACGTCAAAAAAACATCCCGTTGAACTTTCGGTCCGACTTTTAACACGTCATTTAAACTAAGCCCAGAATCAGTTTTTTAAACTAGCGTTGAAGACAACTCGTACCTTTGTAGTACTACTACTCTCCTTTACGACAGCGTGATGGCTCAAGTATACGCACACCTTTCCAGGTTGATCTAATTCCGGATTAATTTTCGACATGTGTCCTAACTGCTTATATTCGTTTAAAAAAATCGCGTATTGTTGTTGTAAATCGGGGTTTTTGCTAAACGTCGCTCTAAAGATAATAAACAATTTACGGCAATAGAATAGGAATCGCCCAATGCTAAATAATTTTCTTTTAGCGGAAGTTTTACGATGAATCGCCCGTCGGAATCGATTTTGTAATTTTCCCAAAATGTTTTTCACATTCTAATTCTTCGTTACTTAATTTATTTTGTTTATTTTCAATATTTTCTATTTGCCAAAATTGTTGAACGTTATTATGCAACATTTTATCGCGTTCTTGGTTTAAAGTTAAAAAACAATTAGTATTTGCGTTGTTAGTGCGGTGGTTTGTCGTTACTTTATGTAAATCTAAAGGTCCTACAAGAACCCAACTGAATTTGGTGTTCTGTAAAATCGGCGCGTTGTCTCCGAAGAGTATTTTTTCACTACTCAAACAACGGAAAAATATTTCGGTTCCTATTAAAATGTCTATAGGCTCTGAATTAAAAAAATTAGGATCGGCCAACGTAATATTTGCGGGCATATTTATTAAAGTAGGATCGAAAGAAACTTGCGGCAATTTTGTAGTAATCTGACTGATTACCAAGAATTCAATTTTAGCCTGGAACGCATCATTTAACGATCTTATAGTTGTTTTAATTTTAGACGATACCCTACAGGACGCGTTATTTATACCTATAACAGGCATATTTATTTTGTTGCGTGGTAAATTTAATTTATTGCAAAGTTCTTCCGAACAAAAGTTTGACTGGCTCGCGGAGTCTAATAACGCGCGACACTTTACCGTCCTGCCGTTTGAATCTAAAATATTTACGTATGCTGTAGCAAGCAAAATCTGCTTGTCGTTTTCACCTTGGCTAGCAGCTGATGCCGTGGCGGGACTATACGGAGCCGCCTGCATTTCACCGACTTCGCTTGGCGCGTTACGTAGCGAGCCCTTGTCAGCACTGTTGCCGGGTTGAGCACGTATGTCAGTAGTTTCGTTTTCGCAATTCCTGTGTATCTCTAAAAAATTATTTGAAGCGGGAATTTGTAAATTTGCGGCGTTATCGTCGTTCATAAGAGTTACAGCGGCAAACGTATTATTATTTTGCGGCTTTCGATTTATATTATTATCGGAATTACGATTAGGTGGATTTCGATTCGAATTATAATTATAGTCGTGTAATATTGAGTTGTGCTTTCGATTGCAAACCTTACAGGTTTTACTTGTACATTCGTTGACGCTATGCCCGGTTTTCAAGCAGTTCGTACATATTCCTAAACGTTTTAATTCGAAAAATCTACTTTTAAACGGCAACGCGAGTAGTTTCGGACATTTGTACGTATAATGTGAAGTTTCGTGGCAAAACGAACAATTGCCGACATCGTAAAATTGTAACGGTTGTTCTTGCCCTTGATTTAAAGGAATATTTGCGTTAACGTGTGCTACAACTCCACGATTGGGCACTGAGGTTCCGCGATTTTGGGGGTTTCTTTCGTGTGTATTTTTTTCGTATACGCTTTGATTTTTATTGTCGATAGTTTCGAGCACTTGACATTTGTTTTTTAAGAACGATATAAAGTCTTCGAAGGTAGGAGAATCTTGCTTGTTAAAAATTTCCCATTCTTTTCGGGTATTGTTGTCTAATTTTTGCGCAATTAGATAAATTAGTAATGTATCCCAGTGATCTACCGGTTGTTGTAGACTGGTTAAAGCTCGGAGATTTCGCACGACGTTATCGATAAGTTTACGTAAATTTGGATATGATTCTTTCGTGATGCTCGGCATTTCGAATAAATTTCGGACGTGGCTGTGGATTAACACTCGCTTATTTTCATATCTTTCGCGTAATAACTTAATAGCTTCGTTATAATTAGATTCGCAAATTTCTAAAGAATGTAATACTTGTGCTGCTTCCCCTTGAAGGCAGGATTGCAGATAATAGAACTTTTGTATTTTTGTCAGTTCAGAATTTTTGTCAACCAGCGCTTGAAAAATCTCAAAAAAAGGCAACCAGTTTTCGTACGTTCCGCTAAAATGTGGCAACGAAATAGACTGTAATTTAGCGCTGTTACTACTATTGGGCACCGAAGACGGTAAACTCGCGGGTATGCTTGTATTTAAATTTGAATGCACGTCACGATCATGCTGTTCTATTAAATCGTTCGCCAAAGCGGCTGCGTTGAAGTATTCGTCTTCAAACAATATTCTCTCTGGCTCCTGAGAGGTATCCAATTCCTCTAATTTGGTTTGAATAGCTTCAAACTCTGCCCAAGCTGTGTCGAGGTTCGCTTTTCTTACTTTTAAAACCGATATATTAAGATTTTGACTGTTGACAAAATTATTAAAGCGTGTTAACGTGGCTTTTAATTGGCCCCTACGATATACCAATCTTTTGATCTCGACTGCCTTCGTGGCGGCACTTTGGGCTGCTGTATTTTCAGAGTCGTTCATTTTTTTTTTTTTTTTTTTAATTTTAATTTTTTGAATTCTATCAAATTTTAATTTTCGTTAAAAAAGCTAAATAAATTGCAAAAATCTCAATTTAAAAACTACGCCCAAATAAACACTACGAATCCAAATTTTAGCATGCAGATGGGTATATTTATAAGCGGCAAAACTAAGCAGGGATTACTACGGTTAGGACTTATTAAATGAAAGGAAACGACCTGTTAATTTCTGGACTCCTTGCTGCTTGCTGTTCGGCTTGGCAACGTTGTGGCTCTTCCAACAAGGAACAATGGCTGTGACAATGGCGCTCGTCTTGACCGGCGAACTTTACGCGTTTACGATTTGTTTACGATCACTTTTCCGATTAATTCTGCTCGATGGACCAAAATGTTTTGTTCTAAGATTATTAGTGGACTGTAATAGGTATGAGTTTAAAGAGGTTTTGAACTTTTGACACTTTTATTTATTATTTTTCAGCGGCGATCGGGCGGCCTTGTGTCTTACTTGAGTTTTGTCTATAAACTGGAACTTTCGTCAGCTGAGCGCTGTTGCCTAATTGCTTGGTTGTCTGGTAGATGTCGTTAAATCAATTTAAAATAATTTACAATAAAAAATACAGAAACTAGACAACATTTATTTATATCTATAAATTTACTAGTTGAAGTCTGGCGCATCCGCCACGACATCGACATCAGGAAAAAAAATACTTTTTATGACGACTGTTTTTAGAAGAGCCAATTAGCTATCTTTTAGTAAAAAAAGCAACTCTCTAGAGCAAGTCGTTACTTCAGTAGAGACGACACAGATAAACATTAGCATTTTATATATATTATGCAGATAGATTGTTAACTTGTATTATCCAGACTTGTATTAAACGAGTATGCAAAAAAAACGCCTCAGAGTTTTTGTTACTATTGTATCGATATCTGTCATACAGTAGACATCTCTATTATGGATTTCATTGATTAGAATTTCTGTGGTTCACTGATATCAGTTGTTTATCTATCGTTGTCCGCGCGGTACAAAATACTTACAGTAATTTCTAGAATCTTAAAACGATAGAAAAAGGTGTAATATAATTTAAAATAAAGCAAGACAAGTGTAATAATCAGAAATTACGCTCAAGATATTATAGGTTAGTGATTTTTGCAAGAATTTTCGGTGTTTTAATATTGATTATTGATCCAGCGTGATAACTCAACATCTCTACGATATGGAGTTGCAAGATATTCAATACAATATGCTTGAAAAGTTATTTGCTAATTTATCCATTCAAGATGAAGCTGATAGGCGTCAGAGACAAAAAGGATTTCAAAGGTTTGTTGAAGCTAATTTACAGACTTGGCAACCACCTGTCGCTGCTACTAATACCAGAAAAAATAAACCAAATGAGAATGTTATTAGATATCAAGGATCCCAAAAAACAGCACAAAATCAAAATGCAATTAAAGCCAGTCTCTCCAAAAAAACTTATCCTGAATATACCAAGCTTGTGGTGAAACAAAACTTATTAGGCCTATACAAAAACACAAACATCAATAACTTTGTTAAACGTATGCAATTATCAAAGTATTCCACTGAATTTAATGACATAAGAGCAAATTTTCCTCCATCCCTGACTATTTTACAAATCCAGAAAGTCGTTAATCCCTTTACGAGAAAATCGTTTGAACTGACCCGCCAATTGAAGTACGGCAATATAGAACCACTGCAGTTGTACCATGGTACTAAGATGAAGAACCTGTCCAGCATTTGTAGGAATAATTTCGACTGGAGACTGAGTGGAAGCGAGACAGGTCACAGAATAGGGCACGGTGTGAATTTCACGTCCAAAGCAAAATTTGCTGTGAATTTCTGTGATAAATCGTTCGAAAAAGTAATGATTTTGGCGGAGGTTCTTGTAAGGCGTGAAATTTTGGGTAACCAGGATTTATCTGTTCCTCCAGATGGTTTCGATACTGCTGTTAGAGTAAAACCCAAACATAAATGCTATGTTAAGTTTAATGACAGTGAATTTTATCCAGCATATATCATTTATTTTTATTAAAAATTTATTATTTCGTTTTTTTTATGATACATAACTATATTTTTGTTCTGTTATGTATCAATATACTTTTATTAAAATATGTTATATATTTTATTATGTTAAAATATTTTCTGTTTTTTTTTTTAATTTTTTATGTTAAATGAGTTCAGTATCATTATTTTAATATTATTATGTTTTGTATGATCTGTTTATTTATTGCTGTATAATGTATAATGACAATATTACAATAAATCTATAAAAAATGGCTTCTCTCGTTTATAAATTGAATAAAAATCCTTGAACCTTTTTTTAATAAATATAGGTATAAAGAATATGGTTATTTTAATTTGTTGATTACTGTAACTTTATAGAGTGGAATAAATAAACAATGGATTCGCTGATGTAAGCAACATTATTTCTATTTATAAATTTATTGTTAACTTGTATTAAACTGGATATCACGCGCGAGTATGCAAAAAAAACGCTTCAGAGTTGGCTTTTTATTAGACTTTTCGTTACTATTGTATCGATATCTATTATGCATTCCTATTACATTTTTTGTTTTCCTAATCAGAATTTAACTATACAGGGTGGCGCACCTCATGGCGACACCAGCCATCTTGATTACCAATTATTGAAAAATCGCTTTTTATTCAAAACCTGAGCCAGATAGGTATAGGAAACCCTAATAATTACCCTATAATTTTAAACATGTTAAACCTTTATAATAAATGCCGTATTTTATATCCAAGAATCCAAAAATGAAATAAAATACCGGGTGTTCCATAAGAAAAAATATAACTTTGGCATGTATCTTAGTTTTGACACACCCTGTACATTTCAAAATACTTTTAAATTATGCCCACATTGCCTCCCCACATATACCCATAAAATATTTTGTTTCTACATCTTTCCGTTTTCGTATAATCCTTGTATTAACTTTATTTTAGTCCAAATAAAGCACCGTTAACTACAAGTTCTCTTCCTTTGACGTCTTGTGTATGTGTTTTGTGGTTTACCGTATTCTAACCTCGAATTTGGTCAAAAAATAAATAATTTTATTGAAGTGATCTCAAACATTTAGCCGACGATCCGTACTTAAAACGTTAAAACATTAATTGTAGAACATATTAATATCAAATTTACATCAATAACTTCAAGATTGGCGATATACCTAAAAGATACCATCACCGAAATATATATACATAGGTGTTCAACAATCATAAACATGGACTACGTGATAGACTATTTGAAATTTTATTATCAATTTAACTGCTTGTTATATAAAGCCCAATACAATTCTGCAATACATTATTACACTCAAACATCAAGTAAAAGAGAATTATACGAGAACAACCAGGCTGTTCAGTATGGAATGACACCATATAACTCAGTGAAAGGATATAATTCAAACATTGTTAATTCCACCCATCAAACGAATAAAAGTTTAACAAAAAGACAGGAAAATGGAGAATCTGCTCAGCTAATTACAGTAAACAAATCATTGTTTGGAATTCATGTAGACACAAATATTTCCTCAGTACATAACATTGTAGAATATAAGCTTTTGTCAAAAACATCCCAGAAATTTTTAAGCATTCAAAGCACCCCTAGGACGCGGGGTGTATTTCACACCCAATCCCAAATTCGCTTCGAACTTTTGTGATAAAAACTCGGAGAAAAAAGTCATGTTTTTAGCAGACATATTGGTGGGTTCAAAGACTCCGGGTAACAATGACATGATTGACCTGATAGATGTGATACTGTGATTAGTACTGTAAGAAATGGAAAATATCATAAAGAATATGTTAAATTTGATGATAATGAGTTCTATCCTAGTTTTATAATATATTTTACAAGGACTAGGTAATGAAATATACCTATATAATATTCTTTGGTGTTACTATCTCAGGAAGGGCTTATTTACTGTTATACACATGACAAAATAAATACTATTAAAACCTCTTACATAAAATACACTTTATTTAAAAAATAAAAAAATATCTAAAAATACACCTCACTCATTTTAATCCTTTTTTTCCCGAACTATATAGTTCAATATACTGTTGTTCTTTGATTTTTTTAGCGGTCTTTCAGACTGGAGTACGTCCCTATTCCTGTTTACCCTGTACTCCTCCCACAGTTCACTCTGAAGATCGCTGGGCAAAGCCCTAAACACCTCCTCGTTAGCATTTGGGGGGCACGGAACCATTTCATCCACTACCTCGGGCAAAGATTCGGTCGAGTTTAACCTCAAAGTTGCTACACCGAGCTTAATACGGGAATCGCCGCAATCTTTCGATATTTCCGGAAGAATAAACCTGGCTCGTTTCGATAAATGCTCTGGAGAATCCACGTCTGCTAACTGCGACGTCGAGGCACACGGTTCGTGAATAGGGGAGTTGGAACTTTGGTTCTCTATATCTATGACCGACTGCACTTCAATGTCCCTGGATAAAAAGTTGTTTAGGGTGTTTTTCAAGGTGGGTTTCTCCATGAATTTCGTGAAAGATAATCCTAGCAAGGTGATATGAAAGCTTTTCTTCGTATCGACTATTTTCCTGAACAGGGTCATGATAATTTTCATAACTTTTTTCTGGTTATTTTCGCTGAGCTCTAGGTCTTTAAAAAGGGAGGTGTTAACGTTACACTGTCTGGTTTCCCTCGTACCACTTTGAGGGTGATTCCTGTTAAATTTCCTTACAATTAGTTTAACCGTTTTGGGTACTCTACCATCCTCCTTAACCAGAACCATCAATCGTGTCAGTAAATGCAACAATTTCACTTCTATTTCGTTCTCAACCGTTATAGCCTTACAACTGTCTTCTAGCCCGATACTTTGAGGCTTCCCGCTCTTTTTAACAGCAGAAACGTCTCGACCGTAACTGATTTCGATCATATTTTTTGATTTTTCATAACCAAACATTTTTTCTAGGTCGTTTACGCTAGCCTCCTGCAATTCTTTCACTGTATTTATGTTTAGTCTCGATAATTGATCTGCTGTTACTTGACCTATCGAAGGAATGTTTTTTACTAGGCTTAAACTTAACATTAGTTCGCTTGCGCTGTTTGGAAAAACTGTAGTTTGGTTGTTTGGTTTGTTTTTACTGCACACAATCTTCGCTAATATTTTGTTATGAGCTATTCCCGCACACGTTGTAAGATTTAGGTCTTTGTATATTTGGTCTCTGATATCCTGTGCGATTTTGGACCCGACCATTAACCGTTCGGTACAGCCACAATCACATAGCACTTCAGTGTTTCCGAAAACATGACCTACCGGTGTGATATTGTTGGATAATTTGATTTTTTCGTCGACCAGACGGCTGACGTCGACGAAATTTTCATCCAAACCCAACCTTTCGACCAAATTAGAGTATTTTTGTAAGATAGATGTGATATTGTAGGAGGTTTCTCGGTAGTCGTGTAAGTCTTCACCATTGACCAACTCTAAATGAGGACATTTTTTCTTGGCTTCTGGTATCAACATACATTTTGTGATACCGTATTCTCTCGCGACATAGTTACTGGTGACAACAATGTTCTTCTGTTGAATTCCTAGCGGTTTGGTTTTCAGTTCCGGATTTTTATTCATCTCAACTTGCGCGTAAAAGCAGTCTACGTCTATGTGGATAATTGTTTTCGAATGGTCGTCCATTTTACGTCTAGAATTCATTACATTTTGTTAGCTTTTGCATAACAATCTATCAGATTGTTTGAACACATTGTTTATCTACTTATAGCTGTTCTACACAAATTCTGATAAGACAAATTATCAATTACAACTTACCATTATTTACAAATTTGTAGTTGGGAAATATAAATATATTTACTATGAAATTACTATCAAAAACGATGTTTCTGATTTACTCATAACAGGTATTGACAAGTAAGGTTATGTTATGTTTATTTTTACATTAATTAAAGGTCATTCAACACAAACTAATCTACAAATAAATATTACTCATCGCAAATAATTACTCTTATTTATATGATACTACTTTAATAGTGTTCAATTTTATAAAGGAAAAAGACTTCTTAATAACTTAACAAATTTTTAATCAACTCTATTTACAATGCAATCATAAAATTCACTTATTTTATCTAGTCCTACGTCCTACCAATCGTCTCGTCTTAATCTATAGGTTGTATTATCACTTCTTATAACTTCAACCACGGCTCCATAGTATGGAATAACGTAAGCCGAGCCATCGGCTGGTCCCACAGTTTGGGTGGCTATTAATATTATATCGACCAATTGACCCAGAAACATAAAGCCCAAGGTACAGAATTTAGCTAAGCCTATGGCCGGATAACCCAAGTAAAATCGATCTATTCCGAACATGCCTAAGAATATGGACAGTAAGAGAGCTGTTTCATATGAATAGCCATTTCTAAAAGGAAAAAAAAACAGTATGTCTGTGTTTATAAATGATGAATGCAATCACATACGTCCATTTACAAGGTACTTCTCTGAGAAACGTTCTGTTATGGCTCTCTGAACAAACTAGTCCTTCTACAACTATACAACGAACTAGAAAACACAAAAGATTCAATAAGTTTTATTGCTGACAAATTTAAACAGTTCCGGATTACTTTTAGCCTTGTTTTCCTTCGTGCATCCTCTTATTTGTTGCGTTTTTGGATCTATTAAGTCGTAATCTGGGTCTGGGCATAAAAATTGTCCCATTCTCAAAGTGCTGCAGTTCACTACGGTCTCGTTCACATTTTCAACGGTGTAGTTTATCAGGGACAGAACTATTAACACTATTATTGCTAGTTTCTCCATTAACTCATTTAATTGTATTGAAAGGAATAATGTTTTTAATTGTATTTTTCTTAAATATAATGTAAAATCCGTTTTTCTGTTTATTTGTTAGACAAAGATTTATTTACTCTTCATTTTTAGGTTAACTTTCTGAACTACTGTCACTGTCATTTTGGAGTAGTTCAATTGTCTCTTTGATGTATTTTTAGTTGCCTATAGTAGATTCTATTTAATTTTAGGTTTCCTAACCTGAAGTTTTCAAGATTTCAAGGTTTTCAATGTTGTCATTTTTTTCGCGTTCTTCTATGTGTGTTTTTGCGGTTAAAGAATAGCATTTTAAATTAAAAAAAAACAATAATAATGTTTAATCAAAGTGCATTGGGTGGTTTTGGGACCACGGTAACACCATCAAATTCTAACCCAATGAAGGACTACGAGGTGGTACAACCACCCGACGACTCCATCAGTTCTTTGGCATTTTCACCGTCGTCGATGCCCCAAAATTTCCTCATTGCCGGGAGCTGGGACAATAACGTGCGGTGCTGGGAGATCGAGCAAAACGGAACCAGCATCCCAAAGTCGATGCAGTCCTGCGGGGCCCCGGTTTTAGATGTAGCCTGGCACGATGATGGTAGCAAGGTAAATGGAAACAATATTGAAGCTTTTCGGGAGTTTTTAAACTCTAGTTTTCTAGGTTTTTATGGCGGGATGCGACAAGCAAGCCAAAATGTGGGATTTAGCCAGTAACCAAGTGGTTCAAGTTGCAGTCCATGATGCACCTATTAAAACCTGTCACTGGATCAAGGCTCCGAATTATTCGTGCCTAATGACCGGATCCTGGGATAAAACTCTCAAGTTTTGGGATACGCGTAGTGCCACGCCGATGTTAAGCCTCAATTTGCCAGAGAGATGCTATTGTGCCGATGTGGATTTCCCTATGGCAGTAGTCGGAACGGCTGGAAGACAAATTATTGTGTACCAGCTCGAAGGAAAGCCTCAGGAGTTTAAAAAACTGGACAGCCCGCTCAAATATCAACATAGATGTGTGGCAATTTTCAAAGACAAGAAAAAATCTCCTACAGGATACGCTCTGGGTTCCGTTGAAGGAAGAGTAGCCATCCAATACGTAAATCCGACAAATCCCAAAGACAACTTCACCTTTAAGTGTCACAGATCAAACGGTGCCCCCAATGGTTACCAAGATATCTATGCGGTTAATGATATAGCATTTCATCCGGTTCATGGTACTTTAGCCACAGTGGGAGCGGATGGTTCCTTCAGTTTTTGGGATAAGGATGCCCGCACCAAACTGAAGGCTTCCGAGCTGATGGAACAGTCTATAACTAGATGCGCGTTCAATCATAACGGCCAGATTTTTGCCTACGCTGTTAGTTACGATTGGAGCAAGGGACATGAGTTTTATAATAGTCAGAAGAAGAACTACATTTTTCTTAGGTCATGTTATGAAGAGTTGAAACCAAGAACGTCTTAGATGTTCTACATTTAGTATTTAAGGTAAAATTAAGTTTTGGTAAGGTTATATATGTATAGGCTTGGTGCATTCTCTGCCAGCATAATCGGAGAATACTCAGCTTATTATTAGTATTTCAGCTATAACAAAAACTTTCAAAAGTACATAATAATAATTTTAGAAGATGTTAGTAGCTATATGCTTATTTAATTTTTCAGTTATGTAACGGGCACTTAGTTTACTCACCTGTTTTGTCGAACTGCTTGGATCCATTTTTGCCTTTGATCAAATCGATGTGAGAAGCTGTGAAGCTATATATATATTGAATATCTGGGAAAATGGAGTTACTGAATGTTACTGCACCCAACAACCACGTAATTACGCCCTAATTTACGTGTTAATATTCCTCACAACACAACGCGACGCCACGCCAAGTTCGTGTTCTTTTTCACTACCTTTTACTACCCGCGGATCAGCTTTACTTCACACAAACCTACTACCCGAGTGTTTTATAGTTTCAATAACAGCACTAGCAAACATTAAAATACTTAAATATTATGAGAAAACGACGATTTTAATATTATTTCAACGCGATCGGCATAAACGGTAAATGCATAGAAAACAAGTGAACATCAAGTAAAATACTTTAGTCGGGCACAGCACCCTAGGACTAGGAAATACTGCGGTCGGAATTTTTAAAATCAACTGAACGCACCAAGTCTAACTTATTTGTTTTTAAACAATTTGTTTGCCCAATAATATGCATTTAAATTACACAAATTATACAGTGTATTACGTTGTAAATGTATTTTTTACTTTATTCTTAAATACGTTTAAAAAAATAAAATAAACGAATTTAAAGAAAAACTATTCTTGCTTTATTTCAACATAGATATATTTTTATTCGTCTACATAATTACAGTTCTTTTTTAAGGATGTATTTAAAAATAAGCCCATAATTATTTTAAACTTATTGTACGTTATAAACAAATTACAGTTCTAAATCTTACCCACATCTTACCTATCTGGAACAAAATAAGATTTAACATTGTTCGTAAATAAGCTATTAAAATTATTTATTAAATTTACTTAAATTTGTATTATTATTAATACAAACTGAACTAATACAATACTTTAGCAGACTCTAAAATAAATAAATTTAAATTTGATTACATTACTGCATCAATAATTCAAATTGACCAATGAAAATGACTGAAATCAACGGCCGAATTAGATCAATTGCCTTGGTGGATTCTCGCCTACTTTCCAGTTAAGAAGAGGATTCCAAGCCGGATAGTCCTAATGGTCCTAATAGCTTAGGCCTTTAAAATAATTTAAAAAAGAAGAAGACAAAGTATACTTAACCCCAGAAAACCAGTTTGTCAAAAGTTGTTTTTTTGGCAATAAAACGTTACTATTTTTTCCTATATTTTACTGAAAATCTGAAAGTATCGTACTAAAAGATGGCACATTACAAGGGGGCCGCCAGCGAGGCTGGCCGAGCCATGCAACTGATGAAGAAACGAGAGAAAGAAATGCAAGACCTGGAAATTCGTAAGAAAAAAATCGAAGAAGACCTAAGAATTAATAACATCGAAAATAAGTTTGCAACTCATTACGATGCGGTCGAACAACAACTTAAGGTACTTATTATCTTTATTTTTCGTGTATTTTCAACAACTATAACTTGATTTAACAGAGCTCAACCATCGGACTGGTTACCCTGAACGAAATGAAAGCGAAACAAGAAAACATAGTTAAGGAACGAGAAAAGAAACTAGCACAAAAACAAGCCGAAAAGGAACGCGAAAAACAGAGACAACTAGAGGCAAAACAGGCAGAAAAAAATAAACAAAAAAAGCAGGTTTGTGAAATATTGAATTTTGGTTTTCATGAAATCAGATAATAAAGAAGAACTAGTTGTTATTTTAGATTCAGGCACTGTCATTTACGTTAGACGAAGATGAGGATAAAGATGATGACAGCGAAGATAATGAAGAAGAGAAAGATCCGGTTTCTTGGAAAAGAGAAGGTGAAACAGCGGAATCAAGATTATTGAAAAAAATTAAAAAAGATCCAACCGCAGACACCAGTTTCTTACCAGATAGAGAAAGAGAAGAAGAAGAAAACAGACTGAGGTACTAAGTAATACATTTTTTAAAAATTTAAAATGCGTTTAATCATTTTGAAGGGAAGAATTAAGACAGAAGTGGGCGGAACAACAGCAGAAACTCAAAGAAGAGGAAATAGACATAACGTTTAGTTACTGGGATGGCTCAGGTCACAGAAGAACAGTGAGAGTTAAGAAAGGCAACTCGATATACCAGTTCTTGCAAAAAGTCTTGGAGCTGTTAAGGAGAGAATTTTCAGAGCTAAAAACTGTGATGGCTGATCAGTTGATGTACGTCAAAGAAGACCTCATTCTACCCCATCATTACACATTCTATGATTTCATTGTGACAAAGGTAGGTGATATACATTCTAAGCTTTGAATGTAACTAGATTTTTTTTAGGCTAGAGGCAAAAGTGGGCCCCTATTTCAGTTCGACGTCCACGATGACGTCAGGCTGGTCAGCGACGCTTCAATCGAAAAGGAGGACAGCCACGCTGGGAAAGTGTTGATGCGAAGCTGGTACGAACGAAACAAACACATATTCCCGGCTAGCAGATGGGAACCCTACGATCCTTCAAAGATTTACGATAAATATACAGTCTCGGACAAAAATAAAAAACAATAACAGTAAAAGTATTAATTTAATTCAACAATAAACATATGGTAATATTAAAAAATAAATAAATAGTGATAAGTTTTTCTAGGTTAGTTTTCTTTGATTTTCACCGGTAACCCTCGTACAACACAGGCAGCTTTGGTCATGAAATATTTGGCGGAGTTTTTTGAGTGACACAGCGCTCTCAGAAGCTCCGGGTTGTTAAATTCCTCCTTATTTTCCTTTGCATCCGTGAGTATTGGATTAATTTTTTCTACCAAAGAAAAATAGGTTTAAATTGATGAAAAAAATATAATTTTTTGTACTAACTTTCTTTTCCTTTTGTCCAATTTGTTTTGTTGAGATTCGCCCAATGAATTGGGGCCTTTGAGGGCACCCAACTACTGATAAATTCTACAGTTAAGACATCGGTGTCAACATCGGTAACTTCCCAGAGCATTCCTACCACACAGGGGCTGAAAAAAAACAAGGAATTTAAAGAAACTCGTTCAAAAATACATCGTTTTTTATTTATATACCATCTGGATATTAAGTACATGTGATAGGATCCGTACATTTCCGTTTGGGGTCCGAGTTTGTTAATTCTTGTGCTGGCGCATCCGAACAGCATCACGACCGTTTGAACATACTTTCTTTGAAGGGCATCGACCGACATTAAATGGGCCCCATTTCCATGCCCGTTATACCTGTTAAAATCCAGTTTTATTTAAAAAAATTAAAAATTTTTTGGAGGTTAGTTACGAGAAAATTTCCGACTCTGTTAACATCTGGATAAATTCATCTTTGCCCGGTTTCTGGCCTGAAATACCGTTCCATTCGGGCATCCAGTATTTATAGAAGCTCGTCATCCTGTTTTCCATTGTTTCCAGATTTTTGTCAGGGTTCACTATGTACGAACCGTTACTGTAATTTCTTATAACCTACAGTAATATGTATGTATAACCGGTAGAAACAGGATGATTTACTTACTTTATGACCGTTTTCTATATCTTTTTCGTGAGTTTTATACAGCAAATATACAAAATGTAGTGAAGGTAACCGTGATATTGGTTCGTTTTCGATAACTTTCATCATTTCCCAAGGAACACAATCCAAACACTATAAAAATATATTAAATATGTATACCAAAACCTTTTGTGTTTTACCTCATCCACAATTAATATAACAGGATGTCTCAGTTTATTTTTAAAAATACTGTTTACATTTCTGTTAATTGTTTTCATGAAGTCGCACAGTTTTTTAATTGCAACACTCTCGGTATTATCGTTAACACAGTATTCCACAGCATTAAGCATTTCGTTACTGCTTAAAAAATTGCTACCTTTCACAAATTTGTATAAAATTTCTTTTTGTCTCCTTACCAATAGGAAGTTCCTAAAAATTATTTATATAAATGATTTATTTGATCCTTTTTAACAGTTATTAACCTACTCTTTCTCTAAGTAACTGTCAATTTCTTTTCTAATGTACTCCTCTATGTTCACATCTTGATATTTTCCTATTAGAAGACACCTAAATTCTCCCAGCCAGATAGTTTCAATCTTTTTCACTAACATGTTCATACTTTCGTCCACCCTGTCTCTGCTTTGACTGTATTTCATTTTCTCCTCGTAATTTTTAAACCTCGTCAATCCCGACACGTTTGTTAGCCTGTCCCTGTTTTCGTTAACCAGTGACATCAGTTCTTGAAGCAACTCTATTTTGTCATTTGCTGTGTGAGGCTTATCCACTTTTACTGTAAAAGGGTTTGTTTTATCTTGACCGCAATCAAACACAGTGATGTGTATAGCACTGGTTTCATACTTTTTCATATTAATATTCTCAAGCTCTGCTGTAGCTTGTTGTGAAGTCAACTGAACCAGCGTCCATTCTAAAATATTTTCTATGTTTTAGATAAATAAAAAATAAAAATACATTAATAAAACCTTTAGGCATCTCAGCGACCTGGTTCAATATCTCCTTTATTCTATTCTCCGCGTCATAAAAACATTTTGTATATATGATATTCTTTAAAAACTTTAACTTCTGGGTAAGCTCATCGTTTAGCTCTTCCTTTGCTAACAACCTCTCGTACCTCATTGCAGTCCTTTCCCTTAACGTAGGGACGTGAGAATCGACAAGACAATAGATCTGGCTTAATTCTTCATCGTTCCAAAATCCTGCTTTGAACTTCTGGCTTCCTAGAAGGATGTAAATTAATAGAGTTTCGTAAAACAGAGTTGAAGAATTACTTTGGTGAAATAGTCCTGAGCGTAGAGTATGATTAAATCCAGCCATTGTATCCAATTCCTTTAGGATATCTTCTCTGGTTGAAAATATACCTTCCATTATTATTAATTTAATGTGTAAATAAATAAAATCGTAAATCGTAACTTTTTCGGTTGAAAACACCTTGAAAATTTTAAGATTTTTTGTATTGATGTATTGAAAGTTGTCTAATCTTCATTTTTGTTTTATTATTCTGTGGCAATTTACAGATATCTTTTCTCACTATAGTGGTGACATCTATGAGACACTAGCCAAACATCATTTACTTTTTTTACAGATTTCTATCCCTAGAATATATAATTTTACAGGTTATAATTTATTTTTTAAATAAATTATTGAAAAACTAATTAATAGATGCACTTATCGAGTTTTCTCTGTCTTTACTTAAAAAACTAATAGCCAGATATCATTAAAACGATTTGTTTTTATCTCCGGTTTTTATTTTTTATCAACGTCAAATTTGGTCTGTCAATTTTTTTCTGTTTCTATTTACAACATTTGGGATTTGGTTTGGTTGACTATAAAAAGGAGATTATTCCTCGTTAAAGTATGGACAAATTGGCAGTAACCCCTGAAGGCAATGTTGTGGATCCCAAAAAGCCAGATTCCCCAAAAATGTTGCAGAATTCTGACGAAAAACAAGCTAATGATATAGCTACGGATAGTACCAAGCCTAAAACTCCAAAAGCTAAGAAAAGGAAGAAACCGAAAGACAGTACTGCCCCTAGACAGCCTTTAACAGGTCAGTAGACTGTATTCTTTGAATAAATTGTAATAAAGCTGCTTTATTGTAGGATATATTCGATATCTGAATGACCGAAGGGAAGCTGTCAGGACTTCCAATCCATCGCTCACATTTGCTGATATTACTAAGATCTTAGCCAGCGAGTGGAGTAATTTACCTTCTGATAAAAAGCAGCAATACTTGGATGCAGCTGAACTAGATAGAGAAAGGTAAAAATTACTATATTTTCATATTTTAATCTAATTTTTTATGTATGAATCAAGGTATACAAAAGAATACGAAGCATATAAACAGACCGAGGCATACAAACAATTTACCCAACTCCAGAACGAGAAGAAACTCAAAGATAACAAAGAAAAAGAAAAGGAAGATGTTAAAACTATAGTTTCAAATGTTTGTATACTGTTTAGGTACATTAAATAAATAACTAATTAAAAAAATAATATTTCTAATTTTAGGTAAATTCATCTCAACCCCCTGTAACTAAAGACATCCAGGAAATGGACTTTGGCAACTTTGATATTCCCATTTTTACTGAAGAATTCCTTGATCACAATAAAACAAGAGATGCAGAATTAAGGTACGTTAACGTTATAATTTTCTGAGTAGTATTTCAGATTGTTCTGTTTCTGGTTTTAGGCAGCTCAGAAAAATCAATACAGATTACGAGCAACAGAACGCCACTCTGACCAAACACATTGAAAACATGAAAACGGCCATAACTAAGCTGGAAACGGAGATTTCACAACAGGAAAAGAATAATGTTTCTTTGCAACAGCATCTGGAGCATCTTAGGGCTACTCTGGCCACGGGATTCGGTGGTGTTAAATTACCAGGTAAATAAAAAAATATTTGGAAAAGAAATAATTACTTCATAGACATTTTTTTGTTATGTAGGAATCAGAGAAACTGCTTCCTTGCAAAATATTGACAAGTACATGATGAATTTACACTCAATATTGCTGGAAAACAGCAGTCACGATACGAATTTGTTACAAACGGTCCGTGATATAGTGGCAAAGTTGGAGTTTAATGGATGACCGACAGTGAGGGCTTCGAAAAGGAAAAGAAAAGCAAAGAAGTTTTTTTAATCGAGCTGGCACTAATTTGACTATGTGGATGAATGTATTAATTTTACTTAGGCCAGTAGAGTTGTTAATTTTTTAATTAATTATTTTTATAATTGTGTATATGGATGTTGTTATAATTAATTAGATGGATAATCTAGTAACATTAATTTATTTTATCAATTTTAACTGTGTGGATGAATGTATTAATTTTACTTAGGTTTTAAGTAATTGCATAATTTTAACTCTCGCTGGAATAGTTAATTAAGTTTTTTATAATTGTATATATTGATAAATTAGATGGTTAATCTAAGAATGTATATTAGGTATCTTGGACTAATAAATTTGCCAAAAATTTCATTTCCTTTTCCCGCGTTTATATTTGTGTGCAACTTGATTGACATGTGATATAACATCACCCCCTCCACTTAAGGCTAATCAACATGATATGCGTAAGGCAAATATGGCGGCGAAGGCAGTGCATTTTTAAATTGTTTACCTTTAACCTGAAAAGCCGGTAGTGGTTTCTCGTACCGATTGCATACCAGAAATAATTAATTATTGGTGGGTTCATACTTCGAGTATTAGCCCTAACCTTACCCTTAACATTAACCCTAAGAAATTAACCTTGAGAACTTAAGGAAAGGCCGTTCATACTTCTCCTACTTATCTTAAGAAAATAATCAATATTCTCGTAAGCGCTTGCGCTCATATAAAACATATGCTTTGAACTAACCTAAATTCACAATTATTTTTAAAATTTCTAATACTAAAGAAACTAATTTTTACATTAATAATTTCTAGACCAAAAAATATATAATATATTTACATTTATAAACCGTCAAAGTCAACATGTCAGAAATTATTTCGAGAATTCTTAAGACTCCTAGCTTTGAGCATGCGCGATTCAGTTTTGAATTAGCATTAGCCCTAAGAATATAAAATAACCCAACCTGTTAGGACTAAGGCTAATGTTAGGGCCGATACAACGAGAGCATGAACGCTAGCATTCGTTAACGTTGATTCATATTCTTGGGGTTAGGACTAATGTTAGTGTTCGAGCTAAGATCGGAAGCATGAACCCACCATATCTCTAGTTTGTTGTGCTTCTGCAACACGTTTGTTTAGTTCTTAGTGTTCAGTGCATGGTGTGATCAGAAAATTGTGATCAAATAAGAGTCTAATAAAAGTCCAAACCAGACATATTCCACATAGGTAACTTTAAACTTTTGTGCTTGTCGTACTCCTGTATTATTAATTATTTTAAGGTAAGAACTAGAAGTATTTATCAAGATATTACACCTAAATGAGTAAAAAGCCTTCACCGCCAGTCTGCATAGTACTTTATAAAATAGTTACTTACAATAATCAAAAGATAGGTATTAAAGGTTAACATTTTATTGTAGCATGCCTTCTACATGCTCTGTTCCAAATTGTCAGGGGAATTATAGAGGGGGTCCCAAGGTTTCTGCTTTTATATTCCCCAAAAATGACGAGCTTAGTAAAAAATGGTTGACGGTTATTAAAAGAGATAATTTCACTCCTACTAGTAGTTCTCGGGCAAGAAGTGCATTAAATATGCCTCAAAAAGGCCATCAAACTTAAATTATGATTAAATATAGGTATGTAAATTACATTTTTGCGATAAAGAAATTGAAAGCAGTACAAAATTTTATGACATAACAGGTGAAGCATTAGATGTACCTTTAAAGGTACCGAGTGTTTATATGTGCAAATGTATTATATTCTCCATAATACCACCTTATAAAAGCATATTGATAAATAGGTATTTCTACAGAACCCTAATTTTGTCTGTCCCTGAATCCTAAACTGTCCATAATAGAAGGATAATAGTATCAAGTTTGAATATTTTAACACTACCTATTTTCTGAGAAAGCAGACCTTTTTATAAAAAGTAACTAACTAATGTTTTCATAAAAGTAATAATACAAACAATTCCATACTTATGTGGAGAACTTTAAACTCCCTGTATATTAACAAATTAGTGAAATATTACGTAATCTAACCCGACATTTGCGTGAAAAATGTCTGTTTGGAAATAAAACAGGGTTCAAAAAAAAGACGCGCCAAATAAAGCACTTCTATCTCCGCCATATTGGAAAAGGTTGAATGGCTTAAGTGGAGGGGGTGGTGGATATAACCTCAAAATTATTTGAGGTTGAAGGCACGTGTTGCACGTTTTAGTTTGCTTGGTGTTTATTGTTTAGGGCTAGTTTCTAGTTAATTATTTTATGGTTTAGGGTTTCTTATCATTTACCTGTGTCATGTCGTTTTATCTTAGACCTCCGACCGGCTTTACTACAATATTTAATTTGGAAAAAACAGTGCGCCAAAGACTCCTTTGTTACGAAAAAATTTTAACTGAAGATATCAGGAATACCATCGCCGATCTGGAATGTTTGGTGGAAGATAGTACCCTAGATCGTTTAGGACACCACCTCTTTAGGTTACTTGCTTTTAAAAACAGTTCCTTTTGCCCAGCTTTTGTAGCAAATGAAATTGAATTATTAGGACTTCGATTATCTGCTTACAATCCAGATGAAGCTTTGAAGTTTGTTATATCGCTAAAAAGTCAATGTAGAACGTGTTTAAGGGCAATTGAGGAGGAAGGCAGAGTAAAAAATTACTTCATTGCACTTAATAAAGTGTGTTCAAAACTATTGTCCTATTTTCACAGCCCTGACGATGTTTCAACAGCACAAATTGAAGGTATGTAGATAGTTTTGAGTAGAACTAAAGATTCTGATATATTTATGTTTTTATTATATTTTTTTAGTTCACTATACTTATTGTTTCGACCTTCTTGCGAAAAGACAGTACAACTTAGTTAATGGAATGATGTTGATAAATTGCACAGATTGGAGAGCTTTATTAATGTCTTTGTATAAAAGTTATCTACATCTGGCTTTGTTTGATATGAAGTTCATACCTACAGTGAATAATGCCCTTCAAGATGAAAGAATTAGGGATGCTTTAATCTTGGCGCGAGAATTGTTCTTTAGAAATAATTCACTTAGAAAATTTGGCAGTTTAGACGTGACCCATTTTGAAGAAGAAATTCCAAACTTCCCGTTATGTATGAAGAGTTTATATAATAATTTATCAAAAAATAACAGATTAGGTCATAATGCTAGGTAATGCTTTAATTGCTTTTATTGAATTTCTAAACATATTTGTTTCTTCTCTTTAGGTTTGATTTCAGTTTGTTTTTGAAAGACATCGGGATGGAAATAACAGATGCCTTCGAGTTTTGGAGGAGGTTTTATTCCAAACAGCACTCAAGTTGCTCGAGTTGTACTCACAGTTGGGAAGAAAACGAAAAAAGGTATATTTATGGAATTAAACATCTATATGGATTAGAAGGGTCCAGAAAGACTTACAACGTAAAGGATTGTTCTCAAATGCAGGTATACATTTTGTTATACGGGGTGTTTCAAAAAACATGTGCCATCTCTCGTGGGGAGATTCCTCACGTAAAAATAAGGTTTAGGTAATTATTGGGAAAACTGGAAATCATCCGATTTTCACCAAAATTGGTATACACCCTATTTTGAGGTCGTAGATTACGAATCGGAACTTTTTTATTGGCGGTCTCTTACCGTTTTTCAGAAAAACGGAAATTTATTTCAACATTGAATTTTCCGTTATTTCGGCCCTATAAAGTAATAATTTCACTATATTTTCATTATATTATAGTTTATCTAAAAGCCACACTTGATTGGGGATAGAAAAATGTCCAAAATTTTACTGAAAAACATTTTTCTTAACAAAATAACAAAGAAAATTGAGACCAGTTGGAAGTTTGACATTTGATATATCCTTCTTTCTCTCTTCTATGTAATGAGAGAGACAAATATATTCTAGACCAAATCTAGAAATTTGAAAGTTTACAACGTTGCCATATCTTCTATTTTTTTCGGGTGATTAGGGATTTTAAATAAATTACCTATTATGAGATCGACAATAATTAAATGTACTTACCTATATCCACAAAGTTACGCGGAAGAGTTTTGATTGCATTGGTTACAACTTCCATGCGGAGGGTGTTAATCTTTTGTTGTTTTATTATATCAAAAAAAGATTAACCCCCTCCACAAAGAAGTTAAAACCAATGCAATCAAAACTCTTTCGTGCAACTTCGTGGTTATAAATAATCAGATCTCGTTGGTAAAATAGCAATTATGGGAAGGAGCCGTTCTTCTGCTAAGCTAAACTAAACACGCTAAATTTAGGTTTAGCATTGGCAACGTTGCTTTAAATGCCAGAAACACATAACCCAACATTTTCAGATTGTTTACAAATTTATTTTAGCGAATTTTCTTCTATTATGCATCGAATTGGTTAAAAAAGTAACAGAAAATAGCAATAACATCATTGTTTATTGAATACCTAACAAAATCTGTGCTAGAAAACCTTAAAAATATGAGAAATTAAGAAAAGTTTGATGTTGAAATAATTTTCCATTTTTCTGAAAAACGGTTAAGAGACCGCCAAGAAAAAAGTTCCTAATAATTACCAAGATTTATTTTTCGTATCAACATAGGTCCGATTCTGCTTGGTTTCGTAGCTACAGGGTGTTAAAGTCTTAATATTTTTTCGATCTATTATAATTTTTACGTGAGGAATGTCCCCAAGAGAGGTGACACATGTTTTTTGAAACTCCCTGTATTTATGATTTTGCAAGTACCAAATTTGTTGTATTTTAAGAGTATGACTCTTGGTGCAACTGAAGAAGGCGGCTGCCCTTTTCAACATTTCGATGACAATAATTTGAGGTCGCTTTTGAGAAGTTCTCTACCCGCCGATAGCAGTGAAAACATCGAAATCATTATCAATGAAAGAAGGGCAAATCCAAAAAGAGGCTGTGAAAAATTTTTAGATTCCGTGGTAGAAAAAGATGCAGTTAATGATGAGCTACATTTTAAAAATCCAGCGGAATATTATTTCTTATTAAAATCGATGAACTCTGAGGTGTAATCCGTACTGATTTTTTATCACGGAAATGTGTGATTAAGATGTTATATATGTATTATTTTTTGTATTATTATTTTTGTTATATATATATTATTTTTCTATAAACATTTGCTTTAAAATGCTTCCCGAAAAATTGCAGCACTCGAAAGGGAAAATAAAAATAATATACAGGGTGGTCCGAACTCTATTCCGAAACCTTTGGCAGCATTTTCTGCAGATAAAAATAAGTAAAAAAGTTCCTATAAATTTATATCCTAAAATGCTTTTAGTTTCGGAGATACAGGGTGTAGAAGTTTCCTTTTTATTTTGATTTTTTCCAAATAATTTCTGAAATAACGTCAATATCGTATAATAATAAACAAACCACCCTGTTTGCGTTTAAATGTTATGATTGAGATTTTTTTTTAGAAAAATGCCATTTTAAATTAGAACCTTCACCATTTTGTCAAGAAGGTCAGAATTATTTTTAATTGTATACTGGCCAAATGACCTATAAGTTCAAGCCACTCAAAAATAAAGAAGAAGAAAATCTATGTCGAATCTGTGGTTGCGATTGTTTTTTGTTTATACTTATGAAAATGTAAGTATCCATTATTTTGTCTGTTTTTTTATATATTTTTCCAATTTTCAAAAGGTTCTTTTTCAAAATCGAGTATATGGAAATATAGATACACTCCTTGATGTCTCTATTGTACATAAGAAATAAAGTTATAGAAACATTTGGTATTTTTTCGGCCATTTTTTTTTGCTAGAGTTTAAAGATGTTTTTTATTCCTAAACTAATATTTTAGGTGTTTATTTGTGCAGGCAAACAAGTACTTTCTACTTTTTTTAGGATAAATCGGTGTTAGTATACTCAATAATATCACACAAGAGAATGGTGTCTTTCTGCATCCTTCCGCAGAAGAGGAGACCTGGATTATCGTCTAACTTTGATGTTTGGCCATCGAGGACCTGCATATTATATATAGGTACCGAAGGAAGTTACTATCCTCCACGTCTACAAGCTGGCTGAGTCTTAATCTTTGACCAAGGGTTAAATTAGCTGCAAGAAGGTAACATCCTTCTTGCAGCTAATTTAACCCTTGGTCAAAGTTAGGTTAAATTTTAGGTTTATAAGAGGTTTATATAAAAGTTCAGCCCTATCTTCAACTACTGCTGTACGAGAAATTCAAAGTAAGTTTTATTTTAATTAATATATGTTTCCAGATTGTCTTTACAAGAGGGGACACTTTACTTCTAACATTTTGAGTAAAATGCATTCTTTACAAAATATTTTGCTTTAATTGAAATGGTTAATCCCGTTTATACTTTTCCAAATTTCCAAACTGTTAGAGAAACATAAAAAATTATGAGAATATCTACGGTAACAGTATCTCGTTTTCATTCTTTGATAGATGGTTATTATTAATTTAATGATTAAAAATAATTTTGCTATGATAATAAAAATATTTTACTAGATATACTTCACTAAACTTTAATAGTAAAGTGTTTATTTTGTTTTTAGAGTTTTAAGTAGGTTTTGTTTTGTTTTAGACCTGTTAATAAATATCACACAAGAGAATGGTGTCTTTCTGTATCCTTCCACAGTAGAGGAGACCTGGATCATCCTCTAACACTGATGTTCGGCCATTGAGAACCTGCATAGCATATATGGGTACCTAAGGAAGTTACCACCCTCTATGTTTAGGAGCTGCGTGAGGCTTAATCGACCAGGGGATAAATCAGCTGCAGGAAGATGAATATACATCAGGAGACAAGGTTTATGATAAATGGAGGCTAGCATGACATAGTTTGGCTCTCTCTTGTATTTTTAATCGCTACTTTACAAGGAATTAAAAGTAAGTTTTATTTTAATTAATATAGAAAAAATGTACTTGTCATAGTCTTTGTTTTGTTTAATCACAGCATTAAATAAATCTAAAAAAAAAATAAAGAACACGTGAAATGAATTAATTTTGAATTTAGTTTTTAGTTCTGATTTACTGGTTGCCTATTCTTTACAAAAATAAATTTAATGCTGAGAACAGTTTATCAAAGAACAATGTTTAACATTTCTTTTTTGTTTTAGGGATGAAAAATTTATGTTTTTTTCTCAGAGTTTTTGTGGAAATCTGCATTTGGTCTTCAAGGAGCTATTTGAATGGTACTTGACAACTCGGCACTGCAAATATTACTTCACTGAGACACAGGCTGTGTTCAAACAATTTTCACGCTTAAAAGATGTAAGTTTCTTTTTCCAATAGAGTTTTTTAGTAGTACCGTAAAGAAAAACGCGTATTGTAGTATAATATGTAGTAAAAGTATGTTGGTAATAAAGAGAAAAAACCTTTTTTTACTATTTACTTTTTGAGTAAAATGCATTCTTTATAAAAAGTTCTAGAAATCAAAATGCTAACAAACACAAAAAAGAAATAAAAACAAACAAAACCTTATGAAGAATGCGTTTGTCCGAAAAAGTCTTTCCTCTTGTCGATATAGAAAAATAATGTATTTTTTGTGAAATTATTTTCTTTCAAATTTCACAAATAAAAAATTTCAGGTTTTCCCACTACTTTTCAATATTAAAAAGAATATTCTCTGGCAATGTGCAGGTGATTTTCAACAAAAACTTACCCAAATGGAATGTATCAAGAGTACCATGCAGGTACTACTTTGCTGAGACATTGACTGGCTTCAGGCAACTATTCGCCTTAAAAAGATGTAAGTTACATTTTTTTTTGGTAGATTTAAGGTATGAAACAAGGGTATGAAGTACTCAGATATTTTTAGTGTTATTGAATAAATTTAAACTTATTATTTTATTATAAGAAATTATATTAATAAAATTTAGTTCTGGCTGAGTACTAGTATTTTTATGTTACACAATTGCACAAGAAGAACATTTTTTTTAATCATATTTCTTGAAGGCCATTCAAACATTTTTCTGCTGGGATGTTTAGTAAATATTTTTTGTGCAATGGAAACAATATTATACAATTATTTCTGTTTATAGGTTTATGGTACTGGTTCTGTAACAACTGCAGCTGTTATTGGTGCTCCTACTTATTTGATCTTCCTGTATATTCCCCATTGAAGATGTAGAACAGAACGCGGACTTAGGATAGGAACACTTCATTTTGATCACACTGATCTCATTTTTTTTAATTCTACGATTTTTTTAAAGTAAAGTTTAGATAAAATGATTAAATTCTGTTATTCGTACATACATTTTTAGTAGACACTCACATATTTTTATATATTACAAGTTAAAATTCAAATATTTATATTTTTTAAACTAGTATCTCTTCAAGAATATATTTTAGTTAACTCTAGTTGTAAAAAAATACAGAATTTAAAATTATCTAAATTTTATTTATTGGTTATTTACAGTGTTAACGCAACAGTGTTCCACACAACCTGTTCAGAAAGTGGAAAATGTATTTCAAAATACAACTTAATAAAAATAGATAGTTTAAATTGGATTTCAAAATAATCTTTAATGGACCGGTTGTGTGGGCACTCTGTATATGTCATATACTGTTATATTAGTGATTCTCTGTTTAAAAAAAGGATTTTAAATTGATATTTTTTAATAAAAAAGTACAAGAAATAAATGGCGAACGCGGCAGGAAAATAAAATATTGAAATTAACAGATTTTTTAAAAAATCTAAAAATAAAATTGAGATAAGAAAAATTCTGTAATTTAAATAGTAATTTCAGTTTAAAAACTAGCTTTTCTGAAATATGTTTTGGTTCATTTTTTGTTATAAAAAATTACAGGATTCAAAATTATCAAAGTTTTATTTGTTAAATCATCTGCAATAAAAAAATAAAATGCTCTATAAATAATATAGGGTTTTCTAGCAAAATAAAACACTAAATTCACTACAATACATCAAAACACGTCATCATTGCTCACCGAGTTAGCATCATCATCAGATGATTAAAACTAATGTCCCCTCGGTCACTGTCATCATATTTTAGTTAACAAATTTGCGTTGTCTTAATATAATTCTTTAATTATGATTTTCTTTTTTAAGAGTATGAAATAATCACATATTAATATATGGCTTGGTTTGGTTGTAGGTTATTATATTATAGGCCATATTGGCATTAAATAAATTCCTCATTCTATACCAGGACTAGGCTATAGAATTTTTTTGACTTTGGTCTCAAATCTGGTTCAATCTTTGCTGCAAATTTGTTAAAGTCACCTCTGTACCTTCTACTAAATCATGCCTAAAATATGTCTTGTTAGTGTATTCTAGACATTTTTGTAAGTATTATAAGAATTTGTACGTGTCTTGCCTGTGTAAATCAGTAAGAGCATTTTTCATCCATTTACAACATTCCATTTTAGGGCATTGTACTCCAGCATATTTCCAATCATATCCTCGATACAACAACGATTACATTTTACTCGATGTACCTTTGTAATGTAATGATAAATCCGTGTGGTTACGAAAACTGTTTAAATTCTCTTTTCTTGTAAGTCACTCTCTCTTCTAAATTCTCTTTTTTCTTGTAAGAATCTTGACAATAAATTCAGTATTAATGTATAGAGAATTATAATAGAACTAGTCTGTATACTTTTTCTTGAATCTCCAGTGTTCCTGATATCGAACGGTTGGATTTATTGGCTTGTAAACCAAAAAGATTTTCGTTATCTCGAAGATTTAACGCGTAAATATCAATGATATTTATCTAGATCACCAGATTTTAAAATGTTTTATTTGATTTAAAGTTTTTAAACGTATTTTAATTTTGAATTTGCTGGACTTGTTTATTTATATTGTTGTCTTTGTCTAGTAGTTATCCATAGATTATTATTTGGTCTCTCTCCTTTTGGTTATTTTTTTTTCAGGATACTGGCCAAATGTTCCTGACCTGTTCAAGCCATTTAAAAATAAAGAAGAAGAAAATGTATATGATCTGTGGTTGCACATGGTTAGAAACAGAAGTATTGAAAAGAAGAAGAACAATACTTTGATTCTGTGGTTACGGATCTATTATTGCCTAAAATTCGAAAAAGAAGATGAACGCCTGTGGCGCCATTGTGTCAAAAGTGAGGAAATTTTGAACTAAAAACTAAAATGGTTGCCAATATTTTTGTAATTATGTGAAGATCTAAATTAAATCATATTTTTGTAAGTATAAAACGAATCGAATCGTTACAAAATCATGATTAACATATAATACACACACTATTTCAGTAGAATAAATATTTTCTTTTAGGCGCAGCATTGGTTATACAGCAAAAAAATGATCATGACAGGACGACATTTTCCGTTGTTGGATGTTCCTTTACAATTTTTCTGATTTTTTCGTAGAAAAAGTGGTTCTTTTGTATACTATTTGAGCTTATTCTGTTCCTTAGGCCTGCTTAATCTCATAAAAGTGTAAGTACCCGTTATTTTGCTTGTTTTTATAGTTTCTTTTTCACTTTGAAATATTTCAATTACATCATCGTTTAAAGCTTATAAATTTTTCCAATTTTTCTCATTTTCTTGTTCAAAATCGAGTGTATGGGAATATAGATACATTCCTTGATGTCTCTATTGTACGATAATATTAAGGTTACTAAGAATATTGCTTTCTATTTACAAATATTTGATATTTTTTTGGCCATTTTTTTGATTGTGTTTAAAGATGTCCTTTTTTTCCCAAGAGTAATTTTTTAAGTGTTTATTTGTACAGGGAAACAAGCTATTTTCTACGTCTTTTAAAATAAGTCAGTGTTAGTATACCTAAAGGGGCCCACTATGTGCTCAATAATTACATAATTGTTTCAGATAAAAACAAACCTTTTAGCATTTTTACTATACACTGTCGTCGTCATATATCGTAGTTTATACAAATTTGCATTGTTTTAATTATAATGCTTTAATTCAATTATCTCTTTTAGGAGTATTATTAATAATACACACTCAGCATGTAAAGGCCACCTAAAAGACAAGACCTGGATCACCTCTGTTGTTTATCCATCATTCTGGTTTACGAAATTGGTTTTTCATTACTCAATTAAAAGAAGTTTATTTTATTATTTAAAAACAATTTGAATAAATTTATTAAATGATTATTAACAGACTAACCGTAATTTTAAGATATATTTAATATTAATACGAAACAAAAAAAACGTCATTATTATAGCATAATTAATCAAATGTAATATTATTTATTTCTTTTTTACAGAGATTGTGCAGTAACGCAATGGATGTATACAGTTCCAGGGCAGTACATTTATCATTTCAATTGATATTATGAACAATGCATCAGGACTTATAAGTAAATCTAAAAATTTTATTTCTTTTGTGTAAATATATTTTTATTTGTTTGCTATTGATGTTCATTAGTAGATTTTATGATTTTTAAATTTAAGTAAGGAAAAATTTCCAATGGGTGCTGTTTTTATGGTTCCTTATTATCATAGATAAATTCAGAGCAGTGATTTTTAATTTAGGCCTATATATGGCTTTTTATTTTTGATACAATACCATCTACTTAGAACTTTATGTTGTTTTTGGGTTACTTTCATTTCTTTATAATTGCTTGACTTTCATATATTGTTGATTGTGGAAATAATGTCATCATTTATCAATTCCATACATTATTCCCTTGATTGTATTTCTATAGGTCTCATTTGTTTGGTAAAATATACCATTACTTACAGCTTGACTCCCATATTTTCTTCATTGCAGGAATAATAACATCATTTATTGATTCTATAAAATATTCCATTGGCTCTATTTCTATAAGTATTCTTTTATTTGTATTAGTTTTTTTATAGTATCATTCTTCTAGTATTTTTTTGCTTGTGTGATTCCTTGTACAGAATTTATGTTTTGATGGATTCATTTTTATGTCATTTTTTTCAGATCATATGCCATGAATTGCCATAATTTTGCGCATTCTCTTGGTTTGATTTCTCTGTGTTTAAATATAATTTAAATACGCAGTAACACACTTAAAAATCTCAGAATAAGGACTAATTTCCATCTAATTTCCTACTAATTCCTGGCGCATTCGCCATTTATCCAAAAAAAAATTGACTTCCACATAATTTACTTCTAGTTTTTCTAGCATTTTTTCCAATGAATTTTCCTGAATAGCATCGACTCCAGAGCATCATAACTAGCCTCCCCAAAGAGGAGGAGACCCGGGTCACCCCCTAACCCTGATGTTCGGGCATCGATGACCTGTGTAGCATGCAGAGGTACCCAAGGGAGTCACCACCCTCTGGTTTACGAGCTAGGTGTTCTAACGCTAGAGGCTTCGGCCGGATACGACCTGGCACCCAAGCTACGAGACTTCTTCGTGCACGTATCCCGTGACGTCTCGACGGTAGAGGGGACGGGATATCGGACACAATGAAGATGATGAGGGGGGTCCGCCTGTAGGGGGTCCCGGTGGATGTCCGCTCGATGGGTGACGAGGGTGACCCGAGACGAGGCTGCTTAGCTGGGATGGGAACTGACTGGCGAGGCTTAATCGTCGGACAAGGGTTAAATCTGATGAAGGGGGGCGAACTTATATGCTCTGGAGGATTTTTCTTTATGTGCTTGTTGTCATCTTTTGACTAGATTTTCTTTAGAGGAGGCTAAGCTATTTTTCCAGTTCTTTCCAAGACCGCATACTTCTTTATATTTTTTTTCTTGCTTATGGCCTACCTCAAATACATTATTTTTGTATTCTATATTTTCTTTATTATTGGAATATTACCATTCATCAATACTATAAGCTCTTCTAATGACTGGCTTATATATTTTTATTGTGACTTTCTTCCGATACTTTTTTAATGCATAAAAAAATAATTTTATTGCCTGTATGGAATTATTGCTTTCTTATCTATTGTCATCTTATTTTTCCTGAGATTTTCCCTCATTTTCATGCTATTTTATCCAGTGCGTCATATCTCTTTTACTATATGTTTCCCATATTTTCTTCCTTGTGGGAATGCCATCATTCATCAATTCTATAAACTCTCCCATTGATTGTATTTCTAGGTCAGTTTATTTGTATATAATTTTATATATTTTTTTTGTCATTCTGAGACTTTTCTAAGTTCATCACACATTTTATGGAACTTTTTTAATTCCATATTCCTATCTCTGTTTCTTTATTTGTCTCACATATTTTCATTCCGTGAAATCTTCTATTAATTTATGTATATTTCTGGGTTATCAGTCATTATTTAATTTTTAAAAAAATAATTCTGTATCTCTAGAGTTCTCTAAGGTATTTTATTTCTATTGACTATATCAAGTTGTAGTTTTGGAATCATTTTCATGACTTTTTTCTTTTTTCAACTCATCATTCCATACAGAGGAAAACCCTAACTAAATTTTATTTTTCTTAAGTATAATTTATTATTTTTCTTTTACAGGGATTGTATTTTGAAGTCTTCTCTTCTATTTGTATTATTATTTATTTTAATGCCATTCTTCTAAGACAAGTCTTTTTATTGCCTATATAGAACTGTATAATTTTGGATACATTTTCTAATTGGGAAATGACGATCGATGACATTCCCATATAATTTTACATATAAAATGACAGCGATCTTCATTTCATAGCCATCGCTGACGCTGTTTTTTTTTTGTCATATTGTATAAGCAGGAATAATACCGTATGATCGAAAAAAAAACGTCGTCGGAGATGGCTTAGAAATTAGGATCACTGTCATTTTATATGTAAATTTATATTGGGAATTCCATCAACTCTTACTTCAAAGCCTACTGGATGCCATTTTTTTTCGATCATACGGTATAATTTATTTATGTTTAGGCATTTTGTTGTTAATATATTTTCTATTTTGTGCAGGAATCTACATACCATATGATCAAAAAAAACGGCGTCTAGTTGGCTGGGAAATGACGATCGGTGACATTTCCCATATAATTTTCCATATAAAATGACAGCGATCTTTATTTCATAGCCATCGCTGACACTGTTTTTTTTGTCATATTCTATAAGCAGAAATAATACCGTATGATCGGAAAAAAACGTCGTCGGAGATGGCTTAGAAATTAAGATCGCTGTCATTTTATATGTAAATTTATATTGGGAATTCCATCAACTCTTACTTCAAAGCCTACCGGATGCCATTTTTTTTCGATCATACGGTATAATTTATTTATGTTTAGGCATTTTGTTGTTAATATATTTTCTATTTTGTGCAGGAATCTACATACCATATGATCTAAAAAAACGGCGTCTAGTTGGCTGGGAATGACGATCGATGACATTCCCCATATAATTTTACATACAAAATGACAGCGATCTTCATTTCGTAGCCATCGCTGACGCTGTTTTTTTTTCGATCATATTGTATAACTTTTGTTAAGTTACAGATTACTATTACTTAGTAATCAAGCTTGTTAGTGCACAATTAAATATTTCTTTACATTTTTTTACAGAACCAAGGCTTTCCAGAAGGGTAGTCAGAAGATTTATTTACCTCTACATAGACATCATCATGTCCATCGCCACCTTGGATTATAATTTTTAAGTTACCCAATAATTTAGTTGTTAATAAGATAATATAATATTGAAATAAATAATAATTAATAATACATGAGTTTTATTGAACCAAAATATACTGTCTAATCCTGAACAAAGAGAAAAAGTCATTTAACTATCACAAAAATAATATATTTTAATACTTACACTTGTTCTGGAATAGACAGTATTTTATATAAAAATAATACCCTACAATTACCTCTTCGCTCTTATGCGCTCCTGATACAAATCCGAGAAAACTCAGCTTTAAATAAAAATTGAACGAAAATTTTTAATCCTCCAAAATCACTAATTTCTATTAGGAACACATAAGTGTGAAGAGGTACGGAGTAAATTCAGTACCAATATTTACCTCTTCGCTCTTATGTGCTCCTGATACATATCCGAGAAAATTCAATTTTTATCAAAGACTGCACGAAAATTTTTTAACCAGGTCAGAAATCGCCGATTTTTATCAGGAACACATAAGGGCGAAGAGGTAAGGATTAAATTTAGTACCACATTTAAATAAAGCATCGATCAACGATATTTCTGCTATCTCTAGCACTTCGACCTCGTTTCCAAACTTCAACCCTTAATATCTCGGAAACTATAAGGGTTAGAGAGGAACGGAACTCGGCATTCGATTCGCCTTTCAACCCTCTATAAGGGTGCAAAATTAGGGCGCGATCGGGGACAAAAAAATTTTTTGGCGAAAAATGAGGTAAGGGGTTAACCTTCCTTCATTTTTGCCGAAATTTTTTTTTTGTCTCCGATCGCGCCCTAATTTTGCACCCTTATAGAGGGTTGAAAGGCGAATCGAATGCCGACTTCCGTTCCTCGATAGCTCTTTTAGTTTAGAAGTTATGGCCGTTTTTCGAAAAAATCTAACTCATTCTAACTCGTTGGTCGGGTACTCCAATTTTTGCCAGGTCGAAATTATTTTTGGTCGGTTTTGTCAAAAACGGAGAAATTTTGAATTTGTATCAGGAACATATGAGTGCGAGGAGGTATTTTTCGATATCAGGAGCAGGGGTTACATTCACCATTTTGTCAAGAATTTATTTCGTTTATTTTTACCTCCTTACTCTTATGTACTCCTGATACAAACTTCTTAATTTTTCAGTCTTTAATGAAAATTGGAGGAATATTTTTAATCCTTGCCTAAAATCACACATTTCTATCAGGAACACATAAGTGCTAAGAGGTAGTTTTTACCGCCTTGATCTTTGAAGAGATAGTATTTTTCTCCTCGCTCTTATGTACTCCTGATACAAATCCGAGATTTTCATCGACTTTGTCTATTTTCCTTGGGGAAATAAAATCACAATTATTTTTAATAAGTTTTTTATTCATATAACAAGTATAAATATATTTGACGTGGACAGTATTCTGGATACACACTACAAAATTATTATACAGGGTGGTACACTTATTTAAAAAAAAGACTGTATATTATTTTCAGCAGTAACATTCAATGGCCTTTCATGGCCTACTTAAATATTGCATTACCTTTAATAAATAGCTTATATACAAGGCTTATATCTGTAACCAGATGATCATTACACTAAATAATTAATATAATAGATTAAGTAATATTGTTAATTATCAAAATAAAACACTAATTAACCACAATAACTTACTTTACTTTTAACATTGGACGCGCGTTTTGTTAACCATGTTAGTATCATCAGCAGATGAATAAAACTAAATTAATATATACAAATTGAGCGTTTATATAGGCGCTCGGTTGGTGATCACCAAGTGTGGCAAAATTAATTACCGAGACTAGAACAGTAAAAACAGAGAACTGAAAGGAAATGTTATTTCTCTCATATGCATCTAATTACCTGTAATTTGGGACTTGTTTAATTAATTTTAAATTATTAACATCTATAGAATAATCTGTATCAAAAAAATGTTGAGAAACGCAAGATTTATCCGCTCTACCCATATCTGAGTCATGTGTTCTTTAAATCTAATTAATATTGATCGTCTAGTTAACGCAATATATTTTTGATTGAATTTTTGATACATGGAATTTCATAAATACCCGACCTTTCCAGTGGAGGTGTTTTATCTTTAGGATTACCTAATAGTTGTAATTTATTTTTAGAGCTACGAGTATATACAAATTTATAATTGACATCCTTAAATATTTTTTAACCACGGGATAGCTCATCAAACGGTAATGAAATATAGTTTGACGTATCTTTCTTCACCTCTTCCTCACTGTTGATTTTGCCACAGCAGGGACCTGGTGATTTTGCCACAGAAGGGCCAAGTGATTTTACCACTCCAAGGATCTAGTAATTTTGCCAATGCAGGGACTTGGTGATTTTACGACTGCAGGGACCTGTTGATTTTGCCACAGCAGGGACCTGGTGATTTTGCCACTGTAGAGACCTGTTGATTTTGCCATAGCAGGGACCTGTTGATTTTGCTACTGCAGGGACCTGGTGATTTTGCGACTGCAGGGACCTGTTGATTTTGCCACAGCAGGGACCTGGTGATTTTGCTACTGCAGGGACCTGGTGATTTTGCCACTGTAGAGACCTGTTGATTTTGCCATAGCAGGGACCTGTTGATTTTGCTACTGCAGGGACCTGGTGATTTTGCTACTGCAGAGACCTAGTGATGTTGCCACAGCAGGGACCTGGTGATTTTACCACGGAAGGGACAAGTGATTTTGCCAATGCAGGGACCTGATGATTTTCCTACTGCACAGACCTGGTGATTTTGACACAGCCGGGACCTAGTGATTTCGCCACTGCAGGGACCTGGCGATTTTGCCACGGAAGGGCCAAGCGATTTTGCCACTCCAAGGACCTAGTAATTTTGCCAATGCAGGGACTTGGTGATTTTGCGACTGCAGGGACCTGTTGATTTTTCCACTGTAGAGACCTGTTGATTTTGCCATAGCAGGGACTTGTTGATTTTGCTACTGCAGGGACCTGGTGGTTTTGCCACTGCAGGGACCTGGTGATATTGCCCCTGTGGGCACCTGGTGATTTTTCCACTGCAGGGACATAGTTTTTTTCCCACTGTTAATAATAATACACAATCAGTACTTAAAGACCACCTACAAGAAGAGACGTTGGACACCATTTATACAATCCTGATGTCTGTCTATAGGGTAAGTGAAGAAAGATACGCCAAACTATATTTCAGTACCGTTTGATGAGCTATCCCGTGGTTAAAAAAATTAAGAATGTCAATTACAAATTTGTATATAGCGCTAAAAATAAATTACAACTATTAGGTAATCCTAAAGCTAAAACACCTCCACTGGAAGGGTATTTATGAGATTTAATATATCAAAAATTCAATCGAAAATATGTTGCGCTAACTAGACGATCAATATTAACTATATTTAAAGAACACATGACTCAGATATGGTAGAGCGGATAAATATTGCGTTGCTCAACATATTTTTGAAAAAATCAGATCTTAATAATTTAAAATTAATTAAACAAGTCTCAAATTACAGGCAATCGGATGTTTAAGAGAGCGTAAAAATAAATAAAAGTAAAGATAATATGAACAGAGATAATATATCCTTTCAGTCCTCTGTTCCTATTGCTATAGTCTCGCTAATTAATTTTGGTCAGTACCAACCGAGCGACTATAAAAACGTTTAATTTGCAGATAATAGTCTAATTTTAATCATATATTGATGATGCTAACGCGGTTAGCGAAAGGCGCGTTCAGTGTTTTGATGTACTGTGGCGAATTAGTGTCTTATTTTGCTACAAAACCTTGTATTATTTTTAGAGCATTAATATTGCAGATGATTTAACAAATAAAATTTTGATAATTTTGAATCCTGTAAATTTTTAAAACTAAAAGTCAACCAAGACATATTTCTGAAAAAAACACAGATTAAAAAATATTCAAATATTATTTCGGTTGAATTAAAATATTAGGTAAAATATATAAAAATAAATGCATTTATACTGCAATTAATATTTAAATTACAGAATTTATCTTATCTCAATTTTATTTTTACATTTTTTTTTTAAATTTGTTAATTTCAATATTCTATTTTCCTGGTGCGTTCGCCATTTAGTAAAATTTTGCTTTTATAATGCCCATTTAAAAAATATAAATTTAAAATCCTTTTTTTAAAGAGGGAATCACTAATATAACGGTATATGACATATACAGAGTGCACACACAACAAATCCATTAAAATTATTTTGGAATCCAATTTAAAATATTTATTTTTTATTAAGTTGTATTTTGAAATACATTTTCCACTTTCTGAACAAGTTGTGTGGAACACCCCGTATTCTTTTATAAAGCATTACATTACAAATGACCGATAAATAAAATTTAGATAATTTTGAATCCTGTAATTTTTTATAACGACATATTTCAGAAAAGACACAGTTTAAAAAATATACAAATATTATTTCGGTTGAATTAAAATATTGTTACTTAAAATATATAAAAATAAACGCATTTTTGCTGAAATTAATATTTAAATTACAGAATTTATCTTATCTCAATTTTATTTTTACATTTTTTTAAAAAATCTATTAATTTCAATATTCTCTTTTCCTGGCGCATTCGCCATTTAATACACTTTTGCTTTTATAATGCCGATATAAAAAATATCAATTTAAAATCCTTTTTTAAAAAGAGAAACGCTAATATAACGGTATATAATATACAGAGTGTCCACACAACCGGTCCATTAAAAATTATTTCGGGATCCAATTTAAAATATTTATTTTTTATTAAGTTGTATTTTGAAATACATTTTCCACTTTCTGAACAAGTTGTGTGGAACACCCCGTATTCCTTTATCAAGCATTACATTACACATTATCGATAAATAAAATTTAGATAATTTTGAATCCTGTAATTTTTATAACTAAGACATATTTCAGAAAAGATACAGTTTAAAAAATATACAAATATTATTTTGGTTGAATTAAAATATTGTTACTTAAAATATATAAAAATAAACGCATTTATACTGAAATTAATATTTAAATTACAGAATTTATCTTATCCCAATTTAATTTTTAGATTTTTTTAAAAAATCTGCTAATTTCAATATTTTATTTCCTAGCGCATTCGCCATTTAGTAAAATTTTGCTTTTTTAATGCCGATTTAAAAAATATCAATTTAAAATCCTTTTTTAAAGAGAGAAACGCTAATATAACAGTATATAACATACAGAGTGTCCACACAATCGGTCCATTAAAAATTATTTCGGGATCCAATTTAAAACATTTATTTTTTATTAAGTTGTATTTTGAAATATATTTTCCACTTTCTGAACAGGTTGTGTGGAACACTGTAATGTTAACACTGCAAATAATCAATAAATAAAATTTAGATAAATTTAAATTCCGTATTTTTTACAACTAGAATTAACTAAAATATATTCTTGAAGAGGTACTAGTTTTAAAAATATAAATATTTGAATTTTAACTTAAAATATATAAAAACATTTACGTTTGTACTAAGAATTTATGGACAAATAACAGAATTTAATCATTTTATCTAAATTTTACTTTAAAAAAATCATAGAATTAAAAAAATGAGATCAGTGTGATCAAAATGAAATGTTCCTATCCTAAGTCTGCGTTTTGTTCTATATCTTCAATGGGGAATGTACAGGAGGATCAAATAAGTAGGAGTACCAATAACAGCTGCAGTTGTTACAGAACCAGTACCATAAACCTATAAACAGAAATAATTGTATAATAATGTTTCCATCGTACAAACAATATTTACTAAACATCCAAGCAGAAAAATTTTGAACGGCCTCCAAGAAATATGATTAAAAAAAATGTTTAGGCAGTCTGTACTTATATTCATGTGCAATTGTGTAACATAAAAATACTAGTACTAAGCCAGAACTAAATTTTATGAATATAATTCCTTATAATAAAATAATAAGTTTAATTTGTTCAATAACACTAAAAACATAAACTTTTGACTACTTCACATCCTTGTTTCATACATTAAATCTACCAAAAAAATATAACTTACATTTTTTTAAGGCGAATAGTTGCCTGAAGCCAGTCAATGTCTCAGCAAAGTGGTACCTGCTGGGTACTGTTGATACATTCTATTCCTATAAGCGTTTGTTGAAAATCACCTGCACATTGCCACAGAATATTCTTTTTAATATTGAGAAGTAGTGGGAAACCTGAAATTTTTTATTTGTTAAATTAGAACGAAAACAATAAAATAATTTCATCAAAAATACATTATTTTTCTATATCAACTAGATCATAGTTTGGAGAACAAATACAAATTAAAACGCAGTATAAATTCAAAATTAATATATTTTATGTCTACCCTCGTGGGATTCAGATTTATTTAATAGTTATTGTTACTAAACAAAAAAAAATTAAGACAAATACAATTTACTTTTTTTATTGCATATTGTATCCAGCAATATGCATTTTTAATTAATTAAAAATATTTGCTTGTTATAAAATGATTAATGGATTATACTTTTTTCTTATTGTTTAAGAGAAAAATAAAAAATTAATGTAGATATACTTAGTAGAATTTTTTCTACAAGTCCTAAACATCAAAACGTGTTCCTATCAAGAAGAATGAGATTAAATATTATACTTTATTAATGTGATATTTTTTGCAAAACGTTAAAGACGTACAAAATTTATAATTAACTTTTCTGTAGCATTGAACTAAATAAAAGTTTGTACTTCTTTAACATATTAAAACAGCAAAAAATGTGACTTTAATCAGAATTAATAATAACCATCCCGATAAATTCAACTAATTATATCTTCATATATTTTCTTATTTTCCTCTAAAACGGTATGGAAATTTGGATAAGTATAAACAGGATTTATCATTTTAGAACTTGGATTTTTTTAATAAAGAATACATTTTACTCAAAACGTAAATAATAAAAAAAGTTTTTGTCAATTGAAGGCAATCTGGGGACATACACGCGTTTCTCTATGTAGTACTACTAGAAAATACTGTATTGCAAAAAAAACTTACATCTTTTAAAGGTGAAAATTGTTTGAACACAGCCAGTGCCTCAGTGAAGTAGTATTTGCAGTGCCGTGTTGCCAAGTACCATTCAAATAACTCCTTGGAAACTAAGTGTAGATTTCCACAAAAACTCTTGCCGCCACAGTTTTTCAATACTTTTGTAAATGATCTGAAAAAAAAAAACAATACATTTTTCATTCCTAAAATGAAAAAGAAATTTAGATTTAAGTTAAAGTTCTTTAATTTTCTCTTATTAGTGTTTAATTTATTTTTGTGAAGGATAGACAACCAGTAAATCAAAAACTAAATTCAAAATTAATTCATTTTACGTGTACTTTAATTTTTTTTGATTTTTTTAATACCATGAATAAACAAACCAAAAACTATTACAAATACATTTTTTTTTTCTATAATATATTAATTAATATAAAACTTACTATTAATTCCTTCTAATGTAGTGGTTAGAAATACAAGATTGAGCTAAACTATGTAATGCTATCCTCCATTTATCATAAATCTTTGCCTCCTGATCTTCCTGCAGCTGATTTAACCCTTGGTCGAAGATTAAGCATCACCCGGCTCCTAGACATAGAGGGTGGTAACTTCCTTGGGTACCCATATATGCTATGCAGGTCCTCGATAGCCGAACATCAAAGTTAGAGGATGACCTAGGTCTCTTCTTCTGTGGAAGGATGCAGAAAGACACTGTTCTCTTGTGCGGTATTATTAACATGTCTAAAACAAAACAAAACATATTTAAAACACTCAAAACAAAATAAACACTTTACTATTAGAGTTTAGTGAATTATATCTAGGAAAATATTTTTATTATTATGACAAAATAATTTTTAATCATTAAGTTAATAATAAACATTTATCAAAGAATGAAAAGGAGATACTATCACAGGGCTATTACCATAGATATTCTCATAATTTTTTATGTTTCTCAACAGTATGGAAATTTGGAAAAGTATATAAATGGGATTAACCATTTTGGAACAAGCAAAATGTTTTATAAAGAATACATTTTAATGAAAATGTTAGTAATAAAAAGTGTCTCCTCTTGTAAAGGCAATCTGGAAACATATTATGAATAAAAATAACACTTTACTTTGAATTTCTTGTACAGCAGTAGTTGAAGATAGAGCTGAACATTTATATCCTCCTCTTATAAATCTTTCTCTCCTAATGCGAATTACCTTCTTGCAGCTAATTTAACCCTTGGTTGAAGATTAACCTACAGTAAGTTCGTAGATATGGAGGGTAGTAACTTCCTTGGGTACCTGTACTTGCTATCAAAGAATATCTATACAGAATAAAGAAAACTATAATATTCTTTGTTGCTATACAGGTTATCGATGGCCGAACATTCAACTTAGAGGATGATCCAAGGTCTCCTTTTCTGTGGAAGGATGCAAAAAAAATCATTTTCTTGTGAGATATTATTGGGTATACTAACACTGACTTATTCTAAAAGACGTAGAAAATACTTGTTTGCCTGGACAAAATATTAGTTTAGAAATAAAAAACATCTTAAATCTCTACCAAAAAAAAATGGCCGAAAAAATGCTAAATGTTTCTACCCAAATATAAAGCAATATTCGAAATAACTTTTATTTCTATTATACAATAGAGACATCGAGGAATGTATCTTATCTATATTTCCGTATAATCGATTTCGAAAAAGAAAATTGGAAAAATATATAAGCTATATGATGATGTAATTGAAATATTCGAGAGTGAAATAAACTATAAAAATCATCAAAACAATGGGTACTTACAGTTACAGGAGATTAAACAGGCCTTAAGGGACAGAATAAGCTCAAGTATTGCACCGAAAAACCATTTTTTCTACCAGAAAATCAGAAAAATTGTAAAAGAACTTCCCACAATGGAAAATGTCATCGCCGTCATGATCATCTGATCATGTTTTGCTGCGTAAATAATGTTGTGCCTAGAAGAAAACATTTATTCTACAGAATTAAAGTGTTTATTAGATTTATAATGACTTTGTAACCATTTAATTCGTTTTATACTTACAAAAACAAGATTTAGTTACTACCCCATCTTTGCATGAAAATAAAAAATCTTGGCGACATTTTAGTTTTTAGTTCAAATTTTTCTCACTTTTCCCACAATGGCGCCACAGGCGTTCTTCTTCTTTTTCATATTTTAAGGCGGAAGTGAAGAGTAACCACAGAATCAAAGTAATATTCTTCTTCTTATCAATACTACTGGTCCTAAACATGTGCTACCACAGATTGACATATATTTTCTTCTTTTTTATATTTTAATGGCTTTAATTTAGATTGGTCATTTATAATCTATGGTTAATTATTAGACAAAGACAACAACAAAAATAAACAAGGACAGCAAAACCAAATAAAATACCTTTAAAAGATTTAAATCAAATATAACGATAACGATTCGAAATTTCGTGATCCAGATAAATATCATCGATATTTACTCACAAAATTTTCCAGATAATGCAAATCTTTTTCGTTTACAACCTAAAGAAGCCAACCGTTTGATGTCGACGACACTCAATATTCAAGAAAAAGTATTCAAACTAGCTTTATTATATCCTAATGCTGAATTTCTAGTTGAAACGCTAACAAGATAGAGAATTTAGTAAACAGTTTTCAAAAACAGACTGATTTATCATTACAACAAATAAAATGTACCCTTTGTTGTATCGAAGATATGTTTGGATAGGATGCTCAAAAATGGAATGTTGTAAAGGGATGAATAATACTCTTACTGATTTATACAGACAAGATACGTACATTTTCTTATAACACTTAAAAACGTGTCTAGAATACACTAACAAAACTTATATATTTTAGGTATAAGTTAGTAGAAGATAAAGAGAAGATACAAAGGTGACTTTAACAAATTTACAGCAAGGATTGGACAAGATTTGAGGCCGAATTCAAAAAATTTTGTAGCTAGTCCTGGTGTAAGACAATTTTACTTAGTGCTAATATGATCTAGACATTAATATTTCTTGTTTCTAGATAATGCTAGACATTAATATTTCTTGTTTCGAGACTACGATATAACAAATTGTTGTAACATGGTTCAGAAAAGTTGGAAGAAATTGAATTTAATACTGAACGAGTCAAAGCTAAGCTAAGTGAGGTAGAGTATTGGAAAAAATTTTGTTCACATTTGTATAAGTTAAAAGAAATAAAACCGTGGTTCTGCAGAGATGGTGGCTCAATGTTTTGATATATTCGATATGTGAATGATCGCAGGGAAGCTGTCAGGACTTCCAATCTATCGCTCACATTTGCTGATATTACTAAGAATTTAGCTAGCGAATACTTGGATGCAGTTGAACAAGATAGAGAGAGGTAAAAAGTACCATATTTTGATATTTTTATCTAATTTTTATGTCTGAATCAACGTATACAAAAGAATACGAAGCAAATAAACAGACTGAGGCATACAAACAATTTACCCGACTCCAGAGTGAGAAGAAACTCAAAGATAACAACGAAAAAGAGAAAGAAGATATTTAAACAATAGTTTAAAAAGTTAGTTGTTGCTTAGATACATTTAATAAATAATTAATTAACAAAGTAATATTTTTAATTTTAGGTAAATTCATCTCAATCCCCTGTAACTAAAGACATCCAGTAAATGGACTTTGGCAACTTTGATATTCCCATTTTTACTGAAGAATTTCTTGATCACAATAAAAGAAGAGATGCAGAATTAAGGTACGTTAATGCTATAATTTCCTGCGTAGTATTTTAGATTGTTTTTTTTTTTCGGTTATAGGCAGCTCAGAAAAATCAATACAGATTACGAGCAACAGAACGCCCTTCTCACTAAACACATTGAAAACATGAAAACGGCCATAACTAAGCTGGAAACGGAGATTTCACAACAGGAAATAATATTTTTGATATAAGTCCTGATGCATTGTTCATAAATATTCATCGAAAGTATAAAATGTACTGCCCTGGAACTGTATACATCCATCGATTTGTTGTAGAAAATAAACAATAACAAAGAAATAAATAATTATTGTTTTATTAATTATGCTAAAATAATTGTTTTTTTTGTGTTTCTTATTAATATTAAATAAATGTTAAAAAATATGGTTACTCTGTTAAGAAACATTTAATAAATTTATTAAATTTGTTTTTGAATAATAAAATAAACTTACTTTTAACTGGAAAATGTAAAACCAATATCCTATGCCAGAATATGCCAAACATCACAATTATCTCTTCTTCTTTTAGGTGGTCTCTATGTGCAGGTGTGTATTATTAATAACGCTCCTAAAAAAGAAAATTATAATTAAAGCATTATATTAATACAATGCAAATTTGTTAACTAAAATATGATTACAGGGTATAATATTAAAATTGTAAAAACAATAATTATATTATAGCTATGTCCCAGAGTACTGAAAAAGTAATTTTAAATGGAACATCTTTGTATTAATTTACAAATCAAGTTTAGCGTTTTTTCTTGACGAAATGGCGAATGCGCCTATTAAAGGAAACTTTCGATACTTAAAAATTGCCCCAATTATTATGGTAAAATTACGATAATTCAACTGGTTATAGATAAATACCGTATAATCGAAAAAAAAACGGCGTCAGCGATGGCTATGAAATAAAGATCGCTGTCATCTTATATGTAAAATTACACGGAGAATGTCGTCAGTAATCGTCATATCCCAGCCATATCCGACGCCTTTTTTTTCGATCATCGTAATAACAGTTAATAGCGTGTTCAAAGAAGTTTTTCATAAAATAAACTAATTTCATCAAAAATTCGATATTTTTCTATATCGACTAGATCATAGTTTGGAAAACAAATATAAATTAAAACGCAGGATAAATTCAAAATTAATATATTTTATGTCTACCCTCTTGGTTCAGATTTATTTAATAGTTATTGTTATTAAACAAAAAAAAGACAAATACATTTTTTTCTATATACAGTATGTCACCAAATGTTCTTAATAAGGGAAAACACTTTTTTATTGCATATTCTAGAAACATGAATTTTTAATTGATTAAAAAAATTTGCTTGTTATAAAATGATTAATCGTTTATACTTTTTGCACATGGTTTAAGAGAAAAATAAAAAATATATGAAGATATACTTAGTTGCATTTTTTCCAAGTCCTAAAAACCAAAACATGTTTCCATTGATTCTTTGATTGGTAGTTATTATTAATTTTGATTATTATACTTTATTAATGTGATATTTTCACAAAATTTATAATGAACTCTTCTGTAGCATGGAACTAAATAAAACTTTGTACTTCTTTACCATATTAAAACAGGAAAAAATGTGACTAATCAGAATTAATAATAACCATCCCAATAAATTCAACTAAATATATCTTCATATATTTTCTTATTTCTCTAAAACGGTACGGAAATTTGGAAAACTATAAACAGGTGTGAATGAACTGAAAGAAAATCATAAATTCTTCATTTCTAAAATGAAAAAGAAATTAACATTGTTCTTTGATTTTCTCTTATTGGTATTAGAAATCTAAGTATTAAATTAATTTTTCTAAAGGATAGACAACCAGTAAATCAGAATTAAAAAAACTAAATTCAAAATTAATATAATTTCTTATAATAAAATAATAAGATAATTTTTTTCAATAACAGTAAAAATATTTGAGTAGTTCATACCCTTGTAAAAAAATGTAACTTACATCTTTTTAAGGCGAATAGTTGCCTGAAGCCCAGTCTATATCTCGGCAAAGTAGTACCTGCATGGTACTGTCGATACATTCCATTCCGGCCAAGTTTTTGTTGAAAATCACCTGCACATTGCCACAGAATATTCTTTTTAATATTGAGAAGTAGTGGGAAAACCTGAAATTTTTTATTTGTTAAATTAGAAAGAAAACAATAAAATAATTTCATTAAAAATACATTATTTTTCTATATTGACTAGATCATAGTTCGAGAAAAAAATACATTAAAACACAGGATAAATTCAAAATTAATATATTTTATGTCTATCCTCTTGGTTCAGATTTATTTAATAGTTATTAAACAAAAAAAAACGACAAATACAATTTTTTCTATATAAAGTATGCCACCAAAGGTTCCTAATAAGGGAAAGCACTTTTTTATTGCATATTCCAGAAATATGAATTTTTAATTGATTAAAAAAATTTGCTTGTTATAAAATGATTAATCGTTTATACTTTTTGCACATGGTTTATTAGAAAAATAAAAAATTAATGTAGATATACTTGGTTGCATTTTTTTCAAGTCCTAAAAACCAAAACATGTTTCCATTGATTCTTTGATTGGTAGTTATTATTAATTTTGATTATTATACTTTATTAATGTGATATTTTTTGCAAAATGTTAAAGACGTACAAAATTTATAATTAACTTTTCTGTAGCATTGAACTAAATAAAAGTTTGTACTTCTTTAACATATTAAAACAGGAAAAAATGTGACTAATCAGAATTAGTAATAACCATCCCAATAAATTCAACTAAGTCATGGCGCATCCGCCATTTCATTGGCAACGGCCTCCAAGAAATATGATTAAAAAAATGTTCTTGTACAATTGTGTAACAAAAATACTAGTACTCAGCCAGAACTAAATTTTATTAATATAATTTCTTATAATAAAATAATAAGTTTAAATTTTTTCAGTAACACTAACAACTAAAAACATCAACTGAGTACTTCATACCCTTGTTTCATACCTTAAATCTACCAAAAAAAACGTAACTTACATCTTTCTAAGGCGAATTGTTGCCCAAAGCCCATCAATGTCTCAGCAAAGTAGTACCTGTGGCACTATTGAGACATTCCATTCCTTTAAAGGTTTGTTGAGAAAATCACCTGCACATTGCCACAGAATATTCTTTTTAATATTGAAAAGTAGTGGGAAAACCTGAAATTTTTTATTTGTTAAGTTAGAAAAAAAAACACAATAAAATAATTTCATAAAAAATACATTATTTTTCTATATCGACAAGAGGAAATACTTTTTTAGACAAACGCATTCTTCATAAGGTTTTGTTTGTTTTTATTTCTTTTTTGTGTTTGTTCGCATTTTGATTTCTAGGACTTTTTACAAAGAATGCATTTTACTCAAAAAGTAAATAGTAAAAAAAGTTTTTTCTTTTTATTACCAACATACTTTTACTACATATTATACTACAATACGCGTTTTTCTTTGCGGTACTATACCTTAAAAAAACTCTATTGGAAAAAGAAACTTACAGCTTTTAAGGGTGAAAATTGTTTGAACACAGCCAGTGTCTCAGTGAATTAATATTTGCAGTGCCGTGTTGCCAAGTACCATTCGAATAGCTCCTTGAAGACCAAATGCAGATTTCCACAAAAACTCTGAGAAAAAAATATAAATTTTTCATCCCTAAAACAAAAAAGAAATATTAAACATTGTTCTTTGATAAACTGTTCAGAGCATTAAATTTATTTTTGTGAAAAATAGGCAACCAGTAAATCAGAACTAAAAATAACTAAATTCAAAATTAATTCATTTCATGTGTTCTTTTAGATTTAGTTAATACTGTGATTAAACAAAACAAAGACTATGACAAGTACATTTTTTTCTATATTAATTAAAAGAAAACTTACTTTTAATTCCTTGTAAAGTAGGGATTAAAAATACAAGATAGAGCCAAACTATGTCAGCTATCCTCCATTTATCATAAATATTTGTCTCCTGATGCGTATTCATCTTCCTGCAGTTGATTTAAGCCTTGGTCGATTAAGCCTCACGCAGCTCCTAGACATAGAGAGAGCTCCCTTGGATATATACTCCCATATATGCAGGTTCTCAATGGCCGAACATCAGTGTTAGAGGATGATCCAGGTCTCCTCTACTGTGGAAGGACACAAAAAGACACCATTCTCTTGTGTGGTATTTATTAACATGTCTAAAACAAAACAAAGCCTATGTAAAACACTAAAAACAAAATAAACACTTTACTATTAAAGTTTAGTGAATTATATCTAGCAAAATATTTTTATTATAATAACAAAATTATTTTTAATCATTAAATTAATAATAACCATCTATCAAAGAATGAAAACGAGATACTGTCACCACAGATATTCTCATAATTTTTTACCAAACCAATCTGGGGACATACTATATAAACACTCTATGTGGTACTACTAGAAAATACTGTATTACAAAAAAAACTTACATCTTTTAAAGGTGAAAATTGTTTGAACACAGCCAGTGTCGCAGTATTTTCAGTGCCGTGTTGCCAAATATCATTCAAATAGCTCCGTGAAAACTAAGTGCAGATTTCCACAAAAACAATAATTTTTTCATTCCTAAAATGAAAAAGAAATTAACATTGTTCTTTGATTTTCTCTTATCAGTGTTAAATTTATTTTTGTGAAGGACAGGCAACCAGTAAATCAAAAACTAAATTTAAAATTAATTCATTTTACCTGTACTTTAATTTTTTAGGTTTATTCAATACCGTGAATAAACAAACCAAATACTATTACAAATAGATTTTTTTTCTATAATATATTAATTAAAATAAAACTTACTTTTAATTCCTTGTAATGTAGTGGTTAGAAATACAAGATAGAGCTAAAAAACTATGTCATGCTATCCTCCATTTATCATAAATCTTTGTCTCCCGATGTATATTCATCTTCCTGCAGCTGATTTTCTCTTGGTCCAAGATTAAGCATCACCCGGCTCCTAGACATAGAAGGTAGTAACTTTCTTGGGTACCCATATATGCTATGCAGGTCCTCGATAGCCGAACATCAAAGTAAGAGGATGACCTAGGTCTCTTCTTCTGTGGAAGGATGCAGAAAGACACCGTTCTCTTGTGTGGTATTATTAACATGTCTAAAACAAAACAAAACAAAACATATTTAAAACACTCAAAACAAAATAAACACTTTACTATTAAAGTTTAGTGAATTATATCTAGCAAAATATTTTTATTATTATAACAAAATACTTTTTAATCATTAAATTAGTAATAAACATTTATCAAAGAATGAAAACGAGATACTATTACAGGGTTATTACCATAAATATTCTCATAATTTTTTATGTTTCTCAACAGTATGGAAATTCGGAAAAGTATAAATGGGATTGACCATTTTAGAACCAGCAAAATGTTATATAAAGAATTCATTTTACACAAAATATTAGTAATAAAAAGTGCCTCCTCTTGTAAAGACAATCTGGAAACATATATTAATTAAAATAAAACTTACTTTGAATTTCTTGTACAGCAGTAGTTCAAGATAGAGCTGAACTTTTATATAAACCTCCTCTTGTAAATCTTTGTTTCCTAATGCGACATTACCTTCTTGCAGCTAATTTTACCCTCGGTTGAAGATTAACCCACAGTAAGTTCGTAGATATGGAGGGTAGTAACTTCCTTGGGTACCTGTACTTGCTATGCAGGTCATTGATGGCCGAACATTCAAGTTAGAATTAGAGGACGATTCAGATCTTTTCTTCTGTGGAAGGATGCAAAAAGACATTATTTTCTTGTGTGATATTATTGAGTATACTAACACTGACTTATTCTAAAAGACGTAGAAAATACTTGTTTACCTGGACAAAATATTAGTTTAGAAATAAAAAAACATCTTAAATCTCTACCAAAAAAAAAATGGCTGAAAAAATTCCAAATGTTTCTACCTAAATAAAAAGCAATATTCTAAATAACTTTATTTCTATTGTACAATACGTACAATAGAGACATCGACGAATGTATCTATATTTCCGGATACTCGATTTCAAAAAAGAAAATTGGAAAAATATATAAGCTATATGATGAAGTAATTGAAATATTTGAGAGTGAAATAAAGTATAAAAAACATCCAAACAATGGATACTTACAGTTACAGGAGGTTAAACAGGCCATAAGGGACAGAATAAGCTCAAATAGTGCACAGAAAAACTATTTTTTCTACCAGAAAATCAGAAAAATCGTAAAAGAACTTCCCACAATGGAAAATGTTGCCCAGTCATGATCATTTTTTGCTGCATAAATAATGCTGTGCCTAAAAGAAAATATTTATTCTACAAAAATAAAGTGTTTATTAGAATTATAATAACTTTGTAACCGTTCAAATCGTTTTATACTTACAAAAACAAGATTTAGATTAGATCTTTGTATAAATATAAAAATCTTGGCGACATTTTAGTTTTTAGTTCAAATTTTTCTCACTTTTCCCACAATGGCGCCACAGGCGTTCTTCTTCTTTTTCATATTTTATGGCTGAAATGAACAGTAACCACAGAATCAAAGTAATATTCTTCTTCTTCTTCAATACTTCTGGTCCTAAACATGTGTAACCACAGATTAATATCTTTTTTATATTTTAATGGCTTCAGTTTAGATTGGACATTTATAATCTATGGTTAATTATTATTAGACAAAGACAACAATAAAAATAAACAAATATAACAATACTAATTAAAATAAGTTTAAAAGATTTAAATCGAATATAATATGAAATTTCGTGATCAGATAAATAATATCATCGATATTTATTCACTAAATCTTCCAGATAATGCAAATCTTTTTCGTTTACAACCTAAAGAAGCCAACCGTTTGATATCGACAACACTCTTCTCTTTCAAAAACAGACTAATTTATCATTACAACAAATAAAATGTACCCTTTGTTGTATCGAAGATATGTTTGGAAATACTGGAGTTCGATGCTCAAAAATGGAATGTTGTAAAGGGATGAAAAAAACTCTTACTGGTTTATACGGACAAGATACGTACATTTTCTTATAACACTTAAAAAATGGCTAGAATACACTAACAAAACTTATATATTTTAGGTATAAGTTAGTAGAAGATACAGAGGTGACTTTAACAAATTTACAGCAAGGATTGGACAAGATTTGAGGCCGAATTCAGAAAAGTTCTGTAGCTAGTCCTGGTGTAAGACAATTTATTTAGTGCTAATATGATCTATAATGCCAGACATTAATATTTCTTGTTTCTAGACCAAGATATAACAAATTGTTGTAACTTATTGGTTTGCAAAAGTTGGAAGAAATTGAACTTAATACTGAACGAGTCAAAGCTAAGCTAAATGAGGTAGAGTATTGGAAGAATTTTTGTTCACATTTGTATAAGTTAAAAGAAATAAAACCGTGGTTCTGCAGAGATGGTGGCTCAAGTTTTTGATATATTCCATATTTGAATGACCGCAGGGAAACTGTCTCAGGACTTCCAATCCATCGCTTACATTTGCTGATATTACTAAGAATTTAGCTAGCAAATACTTGGATGCAGTTGAACAAGATAGAGAGAGGTAAAATGTACTATATTTTGATATTTTAATCTAACTTTTTTGTCTGAATCAAGGTATACAAAAGAATACGAAGCATATAAACAGGCTGATGAGGCATACAAACAATTTAACCAACTCCAGAATGAGAAAAGACTCAAAGATAACAAGGAAAAAGAGAAAGATGTTAAAATTATAGTTTCTAAAGTTGTTGCTTAGATACATATTTAATAAATAATTAATTAAAACAATAATATTTTTAATTTTATTTTGTCCTTAAGATGCATTTTTAAATAAGGAACCTTCACCATTTTGTCAAGGTGAGAATTATTTTTGATGTATCATATTTAAATTATCGGTGTTTAGGGAATAAACAAAACAATATCAAATAGTATATTATAGCTTTATTCAACTGTACAACAATACAAATACAAGTACAAATTCAGTTCGAAAAATCTGGACTCTCTGGTTTATATAAAAATAGTTAAATCGTATCACAATAGTACCACTAATGTGAAGACATATCCACCGATCGTAGAATCGAAACAAGTCTTTTCCAAAAAATCATAATCATGCTCCTCCATTATATCAATCTATACGGGGCGTACAAAAATAATTCGACTACCCTGTAAGCAATCATACCAAATGCGGAAATAAATATGTAATGAATTATTATAAAAAAACGATGAGATTCTCTTGATTTTTTTTCACGTTGCATTTTTATTGATAAAATAAACAAAAAAAATATTAATAGCAAATGGCACAGAGGGACATAGTAGTTTAAACAATTCGTTAATAAAAAATAATTAATTTATATTAAAATTAAAAAAAAAATGGTTGTTGTTTACTTAAATATATAATGACATACCCAGTCTGTTTTTTAAAAAAATATATACACATGTAACAACTAACTATTGTCTTTTTATTTAGATTATACAGGATTAATAATCATATAAGAAAATAGACTCTATACAATTTTCTTCGTTATTTTTTTAAATAAGTTTATTCTTTAGCTTTTTTTTCTTAGAAAATATATATTTATGTACAAGATTGCTATTTTTCTTCGATAATAGACTTGAAAATGCTTGAAGCAAAACGTCGGAAATATTCCTTCTGCAAGGAAGAACTGTCGAAATTAAATAAATAAGAGTGATATGTTTTTTTTTTGGAGAAATTATATACAATTTTAATATTATCCTGTCCTAACTATATACATTTTACACAAAAATATACTAGTACATGTTTTTTTTTGTTAATATATTTTTTTAGGTAGGAAATTTTTTTAAATAATAATTAAACAAGTTTCAAAAGTTTTTGTCTTCTCTGTAAAAAAATAATATTTACAAGTTTTAACCGATATAAAATACAATTTTGTCAAATTATACAATTGCACATTTTTCATTCCAAATTTCGAACTCACAATAAAAAAAATCTTCCATAATTTCTTCTTTTCATTCTTTTAAAAACTGATAATTGGTACTCTATTTTGACATTGTTTTTCAAGACGGATGACGACTATTTTTAGTGTTAATTCCCTATTATGCTTATTTATATACTGTAACAATTTTTTTTCAACATCTCAAAACGTAAAAAAATACAAAAATAATTTACAAAAAAAAACGCTTTTCAAAGTCCTGTTTAATTCTAAACTTTTTATTTATCTTACTGTATATTATCGTCGAAGGCAACTCCCGGTCCTGGTTGAATTTCATCCTGAATGCTTTGAAAGATTTAAAGGCATATCTGAAACACAACACGTTACTCTTTAAAAACAATAAAAAAATCGTAGTAATAAAACAACAGGAAAACAAAAAAAAATACACAAAAAAAAATTAAGAAAAAAAGGAAAAAAATCAAATTATTACATGTAAAAAACTGTTTGTTACGCGTAAAAAATTATTTTACTAATTTATTACTTTTTCAACATCCAGTTTTTCACATGTCCTTCAAACTCTTCAATTTAAAACCCCCTAAGATCATAATATATATACTTACGTGGATAAATTAACGCCATAAGTTGAGCATTATAAAATATGTCTCCAACATCACGACATGCCATTTTCAAACCTTCTTTATTGCACTTATGAAACGTTCAATAGGTTTGTCTTTCTCGAGGGGAAAGTACAAATTATACATTGTTATGAAAACTAACTTTTCATTGTCATTATATTGTCATAATCGTGTAACGCTTGTTTTTTGTGTTTTTTATCATAAAAATTGTATTAATTACTCTTTTATCGACCGCTTTTATATAGCCAACGATGCAAGTGTGTTCAGTGAGAAATTAATTTAAAGTTTGTGCAACTATATTTCTATTATTTTTCGTTGGACTTTCTAAATACTCGTAAAAATGACTAAAATGTGTTTAGTGTGTTAAAGTTCTAATATAAAGGTCCCCGAATTATCTTTTCATAGGCAAGCAAAGTATTCAGTTGTTCTTCTATTTATATTAAACCACATGCATACTTTCTGGTTAGATTTCCTAAGAATAAAGATATTCGTACGAAGTGGCTAAATGTATTTTTTATATAATTTAATTTTTGCGACAGTAAACATTCAATTTATCGTTCAAATATAATAATAAGCATTTTACAAATTAAATTTTTAAAATTAACGTTCAAATTTGGCGCGCGGACGCTAGGTCCCCGGCAAGGATAGGTAGAGTAGAAGCACCGCGTGTGCAACAAAAAAAAAGAAGTTAAATGAAAATCGTTGATAGTTTGCGACAGTTTCCATAGTGATTTACTTAAGGTTTACTAAAGGGTTTTCTACACTGTTTTTTTTTCCTTACCAACGTTCTCCTCCCTCGCGTCCTTCACCTCCCTCCTTCCTCTCTGCTCCTCCCCGCCGCCGCTATTGGTCCACGCGGGCGCCGTCGAACCCCCCCTCTCCCTCCTGAGCGCCGCGTGATGCGCCGCCGCCACGTGGTGGGGCGCGGCCAGGGGGTGTGGCGTCGGCGAGTGGGCGTGGTGAGGGGAGTGATACAGCGGCTGCGGCACCACGTACCCGGCCGGGGCTCTGCCGTACACGCCGGGACCGTAGTAAGGGGGAATGGGCGGGAAGGGGTAGATGTAAGGCGTGGTAAGGTAGGGCTGTGGGGGAGGGGGGTACGAGGCGGGATAACCGCATTTTTCCACTTGCTAGAAGAGGTAAAAAAAAATTAAAAGAGAATCCTAACACTTACTTTTGTATATTTACCGATAATTCGATGGACCTGAGTCTGTCCACGCTCTCCGAATATAACCTGTCTTCTGACGTCACCGGGGAACAATACCGAGTCGCCTGAGGGACCCCCATCTGCGTCACCACCGGCGAAAATCGATTTGGCGATCGGTTCGGCGACTGTTTCGCGCTACTTTTGTGATGGTCCTCCGCTAGCAAAGAGGTTATACTGAAAAAACACCGAAAATTTAACAATATAATCAGTAAAAACATTGCGTGTTCACTATGTGCGCATATTCGAAATGAAACTTCTTACTAAAAGCCATTAAATTAAAGGATATCAAGGACATGTTTGAAAAAGTGCAGTTTGAAATGTTTTGAAAAAGTAATAAATTAAAAAAATATATTTTTTGACGCGTAAAAAATAGTTTTTCTCAATTTTTTTCTCTGTGTATTTTTTTTTTGTTTTCCTGTTCTTTTAATACTACGATTTTTTTATTGTTTTTAAAGAGTAACGTGTTGTGTTTCAAATATGCCTTTAAATCTTTCAGAGCATTCAGGATGAAATTCAACCAGGACCGGGAGTTGCCTTCGACGATAATATACAGTAAGATAAATAAAAAGTTTAGAATTAAACAGGACCTTGAAAAGCGTTTTTTTGTAAATTATTTTTGAATTTTTTTACGTTTTGAGATGTTGAAAAAAAATTGTTACATTATAAAAATATGCATAATAAGGAATTAACACTAAAAATAGTCGTCATCCGTTCTTGAAAAACAATGTCAAAATAGAGTACCAATTATCAGTTTTTAAAAGAATCAAAAGAAGAAATTACGGAAGATTTTTTTATTGGGAGTTCTAAATTTGGAATGAAAAATGTGCAATTATTGTATAATTTGACATAACTGTATTTTATATCGATTAAAACTTGTAAATATTATTTTTTTTAGAGAGAAAACAAAAACTTATGAAATTTGTTTAATTAATATTTAAAAAAATTTCCCACCTAAAAAAATATATCAACAAAAAAAAACATGTACTAGTATATTTGTGTAAAATGTATATAGCTAGGACAGGATAATATTAAAATTGTATATAATTTCTACAAAAAAAAACATATCACTTATTTATTTCATTTTGACGGTTCTTCCTTGCAGAAGGAATATTTCCGACGTTTTGCTTCAGGCATTTTCAAGTCTATTATCGAAGAAAAATAGCAATCTTGTACATAAATATATATTTTCTAAGAAAAAAAAGCTAAAGAATAAACTTATTTAAAAAAATAACGAAGAAAATTGTATAGAGTCTATTTTCTTATATGATTATTAATCCGGTATAATCTAAATAAAAAGACAATAGTTAGTTGTTACAGACATGTGTATATATTTTTTTTAAAAAACAGACTGGTTATGTCATTATATATTTAAGTAAACAACAACCATCTTTTTTTTTTATTTTAATATAAATTAATTGTTTTTTATTAACGAATTGTTTAAGTTACTATGTCCCTCTGTGCCATTTGCTGTTAATATTTTTTTTGTTTATCAATAAAAATGCAACATGAAAAAAAATCAAGATAATCTCATCCTGGTGGCTTGTGTCACGCGTTGAATTTTTACTCCCTGCGCGTGTAAAGAAGTTTTACTCCAAAATACATAGATAAATTTAATGCGTTACCTGTAGCTGCAATTTTTGGCCGGTTTGCTACTGTTCATGGACACGTCCTCCACACCGTTACACCTCACGGAGGTTTGCAACGGAGGCGGCGTCGAGTTACCCAGTTTCTCACCTCTGATCGCAGAGGCGGGAGGAGTCTTGGCCACCGGTGGTCCCCCGGATCCTAACGGACGCCCTCGACTTCTATTCTCGGCAAAATAAAAAGTTACAGCTTGATAAATTCAATAATAAAAAAAATACTAACCTTTTTTGAGCGGAATTAGTCGAGCCATCGTCGCTAGACCCGGGCCTGTCCGAACTCGGGCTACTCGAGGCCGAGGGTGTCCTCTCCTTCTCCATCTCCCTCAGAAACCTCTTTCTCGGAGACACCACGGTTTCCGGCCTGGGTGGCGTACTAAAACACACGGTCAAAACACGTAAAATACTTTGAATACGAAGACTAATGCCCACTTGCACAGTTATTATAAACTTTGTTTAAAGGCTAAACAGTGATTAACTATATAATATTTTATTATAATTAATCACTGTTTAGCCTTTAAACAAAGTTAATACAAACGGTGCAAGTGGGCATAAGGAAGGAGCATAATGCTATCCATGTATTCATGCATGGTGGGCGGAAAAAGGACTCTAGGGTGGGGATCCTTGACAGTTCTGTTTGACGATTTATTTGACACATTTGAACTTGATTTGAAATTTTGTGGATTTGTCAAGTCTTTACGGAACTTATTTTATGTTATTTATTATTTATTCTACTACTGATAGTTGTATAAAGGTAGTAAATCTAGATGGAAATTGTGGCAGAACTTAAATTAACAGTGACACTATCGCGATTTATCGAAAAAGATTCTAAAATAGTTGGTTGTGTAGCGTGCGGTAGATCTCGGCAAAAATCGAGTGAAATAATGGAACAACTTTTCGCTAATAAGTGACTATATAATATACATACAGTACGTCTGTCCGTTCTGTAGCTACGGGGTATCCGTGAGACGGGAAACGATATTCTCTCGATGTTTTTCATAAAAAATTAGACGACGCGTCTCATCAATAAAAATTCGACAAATTTGCAAGTAGCCAATAAAATGAGTGGGCGGAGCGATTTACGGTGACGTACTCGTCAAGTCGACGTATAAAATATATTGCTGTTTATTTAAATGTTTTTTGTCCGCATTCCTTTCATAGACACAGATCCAGCAGACGTACTGTACGTATAGTAAACCGATCATTAATGAAATTCACTTAAATTAACTAAGCTAGCTTTTGTTTACTACTTGTTAAAGATTAGATGTCAAAGAATTTAGATACGTCAATTTGACTTACCTGCTTCAGTAGCGTATCGGATGTTTATGGTTATAAATAATTATTATAACTTATCTATTTTTATTAGAATTTTATATTTTTATAACAATTTTAATAACTACCAACATTTATTCACAACGTAAAATAAAAAAAAATATTGAGTCTACCCCACGTCTACCCTACATCATAGTTTTACATTTTTTTAAATAAAATTAGAACGGCACTGGTAAACCGGAATTTAAGTCGGCCATATTTGAGGCCCACTGCGGTGGACCTAAGATTTTTGATATGCTCCTTCCTTAGTCTTCTAATTCAAAGTTTTAATTCTAAACTTATGGCGTTCAAGTATATATTATGATCTAGGATAAAATCGTACACAACCCTCACCTAGTTCGAGCAGTCCTCTCCAGCAAACTCTGCACTATCAAACTCAACGACTTCCCCCTCCTCTTCTCTCTGACTCTTCCCGCCGCCACCGCCGCGTCCTCTTCTTTGACGTCTAACACAACCGAGAGGGGGCGTCGTCTCTTCACGCCGCGCCCCCTGCACTGGCGCCTGCGCCGTTTCGGCCGCCAGAAGTACAGCGCCATCTCTTGGGAGACGTTGCGACGAGGCGTGGTCTGTTTCCAGCTGTGGTCGCGTTGCCACGGCGACGATTGTATCGAACTGTTGTCGTCTGACACTGCGGTCGAATAGTTTATTATATGTAAATGTGACGTAGAAAATATACAGGGTGTTTCAAAAAACAGGTGCCATATGGGTTATCACTGGAATATTTTAAAAAAAAAAACATGTGCGCTACTTACTTTTTTCTTTTGATATTAGAATTGTGTCGTCCCGTTAATGCCAATTAAATGTTATCTCTTGATATTTTATCGAATTTGGCCCCCTTATAAGATAAACGCAATTTTATTACGCACCATTAATAAAATTAAAATTAATAAATTATATATTTTACCCCATTTATTATTAAATATTATTACTATTAGTTATTATTACTATCAGTCCAAACTACAGCAATTTCAAATAAAAAAATGATGGAACTTTAAGACACTGTGTCGACACTTTTTGAGCTTTAAAATATGTCGCATTTATAGTAACTTTTACCCCCGAAATTTCATTCAAATCACTAAAAACACTTGGAAGAAAATTATAATAAATCGAAAATTATTAAGTCTGTAACACCCTGTGGCTACGAAACAAAGCAGCAGGAATCTCCTAACGAGAGACGGCGCGTTTTTTGAAACACCCTGTATAATAGTCGAAAAGAAACGGCGTCCAGTTGGCTCGGAAATAACGATCATTTTCATACAAAAAAAAAATCGTGGCGATCTTCATTTCCCAGGCGTTACTGACGCCGTTTTTTTTTCGATCCTGGTAGAATGTACGAAAAAAATGTTTTATATGAGTAAATAAATATGAAATAAAAAGAGCGTTATAGTAAGTGCAGAAAGAATGCTAGAGAACTGCAAAGTTTAATAGTTTTTTTAACTTATAATTCTCATCTTGTAAAATAGTACATATACAGGGTGATTCCTGTAAGTCGGTCATGCTTTCGAGAAATGATAGGGGACGTCGAAATATTAATTTTGATATAGTACACTATGTGTCGGAAATGCCTCTTACGCAAGATACAGGGTGTTCAAATGTTTTTGAAAAATTAAAGGTATTCTTTAATAGTTTTTTAACAGTTGAAGGTATCGTTATAAAATTTCATTATAGGAATCTACCTAACAGAGACACTTTAAATGTAAAAAGAAGAGGTTTTAGATTCAACCAGTGGCGTAGCTGTGATACGCATGGGGTAATTTTTTCAAAAAAAAAATAGTACGCCACTGATAAAAATAACAATTTCGGAGTTTTTTTATTTACTCGGTTTATTTCCAAAAAAAATGTCTCTTGCAACTTTCTCCTATCTAACACCATTTTGTCACAATTTAAAAATAAATCAATTTTTTAATGCGAATCTTAAATACAGCGAATTATTATAACTAGAGGGCAGAAACACATGTGCATCGTTAGCAGGAATCACCCTGTATATTATAAAATATATGTAATTCAAACACTTGAAATTAGATAATAATTTCTTGGGAAAATAAGGCATTAAAGAATCTCTAAAAACAACAAAATCAAATACTTAATCTGTAATATTATTTGAAAAATTTCTCGATTTTATATCATCGAAAAATTCACGTTACAATTCAAAGAATCTGTCCAAAATAAAGATAGATTATTAAATCTATAAATTATCTACAAAAATGCGTTCTAGATAACACAGTGACAACCCTGGCTAATTAAAATAACAGTAGAAAGAGGCATAGAAACCATCTTCTTCCTCTACTATTGGAGACAGGCATGGATAAGCATGGCCTACATAACATCTCATGTATTAAAAATATGCCACGCAGTGTTGCATCTTTAACGACAATGACTGTTCTTTGAAACCGCCGGGCTGTGATGAAGAATCGAACGAAGGAAAAAATATACATCCTGTATCTTTCTACATATACGTCGCAGTCTAATAAAGTGTTACAACAAAATAGATTTTATTTCGGTGTCTTACCGCTAAGCGAGGTACTGCTTTCCTGCTTGTAGGCCGGTGTGGAGGACGCGGTACCCTGAGGAGGCCAAAACGTTTTCCTTGGTACCGAAACCCAGGATACCCTCTCACCTTCCCTGGCTCGTTCAAGTTCCAAAATAAATTTGCCATCTAAGAGAAATTAATAAATGTTATAAGAAAAAATTACTCAATTCCATATGGCCAAATAAAAAAAAGGAAAAATAATTGTATCGCAATAATTATTATTCATTCTTAAAACTAATACAAACATTACACAATTTTAAAAAATAAAATTAGATCTCTCCAAAAACCCAATCCAAATAGACGCTAATCTCCAAGATAAACAAAATCATTATCAAAATGTGTTACATTTTTTTTTGTCGCGCTAATATAATCGTTGTCACGTTTAGAATTTTATTTCAATCTCATGTTTTGTATTTGTTTTAAGATCTCGTGAATGTCTCGTGCACTCGAAAGATTAGAAACAGCCGGGCAAACATACAGGGCGCTCCAAGTATAATTCCGTAAAATTTCTGATTCAATTATTCTGAAATTTTCTATCTGTTCATAAGAAAAAGGGTTTTAACGTGCCCTGTACATGCGGTGGGCCTTATAATTGATTATAATATATAGTCACAGTAACAATTATATAAATAAATAAAGGGTTAGGTTTTTTTGGTTGACCCTGTTAACTTCTTCAGTATCTAAAAATAATTTTGAGCATTTTGAATCAGATTTTAAAGTGGCTATACCTTAATACTCAACAATTTTTATTGTACGATACAAAAGGAATACAAAAAATCACTGTAACACTAAAACATTAATGTTTTCCCAGAATATGTATTACATTCTCAACTGAATGCCATAAAATAAAATGTTAGGATGAATTTAGTGAATGAAGCATGTAAACAAGACAAATTATAGCTCATTATTCCTGAAAACCAGTGTTTTAAATCGTAGGGCTGTTTTTTAAAGTTATTACTTGTTAAAAACATTCTCTAGGCTATGTTTCACGGATAAAAAGAATTTTCTGGCATCACCAAGCTGCATTAATCAACATATGTGAGAAACAATTATTGTACTCCAGGTCAAAGAACAATATAGATATTTAGAAGTTCTTAAAATAAAATTTAGGAGAGTTTCTTTAGGCTATACTGAAGCTACATAAACTAAAATTAATGTGTAAATTTTATTTGTCAATGCCTATTTAATTTTTAGTTTCTTTATTAAAGCAACTTAGAGCAGGAAAAATGTAAACGAGAAAAACTATGGTTCATCCTTAATGCATGATAGTGTTTTAAATTGTTGGAATGTCTTTTTGAGGGTTACTACTTAATAAAAGCATTCTCTACACTGTGTTTTATGGATAAAATATGGTTTTCTCTCATCAGCCAGCAGTTGTACTAAACATATGTGAAACTGATGTAGTTCAGGTCAAAGGACTAGAAAATATTGTGAAGCTATTTAAGAGAGAATAGAAGCAATACCTTTGAAGAATTTAAGTCGGCCTCCCTGACCATAGTTGGTTTTGTGGCCCTGCTCCTTTGAGATCCTGTCAACATTTCCATTCATTCCATGTCTTTTGTGGCCTTCCTCTGTCATTTTGGAACATTTTGTCAAGATGTGGGCGCTGTTCGGGGCCGTGTGGGGCTCTGATATATGCATCTCATAGTGTGGCACCGTCAACGAAAACCCATCTTCGCGAGCACGACCGCTTCAATCCATTCCACCTGCTGGCGATGTAAGGACTGGCTTTATCACTGTTTTCTCCACAACGCACGGTATCGGGATTCGCATTACTAATCGCATCAACGTACCTATTTCGTGTGTGTGTGCGTTTGTTCAAACTCGAGATCGCCGTATTCAAGTCGAAATTTTTGATGATGTTGTCGACGGACGGCACGACTCGATCGGCCTCACAAAAAGTTCATTCACTTTTCCTTTCCTACGTTTTTTTCATCTTTTTCGTCGACTTTTCAGCGGCTTTTTCGCGCTACGCCCAAACGTATTCACTTGTAGATGCTCGAACATACATCAATCGACCTACAAATCCAACATAAACACAAAAATATTTGTGTTTCGTCACTAAAAAATACGAAAATTAAAATTATCCGCCTCTATCGAGTCCATTTAACGACATTTACCGTTTTTTCTCTTTGTAGTCGGTAAAACAGGGTGCTGCAAATATTTTCCAAATATTTTCACTTTTCTCCCTTAATTATAAGATTCAAGATAACAGATAAGAGAAGACAAATAAAGAAATTAATCTGGCTCATTTTTAAAGCCAATATCTTTTTAAAAATCAAGTTAAAACAATAAATTATTTAATAAACAATTATGTAGTTCACCGTTTTTCCAGCAGGGAACTAAGCACGCTGACAGATTCCTTGTCACTTGTCATTCTTATCAATTCTGACATTTAATACATTTAATGGAGAAAATTCAACATGTTTGTTGTCGAAAAACCGCAAATATTAATTTAAAGCTATTTATAAATAAAATAAGAAGTTAATTCTATAGAAAATATATCGAAGAAAACCGTGTCTGAAGTAAAGTGTTTGTTTCAATATGGCAGATAACGTGGTAAGTTATTTATACACCATTCGACAATGTCGTTTATGGTGTTAAATTGATTCTTTTATGTTTTAGCCCGAATTAAATCCCGGTTTATTACCTCCACCGTTAATGAGCACAGATTTACCGAACTTAGGTGTGCACGAACCACCCAACGATAATTTAGGAGTACCTCCACCCCTACTCAGCGCACCACCAGGGCCTGAAGTTTTCTTAAACGCTCCCCCTGGTTTTCCTCCCCCTGTATGGCCTAACGCCGAAGATCCTCTCCAAAACGAGAAGCAATTGCCGTCTTTGCTCTCTCTTAAAGTAGACCCACCAAAAAAACTGGATGCAGAAGGTAATGCCGAGGTAGTACTGCCACAAGCTTTGGAGGAAGTTTTGGCATTGAAAAATCAACGGGCATTAGAATTAGGAACGGAAGAAGAGGCTCAGGAGAAGGAAAGGAACCGTAGTGAAAGAGAGCCACTGTGGGAAAAAGACGATAATGTCGTTGTAAGTGTACAAATCAGCCATTTAACTTTGTATATTAATATTGTTTCGTATTACAGGAAACTGTGGTTGAAGCAACAGATGTAGTAGAAGAAGTCACAAATGGTACTGCCAAGGAAAGAGTGAGTAAGAATAAAAAGAAGAAAAAGCGAAAGAAAAACAAGAAGGAAAGGGAACTGCAAAATGGCGAAGCTAAAGACAAGGAAAAAGGAGAAAATATTGTTGACGAATTGAATGATGAAAAGGACATTGAAATAGAGTGAGTAAAGTCATTACATTTTTATTTTTTTTAAATTTTACTGTTCTTTCTTTAGATATGTGCAAGAATCTATTGGTTTACATGAGCTGGCACCTCAGTACCGTCAATTCTACTCAATCCTGGAACAATTCAAAATCTCTGACCAAAAATCCAACATCCCGCCCCCCGTTTTAGCAACTCCTACCTCGCTATCAGGTCAATCAAAGTTCTTAGATGATATAAAGGATGACGATATGGATGACTTTGAAGATGTAAGTTAAAAATTTTTATATTAAAAATGGTTTAGCAGTAACAATATTTATTTTTCAGAAAAAGATCGAGGATAAATCGAAAATGTCAAAGAGGAAATTGAAGAAGCTGACTAGGCTGAGTGTGGCCGAATTAAAACAGCTGGTGAACAGGCCGGACGTTGTGGAAATGCACGACGTTACTGCCAGAGATCCCAAATTGCTTGTACAGCTCAAGGCTCACAGAAATACCGTTCAGGTGCGTGGTACTAATAATTTTTGTAATTCTAATGCGATAATGAAGATTGTAGGTTCCTAGGCATTGGTGTTTTAAAAGGAAATACCTTCAAGGCAAACGAGGTATAGAGAAACCTCCTTTTAATTTGCCCGAATTCATTAAGAAAACGGGAATCATGGAGATGAGGGCCTCCTTACAGGAAAAGGACGAATCGAAGACTCTGAAGGCGAAAATGAGGGAACGGGCCAGACCGAAACTCGGAAAAATTGATATAGATTACCAGAAGCTACACGACGCCTTTTTCAAGTAATTAGTTTATTATTTTAGTAGGTTTAAATAGTTTAAAAATTATTTTTGGATGATATAGGTGGCAAACTAAGCCTAAAATGACCATTCACGGCGACCTGTATTACGAGGGTAAGGAATTCGAGACCAGATTAAAAGAAAAGAAGCCGGGGGATCTTTCCGAGGAGCTCAGGACGGCTCTGGGTATGCCGGTGGGGCCCAATGCAAACAAGGTATGTAGAAAAACGTATTTTTTATCTGGATATACAATAATAAAAATGTTTAGGTGCCTCCGCCGTGGCTGATAGCGATGCAGCGTTACGGTCCGCCGCCAAGTTACCCCAATTTGAAGATACCCGGTTTGAACGCGCCGATTCCCGAGGGATGTTCGTTCGGGTACCACGCGGGGGGTTGGGGCAAGCCCCCCGTCGACGAAAACGGCAAGCCGCTGTACGGGGACGTGTTCGGCACCAACCAGAGCCATATAGACGTGAGTGGGACATTTGAACTAATTTTATTTTTACCATAAGCACATTAATTAATATATTTGGGATATCTAGGATATTGGAGAGGATCCTTCGATAGATCGGTCGCTTTGGGGCGAGCTGGAGTCGGAATCTGAGGAGGAAAGTGAGGAAGAGGAGGAGGAGGAAGAAGGAGAGACTCAAGTGCCCGACGAATCAGGTTAAAACATTGCTCTTTTTATTTTGTGCTTTTTTATTTTATTCCTTTTTTTTATGTAGGTCTAGTGACTCCAGCAGAAGGCCTGGTCACTCCCAGCGGTATTACCAGCATACCGGCCGGTATGGAGACTCCCGAAGCCATCGAATTGAGAAAGAAGAAAATCGAGAACGAAATGGAAGGGTGAGTTTAACGAAACTATCATTTCTCTCGGTTATTTATTTTATATGACACACCCTATATAATATTATAATTTTAAATTCTATCATCTAAATATGTTTTGAATTTTTCTGTGTTCCATTAGAAAAAAAAACACAACTCTGATGTGTAACTTTTTTTTTGCGGGTATAATTATATATATTTTTATAAAACGCTTTCAGTTAACCTACATATGCTGCCAAAATTTCATTTCGAGAGGCGCCACCCTGTACAAATCTTTATTAGATTTTTTATCGCATGATTGATTTTTTTTCTAGGAGTGAAACGCCTGTTTTGTATCATATTATTCCCGAAAAACGCAACGAAAGGATCGGTAACTCAATGATGGGCAGCGTCCACGTGTATGACTTGGCCTCTGTGGGAGCGGGACAAAATCCTGTACCAATCAGAAGGTAAAAAAATCCCTAAAAAAAATAATCCTCATTTTTAATGAAACGATTTTATATATTTTCCAGGACTGAGAAAGAAGGAATGGTGGAACTGGCCCTCGACCCGTCCGAACTGGACATGGACAGCGACGCCATGGCGGTCAGATACGAGCAGCAAATGAGGGAGAACCAGTCTCAGCTGCAGAAAGAGGATCTGAGCGATATGTTAGCTGAGCACGTGGCCAAACAAAAGGTTCGTAAATTCATAATTAATTTAAAGAAAAAATATGCCTGTCTATAACCTTTTTTTATTGTTTTTTACAGAGCAAAAGAAAGAGACAACAGCAGGATTCGAAAACGACAAAGAAATACAAGGAATTCAAATTTTAGAAGCTGGTTTTTCGGTGTTCCAGAGTCAACTCTATTTACTGAAATTTTTCGGAAATTCATCGGTCTAAAATTTCAGTCGGTAGAATTGCCGCGTGTGGATTCACCCTTATTGTCCTTAAGCAAAACAGATTTTTCTATTTTTTTTTCCTGGTTTAAGATAGTTATATATTATAATTTTAAACAAATAAAGAAATAAATCTATTGGATAATTTTGTTTTATTTTACCATTAAAATGAAATTAAAAATATTTTCAAAACGGTAGAAAAATATTTTTAAATACCCTGTATATTTATCTATTCACTCTTTTTCAACAAAAAGAAAAATAGGGGATGCTTATTAATGAAAAATGGAATTATTAATTTTTTATTTGTTATATTTTGTTGGTTATTATACAACTGACAAATTAAATATAATATAAAAAATAATCAAAGTGAAGGATTAAAGGAAATCCTTAAAAATTAATTTTTCCATCATACCATGAGAAAACTGATTAAAATACCTCTAAGTTTGTACAAGGGAAATCAAACTGATGTGAATAACTTAATACATCTAAATAAAAAGGCTTAAATAAGATCCGCCACGTTCATAGGCATTTCGTCGATTTGTGTCGAATAATATTGTTCGATATCCCGCAAAATCCTGATGTCATCCGATTTGACAAAATTAATTGCCACACCTTTTCTGCCGAACCTTCCCGATCTACCTATTCTGTGGATGTACAATTCACGATTGTTGGGCAAGTCGTAGTTTATTACCAAACTGACTTGCTGCACGTCAATGCCTGTAATAAAAAATAATAATAATATAAAAATATACAGTAAAAAAATATATTCAAGTCTCTACCTCTGGCCCATACATCTGTGGTGATCAAAACCCGACTCTGTCCCGACCTAAACTCCTTCATAATATTATCTCTCTCCTTCTGGGGCATGTCACCATGCATACAGCTCACCGTAAAATTACTTTCTCGCATTTTCTCAGTCAACCAATCCACCTTCCTCTTTGTATTACAGAAAATAACCGCCTGTGTTATTGTCAGTGTATCGTACAGATCACAAAGAGTGTCAAACTTCCATTCTTCTCTTTCCACGGCCACAAAGAACTGTTTGATACCTTCCAGAGTCAATTCATCACGTTTGACCAGGATCCTGATAGGATCCGTCATGAATTTTGAGGTTATTTCCAGGATTTCGTGGGGTAGTGTTGCCGAAATTAGGACCACTTGAGTTGAGGGGGGTAGGAATCTGTATACATCGTAAATCTGTTCTTTGAATCCCTTATTCAACATCTCATCGGCTTCGTCAAGGACAAGCATCCTAACTGACCGAGTACGAAGTGCTCTTCTTCTTATCATATCTACAAGAAACAGTATTTTAATATAAAAAAGGAAATACGTTTACTAGTTACTTACCGTAAACTCTCCCTGGCGTTCCACTAACCACATGCTGTCCGTAATCAAGCTTTCTAATATCCTCCCCTAAATTAGTCCCCCCAATGCAAGCATGGCACTGCACGTTCATAAAATCGCCCAGAGCGAGAATTACCTTTTGAATTTGTACTGCCAGCTCTCTGGTGGGAGACAAGCACAAGACTTGAGTTTCACGAACGGTCAGGTCGAGTGTTTGCAAGATTGAAATGGAAAATGTTGCTGTTTTTCCTGTACCGGACTGGGCCTGTGCGATAACGTCTCTGCCTTTGATAATGGGCTTGATAGCTCGCTGCTGAATAGCCGAGGGCTTCTCGAAACCTTGAAAAACGAACAAGATTAAGGTTACGACCCATTTTAGGTACCCTTTCTAAACTGCTCTAGTTTAAGAATTGAAATGAACAGAAATACTCACCGTATGCGTATATTCCTCGAGTTAGTTCTTCTTTAAGGTTCATTTTAGAGAATTTATCGATAACGTCCACATCTTCACTGGTTTCGAATTCAACATTCGATAAATCTTCGTAAATATTATTACGGCTCTTCCCCGCTTCCGACATTGTTATATATCTTTAAAATTCGCTTCAAAACTAAAGAATATCTCTATAAACTTTTGGTTTTTAACGTTAAATACTTTAGGAAACGATTCAAAACTTAACAAGACAGCAAAAAGCAAAATGCCAAAGCTAACCTCTCAATGTCAAATGTCAAATCAGTATCAAATGTCATAATAGTTTCGAAAATTAACGCTAGAGGGCTTACTAGAGATGAGCGAAAGTATCGATAATATAATTTTCGATACCGGTATCGATACAGTGGGCCAAGTTAATAAAAAAAAATCAAAAAGAGACAAAGAAATAAATGAATTTAAAGCACATTTTTATTAAAAATACTTTAACAATACAAAATTATATGACTATACTTTTACGTACAAACAATAATCCTATTATTTCACTTTTAAATAGTTTTCTACAACTGGAAACATTCAAAAATCTAAATAAATATCATCTAACTTTAACGTATACTTAAATTTAAAAACATTTTACAAGCTAAAAACATTCTGGACAACAATCTAATCGCAATTATTATCTTCTTTTTTCTTATATACACGTATATTGGCGCACATAATATTATTCTAATAATATTTTATTTACAAAAGTATCTTATTCGTTTTTTTTTAGTAAATAAGTATCACAATAATTCTCTTGAAAATGTTTTAACAACATTAGTTAGTGTGTATTTTAATAAATAAATGTTACTAAAACCATATATATTATTGTATTTAAATGAGCTTTTGTTTTAGAAATGAGTAATTATTTTATGAAATTCTGCTTTCTTCTATGAACCAGTCTTCTCTCTCGCAAAATATGAATTCTTCAAACGTTTACAGGCCTTTGTGGGTCAGCGTCTTGCTTATTCCTAGCGTCAGTCTTCTCAGATCCACTTTGCCATCCGGAATCCATAGTGCCGTCGCTATGACAGCCCTGCCCCTGGATCTCCTCTTCTATGTTGGCGTCACCGTACAGTAATCCGGCCGGATTACCCCCTAAATTCTGGATCAGGGCCGAAATATTAGAGCCAATGTTCCTTCTGTTCGATTGGTTGAGATTCAGGCTTTTTGGAGGCACGTTTTTCGGACTATTTGTGAAATTATACGCTCCCTTGCTTTGATTATAGTAGTTTTGATCGTAGTTCACGCCGGATATGGTATTGGTAAGATTACTACTGTTCCTGAAGGTCTCGCTTTCTGGGATAACTTCGTATTGAGCGTCCGGAGCCAAGAATTGGTCCATTCCAGACGAGGCGAAGCCTCTGTGTATTGGAATGGCATCTGGTGCTTCTTGTAGGTAGTTTTTGCTGCAGCATTCTTCGGGAGATATAGTATCGTCGGTCGTCTCGGTCATCGGAGTTTGAACGCTACTACACAGGCTGTTTTGAGAAATATCTTTCGGCAAGAGCTGTAGGCAAGAATCCGTATTAAACTCGTTCAAATCCTCGGAACTAGGCAAGGGGAAAGGCATCCTGCTGCGCGTGGACAATTGTCTGTTAGCCATTCTTTGAGCCAAATAATCTTCCTCGTCTTTTTGCGAAACTTCGCCTTGTTTATTCGTTTCCTCCTTGACTTCAACGGGTTTTTGTAATGATATTAACCTCGCCGACTTCTGATTAGACTCCAGAGCTTCGTCGTAGAGCGAGGAATCTTGCCCGTCGTTTCTAACCGAGTGACAGCAACTACTGACGTCAGCGAAATACACCTCGGATTCGGTGGTTTCGGGTTTTTGGGGACTAGGTTCCTGTTTTTGGAAGGCCGCGTTCTCCACCCCTTGTAACCTGGGTAAGAATCTACATTGCTGCGCGTCGCTATTACTAGGCTTGTTTGTTTCAGGTACTATATTAGGTTCGTGATAGTCGTTTTCCACGTGTTCTTGGTGCGTTTCTTCTTGACCGCTTTGTGTGAACACGTTCTGGACGTTTGTACGATGATTTTGGGGCTGACTGGTCGACTTAACCGAAGCCATGTCATTTGCCGATCTCTTTTTGATTTTCCTCACGGGCAATGTGTGAGTCACTCTCTCCACGCAACTTGAAGTGTCCGTGCTCTCGCTGTTTTCATTTACATGGTGTATTTCGGGCTCTGTGGTGTTCTCGTAGTTATCCTTGTTACCGGAATGCACTCTGGTTCTTCTAGAGCTCCGAAATTGGTGGTTCTCGCTCATCTGACAGTGCGATTCGTGACCGTGAGGGTGATGGTGCATGTGGTGGTACCTAAAAGACACTCGAACTCACTTTAAAATCCTAATACAAATGACAAAAAGTACCTTGCAGGGGATTGGTGAATGTACCTTCTAGCCGGAGAGTTAGGATTAGAGTACGGAGGCGGAGGACCCCAGACATACACACCTCCAAGAGGTGGCCTGTTATCTAACATACTATACGACCCGGTAGAACCACTTATTTGGTCACTCTGTATAGGGTTGTCACCTGATCTGTTACTGAAACCGTACTGACTATCGGCACTGCTAGCAGCGCCCTGATAGGTCAACGAATTATCTCTGTAATAAAAACAACAAAAAATACATTCAAATAACTACTTAAAATATGAGAGTATACTCCATTTTACCTGTTCGCTTCAGTTTGATCGTTGTTTCCTCTGTTCCAAGGCAACCTCCTCCAACTCCATCCAGGCCTGTTCTGCCTGTTCCCATCGGTACTAACAGGAGGACCGTCTTCGGGATTCGGAGAGTAGAAGTTTCCTACCCTGCCGGGAGTCCAGAAGCGTTCGGCCGCGTGGTGGGATTCCCAAGGGTAGACTTGAGGTGGCGCTGTGGAAGGTGGATACCTGCATTCCTCGCAACAGCTGCAGTACGTTGTGGATGGCACGGGGATTCCCCTGATAGACCCGTGCGTGCTTGAAGGCGGCAAGGACTGTTGCTGGTAGAAAGATCTACAACGGAGCTCCAACTGTTCCCAATACATTTTTTTCTTTTCGTGGCTAAAATGAGTATTTTTTTATCGATGCTTTAATTGTGGAATAACAGTTCTTACCTTAGAAGTTGATACACCAACATACAGGAAAATATGCAAACGAGGATTCCACTCACTGACAGTCCAAACATGGCCCTCAAGCACGAATAAAGAGCACCGTGGATCACTTCACAGTCTGGCGTCGAATCAAAAACGTACCTCATGCCTGCTTAACAAAAATAAACACAGTTCAAGTCGATAAACAGTATAACAGTATAGTTACCATCGTCAGTATTGGCATGGGCTTCTAACAATACAGAATAACAGGTGCAAGTCCTGGTTTTCTGCGTGTACACGCATTCTCTGAGCGTCTGGAGCCTGTTCATGTGAATCACCGTGGTGGTGATGGTAACCAGGACGCACGTTAAGGCACAAACTAGGCAGCACAATCCGCACACTTTGATCTGCAAAACGGCCTTGGATAGTTTGCGAAAGATTATTAAAAACTCAAACAAAACGTATAAAACATGCAAAAATTATATTAAACTTGAATAAAAAATATCAAATAAACAAAAAAATACATACCAAGTAACTGTATCTGTTTTTTCTTCTTGCTAAGCTTATCACGCACAATCCGGTCAAAATTAACTGAAAAAAAAATTGAAAATAATTTGTCTGTATAGTTTTTTTTTTAATATTTCATAGTGGATATTTACCATTGTAGCAGGCACAAATGTAGGAATGGTTTCGAAATAACCTAAGGTAGAGGTGTAGCTCCTCAGAAGAAAGTAGACGGCAAGAAATAGGGCTCCCAAAATTGTAGCAAGGCCTCCACAAGCGCAACACCAAAACACATACTTTCGGATACCTCCACTTGGTGGACTAGCTTCAATATACAAATTTGCATAATTAGAGTAAATTTGATCATTCTTTTTTAATATATATAAGTGCTCTATCAAATTATAATATCGTCTCTTTATGTGACTTTATATGGTCTTAAAAAAATAACAAACTAAGACCGAAGTAACCGAAGTTCAACACAAAAAAAAAAACACTTGACAAAGCTATACAATTACCTGTATGTGGTAAATGCGGATTGCAATGCGGTGGGACCATGGCAGGTGGTATGTGGTATTGTACCACCTGCATTACAGGATAGCCGTGCATTTTTTCGCAAGTTATTAAAAATTTTACCAAAGGAAATGCTTGAAATGAGTATACTCTGTTATTCTGTCATGTCTTTTGTTAGTTAAAATTTAGCAGCCTCAAAAATAAAGCATTTTCTTGAAATTGAGACGCCTTAATACATGTATAAAGGGCAAAGGGCATTATTCGACAGATTTCTCAAACACTCCACACTTTAAAAACACTATTTCTCTCCATCTTGATCTTGTCATCGCACTGATTATCGTTTTACACTGATTTACTAGCAACAACGATTAGAAAATTAGATTTTGCTTTACTGTGTTATTTTTTGAGCGATTAGAAAAAGCGTCAAGACGCTTTATGTAGATTTTCAGAGACGCCTGACGTCGAAATGCATGGAGACAGGGAATACCGGGGGGTAATAAACCTTGCAGGGGATGGAATACAAGCGAAAAGGGGATGAAAAAATGCTTGGACCGACACGCTCCGAAGACTGGGAATAACGTGCAGAATAGCGTGTGTTGTCTCTGAATTTTGATTACCGCCGAGAACAGTGGATTGCCAGGGGTGGACTGTGCATAAACAAAGAGGAAGGAGGATGTTTCTATGCAAAATACTTTTTTCCTATTAGATTAAAGTTAATATTAAAATAATAGTGCTTTTATTGAAGTACTAATTTTTGTCTCTAAAGGGATGATTATCTAAAAATCTTTAGTGTTTTTTACTGTTGTCAGTCTAAAGACTTTTATGATAAAAAAAAATATTAATTAATTAATTAAATTCATTAAATAGCGCAGAATTTTTTTTAATCAATTTGAGAAAAATAAAACTGTTCTTTCAGACAATAGACTCAATATATTATTCTGAAAAAGAAAAAATTTCATTACGGCACTGCTCCAAGCCTGTATCTATGACGACGCACGCCAGCTTTTCACTCTAATAGTCAATATTTTCACCCCCTCCCCTTCAATGTCGCTTTCCCACCCTTGTTATTCCGTCGAAAACCCTTCAGAACAGTAGGAATAAAGGACTCTCTCTTTTTCTAACTCACTGCACAGGTAGAGGAGGCAATTTGAATTCAGAGCGATTCGGTTTGATGTTCCTAAGCAACTTAATCTTTTCTAAACTGATTTTTAATGTCACCCTCCAAATAAGAAAATCTTATTTTTACAGGTCTACAGGATTTTTCCAAACATTTTTTCCTCTCTATTTAAATTTAATGATTTATAAATATTTTTCTAAATTATATTCGTGCAAGCTATGTATATGACTGACAATATTTTAATTATATTAAGCTTTTTGTTTGTGCTAAAACCCTTATTCATCATTGTGACAGTTCTTTTTAGCATAACATGCCATAATTATTAACATCGCATGAATAAAAGCAGTAAATTTTGTTTAATGCTTAATTTAATTAATTACTTTTGCATTTGAAAATGTATCAAATTAATACAATGTTGAAACATAAATTATCTTCCAATTTCTCGAAAAGTTATCTAGATATAAAAGTCAATGCTTCATGATTGAAAAAAATGGTACAAATGTTCTTTTAAATTATATTCGTTAATGTAGCCAGGCGATTTTAGAAAATTCATACCTTCTTGGTATGAAAATTCTCGTAGCTCAAAAGATTTTTGGGATAGCATCTCATTAAGAGATAAAAATACTTTGAACAGAGCAACCTTTCATCCCTTTGGGGATGAAATATGAAGTTGTAATTGTTACAACTCTAATCAGATTACAGAGCAAAGGAAACTTGATTTAACGCGAACAAAGTAGGTAGTGGGTAAAGCTAGTCCTACATACAAGAAAGTATACTTACAAATTCTTGGTCTATATCTAGAATTTAGACTCCCCGTTCCTTCAAATCTGGGCCTTGGAGGAGGTCTTGGAGGTAAGGCTGGAGGCAACGGACTAACTTCTATCCTATCCTCATCTATCTTCCTAGCTTGTGCAGTTTGCTCTAGATTTTGGACACTTTCAGACTCATTTTCAACCTAAGGAAACCAACAAAAAAATACATAATTTTTGTCAAGCCCGAGACAAATTGGTATCCCGATATTTTTAATACACGTTAAATTTTTATTTAATTTTTTTTTATTTTTTTATTATTTTTTTATTATTTTTTTTTAATTTTTTTTTGTTTTTACAAATCTTTTAAGCTGGGTTTGTACCTTCAAATGGCAAGTACAGGTGGCCACCATTTTGATGCTCTGACTTTCGGCTTTTGGCGAGGCCGGCACGTGCCTATGATTAGGATGGACGTGATTGGTCTGGATAGGTACATGGCCGATATTGATGAGGTGATGCTGATGGTGATTCGGTCCTTTCAGGTGACAGTGAGTGTGCAGGAGTTCAGTCTTGGGAGGTTCAGGTTTTTCTATGCACTGAAAACAACAATAATCGAATAAGAAATACAAAGGATTCTTGTTATAATTGGGATAATCTAAGTTTAAAAAAAACGATTTTGATTTAGTACCTCGCGACAACAAGTGCACGTGTGGGTGTGAGATAGCAACACATGATCACTAGTCTCACTGGAGTTGTAGTGGTGATCCGCTTTGGACGGATCGGGTGATGCGGAAGACATCTTGAAGCTAGGATTCACAGATTTTTCGTTTGATCATCTTTAAGGAAATCTGCAACAAAACGGAGTTTTATTATACTTGGGTCTATACCAAAAATAAAAATTATTTTTTACTTTTAGTATAGAATTTTATTATTTTTTTTTCTTTATTTGCTCTTTGTAGAATGTAGAATGAGTGGAGGGGGTGTTAATCACTGCGACCTTAATGATTTTTGTGTCCCCCTTCCCCTAATGCACGGTAATAATACCATTTACAGTCAAAAATAATTCCGACATTCTTGACAAAATGGTGAAGGTTCCTAATTTAAAAATGCATTTTTCTAAAATAATTAATTTAAAATATTAATTTTATTATTTTTAACAGAACGTCAACAGTTTTTGTACACGTATCTGTTTTAAAAAACTAAAGTCTTCTCGAATAGTTGCATTTCGATATTTTAAATAGTTTTTTTCTTTGTTCTTTGTATTTTTTTTTGCTTCCGACGACGGAAAGAGATATACTTTCCGAAACGTTAAGCATTTTTTGTCCGTTAGGCAAATTTGTTTATTAGTCCACTGCTGACAATTAGTCTCCGTTTGATTAACGCCCAGCAGCGTTTACAAAAAAAATAACTATATTATTTTGTAGATTTTCTTGCGTTCATAGGACTTTTTTGGAAAGATGTATCCGCCACAAAGGTATAGACATTTTTTTAAGTTAAAATATATGAACAACTCTAATTAAAAATAAATTGAGAACCCAAAAAATACAATTATTATATTTAGTATGTGAAATGTAGAATAAGTGGAAGGAGGTTAATCCCCTCGATTTTAAAGATATTTGTGTCCCCCTTAAATTATAACTCATTCATTTCAATCATACCATTATCACAGATAACATAATTGTTATAATATACATTTAGTCAAAAATAATTCTGACGTTCTTGACAAAATGGTGAAGGTTTTTTATTTAAAAATTAATTTTTCTGAAATAAATAATTTAAAATACAGGAACAACTTTTTGATTAAAAATAAATTAAGAACCCAAAAAAATACAATTATATTTAGTATGTGGAATGCAGAATGAGTGGAACTGATTTTTTGTGATGTTCTGTAGAGGCTCTAGATTTCAGTTTTTTTCTTGGATTATGTTTTTCATATACGATTGCGGTCTAGTTACAAGATCTCAGAATTTTTAATTTAAGAATTATGAGAGGTAAAAACATCCTAAAACATCATTTTGAGTACCTTCTGCAAAGTTTTATGTTTTTGAAGAATGCTCTATATAGAGAATATATTTTAAATGGTTTTAATTACGAAGAAAATTTCTATAAACTTTTACTAACGTGGTAGAATAGAGGAAATATAAGTTGTTTATAAGCATAAACATGGATTTGCTCTTTAGATTTAGGTTGATTAGCAAACGGAAGAAGAAGATAACTTGCTGGTAATTTCTTTGCAGATCCTGTTCTTGTATTTTTTTCTAACACAGGAAGTCTAGGTCGTTTATATTAAAATTACGTTTATACAAGAAGATCCAAGTTCATAAAATCTCACTTTTAAATTAGATGTACTCACAGTACCTACATATATTTCTATAAATAGAAAGAAATCATATATTTGTAGGTACCTAGTTCTAATACTATCACTTTATCATAAAAGAACTTGATATAAACGACCTTGACACCGCACCTTGAAGAAAAATAAATTTATTATACTTTCTATGATTGAACTTTTTCTTACGATATTGCGAAACACTTTGGTCACGTATTTCATGTTGAATTACTGTTCGAGTGATATCGAACAAGTCTGCTGCTCCAAGAAAACTAAAAAACCCACGATTTTACCTTCCCACAACCCAATAAATAAGGAATATCAGATCAAACTGTCATTATTTCTTATTAAAAGATACAATGAATATAAAATAAAAATTACAATATTGTAGAACTGATATTGGTAGTATTCAGAGGAATATATTTTTAACGTTTAATGCGGGCAATCTGTAGACATTTTCTAGTTTTTCTCAGTAATGTAGTACCAGATAGTGCTTTTAAGAGTAGGCGTGAGAACCACAAGTTACAAACGTATCTCTAAAAATTCCTGACGTGCCATTAATTCTAACGTCACGTTTGGGTTAGATGGAGAAAGAACATGGAACAAAACATATTTGTTCTGCCATCGAAAAAATACCCCGAAAACGCCGTAAATTAAGTAGTGTGAAAGGGCCTTAGGCAGGACGATATTTTCGATATTAGGCATGAAGTGACACTATCGATTCATAATTAACATCAAAAAATTGAATCTAAAGTGATCATTAAAAATTCTCTGACCCACAATTTTTGATCTAACATTTTATGTAAGGCCTTTTTTGTTCATACATAACATTGTTCATTGTGTAATAATACACATTTAAAAAAAAAACAACTATCGATATTTCTCTTTTGTGGCGTACAACTACCTGCCGTAGAGCCTACGTACTACCTGCTCCGAAAATTCTTTTGTAACGACTTTGGGTACCTTTCGGCATTGAAAAGGTGCCGGGTACTTGCCGCAGCCGTAAAAACAGAAATAATTGCCCCGAGTTCTTTCAAAATTCCGATTGATTCTCCTTTTGCCCGTGTGTATGAGAGTGCATTCATGCCGGTACTGGGTTTTTGTGCGTCTGACCGGGTCCTTTTTCACAACAATGAACAATTATTGTTCCTTTTCAATTTTTCGACTTATATTGAAGAAATATTTCCTATAATGCCGTTGCGCCCGCAATGTTCACGTGAGAAAGTTGACATCTTCTTTACTCATCACAGCATAAAATATTTTCTTATTTATTTTGTATTTTAAATTAATTATTTTCGAAAAATGCATTTTTAAATACAGAACCTTCACCATTTTGTCAAGAACATTAGAATTATTTTTTATTGTATAACGGTATTATTGCCATGTATGAGTTATAACTCAAAAGGGTTATAACTTTTGAGTTAAAAATAACAATATACAATACATATACCTTTAAAGTCGCGTTGATTACCCCTCCAATCCACTCCAGTCCAAGTTCATAACTTCATTCACCTCAAAAGAGCCTATAAACGACTTTAATTGACATAATATCGCTTTTTTGCGGTAATTATTGAAAAACTGCCGTCGGAGGAAGCAAGTTATTAATATAATTTCACGGTAAATACCATGAAGCTAAAAGCAGAGAGCGATTTACATCAGAACGCCTGAAATGACTTGAAACATTATATTTTAAATGCTTTTCCCGCAATTTTAACAAAAACAAATGGCCCAATAATAATAATTATTATTATTAGCGATATTTCCAATTATTATTTAAGAAATATTAACATTTCTTTCATTGTAAAAAAAACGTTTTCCTCGTATTAAGAATTTTTGCCTGTCCTTCGGCACAGACCTCAACAGTAAAGTCTACTTCCTGTACTATCTTGGGTATGCATCGTAGAACGGCCATATAAAGCATTGTAGCGATTTTTATGGCTTTTCCCTTTTTTTTATGCCATTTTCTGTATTCTTTGCGGTAGAAAATACCTTCATGCTCGGATTTCCCGTACGTTGACTTCGATAAAATTTTATTTAAGCAATATCTACATTAAGTACCTACAATTATATCATTTTTGAGAACGAGTACTGAATCTATGGTAGACAAAAGTAGGAATCTGAAAAATTTACGAATTTTTAATTCTCTAATGTATAACAGATAAAATTCGTACTTTATAGCTCTTAATTATGGTTCGGTACTATCCCAAATCTGTTTCTTTCTTCAAAATCCGGCTCTTGAGCCGATAACAGTCTCCGCGGGTAGTCTATAAAAACGGTAAAAAGCTTTGAAGTGTCCCGATCTATCAAGAGTACCGCAAATGGACTTGAGCAAGAACAGATGACGCCTGTAGATCTCATTATAAGTGTGGAGATACATTTCTAGGTTAATGAGAAACGCGTGTTTGAATAAGCCACTCGGTACTGCTTTTTATCTGCTCTTGATTTTAGTTTAATTAAAAGAACTACTGTTTTACTTATTAATCAGTTTAAGGTATCTAGAGTCTATATAGAGTTGGTCGGTTCTGAATACTTAAAAGTTATAATTACTTTGGAATAAACTAGAAATTATTTTTTTTGGAAATGGTATATAGAATATATAGAAACAAAAAGTGCTTTGATCAATTCTAATTGACCTTTTTAATTCGTGTGGTGACTTTTAATGCTAAGTAGGACGTTGACTTGGCTTCGAGCTACTACGACGGCGGATTTTCTCTTCTCAGGCCGTTGTTAGCACCATTTTTTTTCGCTACATTCATCTTTTCATAATTGGTTATTATTAAATCGACAGGTTTCCTTATGAAACGGTTTCGGAAAAGTTAACCATGTGAATTTTTTGTTTTTGTTCATGATGGAACTGTAAAATCGGCGATGTACACGCATTTCTTGCAATTTTTGCTTGTTTATGAAGAAATACCTATCTCGATTGATATGGAGCAATTGCTTGGTACACAAACCTAGAGCAACGTACAGCAAGGGAGAACCTGTGCAAAGTACAGAAACTGGCAGGCATCAGCATCAGCGAAAGTGGAAAAAAATGGTGATGTCCATTTGAAAAATAATATGTGCTTTAATATATTTTTTTTTCAGTTTGGCTTTTCTTTATCCATACTAATATATAAAATTCTTGAGTGACTGACTCACTGATTAATCACAATCCTGCTCAAACCACTCAACGTAAGAAGCTCAATTTTGACATACAGGTTGATTCTAGTGTGTAGAGGTTCGATAAGAAGGGATTTTTCGAAATTCCAGTTCCAAGAGGGTGAAACCACCCCTGAAATATTACAATATTTTTTATTTAAAAAACGGTCAAGTTTCCGAAAAAACGCTTAAACACGTACATTTTATTTTGTTTTCTTACATATTTTAAGATTTTTTATAAATTTATATAGGGTGTTTCATAAAATATGACCATTGGGTAATCACGATTCTGCTTAAACTGCTTGACGTTTAAACCTGATTTTTGGCAAACGGATTGACTGTGTGGGGTGTAGAGGTTCGATATGGACGGGTTTCTCGAATCTCAAATTCCAAGAGGGTGAAAACGCCCCTCAAATATTACAATATTTCTTATTTAAAAAACGGCTAGTCTTTTGGGAAAACGCTTGGACAAGCATAATTTATTTGTTTTTTTTTTCATATTTTGAATTTTTTAAAAAAAAAACATACAGGGTGTTCCAAAAAGTTGGGTAATTTCTTAACCACGATTCTGCTTAAACTGCTTGACGTAAAAAGCTTATTTTTGGCAAACGGATTTTTTGAAAGTCAAATTCCAACGAGATGAAACTACCCCTCAAATATTACCAACTTATATAATAATATCGCCATATTGTTTTTTCTCATGCTGACATAAATGTGAGAAAATTTTATCCAGTTTGTATGTTAATGGAAATTCTTGCTTTGCTTTATCATCACCATTACAAATGATTAATTCGACGCGAACGAAGTCGCTGGTACACGCTAGTGAATTTATAAATTTTGATTCTTTTTATAAAGAACATGTGTTTTTACCATGTAAGATACTGACAGTAAATACCAAACTTACTCGTTCAATGTAGTACCCGATTTCGTTGACCCTTCTTCATTAACGAACCATCCTCGAGAGAGAACCACCTCACTAAAGGTCACTGAGAACAGTAGTACCGGTCTAAAATCACGTTACACAGTCTCTTTCTCTTCACATCGCACTAAACACAAAGTAAAACTACCCTTATTTTTCATACAGAAAGAACAGGTATCACTAATACGAAAGCACGAGGTTAGTACTACCTATAGTTAAAGACGCGTTTATGGTATCTCTGACGGCAACAGCCGTTTGAACCGCCTGCGGAGATGATGTTCTCCGTTCTCTTTCTTTGTCTGGGGCTTTGGAAAGATTGGTGGTACTGTAGAGTACTGTAACCGGCGCGAAGAACGAAGAACCTTGACGTAATGGAATGCCGAGCGCCTCCCCCCCACTAGCCAATGGGAAACGGTCTTCGCCTCTGCGGTTTCTGCGTGAGTGTGAGTGCGTTGATACGCGGGGTACCACCGGGTGTCGGACAGAACACACCAAAGGTTTCAATAAAATATAAAAATTGGTAAAATCTACCACAAAAAGTATCTGTAGATCACTTGCTCCACTAAAATTTTTCTTAACAGAACTCGCAGGAAGATATTTTAGTGGAAAGAAGATTTAACATGGGACACATGCACAAGTGGCACAAGGTAATTGGCGATATGTTCAAAGAAGGTAGAGTCAAGTGTAAAAATCGTACCATATTTCAATATTTTCATAAACAAAATTATTTGAATTTAATTTTTAATCAACTTTTAAATAAGCACCTTGGATCTTGTAAACAAACATTAGACATTAGATTATATTCTACCAATTTATCTCGTTTGACAAAAATAATTTTCTTTAGGGATATTCGTGCATTCTGTACAGACCCCTAAAGAAAATTAACAAGGCTCAGGGATGTCGGTTAACAATTCTTTTATTTAAGTTATTTTTATGAAAACCAAACCGTTTTTACTTATCTTTTACTACTATTTACGACTTAAATACTGAATGTATTAGGCGCACACAAAGTCAATTCAATATTGAGCTAATTTTCCAAAACTGCACAAACTCACGAGCTAGAGACCTAAATAAATGAACGACGCGATAATTATTTAATACGCACAGAAGTTCAGTCGTTAGCCATATGTTGTTTAATAATTAAGTGTATGTAACTGATATCATGAATTATGTGTTTTATTACTAACCATTACTGTTAGTTACTTTTCCAGTGATTATTTTAAACAGATGACAATACAAAAAAAGGAAAAAACAACTTAAAGACATTCTTAGCAAAGAAGAACGGTCTAGAATGGTACTGAAATAGTACCAGTTAATGTTTTTCGAAGAACTTCATCAGCAAAGTGGCTCAAAACACGCTATTTACTTGGACTAACGACAAGCGTGATTTTTTCTCCATCTGATATAATTTAAAACAGCTTAGAGAAATGCCATTTCTTCCTTTTTTTAGATCATTATCTTCCATTTCAATGTTTTTCAGGATGGTTTTAAGAGGATGAAAATAAAAGTTTACTGCTGTAAATAACCATACTAAATATATTTTTTTTGGGTTCTTAATTTATATATAATATAAAAGTTGTTTATATATTTTAAATTAATTATTTCAGAAAAATGAATTTTTAAATAAATTACCTTCACCATTTTGTCAAGAAGGTCAGTTTTATTTTTTGACTGTACTGTATTACAGTATTATTGTCGTGTATGAGTTATATCTCAAGGGGGACATAAAGATTTTTAAGGTCGCGGTGATTAACCCCTTTCCCACTCATTCTACATTCCAGATACTAAATATAATTGTATTTTTTGGGTTTTTAATTTATTTTTAATCAAAAAGTTATTTATATATTTTAAATTAATTATTTCAGAAAAATGCATTTTTAAATAAGGTACCTTCACCATTTTGTCAAGAAGGTCAGTATGATTTTTGACTGAATTACGGTATTATTGCCATGTATGAGTTATAACTGAAAGGGGACACAAAAATCTTTAAGGTCGCTGTGATTAACCCCCCTCCCACTCATTCTGCATGAGTGTGTAAGTAGATAAATATGGCATATGAAATGAAAATTTTATATTACTTCAAAATAAATATGCTACAATTTGATGTTTTCATTTCTGCCTACGAATTATCTATTGCTTCCATTCGGTTCTATTAAATATATTAAACAAACACTACAGTGCTTTGACTTGTTTTATTACCTATGGAACAAACCTTAGAAGTAACAAAATATTTATATTTAATAAGATATTAAATTAAAAACTAATCTTGAAAAACTTTTAGTCCTCATCACACATTACAAATGGATTTGGTGGAGTCCTCCATGTCTGCTTCTTCCAGTTGTTGGTCTCGTAGTTCCACTCGGATGCTAATCCAGTGATGGGGTTCACTTGCAGGTCGATCTGTCTGCGCAGCTGAGCCCTTTTTCTCGAAGGCGAAAATGTGATCGGTAGGGGGTCATACACGCACAGCCTCAAGAAAAGGTACATCCAAATAGCCACGGAACACAGCAATAACCCGTGGCCTATTACTTCCATCCACTCGCCTAAAATACAACAGAAAATGTCCAACAAACGGGTTGCAACGGGGTGCCCCCTGGTGTCCCATTCTACATTACCCGTGCCTTTTTCGACTTCGCTAAACGTCTGGCAAAAGTTCGCCCTGTATAGTAACTTTTTCTCTTCTTTCGTTAGCAATCGCCAATCCCCCTTTTGCTTTTCGTAGAGACTCTGGATTTCTGGAGTTGTCTCCTTGTATCTGATGGCTGGAAACGGAAATTCGTACCTGTCTACATAGCAAGGAGTTCCATTAAAACCTATTAAAAATAAAGACGACGATAAAAAAATGTTTTAACAGAGGATAACAATTTCCCCATACCGTATCCGACCATTTCTCTCGTTCCTACTCTTTCCAACCAGTATTTGTCCCGATTTTCGTGATGGTAGCCCATTCGCCGAATGAAATTTCTTAAAATATGATAATTTTTACTTCTCAGAAACATATTTGCTGGAAAAATGCCAACTGATGTCAGTTTGACATGTAAAACGTTTTATATTGGAAAAAAGTGAAGGTATTATAGAGCGTGGGCGTACATAAAGCATGTAAAACGTTTTTGCCCTGACTGCCAAAATAATGTGCAGAAAATTAATAAGAGTTTAGTTTTAAAATTAAATGTTTTTTTTATATTAAACAAATACAAACTATTTATTGTTTGTTAGCTTTATTATTGACGTTTTATTATAAAAGTTTACAAATAATTATTGATAATTTACCTTAGTGGCAAAATGTTAATAGATTTCGAAATATTTCAGTGGGGTATCCAACACGGCCCGAAACGTAACTTTTTGTAGCACGGTCCCAGAAAGGGTAATAAAATGGTTAATAAATACGAGATTACGGAAATTAATTTCAATTGATTAAAAAAGCCTCCTCAGAACCGACCAACAAAAATTATCCTAGTGCACGATATTTGGTATTTCAGGTGCAAATCGGAAATTAATTTAAATTTATTTAAAAAAGCCTCCTCAGAGGCTGACAAAAATTGCCGTAGCGCACGGTATTTCACGTGCACATGGCGGGGTATTGGTTAAAGTTTTCAACTAGCAATAATCGCACCTCGGATAAACCTCATTGGTTACGATAATGCCACTGCGCAAAGCTGACGATACGTTTGCCAAAATGAGTCCATTTGAAGACAACATATAAATGGTCGGGGAACATATAGCTTGAAGCAGCATCTATGAACTACACAGCATACCAACAGTTATTCTACAATTAATACATACCGCGCCATCTAAGCGCAGATACGTTAACTACAATACTTGATCGTCAAGGACACGTGCTTGTGTTCGCCGAGTAGTTTGCCCGAATGGCAATAGATGGCAAGAGTTTAGACGCACGTACTTCAGCACTGTTGCCATGGTTGCCGCTACCAACATTTTTTCGGTAGATAACTTAATCAAAAATCGGTAGAAATCGGATGACTGGATTATTTAACACGTATTTTTTTTAAGAGGTGCTAAAGTAAGCCGTTTTGGGGGTAGAAAAAGATACTTGGAAAATACAAACAACCTCAAAATTGTATATTAAACAAGAATACACAGAACGAAACTTAAATTATTAAAAAATATTTTTTTTTTATTAATTATTAATTCTTTTGGGGATTTTAATTTTCATCTAGGTACTTAATATTCGTTTAGCAACAGTCGAATTCACTAGATACATCGATAGTTTACTAAGTTTAATAGGTACGGTAATTTCTCTACGGTCGTTTAGATGTCATTGGTCGTATTAGTGATCCAATAAAATATAACTCAGAAATTTTATACAAATTGTACTATTTCGGTAGATGTACTGCCAAATCGGTTGAAGTGGCATCACTGTTTAAAACATTTTATTAATTTTTATGAACAAACTTGTAAAAATACTTTTAAATTTTTAAAATCACATCACAAAAATAAAATTAAAGATTCAAAGTTATTAAAAATCGGTTTAATTCAGGAGATCATTGATTTTAACACGTTTGTGATTTTTTGATAGAGATCACAGAGATAGAAAACATGAAGTTACAAAAATCGATTAAATTTCAATTGGATGAAAGGTGCAACCACTCAGACAGTCTCATTTCCATACCCCATTGCTAGGCAACAGGTTGAACGATCATCGTGGACCACTATCCAGCTCAAGCTTGAGCCGATTAGAGTCATTTCTCACGCTCAGGAAACAAGACTATATCTCATCCTCATGGTTGCGACAACTCTACATTTGAGTAGAGAGATTGCGAAGATATACTACAGAAATGATCCTGTGAAGTATGATCTTGTCTGAGCCCACATCAACATTGGTATTTCGAATTGGAAATTGCATAGCTCCGAGAGCGATGTAGCATGTAGCGTCATCTTTGGACAGAATTTTGGACTAGCGAGCCAGTTCGTCAAATCCATATTTTTAATTTTTATATACCGGGTGTTGCTGAAAAGTGGCTCACCTCTGATAACATTTTAATTTTTTTTTATATAAAATGAATTATTTGAGAAACACCCGGTATAGACATATAGATGCATTTTTCAAAACTTATCCATAATCTATACACATTTTTTGGTGTCCTGTTATGTGAAGTTTAACAAATAATGAAGCGTGCCAAACTTGGAACAGATGTAGACCATATTGATACCATATGGGGGCCAACGTATGCTGGCTTTAAGAGAGGTACACCTACACCTACACAGTACACACCTATTAGGTCACGACATAGTCATTAAAATATTAATTTAAAAGGAAAAGAGAACATTTAAAGGAAAATTTCGTATATTTTTTATTTTTTGTTAAAAAATCCCTATATTTATTTTATTCAGTATATTTATATTAAATAAGTTCAAATAACAAAAACACAATAAGCTCTTTCACCATGTTTTAGTCGATAAGAATTGCAAACTAAAATATATAACTTTATTTTGTCAATTCGTACAAAAAATGATAAAACGATAAGCAAATCCTACATTGGGTACTGCAAATTCACTTCGAGAACCATTTCTGTAAACTTTGACTATACCTTTTTTTACGATAGCAAAATCAATTGTAAATAATAGTTGATAGATATGAATTTGTTTAAATGTGTTGTTCAATGGAACTGTTTATAGGTAGTTATGTTTGTTATTTGATATACCTACTTATAGGAAAATATTACATTAGATTTTGTCTTTTTAAAGTTTAGTACTTTGAACTAAAGTATTATCTAGTACTGGTTTTTAATACAAAAGTACACACGTCTTAGGTGGAGGGGTCTTTTTATATTATAAACGTTGTACGTACGCTGGTAGAATGAATTAATGCACTTTCATTACCTTTTGTAACCAGCGCTGGGTGGGTCAGAAGTAACGCCATGTCAGGGGCGTCTCAATAAAGTTTTTAACATAAATAATAATAAGTAATAGTGATGATAAAGCATCAAAGCAAGAATTTCCATTAACATACAAACTGGATAAAATTTTCTCACATTTATTTCAGCATGAGAAAAAACAATATGGCGATATTATTATATAACTTAGGGGGTAGTTTCATTTTGTTGAAATTTGACTTTCGAAAAATCTTTGCCAAAAATAAACGTTTTTCACGTCAAGCAGTTTAAGTAGAATCGTCGTGGTTAATCAATTACCCAACTTTTTGAAACACCCTGTATGATTTTTTTAAAAATTTCAAAATATGTAAAGAACAAAATAAATTAGGTGTGTCCAAGCGTTTTCCCGAAAGACTAACCGTTTTTTAAATAACATATATTGTAATATTTGAGGGGCATTTTCACCCTCTTGGAATTTGAGATTCGAGAAACCCCTCCTTATCGAGTTTAAGCAGAATCGTGATTACTCAATGGTGATATTTTATGAAACACCCTGTATAAATTTATAAAAAATCTTAAAATATGTAAAACCACAAAATAAAATCCAAAAATTAGTTTTTTACGTCAAGCGCTTTAAGCAGGATCGTGATTAATCAATGACCAGATTTTTCGAACCACACTCTGTATACATTTTTAAAAAATCTTAAAATATGTAAAAAAACAAAATAAATTATACGTGTTTAAGCGTTTTTTCGGAAACTTGACCGTTTTTTAAATAAAAAACATTGTAATATTTGAGGGGTGGTTTCATCCCCTTGGAACTGGAATTTCGAAAAATCCCTTCTTATCGAACCTCTACACCCTAGAATCAATCTGTATGCCAAAATTGAGCTTCTTACGTTGAGTGGTTTGAGCAGGATCGTGATTAATCAGTGAGTCAGTCACTTAAGGATTTTATATATGAGTATATATTTTTATAATATTCCTTTCCTCTGCAGCATGGGACGCCTATGTAATCTACCCCAACGTAAACACACACGCACACACTGACAAACCTGACGCCGGGCATATGCAGCTGCCGAAACGAGGGCCCCCCGGCTTAGGAACTGCCGTTACGACGCGTGCACCAGTCCAACAAATGTCCCGCCACCGAACAGACCAGACTTGAACCCAGGTGACATTGATCGGCCGTTAACAATTTTAACGTCTTTTCTTGCGTCTCCCGTTCCGAAAACCTTTTACCATTTGACGTGTAAAGGTTGCTCTTCCTATATGGTCTTGGCCGATGATGGAGGTGAAACCTGGATACTACAGCAATCCGGCCTTCTGTCAGCAGAGCGAATTTTACTCGCAGCAAAGGCCTGCGGGCAGCGTGAGGAGGTCCCCAGTGGGAGCCCAAACCAATCACGTAGTTTTCGACACTTCTCTTGGCGAGATTCAGCGGGAGGAGGAGGAGGAATGCGTGGATAATGTGGAGGAACAAGAGTTCTATGAGGAGGTGATCGTGGACGATAAGGGTTTCATTAAAGGGAAGAAGTTTGTGGTGGTAGCTCAGAATCAGGAGGGAAGAAAGTATATTCAGTCGCCTCAAGAGGAAACGTTAAAAGGAAGCAGGTAATTTTTAACAACCTGAAAATTTTCGTGTACTTTAAAGTTTCATATATTTTGTTCTCTTGGGCCGATTTTGATGATGTTTTTAAGCAATTTGTAGCTAAATTATTTGACTTTTTAGCATATCTTTCTAAATTAAAAATGAAAGTTGCCATCTGTAAATTATACGAGGGAATACAAAATGTTGTTATTTGGGTAAAAGTTGGGAACGCCCTGTGGAATATGTTAAGAAAACAACGAATTTGAAAATGATTTTATCATCTATAGGTACATCCTGTTTCTCGATATTTTATTCTTTGATTCATCTCAATAGCTTTATTGTTGCTGGAGTTATCGCTTTTGAAGAAGACATTACTTTATAACAGAACCGTGTATTTCCATTTTTCTTATACAGATATGGACACATTCAAGAGACTCAGTACAGCACAGCCAACCACATTGCCGTCCCGAAATCACGCTGCGAATACATCCCGATGCAGGAACAAGACGTGAAGCTGAAAAGATCCAATTCCAGAAGATCGCCTGTTAGAATCCAGGAGGAAAGAGTTGAAGTGGCACCTGGAATAATCCACAGGTACGCCGTGATAGAAACCGAAGAAGAAACAGATCTAAGTGATAAAAACAACCGATATGCTCTTGTTCCAGTCAACGAGTTGAACCGAGCAGTCCAAAATGACAACAGGTGAGTCCAACGTCTTGCATCACTCTTTCACTCGCGTAGTTAGAGAAAATCTGAAATAGTGATGAGTTTCATCGAACACCGGGTCACACTGTATATATTTTTTTTAATTTTAGGTACGAATATATCCCAGGTTCGTCTTCACCGATTAAAATACAGCCAAATTCAAACAGATACGAATATATACAGACTTCGCCCTCGAGGAACACAGCGAAGTACGACTATATTACGCAGTCCACCCCGCAAAAACCTAAAGACGTTCACAGAGAATACCAAAACCAATCTAGACCAGGTACCAATCCCATCGCTACCCAGAAATTGTACCAGTTGCTGTCTACACCTAAAAAATCGAGGAATAACGGTACTGCGTTGACACCACAAAAGGTATATAGGAACTATTTCGTAGCAAAATCTCTCTTATATCATATTACATATCTTTTATAGGTACTGTCTCCAAGAAAAGTTCAATCCCCTCCTTTGTCTCCGATCCCCAAGGACCCCTTCCATACCCCCAAATCATCTCCACAAAAGGTGGTTCGTCTTCAGCCGAGTTCCAGGGCGCAACAGAAGCTGAATTATGCGATCGCAACGAAGCAAATGGCGCAGGATAAACGCAGTACCGCAATAGTGCCTCCTATGTGTTCCAGTCCGATTCAAAGCGTCTACAGCGAGACCACCTACTCGCAAAAGTCCGAGTCCTGGATGAATCTGAGCGCGAGCCGGCCCGCAGCGGGGATGGGTCTCAGTGCTGCCGCTTTGATCCTGTTTTTGTGCGGAAACGTCATTTCCGGCCTGTCATTTTATATGATATCGCAACTAGGGAAATGGTACTACTTGGATTTTAGTTTGGCAGCGGGATTCACCTGTATTATCATGGGACTGTTAGGATTCAGATCAAGGAACGTCGATCGGTTGCCGAACAGGAACTATTTGTCAGGTGTGTTAATGATTTCAGATCAATTAAACTATACAGAGAGAACCAGTATTAAAAAAATGGCGCCGGGAGGCACGTATAGCCGCCCATACTAAAATATGTTAATATCTCGAAAACTGCGACTTTGACTGATTTTGATGTTATTACAAATTTTGTTGCAAATATTATTCCTAATCTTAAATTGAAACCCGCGTTTCACTAGCTAATGTAATTTTGGAGTTACGATTTTTTTAAATTTTTTCCCCAAAATATACAATTATATTTAGTATGTAGAATAAGTGGGGAGGGGGGGGGTTAATCACCGTGACCTTAAAGATATTTATGTCCCTTTTGAGTTATAACCAAAGTTATAACTCATTCATTCATGGGAATAGTACCGTTATAAATATAGTCAAAAATAATACTGACCTTCTTGACAAAATGGTGAAGGTAATTAATTAGAAATTCAATTTTCTAAAATAATTAATTTAAAATATTAATCTTATTATTTCTTTTATATTTCAGGATTTTTGATACTGTGCGTGTTCAGCATTCTAACCTGCGCGGGACTGTCTGTTCTGCTGATAAAAAATCCGGAACCCGGAACACCATTGGCAGATATGACGTCAGGCGCCGTGTGCGGATTTTCTGTTCTGATTCTACTGCTGGCAACCACCGGACTCGTGTCCAGTTACTGTTGTAAACACCCCCCTCCCGATAATAGAGTGCAACATTGCTCTCCAGGATTAACAGTGTAGATTTTGATGGTGTTAGTGTTTTAAACATGTTCCGAGTATGTACACCAAAGTCGAGATTTTGTTTACATCTAGATTCTAGATAATGTTTAAGTGTAGTAGTGCGAAGAATATCCTTTTAAAAAGGGAACTAGGGAGACAATAAAATAAGGAACAGACTGTTGCACATGGTTAGAGTGTTACAAGTTTCTTAAAAAAATATTTTTATGTTGTTCATAATTGCGTGAACTAAAAAAACATATACTATGTTCCATTAGACAGTATTGTATTATTATTATAAATTACATTGTTAAATGTTACACACAATTGTAAATAATATATTTTTTAACTAGTAATTAAATTTACCAAAGAATGTTTGTAACTTTGCATAGTCAAATAAAATTATTGTAAGATTTAATATATTTTTAATAGAAATATGTAGTATAAATTTATGAAATGTTTATAAGCCAAAATATGTTACGTAACATGTATTTTTTTTAATTTATTTAATAAAAAAAATATATACCAACTTTACTTCCGATTTTATTAATTTTCTTTCTCGAAAATTTAACGAAATGATATACATGTACTGATTTCTTTCGAAAATCGACAACTATGAAACTATGATAATATAATAATTAAAGATCTTTGTGTCCCCTTTGAGTTATAACTCATTCATGGGAATAGTACCGTTGTGGTACCGTTATACAGTCAAAAATAATATTGACCTTCTTGACAAAATGGTGAAGGTAATAAATTTAAAAATTCATTTTTCCAAAAAAAATAATTTAAAATATTAATTTTATTATTTTTTACTATTTCTTTTATATTTCAGGATTTTTGATACTGTGCGTGTTCAGCATTCTAACCTGCGCGGGACTGTCTGTTCTTCTGATAAAAAATCCGGAACCCGGAACACCATATAATATGTTCCATTAGACAGTATTGTATTATTATTATAAATTACATTGTTAAATGTTACACACAATTGTAAATAATATATTTTTTAACTAGTAATTAAATTTACCAAAGAATGTTTGTAACTTTGCATAGTCAAATAAAATTATTGTAAGATTTAATATATTTTTAATAGAAATATGTAGTATAAATTTATGAAATGTTTATAAGCCAAAATATGTTACCTGACATGTAATTTTTTTTATTTATTTAATAAAATAAATGTATACCAACTTTACTTCCGATTTTATTAATTTTCTTTCTCGAAAATTTAACGAAATGATATACATGTACTGATTTCTTTCGAAAATCGACAACTATGAAACTATGATAATATAATAATTAAAGATCTTTGTGTCCCCTTTGAGTTATAACTCATTCATGGGAATAGTACCGTTGTGGTACCGTTATACAGTCAAAAATAATATTGACCTTCTTGACAAAATGGTGAAGGTAATTAATTTAAAAATGCATTTTTCTAAAAAAAATTAATTTAAAATATTAATTTTATTATTTTTTACTATTTCTTTTATATTTCAGGATTTTTGATACTGTGCGTGTTCAGCATTCTAACCTGCGCGGGACTGTCTGTTCTTCTGATAAAAAATCCGGAACCTGGAACACCAAATAATATGTTCCATTAGACAGTATTGTATTATTATTATAAATTACATTGTTAAATGTTACACACAATTGTAAATAATATATTTTTTAACTAGTAATTAAATTTACCAAAGAATGTTTGGAACTTTTTTTTTTATATCTAGCAAAATATTATTATTTACTCAAAACGTGAATAATAATAAAGGTTTTTGTTTTTTAAAGGCATACCCGCGTTTCTTTATGTGGTACTACTAGAAAATACTGTATTACAAAAAAAACTTACATCTTTTAAAGGTGAAAATTGTTTGAACACAGCCAGTGTCGCAGTATTTGCAGTGCCGTGTTGCCAAGTACCATTCAAATAACTCCGTGTCGCAAAAACTCTTGTCGCCACAGTTTTTCAATACTCTTGTAAATGAACTGACGTATTCCTAAAATGAAAAAGAAATTAACGTTGCTTTTAATGGTATTAAATTTATTTTTGTAAAGGATAGGCAACCAGTAAATCGGAATTAAAAAGAACTATTAATTTCTTAGAGATTATAAATATTAATGCATTACATTAAAACAATTAAAAATTGTTAACTTAAATATGAGGACAGTCAAACTATTTTATTTTATCTGAAAGTATTACTATAGATAATTATTGAGCATATTCAAGGTGCCCCCTTTACTAACACCGACTCTTTCTAAAAGACGTAGAAAATACTCGTTTGCCTGTATCAATAAACATGGTCCAAAAAATACCAAATATATCCCTATGGTATTTTTTGCAACCGAACCTAACCTAATCACCAGGTCTCTGCAGTGGCAAAATCACCAGGTCCCTGCTGTGGCAAAATCAACAGGTCCCTGCAGTGGCAAAACCACCAGGTTGGTATTTATATGGAGCACTATACTAAGTAACTTACTTCGGTGCCCATATAATGCGATGCAGATTCCCAATGGCCAAACATCAGAGTTAGAGGATAATCCAGGTCCCCTCTTTTGTGGAAAGGTGCAGAAAGACACCGTTCTCTTGTGTTGTATTATTAACATGTCTAAAACAAAACAAAACATTTAAAACACTCAAAACAAAATAAACACTTTGCTATTAAAGTTTAGCAAATTATATCTACCAAAATATTTTTATTGTTATAACAAAATTATTTTTAGTCATTAAATTAATAATAACAATCTATCAAAGAATGAAAACGAGATGTTTCTCTAACAGTATGGAAATTAGGAAAACTATAAATGGGATTGATCAACCGTTTTAGAAAAAAAATGTTTTTTTTAGAAGAAGCAAAAAAGTTTCTCCTCTCGTAAAGACAATCTCGAGACATATATTAATAAAAATAAAACTTACTTTGAATTTCTTGCACTGCAGTAGTTGAAGATAGAGCTAAACTTTTACATAAACCTGGTATAAATCTTTCGTCTCCTGATGTGATTTTTGATGTGTTACCTTCTTGCTCAGCTAATTTAACCTATGGTCAACGATAAACCCTCAGCCAGCTTTTAGACGGAGGGTAGTAACTTTCTCGGGTACCTATACTTTATACTTGCTATGCAGGTCACTGGTGGCCTAACATCAAAATTAGAGGATCTTCCAGGTTTCCTCTTCGGATATAGGGGAAGGATACAGAAAGACACCATTCTCTTGTGTGATATTAGCATAGTATACCTTAAACTATGATATTAGTGGGTATACAACACTGATTTATTTTTAAAAACATAGAAAATACTTTTTACCTGGACTAAAAAACATCTTTAAACACTACCAAAAAGAATGGTTGAAAAATACCAAATATTTCTAAATATAAATTAATTTTCTAAGTAACTTAAATAACTTTATTTCTATAGCACAAAAAATAATTCGAAAATTCGACGATATGCGCTTGCGTAGTATCAATGATCAAATGCAGCAAATAAGGGCTTCAAGGTTAGCCACCGGATCCACAGAGTGGAAAAGATCATAGTTCATATTTTTTATACAAGTGTTTGATATATGATGTATATGAATCTGTAAACAGTGTGCCACCCATAGATTAAAAATTCTCTAGGACATATGTCATCTACTTGTCTAAGTCTAATCTATGGATCCTACCCAAGTTTCAAATTTTCAGATATTTAAAAAAAGGTTTAATCGTTTAATCAGGTGTGATAAAAAGTAAAAAGTTCGGTAGTGGTTCGGTACACTGGTAAAACAATTATTTTTATGAACAGCATTAAGTATAATAAGAAAATAATCAGTTTCAGATCTTGAAATATCTGTAAGATTCACTGAGATTCGATTCTTTGTTGGCGGGAAAATCAGTTATTTCCAGCTGATTCCCAGCATTCTAACATTCTTAAGTAGTTTTGTATATACAAATTAGCAAAAAGAATTGGTGTTTTGAATTTCCCATTCAATTATTCCCCAATTAAGAGGTAGTATTTGTACAGTGAATTCTATTAATAAAAATACTTTATTCGTTCTGTAGCAAAAACGTAGAGAAATTAAATTTTATAGATTAAGATGAGTGCAACACGCCAATTGAGAACATTCCATAGTTTCGAAGAAGATAATATACAGGTAATATGAAGTTTTGGCATAAACTAATTACTATGCCCATTTAAATATAATAAAATTGATTTTAGGGAACAGTTACTGTAGTAGACTTATCTTTAGTTTATTTTGAAGTTGATGAAATATATAGGGTATATCCTGATATTACCAAGGATTATCCAGAATTACCATTAGTTGGTTCCGTTGTTGAGATAAAAAATCCAAAAATATTTTGTCATTCAACTGATACCGCTGTGGTCGGTCCTTGTACCGAATGTTGTTTTCCAAGTGTTGTTAGCTCGGAGACCATAAATATGGATCTTTTTAATTTTCTAAAAATGCGTAGATGTGACGAAAACGAAGTCATAGCAATGGATAAAATTTTAAGGAAGCTGCAGAAATATCTTCCAAGAATTAACTATACCAGGGTTCTTAAGATCATTCTAAATGTTGCTCCTTTTAAAATCCGAAGTTTGCCAATTGTGGATAATGCAGATGTATGTTTTGACATATACATAGTTAGAGACTTTATATATTAATATATTTTTATAGCGACAAAGTTTTGAATCTGTTAAAGTAGAATTCCCATCTCAATTAGGCTATGTCAAGGAAACTTCTCTTCAATATAAAGAGTTTATGAATTTTATTGGTGGGTGTTATCATGGAGTTCATCCTAATGCGTCTATAGAAAAAGTAAATAATATTGTTACAGAATATTTGCTGGGGTAAGTAATAAGTATTCTTAAGTATTTTGTATAATTATAAGAGATTTTAGGTGGCTAGAAACTGATAGTATGTATGGTTGGTTCATATTGAGGGACGATAAATACAAAATTCCAGTTAAATTTTACAAAAATTTAGTGCCGACCAATTATTTAGGAAAATGTATCTTGATTAAAAAATGGACCGGTTTTACAGAAATTTTTGAATCAAACACACGGACCGTTCAATATCTGTTAGTCAACATAAGAAACGTTGTAATTGTTGATTCTCCCAACTGTAAAATAGAAAAATTATTTTTTACCGCAACTGAACAGTGCACAAGAAAAAAAGACATCATAGTATTTGAATTAATAGGAAAATCTGAGGTTAACTTTCAATTTTTTAAGTATTTTTTTTGTAAAACTTATATTTTACAGATCATTTACGGTTATAGTGGACGTTCGGAATGTTTTTTGGAAGTGAAAGTTTTAGAATATACCGACAGGCAACTTAATTCCAACCCCTTCATCTTTCTAGCTTTAACTGCTAAACATTTTGCTGTAGTGCCCTATCTGAGGGAAAACGCAAAGTACAGAATGTGGTATAGTGGAAAACTGTAAGTTGTGGAAAAGTAGGTGTTTTATGAAGTTAAAAATACTATTTCCAGGGAAGTATTACACGTTCCGGGCCACAAGGAACTGTACAAATTAAGAACGGCAAAACATCTGTACAGGGCCTGCGACGATGCTATCTTTCAAGCAGTGTCGAATCAAAATGTGGCCGACAGTAGTAAATACGAAGATTCCCATCAAATACAAAGCTTGTTGAGCGCCCAAGCGAATAAGTTTGTTTCTTTTGCATTGCTCGTTGCTCGAAAGTACTTTCAGACTTGTAACTTTCCCAGTTACATTCCAAAAAGACATGAAGATATCCCATTCTTCGATATACCTGGTAAAGCTAATATTATACAGGGTGGGTCACTGAAAACTTACAATGGCTATAATTTTTAAACCAAAAAAGATATCAAAAAAATAAAAAATACCGTTTCTATTATATCGAGGGGGAATACATATGACGTAATTTTTGAACCACCACGACCTACCCCTAAGGCGGCACCACTACTCACTTGAAAATCTTAAATGGCAACACCCCACTTGTGGCGCCTTTTTGGAAAGCCCATGAAAAATGTTAAACGATGATCATAAAGTTTTTAGGGTGAAACGGACGTACGGTACGAACAATTAGGTGGACATTAATGAGAAAAGTGATTTTTTCAGCATAAGTTACAAATTGGGACCATATTTTTATATATTCTAAATCTACATTAAATTTGCTACAATTCTCCAAGTTTTTATAATTTTATCGCTATGTTTACTATTTTTCTGAGTGCCTTGAAAGTCGCTTCGTTGAATCGGTTAAATTTTGCAAGGGTCCAAAAAAATTAACTTACTCATAAAGAAAAAAAATAAGCCTATAATGGTTTATATATTTTAAATCTACATTAAATTTGCTACAATTCTCCAAGTTTTTATGACTTTATCGCTACGTTTACTATTTCTCTGAGTGCCTTGAGAGCCGCTTCGTTGAATCGGTTAAATTTTGCAAGGGTCCAAAAGAATTAATTTACTCATAAAGAAAAAAAATTAAGCCTTTAATAGTTTATATATTTTAAATCTACATTAAATTTGCTACAATTCTCCAAGTTTTTATGACTTTATCGCTACGTTTACTATTTCTCTGAGTGCCTTGAGAGCCGCTTCGTTGAATCGGTTAAATTTTGCAAGGGTCCAAAAGAATTAATTTACTCATAAAGAAAAAAAATTAAGCCTTTAATGGTTTATATATTTTAAATCTACATTAAATTTGCTACAACTATCCAAGTTTTTATAATTTTATCGCTATGTTTACTATTTTTCTTAGCGCCTTGAAAGTCGCTTCGTTGAATCGGTTAAATTTTGCAAGGGTCCAAAAAAATTAATTTACTCATAAAGAAAAAAAATTAAGCCTTTAATGGTTTATATATTTTAAATCTACATTAAATTTGCTACAACTATCCAAGTTTTTATAATTTTATCGCTATGTTTACTATTTTTCTTAGCGCCTTGAAAGTCGCTTCGTTGAATCGGTTAAATTTTGCAAGGGTCCAAAAAAATTAATTTACTGCTGAATGACATGCTGAAAAAGTCACCTTTTTCATTAATGTCCACCTAATTGTTCGTGTAAGGGTAGTTTTTCAATTTCACCCTAAAGACTTTATGATCATCGTTTAGCATTTTTCATGAGCTTTCCAAAAAGACGCCACAAGTGGGGTGTTGCCATTTCAGATTTTCAAGTTAGTAGGGGTGCTTCCTAAGGGGTAGGTCGGGGTGGTTCAAGAAATACGTCATATGTATTCCCCCTCGATATTATAGAAACAGTATTTTTTATTTTTTTGGTATCTTTTTTGGTTTAAAAATTATAGCCATTGTAAGTTTTCAGTGGCCCACCCTCTATTGTAATTCTCTGGATTTAAATAATTATCGTTATGTATTATATTTTAGGTCAAAATAAACAAATGGTTGTCGAGTTCTCAGACGCCAGCTCTACTACAGCTTTCAGACTGTATTTCACCGACAGAGATAACTACGTCTTTCCAATAGGTTTAATAAAAGACATGAGGGTCTTAGTTAAATACGTTGAAATTTATAAAAATAACTATTTTAAAACGACCGCCCTCACTTCCTTCGAAATACTGGAGTATTGTCCAAAAGTACCGTTCTCTTCGGCAAATTTGTAAGCTATTAAAATATGTACAGGGTGGGTCAAATTCGACGCTTTAAAAAGGAAACACCCTTTTCTATAGGAGATAGACGAAAACTAATATCGGTGTCTGGAGCTCAATTTTCATTAAAAACATGATGGTGAAAACCGCACATCAATATATGTTACCGTTTCGGAGTTGCGGGGTATTTTTCAAAAATGTGCATTTTTAACAAATCGCTGTAACTTTTTTGCTATGGGAAATTTTGTATTTCTATGAAAACATTTCCAAAGCACCTTTTTACGTAGAATTTAATGGTTTAAGTATAATTTTTTTAAAATTAATAATTTAAGAGTTATCAACAGAAAAATTGATTTTTTATATGGGACACCCTGTATATTTTTAATTTATTGAAAAGAATTTAAAATTATCTTTCCAAAAATATAACACACTTGATATTTTGCTCGATTCCTCTTCGAGATATAGAGTATATAAAAATTCGCCCGCTTTAAATAAGTAGGCTTGGAACGGCACCGGCTGTAATGCAAAAAAAAATCTAGCTGTGAGCATCAATTAAAACGAAAATAATATTTGCTATGAGAGATGCAGAATTTTATAACAATTTAAAATAAATTGAACCAACATCAAAACATTTAAACTATATCTAATAATAAAAATAAATAGCAAATCTAGACATGATATGTTTTCGAGTTCCCTTAAGGGCATATCATCAATAAGGGGTCCAAAGCCTACTAGTTAAAAGTGGCAAACTTTTAAAAATTCTGTATTTCGAAGGGGATTATAACAAAATATCAAGTGTGCTATATTTTTGGAAAGGTAATTTTAAATTATTTTCAGTTAATTAAAAATATAGAGGGTGTCCCAAATAAAAAATCTATTTTTCTGTTGATAACTCTTAAATTATTAATTTAAAAAAAAATATACTTAAACCATAAAATTCTACGTAAAAAGGTGCTTCGGAAATGTTCTCATAAAAATATAAAAATTTCCATACCAAAAAAAAGTTACAGCGATTTGTTAAAAATGCACATTTTTGAAAAACACCCCGTAACTCCGACACGGTTAACAGATATCGATGTTTTTAATAACAATTAAGCTCCAGACAAAAAAAAATCCTTTTGAAAGCGTCCAATTTGACCCACCCTGTACTTTGGAAAAAAAACAGCATCACAATGACCTTTGAGAAGAAAAAATATGTAGTGCCACTGGGCTTCAAAGCAATTTCACTTGCGATGACTGTTTCTTTTTCTGCATCGGCTGTAAGAAAATTAAGAGAAACAACATTTTTTTTACGTAAATACGATACGATGAAAAAACGGCGTCAGCGATGGCTATGAAATGAAGATCGCTGTCATTTTTTACATGTATAAGTATATTATGGGGAATGCCATCGACGTTCATTTCCAAGCCAACTGGACACGGTTTTTTTTCGATCATACGGTATTAGCAGTAGTAGTTAAGGAACAGCCTCTATATTTGGATTTTTTTTTAGGTGTTTCACTGATACGCGCTATTGGAATTGGATAGAGGATAAAATATCCGTCGTTTTTTTGGGAATGCATAAGTATTTGCCGGAAAATTGCGTAGTAAAAGGCAGTTTTTTGCTACTCTCAGTTCTTAATTTGAAAATTGGCCTTTATTGTATTATGTGCCTTAATCTAGTAGCCAGAAAATTGTGTCCTAACTGCGATCGTGAGTTCGAGTCAGTGAGTTGGGAACTGCAGATCAAAATGACGTAATATCAACTGATTCAATTTCCAAAAAAAGAAATGAATTTACGGGATTATTTTTAGGTTGTTCGGGCAAGATAGTATAAGCTCACGTTTTAAAATTACCACCGAATGTATAGGTTTCCTCTACAGATTGTTACGACTGCCCAGAGCCAGAATTAAAAGTTTTTGCGAAGTCTTTTCAAAGACACGTCAATTGTATATTGATTTTGGCGATACCAGTAGAGATTTTAGCTACGAGGTAGGAATTGAAAAAAAAACGGCGTCAAGTTATTGGCTTCGAATCACCAGAATTCGCAGTTTCGAAGCCAGCTGTGACGCCGATTTCGTTTCGGGGACGCGCGGTATAAACGGCATCAAGACGGTGGGGGAATGACAATCGTCGATAATTTTGGGGAGGTCAATTCGGACCACCCTGTATATTTTCTCAATTTTACACCATTTTTACTCAAATAAAAATTAACTACCACCTTCTTAAAGCTAACTGGCCTTAGACAAGGAAAGAGAGGGGACAGCTAACACGCATATTCTCCAGCGAAAAATTTTTGAGGCCAAAATTTGATCGGCGGCCATACTTTGGTGACAAGATTTCGAGGTGACACCAAAACATATATATTTACATTTTTTTTTTAAATTATACATTATACACACGTTAATAAATAAATAATTGTCTTGATGATCAGTTCACTGTGACTGTGTGTGTGTTAAATAAATTTTGCATTATCGGCTTAGATATTCTAATATTATAAAGGTGAGACTATAAAATACAAAATTGTATATGCATTACTTAAAAATAAACGATATATTAGTTAACGTTTTAATAAATATATTTTATCGTCTAGATACAAGCTAATTTCTGATGCTACGCCATTGGAGAATTTCGCGTGGTGACAAGTGGCCTCACTATCAGCTGCCGTGTTACCTGTCCCCTCTCTTTCCTTATCTAAGTAACTGGCAGTAAAGCGCCATTAGAAAATACGTGATTACGGGCCAAGTAAATGACGTCTACCTCTTGACCTCGCCAAAATTATTATCGATTGTCTTTGACGCCGTTTTTTTTCTCGATCGTATGGTATACTCAATATTAGAAATTTCAGGGCGAGGAAGTTAAGGAATTTTTAGATGATTTCTGCGACTACGTCAGATCGGAGATCAACTACAAACAACATCCAGCAATAGACGCAATTTGCGTTAAACAGGACTCGGGCTGTGATTGGAAGATGATAGATTTTAATTTTGTTTGATTTATTTAAAAATATATTAATGTTTAATTTTGTTATAAAATATATTTTTTTGTATCTAGATATGTAATTTGATTTAACCACTTTTGTTTAATTTATTTAAAAATATAATAATGTTTAATTTGTTATAAAATATATTTTTTTGTATCTGGATATGTAGTTTGATTTAGCCACACAATGTTAGTTTGTCCTTATGTGACATTAGTTTATTTATTTATTATTTGTTTTTCTATTTACTCAAAGAAAATCTGTAGTCTTTCGAAAGACTATATAGTATTAGCACGGCATATAAATCATATAAATGATTTATATGCCGTGGTATTAGTACAATTACAACGTGATAAAAAAAAACGGCGACAGCGATGGCTATGAAATGAAGATCGCCGTCATTTTATCTATCTATAATTTAAGCTCGGACTGAATTTCTCATTTAAAAAAAGCTAATAATAATAAGTTAGGTTAAGTTTTTCTAATCGAGCTGGGACTAATTTATTTTATCAATTTTTGCTATGTGGATGAATGTGTCTAATAATTAATAATAATTTTAATTCTTGCTGGAATAATTAATTAGTAAGTTTTTTATAATTGTTTATATTGATCAATTAGATGGCTATAGGTATCTTGGACTAATAAATTTGCGAAAAATGAAGAACATTTGTTTTATTTATGATTAAATCAGTATTACAACAGGCAAAGCCAGTTAAAAACATCAACTTTACTATGACGACTTCTCGCAATAGGAATATGTACTCACAAAAATATGAATACTAGTAAATAAATTGTCCGTGGACCAAATTGGGTAATCCCCTGGGGGGTGGAGCAGAGATTTTAACAAAGAGAAAAAACTATTTTAGAAAAATATCAAATGTAATGTAATTTCCAGAGACTGTTAAGTAAATGCACATGGG